CGGGGTCCATTTCGACGTGGTTGTGGGAGATGATGACTCCGAGGTACTCGATTGACGATTTTTCAAAGTCGCACTTCTCCGCTCGGAGGTACAACTTGTGCTCTCGGAGTCGCCGCAAGACCTCCTGAACGATCTGTCGGTGTTTCCGGAGGTCGGAATGGGCGATCAGGATGTCGTCCAGGTAGATCATGACGTCTCCGGAGAGGATGAGGTCCTGGAAAATGTCATTCATCATCGTTGGGAACGTCGCGGGAGAGTTTGTCAGGCCGAAATACATCACCAAGGGCTCGAACAGGCCTCGGTTAGTCCGGAAAGCCGCTTTCCACTCGTCACCTTCCTTGATCCGGACGTTGTTGAAGCCCCAACGGACGTCGAGTTTGGTGAAGTAACGAGCGCCTTTGAGCCGGTTGATGAGGTCGTTGATCAGCGGAAGGGGGTACCGGTTTTTGACAGTCATCGCATTGAGAGCACGGTAGTCCTGGACGAAGCGGAGTCCGCCGTCCTTCTTCTTGACGAAGAAGACCGGAGACGCCATCGGAGACTTGGAGGGGCGAATCCGGCCCGTCGAAAGCCCTTCCTCGATGAACGCGTCGAGCTCGCGTTGCTCGAGGGGCGAGATGGGGTACACCTTGCAGTTGGTGGGCTTAGCGTCGGGGACGAGTTCAATGGCGTGGTCCCAGGCTCTCCGCTCCGGTAGCGTGTCGAAGGACTCCTTGTTGAAGACGTCCTGAAACTCCTTAGCCCAGTCCGGGATCTCGGAGGGCGCAGGGGCGGAGTTCCTGGCGAAGGCTTCGGCCAGGCGCTGTGAGACAGTACTGCCAGCGCGTATCTCCTCCGAGGGGCGGAACGAGGTGTAGAAGATGCGGTCACCATCTTCAAGCTGACCATCGTCTTCATCATCGTCGGAGTCCGGCATCAGATCAGGCAGGGCGGAGTCGTCACCGGAGACGGAATCGTCTCCGTCGTCAGGCCCAGAGAGGTCCATGGTGCAGACCGAGGGGAACGGGCCGGAGCGGAGTCGCTTCTGGAGCAGCCGGAGTCGCCGTAGCTCAGTCCGTTCAATGCGTTCTTCCTCGCGGCAAGTGGAGCAGCCGCGAGGGCACCGTCATCTTGACCTCCTTGGTTTCCCAATCGATCTCTGGGTTATGCTTCCGCAGCCAGGAGTACCCCAGGATGAGGTCTTGTTTACCAAGATGAGTGACGGCGAGTTGAACACGCTCGGAATGGCCTTTGTAGCGTAAGACCAAGTCCGCGATCTGGTTGATGGAGCCGGCGTCGTTCGGAGTGCCATCAACGTTAAAGACCGGAATCGGTTGCGCCAGGGTGCGGACCGGAATGCCATTCCGAGCGACATAGTTCGTGTCGATAAAGTCGGAGGTGGCACCACAGTCAACCAGGCCAGAGAGCGAGAGCTTAAGCGCGCTGGTAGTGGACTCTAGCTCCAACGGGAGGTGGAGGGAGTTCACTCCAGGGGAAGCAGCGACAGTGTACTGCTTGGGCAGTTTCTTTTCCCAGGCAGTGAGGCGGCGAAGGACGATGACCGGAGTCGCGGGCGAAGTCGGAGACGGAGTCGAAACGGGGGGGGGGGGAGGTATGTCTTTCGTTTCAGGCTCGTTGTAGGGCAAAGGAATTGATTCGTCATACAAACAAGCGAAACGATTTACGGACGCGAACGAGGGCACACCAGTCACTCGTCGCAGGGGACAAAATCCTCTCTGGCCATCGACTCCGCGACTGTTTCTGGCAGCGCAGCTGTGTCCGAGTAGCGGGCGATCAACTCCGCTAACATCTCGTCACCGAGTTGTTGGATCACCTCGTCGAGGATGTCCATTGAGCGGACGTCCGCGGGGGGGGCAATCCCGGGCGAGATGGTTTGGGTCGCCGCACCTGAAGCAGGCGCGACGAGGGGCACCCCCGAGCCCTAGTGCGATCCAACTCCATGGGGACGGGAGCTGGAGGCGCCGGAGCGGGGGCGCGGGCCACGGGTGGCACGACTGGAGCCACCGGGCGGAAAGGGGCCGGAGCCGGGATGCGGTTGACCGGAAACGGAGTCCGAATCAAACCGCCAGGCGTCTTGGGGGCGGCTGACTTGATCAGCTTGGCCCGGACCAGGGCCTCGTATTGACGGAAGGCCCGGGTGCGCCAGCTAAGGTAGTCCCGGAGGTCCGGGGGGTCGTTCGAGGACGTGATTCCGTTGTTGATCAGGGGGTCAAGTCCGTGGCGGAACTTGGTCACCTTGACCAACGCGTCTTCGAATCCGGCGAGGTCCATCAGGTCCTCGAAGTCGTCCGGTGTACTGGTAGACATCCTTTGTGCCCATGTGATAGGCAGAAGTCTCCAGTTTGGAGAGAGCATGATCTTGCTCATTCTCCTCGACGAACCGGAGTCGGAACTCGGAAACGAACGAGCCCCAGGACGGAAACGGAAACGGGGCTTTGCTTCCGTGGCGCTCCGCCCATTGCTGGCGGGTCCTTCTGCCATAAACGACATGGCATAACGGACGGCCTTTTCCTCGCTCGCCTCTCCGTTGACCACGAAGGCCTCAGGGGCAAGGCGGGCGTAGGTGCGGACCGCATAGAGAAACGCGCGGCCGCGTTTCCGATCGCCGTTGAAGGTGAACGGAGGGTTTGGTCGCAAGACCAATTTTGGCGAGGTTGATGTCGCCAAAGAGGGCCTCGGAATCGCCCTGAACCGGAGTCGGAGTCGGAATCGACGTCTCCGGGGGTGGTGTTGTTTGGGGTCCGCCAGCAGTATTAGCGGCGGCAGCGGCAGCGGAAGCCTGGGTGGTGAGAAGAGTAAGGGCCTCAGTTAGGCGGTCGATTTTTCGCCTCGAGTGCATCCAGCCGAGTGTCAGCGTCAGGAGTAGCTCCGGAAGGCATGACAGGTGCGGGGATGACAGGAGTGACAGAGGAGGAGGGGACAAGTGGTAGGGGGGGTGACGAGGGCGGAACGGACTCGTATTCCGAGCCTGAGTCAGCGCCCGAACCTAGCAATCTTGTCCGGTTGATCCCGTAGAGAGTTTCTTCTGCTGTAAGGGCAACCCCGGAGGCCTGAGATCAAGGTCCTAGCAGGGGAGGATCCAAAGAGTGAATAGAAGTAAGCAAATACAAGTGGGGCTGACCTAGCAGGGGAGGATCCAAAGAGAAGAAACTCTAAGGGTCCGCCTGCTAGGTAGCGGAACTATATACTGCGCTCTTGACGCGCCAAGGTTGATCGTTGCTCCGTGCAGTATGCCTGCGCCATGTCGCAGGCCAGGTCCCAGGGGATCGCCAGGCGGGGGCGGCGATGCGCCTGACGGAGGCGGTGATGCGATCACCGGAGTCGGAGCCGGAGTCGGACCGGAATCGGAATCGTCTCCGAGGGGCCGAAAGGGGAGGTTCCCCTGACAGTGTGGCAGAGCCCAGAATAAAAATCTCAGCCCGTATCTCCCCCATGAATCCGGAAAGCTTGAAATGTGGCTGGTCTGTTCTTCCGGCAGTTCCGATTGACTGGGGCATGTGCAGGGATGAGTCCAAGATGAAGGTCTCTTTGATCTGTCGGAAAACTGAGAAATAGATTATCAGTACATATAGGACCCAATCAGGCAATATAAGCTCATCAGATTTTTGAATGCATATCAGCTGCAAAACCTTCTAATGGGATCCAATCTGGCCTGACTGTCCTTTTGAGAGATTATCAGAGCTTATGAAGCTTATCAGACCATATAAGAACTTTTGGACCCAGAAATTAAAATCATGCAAAACGTTCAACTCTCTGCCTCTGAGGCCTGGGAGACTCTCCTAAGGAAGCAGCAGCACTTAACTATCTATCTGTCTACTCCACCAACTTGTGATGAAGGAAGACAGGAGTAACTACCACTGCACTATGCAACCGTGTAAGTCTAAGAACTTCTACTCCATATATGACGCACACTATGGAGCTTATATCACCTCATTCAACCTGAGTATTATGTTTTATAGTATAACCATGTATTCCTGGAGGGTAAATATCATTATTTACTATATATAATTTCAATATAATTTAATATGGTAGAATATTTACAGGGTATAAGAGCAACAGCTGTGTTTTTGAAAACTTGTAATATTTTGGTCATAATATCAATATTTTGACTCCAAGCCAGTGACAGGTCTAAGGGCATGTCCTAATTATTACAAGCCAGATTTTGATTATATGGTCTTATAAGCTCTCAACTGACCACTTATCCCCCCCAATCAGACCTTATCAGCATAGATGGTTAATCTTATTCTGTCTGATAAGCTTTTAACTGACCACTTATAAGACCTTATCCCCCCCAATCAGAGTCTTATCAGACCTTATCAGACCTTATCATCTTAGATAGTCAATCTTATTCTGTCTGATAAGCCCATCAGGTTCCATCAGGTCCTTATAAGGGTTTTTCCAGTTTTCCGACATCTGACCAGCGTATTTGGAGATTGAGACGAAATTCGTTGGTTTCATATGGGCAGGTAGTCCTCGTGGTTTACCTGGCAAGTCGTAGGCAGGTGGCGGAACGTCTGGCTAGATCCATAGCACCGTGTTCAAATTCAATGCAACTCGAAGTTATTCTGGACGCACCAAAACCAAGTGTGTCTCTGCATCCTCAACTTTGGGAAGATCCTTTGTGAAGATCATGGGTGGTAGAAGCTTGAAGATCAGCGGTATACTGACGAGCACCTGTGCGCAGCGGCTACGTAGCTGCGGCTGCGCGATGTCTACGTCTGAGTGGATAAGATAAGCTTGACCAGAATTAGTAATTACTCGATGCCTCTGCTTGGTACTGGCCGGGGGCAATTTTCAGATATGCACAAGTGAAAGGATCTGATGGGCAGAACTCGCTCGGCTTTGCATTGGCCTTGCCGGTTCTAGGAAGCATAAAATCCAATGCAGTTGTTATTCGGAACGGAACGCGATAGCACGTGAATCAGATGCTGACGTGATCGGTATAGGGTTGGTGGATTTAAGGCTGACTTCTCTTTCTCCCTCCATCTAAAGTCATCGCAATGGTCAAGGCAGTTGTACTCGGTGCTGCAGGTGCTTTTTCGCCTTTCCAACTGCTGTTCGCGGCCGATTGACCACTTTTCAGGTGGCATTGGCCAGCCATTGTCCCTTTTACTGAAGACTAATCCTGATATCACCGCTGTCCACAATGCCCTTCTTGTTGCTTGCGCCAGAATTTCTGAATGTACTTTAGCTTGGTCTCTACGATATTGTCAATACTCCTGGCGTCGCCGCCGATCTTTCCCATATCGCAACCCCGTCTGTTGTTGTTGGCCGTCTCCCGCCTGATGGTCTGAAGGAGGTGCTCACTGACGCCGACCTCATTGTCATCCCCGCCGGTGTTCCTCGCAAGCCTGGCGTAAATTTCTACTCGTATACCAGCACATAAACTCACATTTGTTTCGTAGATGACGCGGTAAGGTTCATCTAACCACCATTATGGATTGTTAACCGGGTGGTGGATGGCAGAGACGACTTATTCAAGGTGCGTCACTGTAATTTGTTTCTTCCATCCACTCAAATAAACCAAACAGATCAACGCTGGCATCGTTAAAGATCTCGCCACTGGAATCGCAACAACCGCCCCCAAAGCTTTCGTTCTGGTCATCTCCAATCCTGTCAATTCCACTGTCCCTATCGTGGCCGAGGTCTTCAAGAAGCACGGGGTATATGATCCTAAGAGGTAATTGTTTGTCGGTTTGTTCAGGCAAGGGGTAACAGTTGCACAGGATCTTTGGTGTTACAACGCTCGATGTTGTCCGTGCATCGACCTTTGTCGCTGAAGCTATTGGAAAGCCCGCAGAGGCTCCCAAAGTCGTCGTCCCCGTCGTTGGCGGCCACAGTGGTGTCACAGTACGTTCTTTCAGCACTCGTTCGTAACCCAACTGATGTTCTGTAGATTGTCCCACTCCTTTCCCAATCCACTCACTCCCTCCCTGCTGATATCTCTGCTGATTCCTACACTGCTCTCGTCAAGCGCATTCAATTTGGTGGCGATGAGGTCGTCAAAGCCAAGGATGGCGCTGGCTCAGCGACACTTTCCATGGCATATGCGGGTTATGAATTCTCCACCAAGATAATCCGTGCACTGAAGGGAGAAACTGGAATCATTGCACCTAGTTACGTCTCCCTCAAGGCAGACCCCGCTGGTGCCAGCACACTGACTTCCGAGCTTGGCGCGGAGCTGGAGTTCTTCTCTTCCAACGTTGAACTCGGAGTCAGTTGCTTGAAGTTCTGCGATTTCAGTTCGATTTGATACTTTTCTTTTAGAAAGAGGGTGTTGTCAAGATTCACCCACTGGGAAAGATCACCACACAGGAGCAGGAGCTGGTGAAAGCCGCAATCCCTGAACTGCAAACCAATATTGAAACGGCAAGTTATCGGTTTAAACCTTGAAATACATTCCTCATAGTTGTGCCACAGGGTGTGACATTCGTCGCCACGAAGTATGAAGCGGAGGAGAAGAACCCCAAGCTATAGATGGCTCGAAAGTAAAGAAAAGCGCTGTAAAACTATCTTGTAGAGACACGTGAAACGTAATGGAGATGATGTAGTGATGCATCGGCTAACCTGCCTGTTTCTTTCCTTCATCCACGTCTGGTTATGTCTGCTTCTTCGTCGCGCGTCGATGTCTCGAGGGTATATGCTGATGTGAACTCGACGCGCGGCAAGGCGTGGTATGACTACAAGAAACTGCGAATAGAGTGGTCAAGCCCAGACCGCTATGAGATCGTCCAAAGGTTGGGAGGTGGCCGGTACTCAGAGGTGCGCAAGCCAGTGACTACTTCTCTTCACTATTCCAACCGTTTCTCAGGTGTTTGAAGCCGTAGACACGGCAAACAGCGAACGCTGTGTGATCAAGGTCCTTTTGGATCGCAATGCTTTGTCTCTTCAGCCAACAGTAAACAATCTCCAGGTCCTCAAACCGGTCGCTGTCCACAAAATCAAGCGGGAGATTAAAGTTTTGCGGAATCTTGCAGGCGCTCCCTACTGTGTGGCCCTCATTGATGTTGTCCGAGACCGTGAGTTTTTTTACGTTGTTTGCTTTACATTTGTTTCACCCGGCTTGCGCCTCAGCTACTCGAAGATACCACAGCATCGTCACCGAGTATGTCGATAGCACACCTTGGAACGAGGTCTTTGCGCGCTTTACGCCGTCTGATATCCGGACCTATCTATTCCAACTTCTAACTGGCCTTGACTTTGTTCATGCCCACGGAATTATTCATCGCGATGTTAAACCTCTTAACATCATCTGGAATGCGGCTAAGCGGGAGGTGAGTGCGGAGCGTGACTTTTTTTTTCCAAACTCAAACCAAGTTCCCTTCAGCTTCGCCTGATTGACTGGGGACTGGCAGAATTCTACCATCCGGATGAAGAACTCAATGTCCGAGTTGCTTCCCGTCACTTCAAGGGTCCTGAGCTACTGGTCGGGTACAAACGCTACGACTACAGCCTCGATCTCTGGAGTACAGGATGTATTCTCGCTTCCGCAGTAATTCTATGGCCCTTTCCCGTCTGCCACATTTCTGACGTCCACTAGATCTTCAGGAAGCACCCTTTCTTCCGTGCGTTTTTCTATCATGGACTGGGTGACCTGCTCATTCCCCACAGGTGGATCGGATAACGATGACCAACTGCTCAAGATTCTCCGTGTTCTTGGCACGGACAAGTTCGACGCGTACCTCAAGGCCTACGACATTTCTTTTGAATGCGAAAGCGACGAGTTGCTAGCAAGGTGACTGCCTCCATCGTTATTGTTAACATCTAACCCTGTGTGTGTCTATAGTTACCCAGCGTGCCCATGGTCGCGCTTTATTACATCTGAGACACAGGCCCTCGCAACGCCCGACGCGCTCAACCTTCTCGACAACCTTCTTCGTTTTGAACCTCGGGAACGTCTGACGGCAAAAGAGGCACTTGCTCACGAGTATTTCGCCACAGTCCGTGTTGACGGGGGCAAGCTGGATTCTGCACTGAGTGACTCTGGCTTCGCATCAATGTAGAAAATTTACTTTATGCGTATCATTATCAATCCTTTAATATTTTTGGTGGGCGACGAATTTGACATGTTTCTGCTTATGGTAATACAGGTGAGTTGGGTGTTGGCTATGGATACAGTAGATGTGGGGATTAGTTTTATTTAATACCTATTTCAGTCCATAACGACGAGGCCATCGAAACTTGGGCGAGAGAGCGCCTTAGTCATGATCGCCCATGGGGTAAATGCCTCCTGACTCTTCTCTGCCTTGACGATGACGTCGACAGGTACGGCTTCGATGGTCTCTGGCTCTTCTTCCTCGCCCATAAACACTTTGAGCATCGACGGTGAGAATCCACTCATGAGTGCAACTCCTTTCCGGTCTGCCTGGACTTCGACCGTAATTCCGTTTTCAAGATTCCAGTACACGATCTGGGGGACATCGTAGCCCGCGTTCCGGAAGGCCAGCTCGATGCGGTCGTAATTCGTCTCCCACTCAGGCTGAGTGGTACAATAGTAACTGGCTCCCGCGTCGAACTGCATGTCACTGAAGATGAAAAGGCGCTTGATCATGTCTTCCTTGGGGATGTTGTGTTGCTTGGCGAGCGGCAGGATCAGATTGAGAAACACGGCTATAAAGGGTTCAGACGCAGTCTTTGCGTCGAGTCTAGTCGAAGCACTATACCTTCCAGGTTGGTATTCATGCCCCAGTCAGCCTGTGTTATGGTTTCTATTGTTTTGCTTATGGACCAATCTTCCTGGAGCCGAACGAACCTGGGAGTAGCTGAAAACGTGATGAAGCCGTGGGAAAAGGGTGGTTTGGCTAGTTGGGCTAGGATCAAGGAAAGTGCAACGGCTGGATAGATAGGCCAAACTTCCGGAGAATGACTTCCAAAAAGCCCTATTGAATGTCCAAAAAGCCCCATTGAGCCCGAGACATCACAGACAGCGATGGAATTGTCGAGTCTGCCTGATTCACGCAGTTTGTTGACGAGACTCTTCCACTGTGCCTCTGCAACACGGAGTTCGGTTTCTGTAGTACCATCGAGGGACGTGTGGAGACTGAGGCTGTGTATTTCCTGCAACAATTCATGAGGAAGGAGTGTCGCGCCGCTGATAGACCTTGTTCCAGCCTCGACAGAGCGCAGAAACTTGTGAAACCGGAGAAGATCGTGTTTAAGGAATTTGTCTTTATTATTACGCATGCATATTGAACTGACGCGACTGTAGACGATCTTGTTCCATTGGTTCGATGACATAAGACGCTCAGTAACCATCGTCGCTGCTCTGAGTGGGCTGAGAACCCAGCGCCGATAAAATGACCGCATGATCTCCGTAGGCTCTTTGTCTTCGAGGCATTCACAGGTTTTGAGCGCTGAGGGGAACGAATATTGCGGGAGCTCCCCCCGATAGTGATAGAAGAGACGAGCTACCGCGGTGGCTATGTTGGTCTTGCGATCGTGTGCCCCCAAAAGACTTGGGGCCCATTTCGAAGCGAGTGATATGCTGCGCAAAAGAGCATCCCGGGCATCCACAGGCTCGACGGTGTTTGCCTCTAGTAGAACTTTGAAGTCCTTGATTAGACGTTCGGTGAAGAGACGAGCCACAGCGACGTATAAAGCGCGATACTTTGGATCCGTTTCGAGTTTTCGAACAACACGTTCCTGGTTGGCTACTCCGATTGACATACGACGGGCTTTGATGACGGGCTTCGTATCGTATGCAACACTGCCCTCCTTTGGTTTTGCTATGGCCTTACCGGAAGCCTTCTTGCTGGCGCGGCGATTGTGAAGAAAGTTCACCGGTTGGGGGAGCTCACGTAATTCATCTACAGTTGCGAGGACAAGGATGTTCAGTAGGTCCTTCCAATAACCATGGGCTAAACCAGATTTGTCTTCAGCTTTGGGTTTGGTAATCACTGGATCAACGAGATTGTGCAAGTTGGCGATGGCCGTCCGAGGATGCTTGTCGTAAAGCCAACCGAAAGCCCTACAAAGCGTTATCAAGGTGACTGAACGGACAAGGTCACATACATGTAGAACGCTTCCTTCTCCGATTTACCTTCGTGGATACTACGCAAGTTCCAGATAACCTTGAGAGTTGTGTCGGGGTTTTCAGCCCATGCCTGACGAGTAATGTGAGGAGACGATAGGATAGGGGTTGGAGCGGTAGGTGTACATTATCCAGTAATTCGCGTATTTCCTGGGCTGTGGAGTTCCGAGTCAGCTTGTTGAATGCATCCAGAGTCGGTGAAAGGGTTGAATCGTATGCCATGGCGCCGTTATCTGTCCAAGTGCGATGCGAAGAAAGCGACAGGGCGGAAATCATCGAATTATTATGCGGTGTAGGCCCATGATTGACCGCGATAGTGGCTGGCTTCGTTGGGGGGAGGAGTTCGTCGAGAAAATTGGGATTGAAGAGCTCTGGAATTCGGGGCAGTTGCGGTCGTTGGGCAGACCGGGACCAACTGATGCGGTTACGGGCTGCCTGGCGAAGCTTGAGGTATGGGCGGCTCATCAAAGGCAGGGCTGTCGGATAAAGAAAGTGTGGTTTTGTGCGTTCAACCCAAGTTCAAGCAGACATAGAGGTTGAAACGTTGAAGGTGATTTTTGATAGTCACCTCTGCCAGTGAGTGTGATCATGACTCACCCTCTCACCGTTCAAGTTCAAAGTTGCTGCAGTCGTGCAAATCGGATGCATTACAATTGCTCGGAGACACTAGCATTTCCGCCTGTGCTTCGCAGCGTCCTCTATCTCCTATTGAAATTTGATCTCCTCTGACTGAATCATCTCGCGTCAAAGCATTGCCAGCTTCAAATCGCAATCATAATTTGTCCTTGTGCCTTCGCCACTGAATTGCGGACGTTATTCAGAGTTAATAAACAGGGCATTCGCCTACTACCCCGCACAAGGCCAACTAGCCTCTCCGAACTCCGTCAGAGGATTGGCCGCATTCTAATTCTGGCTCGGATTCAGACTTTGACATTGTTGGGAAGGAAAAGGTCGCTACAACATAGATAGGAAATTACAACGAGTAGTAGTAAAACCACGATACAGATGCAAATGGGACTACCCTAGGTCCCTGGCAGACTACACTCCAAAACAAAACCGATGAGACTCCGAGCATGCGATAATGATGAGTGGAAAGCGGTGAGATCATGAGAAAGAGCCATGAATCAGGGCATCCCAGGCGCCATTCTTACTCTTGAGCGAGTCTATGATTTTGGCGCGTGGTGCTGCAATTGGAGTGTTGGGAGGTGCTGGGGGAGTGGTAGTCGACTCCTAAGTATGGCCGGAGCCAAGACGGGTCAGCGTGTCAACGGAGAAAAGAGACGCGCTGACCTCAGTCATAGGTAGCGTAGTTGGCATCTCAGCCAGTGGTGAGTGCGGATGAGGCTGCGTTGGATGATGGCCATGGGCTGGACTTGCTGTGCCCGATGAAGAGCGTGACGACTCGACTGTAGATGTCGAAGAAGACCTTCCAGTTAGAGCTGGTCGTTTCTTGGTCCATGTAAGCCAACTATTGACTCAAGTCAAAGAAAAAGGGTATACTGGGGAGAGGATAGTCCCCAATGCTTGGAGAAGTGCATCGCGGTGAAGCGCGTTAGCGTTCGGTTGTTTCCCGTACGAATGGGAGTCGTGATGGGTCTCTGAGGGTGGTTGTACTGGGGCGGGCTGTTGGCGAGAGTGAGACATGCTCCACATCGAAGGATGTCCAACAGACCATGACAGTCGACAAAAGGCTCGACGCAGAATGCGGAGCAAATATAATATAACGAGGGAGAGTGGTGTGAGGGAGGGAGGCTGGGTGTGTATGCCAGCCAACCGCAAGAAGATGAAGGAAAAGGGCAAAGCACAAGTAAGGTAGATCACCCCACTTCCCCACGGCACACCCAATTTGATCCGAGTCAACAGAGTATCGGCCCGCCTATCGCAATCAATCTATCCCACAATTTCGGCACAAACAACTGACAGAGCGAGGCGTTAGCGCTTGGAAAGGTAGTCGACGGGTTTATGGTGCGCGTTGCTTCATTTTTCTTGCAAAGTTTCCCACCACGTTCACCGACTATCTTCCGTCCATGCGAGTTCGGGCTCGTCTTACTCGCTGACACTCGCTGTCACTCCACCAATCGGACACCGTCGTGATCTAAGCGAGATTGATTGTCGATCTATCGGGACCGGCTATCCACCTCTATCCACGCGGTTTTCCAGCACAAAAACTCGAAAAAAAGGAAAGCGAATCCTTACGTAGCAAGGTATTCATTGGTTTATACATGTACAGTATGCCTCCTACTCCCCCCTACTAAATCCTGTTGGATCGTGACTTGACCCCGTTGGCCTCCGATTCCCCGAATAGGCTAGGAATCCGTTTGCCATTGAGGGCTGGAGTGGGAGATTTTGAGGAGTCTGAAATATTTTGTGTTGAGAAAGCTGGTAAGAGGGTCATATTGTGACTCGCCTCCCGATGTACCCAAATTCTCGCTGGCCTGTTTGTCCGTAGTCCCTGTTACCTCGTTGACGATTTTAGCGATGAGGTCCGCGTTGATAGCTTTGGACGAGGCCACGTCGCCTAACCGTGTCTTAGGTAACGCATGCATAACCTGATTCACCAATACGACTGTATCGAGAGGCAATTTCTGGGACTCCGCAAGGTCCAGGGGGTAGCCACGCGCACAAAGCGAGACGTAATGCCCTACAAGAACTGGTGCATCAAGCTTCAACCCATGTTTCTGATAGAGGGCAATGCGGTCCACGCTTTTCATTTCCAGCTTCTCTAGCTCCCGGATGGCCAGATCGGTGACTTGATCAAACTCCCAGTCATACGCAAGGTGCAATATGACAGCCCAGTCGTCGGCTGTAGTGTCGGGATACAGTGTATAAAGACTGAATTGGATGAGACTTGGCATAGAAAGGGCACTGGGACAAACGGGTTGTAGAACACCATTAAAAACTTCTCAAAGTGCTTAGCACTGACTTCTGTAAGCCGTAGCATGTTAACAGGCTCTTGTGGCTTTCCAGGAGAAGGCGACCCTGCCAACATGCTACGGAATCTAGGAGATTCGCGATCGAAGAAGTAACGATGGACACAAAAATCGATGTTTTCAATCTGAACACAGAGTCAGCAAGGAGTGGGGGCGATGAAAAAGACAACGCACGATGATATGCAAGTCTCCGCCCAAAAGCTGATAGCGTGGATGGTTTGTGACGACCTGAAGACTAGTTTTCGAAGAGGCGGCCATCGGTGTCGGACTGAAGAAAGCTTTGTGACTTTGTACAGTCTAGTGGCGGGCCACGCTGTCCTTTTGGAGGCATACTGGTGGCTAAAATGGGGTGAGATTGTGTGGCCGTGTGATTTACGAAGGACAAGATACAAACAAGACCACGGGTTGTCGAGTTTAAGTGGCATTGACTTGAAGAGAATGTTGATTTAAGTAAGCGGAACTCTCGGGGAGTGCAAGAGACACCCATATCAGTGTAAACACGCGGATTAGGGCAGGTTCAAGACGAGGTGGAAGAGTGACACCTCAAGTATGATGGCTTGATGATGGCCGTTTTCAGATGAGCTTGTGACGCGGCCCGAGTCGGCACACTTCCGACCCACATCCGGGTTCTCCCAACTTCATGTTCGAATTCAGGATCGAAAGTCAGCTTTTCGGGCGGCACTATGGCCTTATAAACACTGGCTGCTCTTCTCGACTCTGAATAAGAAAATGGTGCCACCAACGCCCTTCCCAACACGCAGGCTCGGCGTGAATGGACCAATGGTCAGCTCGTTAGGTCTGGGTACTATGGTAAACAAACGAACAGTCAAAACATGGCTCGCCCACAAACATTATGCAGGGAATTGGTACCTTCTATGGTCAAACTGACCGGGCCCACGTATTCGACACTCTAAATCGAGCCGCCGATATGGGAATCGTATTTTTCGATACGGCGGACATGTACGGGAATTGTAGGTTCCTTTTTCATTCCAGCAGAGTTATATAATAGCTTATGAATACGTAGCTGAGGAAGTTCTTGGGGAGTGGTTTTCTTCCACTGGTCGGCGCTCTCAAGTTTTCCTCGCAACCAAGTTTGGTGCCATTGATCTCCGCCAACAAGCTGGTACCGAGCGTGTCAAATCCCTCGCGCCATGCAGTGACCCGAACTACATTGTCGAGGCATTGTATCGGTCACTGGGGCAGCTCAAAACAGACTATATCGATCTTCTATACCAGCACAGAGTTGACCCGACAGTCCCAATCGAGATTGTGCTTGCAACACTCAAGCCGTTCGTCGAGAAAGGCACTGTCCGCTGGTTGGGTCTGAGCGAATGTAGCCCTACCACTTTGCGCCGTGCTCGTGCAGTACCAGGCATCGGAGAAAAAGTAGTCGCCGTCCAGATGGAATATAGCCCATTTGATCTCGAAATTGAGGAGAATGGACTCTTGCAGGCAGCAAGAGAGACTGGGGTTGCAATTGTTGCATATTCACCTCTTGGACGAGGACTGCTCACTGGGAAATACCGGTCAAGAGACGATTTCGAGGAGGGGGACTACCGCCGCACGCTCCCACGCTTCTCTGAAGCAAACTTTGCTCAGAACGTCGCCTTGGTTGATCGTTTGCAAGCTATTGCTGATCGCTATGGAGCGACATCGACGCAGGTGGCGCTTGCGTGGATTTTGGCGGAACATCCAGATTGTATGCCGTCTCATTCGGACCGTCAACTATTGATCATTTTGTAGTTTTCCCCATTCCCGGAACCCGCAATATCTCTCGACTCGAAGAAAATGCTCAAAGCGCAATGCTTCAGTTATCGCCAGAGGATGTCAGTGAGATACGAAACTGGGCAATGGCAGCAGATGTCCAGGGGGCACGGAAAAGAACGGAGCATATGTCAGATGGAGAATGCATTTCCTTACCAGAGTGGGAAGGGCTGCGATACTTAGATTCTGAATCTAACAAATAGGTAGCAGTAATGTTTGCCGAATCGCGACTTGATTCTTGCCGTACAAACGCGACGCGTTCGTTCGAGTCACATCACACGTGACACTCCACACCTTGACTTTCCTTGACGATGAACAGGCCAGCGACGCAAGGCTCACGTATTCTAGATGCGCTGGCTACGCCAGGTCCCTCGTCAGACGCATCACATCGAACGCCCCTTCAATTACTAAGCACACCGAACACGGTGGATTCAAGTGGCAACACGCTAGGAAAACGGTTACGTGCCGCAAATTTACAACGACAGGTGCAAAAGGGCCAATCCGAAGCGCTTGGAGACGCCAACTTTCTTTCAAGCTCGTTCTCATCTTCGCCTGCGCCGGTCGCAGCCGGGTTTTCGTTAAATTACGACAAAGATACACCGTTGCGGTCAATAGATCTCGGTGGGGAGGACCAACAACAGAAGTGTGTACTGTCCTTTCTTTTCAATTTTTTAGTGGACTTATGCCCGCCAGACTTGCTGAGTTTGTGACCCGTGGAATTGACAATCTCAGTCATGGAGTGACCGTTCAAGAAGCTTTTGCTGACCTCGGTTTAAAAAGGTTCGCTACTTATTCTGCCCCATCGCAAGAAATGACGTCTTGCTAGCCAAAAAGATCTTCTGCCCGGCTTAGAAGTGCGGTTATTGCCCCACCAAGCTATTGGCGTTTCATGGCGAGTGCCCCGTCGTGTAACTACTGACCGGCGACTCAAAGGAAATCAGGATGTTGAAGCGCGAGCGTGGTCATGATAGAGGTGGAATCCTTGGCGACGATATGGTTCTTCAAACCATTGTCATGTCTCGCGACTGGGCTAACTCGGAGTAGGGCTTGGGAAAAACCGTGCAAATGATTGCAACTATGGTTATGAACCTCCCCAAAGACGATGATGAGCATCGAACGACTCTCATCGTCGTTCCTGCAGCCCTTCTACAACAGGTAGGAGTTCAGTTCTATTATGACCTCTTCTAACATCTGTCGTAGTGGAAGGATGAAATTGAGAGCAAGACCAACGAAATGTTCCGAGTTCATGTTCATCATGGCAAAGATAAACTGAAGGTCTGAGCCACTATATTAACCAAGAAGACGCAACCGATTTTCTCCCTCAGAAAACATCTGAAGTCAAGGGCTACGATGTACGTGTCCTGTCAAGCTTTCAGTCTGTCTTTAGCGTTCACTCACCCAGGTTGTCATCACCACTTACCACACTCTTTGTGCTGACTTCGCCATCCCTTCTGACGTCGAGGCTTCCGAGGAATCTCAATGGCTTCTGAAGCACGGTGGCGTTCTTGCAAGAACGAAATTCCATCGCGCTATTGCTGACGAAGCGCAATACATCCGTAATCGCTCAACGAAAGCTAGTATAAGTCTTGCTCATGTGAGAACAATATCCCGACTACCAGGATAGTCACATATCTTCTCAGGTACGCGCCAGGCATCGTTGGATGCTCACCGGAACCCCTGTGACGAATACGTTGGCTGATATCTATGGGCTACTTCGTTTCGGGCATTTTCGCCCTTATAATGATTGGTAAAACTATGCCCCCTACATAAAATTATAACTGAATACCTTTTCCAGGCCATCCTTCAATGAACACATCGTTCGGGTTTCGTGTCTTCACTCTCGTTCATTGAGGGCTCACGCATCGTTAGGCCAGAGTCCAGTTAGAGGATGCACCTTTGGCTGGCAATCGTGCGCAAGTTGTTCTCCGCCCGCTGATGCTCCGGCGCACAAAGAACTCCACTCTTGAAGGAGAACCAATCCTGAAGCTACCCAATAAGGATATCCAACTTGTCAAACTGCGCTTCTCCGATGAGGAACGTGAAGTCAGTACTTTTCTGCCAGTGTCGAATGTCTTCTGATCTGCAATAGATTTACGATACTTTTGAGAGGCGGACCAAAATCAGGCTCAACCGTTTTATTCGGGCGGGCACAGTCGTGAAAAAAGTAAGTCCTGTTGATCCACTTTTTTTCTATGCCAACATCGGTCTATAGCCATGCAGCGATTCTCGTGAATCAAGTTTGATATTCTAAGTAATAAGAAGTGGCTCAATATTGGCAGGTCATGATTTTACGGTTACGACAACTTTGCTGTCATCCTAACTTGATCCTATCTATTGCGGAAGGCCAAGGCTTTGAAGACCCGACGCTCCTTGTTGGAAGTGATGCTGACAAGGAGCGTGATCGCGCACGGAAGACCATGGGCAAGTCCTGGCTGGAAGCTGTACATCTTGTTCATGTATAAAAGTGCTTTACTGAGTTTTTCTTAGGTCAAGAAACGGCAAGAAATGCCTCCTGCCCCACAGTGCACGATTAACATCATGTTAGATTCCTCGTCCGCGCCAGTGCAGCTGAGATGCTGGATCGCGAAGACGAGATGAATGCCGACTCTGCAAACTGCTCAAACTGCAAAGATCGTAAGCGAAAACCTCCAACAAGTTGATTTCTGAACTAACCTCTGACCAAGTTCTCACGGATGAGAGTGGTCGCATTTTGGCTTGTGGGCACGAGCTCTGCTTCGGCAAGAAGTTACCGCGTATGCTTCTCATTTCGTCCTGACATGCCCACCTAGATTGCGTCCTTGATTTGAGTAACTCTGCCATTGCTCACGACGGGATTTTGTAAGTGTTCTCTCTTCTCTATTCACGATGCCTGATCGGTTCAGCGGCGAGGGAGACGAGAGACAGAACAATGCACGCGAAAAAGAATACGAGGAAGCATCTGCGAAAGGGCTTCGTCCTTGTACGGTACTCGCACTTGAAAGACGTATTTTGTTGACACGTGATCAGGTCCGAAATGCAAGAAAATGGCGGACCTCACTCCTGGAAAAATATTCAAATCTGCTGCGTTCGAGCCTACTGAGGAAGAACTCGAAGAGTATGCCCGCAGTAAACGGCAAGCGAAGCGACCTCGATATGCAACATACGAGCATGCCAAGATTCGGTCAGTGGAGAGGAAGCCCCTTGAAGAACGCGGTATCGACTCCGATGATTCCGATCTGGAGGATCTACCGCTACTGGCTTCGATGCGACCAAAGACCGAAACTAATGTAAGCTTTGTTGACAATTCATCAGCTGAATTTCAACTTTCCTTCAGGATGAGGATTCGATCTCGGTGAGTAAGAAAGTGGCTCCCAAAGGCCAAGGCAAGGGCAAGGCTAAAGCAGACGACGACGAGGATGTGGAGATGCCTTCAGCTGCAGTCATCTCTAACTGGTCACGTGGAGATGACTTCCTTGAGGCCAGCACCAAGATGTGCGCTATGCTTGAGATGCTGAAAGAATGGGACTCCACAGGAGACAAGACTATATGCTATTCACAATGTGAGTGCTCTTCCTCTGGCATTACAATGACATGACCTGTCATTCTAAGGGACCTCGATGCTCAACCTAGTGGAAACCGTTTTCTCGCGCAACGGGATACGCAGCCTGCGTTTTGACGGGAAAATGAATCGAGAGCAGCGTGAATCTGTGCTCGTCCAATTCAAACAACGGACAGGACCTAAGGTCATTCTGATCTCGACGAAATGTGGCAGCGTGGGCCTCAATTTGGTCTCAGCCAATCGAATTATCAAGTTTGTTTTTTTTACCTGTCCGATACCCTACCCTTGTTCATATAGATCTTCTGCAGCTTAGATCTCAGGTTCATATGGCTTCACGTGTTGCCTGCACCCTTTCATTAACACCTCGTATAGCTGGAATGCTGCATCCGAGGCTCAAGCGTATGATCGTGCCCACCGAATCGGACAAGATAAGCCTGTGTGGGTCAAACGGTTAGTTGTGGAGAACACTATCGAAGAGCGGTACGATTACTTCTGTCAGTAGAAAGTGCATGCTGCTCACTCACCTCGCTCCAGAATGCTCAAACTTCAAGAGGTGAAAAGCGGTTTGGCTGACGCTGCCCTTGGAGAAGGCACTGGCGTTAGTCTGCATAAACTTAGCGTTAAAGAAATCCGGCAGCTGTTCGGAATGGCACCCGCAGATAACAATGACGATAACTGACCTTCTCTCGGTTTTACTGTACATGTACTTTTGCTGGCACGCTACACCACAATATAATCGGAGGTTTTGTCGAGGAACAGCATATGCACAGCCACATCAACCCTTCTTGTCCATGGCTGAAACGGCATTTCGGTGAGCAGCTATCTTGTTCATTGTGCTTATGGGCCAATAGCAACCGACAGGAAAATCGACATTGATATCTACGACGAAGACGTTCTACAGGATGAAGAATTAGTAGATGCCGACCCAAGAGATCCTGTGCAGGTTCTAAATGACGCCAAACAACGTCAGGCTGCTGTCCGTAGTGCGCTTTCTCGGTGGGCCATATTCGAATAAGTCTTGGCTTTTGCGTGACTCTCGAGTAGGAGTGATATTCTCGGCGCGCTCAACACGGTACTGGAGAATGCGCCTTACGGACCGAATGTCGAGGAAGCAAAGGTATTTGACGACGATCAAGTTATCAACCTCCCCCCCTTCATACTTCCCAGACTGTCACCCTCCAGACTCTCCTCACGATCCTAAACACGACCAAAGCTGCTGAGATTCCTGGTGTCATCAAAGGCCTCTCGCAGGACAATCAAGACACGCTTATGAAGTACCTCTACAAGGGGATGGCGATGCCGGGCTGGGGCGACATAAGTGGAAGCGTGCTACTGGGCTGGCACGAGAAGGTGTGTCATACCGAGTAAAATAATTGACCTCGAGACTGATGATGCGCAGTTGACTGAGGTGGCGGGCACAGGGTGCATAGTACGCACGATGACCGACAGAAGAACCGTTTGATAATTGTACTACACAACCAACCAACTACCCTTCATCCACGTCTTCCTCGAGCTCAAGACGTTGTACACATAACCTGGCCACCGCCTCTCCGTCCAGCGGAATCGAATTTCCTGTCACAATTCTTGGAACCTGCCCAAAGAAAGACGTCTTGCTTACCTTGAAAGCCTTCCGGATAACTCGGCAACGGAATGCCTGGGCTCGTGAACAATCTATTGAAGTCAGCCCTAAGTTCACAACTCGGTTGAATTGACCTACTCGGTGCCCCATACACCGTAGTGAGTCAGACCAAGTGAGCGCGATGTCCACTCGTAGTCGTGGGCAAAGCCACCGGGGTAAAAGAACTCGATGACGGTCGACCGCCGAGTGGGTTTCATCCACACAAGATTCGTCAGACCATTTCCGTGCACCCCCATAAGTATCTGATATGTCCGCCATTAATTTGACTGAAAAGAGCAGGCTGGTCCTGCTTACCGTCGTTCTCGAGGCCAGTTGTATCTGTTCGATCTTGGTCATTTTTTCTGCTTCAACGACATGCAACTCATAACCGTAAGTTGCCTCGATTTTCTGCAACTCCTTCACCAGCCGTTCATGATCTGCTTGGATGAGCATTCTCCGTCCCCATGATTGACGCGAAATATACGTGATGACTGGTCGATTCATGGTGCTCATGGCATCGTCAACTTGAAGGCCCGCGAATTTCACAACGTTATTCCGAACTGTTAACCACCAGTATGCACTGCCTGGAAGTCCAAAGGCAGTGGACGCAGTCCGTTGATATCTCTGGAAATTTAGTCCAGGCATCGCAGCCGACCGATCCGCAAGTACAACACGCTCCAGTACAAAGGCACTGTTCATTTCTCTTCTGTCGTCCCAATCATCGATAAACTCCATTGTGAGGTCCGGAAAGACGGCCCTGATGACCCATTCATTCATTTCAGCGTAGTCGCGCCAGCGAAATGCATCCAGGCGGTTGAACCACATTCGGCGAGGAGACGGAAGTGAGGTGTTTCCTGATGGAGGGATGGCCGGGTCCAAGGAAGAATATGCTCTCCACAAGCCAAACATTAATTCTGCTACCCCATGGAAAAAATGGCGAACACTAAAGAATTTCGTCAACGATTGCGAAGGAAATGGGATCACTCACAATTGGGGTGGGTCGTTGATCAAGAACTGGAAGATGATCAGCTCAAGTTCGAATCACCAATAGGCCACCAACCGTTACTCCATCCAAGATCTGTGCCCCACTTCCAAACAGTTTCTTGGCCTGAGTAGTACTGACGATTCGAATGTCGTTTTCGTCGGGGAGCCGCGCGAGCTCAGCCTCTTCTCCAACCTCGATATCAAGGCCTTTTGAGTACATTGCAGAGAGGTCGGGTATATTTTGCGGCTGGTCTGTTACAAGGAAGACTACACCATGATAAACATATAGTTTGTCGACAATCGACCAGCCTGGATCAAACCAGACGCTGGTAAACTTCGGTTGAGAGGAGATAAGACTGGGGCGTGCCTGGCGCATGCGCAACAACCTTCGTTTGTGGGACGGCGTCTTTGCCCCAGTTCAACCTCGTCGAGAAATGATTTTGCTGGGTAGGAGGAGGAGTCGAGTGGGCAGTAGAGCGATTATATCCAAATCGAGTCGGTGCTGGGGCGGAAGCAAACTGGGATCGCGGGTCCGGAAAGAAGAGAATGAAGAGTCCGACCAGAAGGATGCATACGAGGAGAATTTCCCGAGCAGTGGGAGGTGCAAAGCCCATGGAAGACAGACAGTTGAGGTTTGGCGTCCAGATTGACGACTTGATGCATGACACAGACAGAGCTATAAATTCCTGGGCCGCTCTGTCCGCAAAAAGTACGATACGCAAGATTTGGGGCCTTCATGGCTCCGTTTGATTTGTGCTGGTTGGTTTCAAGGAAGATGTAGTGATTGACCAAGGACAGCTCCTTTCTCAAGGCTTTGCAGTTTGTCCTGGAAGTGCAAGTCACGATGGCATGAAAGGCATAAAATGGTGTAGCATCAGTGACAGATCCTAATAGTTTTGCAGTTCAATTTGGAAGGATAAGTCCAGATGTCCAAAGGCTGCCTTATGTCTCTATTCAAAGTTGAAGGAAGGTAATAATCATCTATCTCGAACAGATGTAATACCTTATACCCTTGCTTTTAGTGAGGCCCTTGCGGAGCTGGAAAAAATAGCACAAGTGGCAAGATGAACGGAAGCAAGCAAGATCTACTCGGATCAATATGACGGATCAAAATTCAGGGCTTTCGGTTGTTTCGCTCGTCGTCCTCTTTCATGGCGCCAGCGCCGCCCACGCCGCGCGAATGGCTAATCACTTCGATACTGTTGCTGGTCATACTCTACTACTCGAATAGCCGTGTCCACGACTATTTTATTCCAGCCCCTCAACCACACACGCCACGTCCACCACACTCCATCGACACGCTCAAACAGAACACGCAGTCATATGATGCTCGACTGACATGGGGTTCCAAGTCAGCCCCAGAGAGTCAAGTTCTCTCACACGTCCCAGGTGAGTAGCCCTGTTTGTCTCACATATCGCTTGTTCCAAGTACTTTTTTCCAGGATGGTCCATTATCGACAAACTCTACATCTCTAACGGCACGGTATATATTGTCTCTGACGATCCAGACGCGGTACCAGACCGTGACAATATGTACTCGAAGGGCGTTGATATCTTGCCTGGTAAAGAGGCTGAAGAGTCGCGTCTGCCGTCCGACAATGACATCCAAATAATCACCACTGCTGCAGCAAGAAAGCTTTTTGGAACTGGGGCATATCTGGTGGATGGTGTCACTGTACGTGTGTTTTACTTTGCTCGATACCGGGTTGAAAAGTTGGCTCTTTTAGTTCCTTGTCAACGATCCTCCGCAATTGTAAGCGTGTTATTTGACGAATTTCGCTGTGCTCAAGACTCTGCAGTGTGAGGCACTACTACCACTGGACGGCTGAATTGATTTTCGGATTCTGGAGGACCTATTCGTCGTTGGACCCCTCCATTCAGAAAGAAGGCAATACCTCACTTCCCCAGCCAAGACATATGTGGTTCAACCGTCTTGACGCTTTTCGCTGGCGTGATCCAACAAATATGAACCAGCTTGTCGTCCGCTCCATTTTTCCAGACGTAACCATGGAGTTTCTCGACGACTGGGATGACCGGACCAAAATGGGTGCACCGTTTGTTTTCGAAAGGGTGGTTCTCGCCGACCGCTCATCCGCCATGCGTGCCTATAACTACCAGCGATATCAACGGACAGCTGCCGTCCCCTTTGGCCTGCCTGGAAGCGTTTACTGGTGGCAAACACTTCGCAACAATGTCGTGCAGTTTGCGGGCATGGACTGGCGCGACGGCAGTTCAACGAACGACAAGCCGGTTATCACTTACATCTCGCGGCAGGCATGGGGAAGGCGTATACTCCTCAAAGAAGACCACGAACGTCTCGTCAAAGAGCTATACCGTCTACGCGATGCACATGGTTGGGAAGTCAATGTCGTTCTCATGGAGAAACTGGACAGAGCTGAGCAAATACGTCTTGCTGTTCGGACAACGGTTCGCTCCTTTATATTCACCCTGATGAGAGTTTCTCATCCGTCACAGATAATGATGGGTGTACATGGCAATGGGTTGACCAACCTCATTTGGATGCAGCCGACACCCCGCACGACGGTTATGGAGTTCTTTTATCCCGGAGGATTCGCCCATGACTACGAGTTCACTGCTAGATCTCTGGGCATCACCCACTACGGCTTCTGGGGCTCTTCGTAAGGATTTCGATTCGATTGGCCTTAAGAATCTCATATTTCATCAGGTCTTTCACGAGTCCCAACCTTCCTCTAAACGCTTACCCCGACGGGTTCCAAGGTGTGTTGTTTGGGTCTTGTCAACAGGACATTCCACTTATCTCTCGCTCAGGGAGCTCAATTCCCATTGATGCAGAGGCTGTTGGGCGTCTTTGCCACGACAGACTGACGTTGTCGTTCGAGGTCGACGACTAGACTAGATTATTTTGGACACTATGGACTGACTCGCAAAAAGTATCGCTACACATAATGTACATTAACACACACAGCTAGGTCACAGTTATTCTGAATCAGGGTATTCCAGCCTCAAGTCATCGAGCTCGTCGTCGTCGTCATCGGACATGAGTATTTGTGTCAATTTAGCAGGTTCTTCGCTCGTAGAAATGGGTTGAATGACAGTTGGCTGGTCTGGCGGTGGAATGGTCGGAGCAACAGTCACCGCGTTGGAGATTGATGACAATGGCTTTCGGAATGCCCAGGCAAACCGCCGTCCAAAACTCTCTTCGGACCACCCAATTGGCGGCTGCTCCGTGTTCCACACCTGGATCCGATAATTTTGCTGTTGTGGGTGCGGGGGCTGTGCAGGCGGTGTGGCTGGGGCAGGCGAGGCCGACGCCGAAGCTGAAGTAAGCGTCGTGGATAGCGTCGGCGTTGACCTCGGCGATGACGTCAACCGGTCATTGGAAGTGTCCTCTTGCATTGGGTTGGCGAGAGCTAGTGGATCAGAAATAGCTGGAGTATCGATAGTGAAAAGCTCTGCCATCGCCGCGTCGAATTCGCGAGCAGCATCAAGCCTGCTCCGTTCGGCGTGATCCACAAAGTGCCATGGTTGTGATGACATGGCCGGTCTTTTGCCTTTCGCGGTGATTGAAGCAGCATTCGTTTCCTTTGTTGTCCCAACGTCCATCGTCACTGAGTTGTCGACTTGATCGGCGTTCGGCTTCGTTACATCAGTGTCCATAGTAGGTGAGGTCGGAATCTCTGGGGATATTATGGTTTCTGATTCATCTTCGTCCAGCCCAACTGGCGGCGTTTCCAAAGCGGTTGACTCTAGTATCAAAGTCGGAAGAACTGGGGATTGTTGCGTAAAGCTAGCAATTGGTTCGGCCTCCTCAGCCAATTCCACGTGCATGTCAGCAGGAGCGTCAGGCTCGACTTCCTGTCCATCGATTGTCGGAGGTACAACATCCATGGGAGTTGCAGAGCGCGAGTGTAGGGCTGGTTCGTTGGACACAGACGCTTGTTGGTCGTTAGGCATCTCATCCATGAGAACAGCAGGCGAAGGCGAGCGGATGTAAGTGCTTTCGGTAGAAACAGTGTTGGGGGCGTCGACTGGTGTGTCATCGTCGGTCGCGTGATTAGGATTCTCGTCCACGACGAAAGCAGGCGAAGGTGAGCGGAAGGCAGCATTTTCAGTGGAAGTAGCATCGGGGGGCACGTCAAGTGGGTAATTGTCAGTCGCAGCAATGATGGGTGAGACTACAAAGTCGTCGTCTGGTGCAGGTTGGGGGTGCGTTTCCTCAGCTGGATTATGAGGTATTGGATCTAAATCGTCGTTGGTCACGTCTTCTGCAAGTATCGGATCCACGGAAGTACTACTGGGAGGCGGCGTTGCAGCTCGTGGTTTTTGTTTCGGCTTAGTGATCGTTGGCTGTAGCTCCTCATCTGAGTCGATAATTTCGAAAACCTCTGCTGTAGGCGGGGGCGGCGCATAGTCCTTGACCCGTTGGGATTGTTTTGGTGCCTCATCGTCGCTGCAAAGGTCTATAACATCCATCGGTGTCGTCTTCGTCTTTGGCCGGTCCTTGATTGCTTGAATCGCGTGCTCCTCCTCCGAATCGAAAATTTCTACGAAATTAGGGCGCGAGCGTGACCCGCTGGCGGTGCCCTGACGTTTTGCCGCAGAATCTACGACAGTGCATCTAAGCTTTCTTGGAACGACAAACTGGAATCCCTACTTCGCTGCTTTTTCTTGCCGTCTTTTCTGCGCTGTGTTGCACTAGTAGAAATAGCGTCGGGGAGTTCTGTCTCAGCGTCAGAGTCGATATAGACTGCGCAAAAGAGGCTTGTGAGTGCTTTCTTTTGCAGGCAATAGCAGAACTTACCCTGGCGTGCCTTGCCCTTCCTATTACTACTGCCCTCAAGCCCCAAACTAGTAGCCAGCTTCCTTCTCTTCTTTGGCCGCTCATTGTCCGGCTCGGGCTCAGGTGAGCTCAAAAACAAGCCTACATCTCGCTTAGCCAGAATGGTATAGGTGATGTAAAAAACACGCGCCTTGCGCAGACTTGCGCGGGGCAGCGCTCGCGCTCGGAGTCGAGGCAGTGGACGGTGTTCGTGGCTTTCGACCAGTTAATTTCAAAGTCATGGTAATAGCAGGAACGAAGCCGACTTTCACGATTACATAATACGAGCTAGAGTATATCTGTTAGAGTGCGTTCAGTAAAAACTCAAACGCGGTGTTTGATGCTGGAAACCAGGAGTTTGATGGCGGAATACCTCGGAGCCTTCGGGTAGATAATGTTAGATGAAACTCCTTTCCTCATTTCTGCACTAATGTATGGCTCAAAACTTGGTAGTTAGGACTCCACCAGACAATAACAACTGGTGGATTGCCTTCCCAACTTTTTGAGCTTAGTAAACACGTCCAAACGCGTGATATATGGAAGAAAAAAACACGACACGTCTTTGACAGTTGGGATCAAACCCCAGCATCAAACCCAAAACACCGTGTTTGAGTTTTTACTGAACGCACTCTTATCTACTTCTTCGACCCCCAAGCCTCTTCCTCCATCCAACCAGACTCCCATCCAATAGCTGAATATTATGCTCTAGAAGCCACTCAGCAGCAGCAACCCACCCACATTTTGAGATGTCATGTCTAGTTGCTGATTTAGACTACTACGTTCACAACATGTAAAACGACGCACTCGTTTGTTGGCCACTGGATTGTTGGTATCATAATTCCCTCTAGTGAAGTCAACTTGTCGACTTCCAGGGCACGAAGCAACGAGGACCATTTCTTGGATGCGCTTGCCCTGCACGACGTCAAGTAGGCAGCTTCTGGAAGATGATTTGCACTGACTGGTATTCGACGTCAAACCCGATTTTCTGCAGAATGTGAGTGCGTCTAGTAGCCAGGCAATTGATGATGGGAATCTAAGGAGCGAGTCAGCAAATTCGAGATACACCGAGCGAAAATCTGAACGTTTTTGCCACACACGACGATCAGGCTCTCCAGACGAGGACACAGGTCGAGCAGGGGACAGGAGTTCACGCAGAGATAATGGATATCTAGGTCCTCTATTTTCTTGCCATGCTTCTGGAGAAAGCGGACAGCTGCTTCATTGGCAGGAATTATGTCCTTTTTGACTTGGGTCGAGAAAGTAAAATTCCTCAGATTAGGGAGGCTACAACCAGGCTGTGAGCCACCAGAGCTGCCTGAGGTGATTTAACTCACTCTGTGACACAAAAAACATCGAGTGCAGTTGCATCCACGTCCAAGAGGTTCAGGGTATGCAAATGGGCTAGGGCGCTAGCATTGATGGAGTCCGTTGCGAATGACGCTCTACTTGAGAGTCCGAGCCAGCGAAGATCGCGCATGTCAGAAAACACATCAAACGGGACCAACTCCTGCGATTTCGCGATTTTCATCTTGGCTATTTCTCTCAAAGAGCAGCCAAAATGTCTAGCGAGCGCCTTGAGGCTCGGCACAGTTATATGGATACCTGATATGAGTGCAGGCCCGAGCTTTCGGTAGAGCTGGCGAGGGAATGGCGTGTCGTAGTCCAAAGTAAAATGCAATGCCCAAACAGCGGAAGCAAGGCTAGGGTCTCTCAAAATGTGGTTTTCAAGGTCTGATAGATCAAACTTGTCGGAGATAACCACGGTGTCATGAAGGATAGGTTGTGAAAGCCTCTGTAACGACAATAAGTAACGACTAGGACATAGCCAAGAAACTTACAGCAAACCTTTTGCAGGCAAGGACGATACCCATATATGCCTGTCGTGCTTGAAAGTCGGGTGCACGTAAATTGACCATGAGTGCACAATCAATTATTTCTTGCCAGACTGTATCAGGTACTAGCTCGGTGTTGAAGCACAGAAGTGGTCCTGCAGTGATTCCTGCGTCGTCCCTGAAATGACATCAGCGACATGTGGTAAGATGGATGCCATGATATTCACTCGAGCTCTTCTGCTTCAGGTAGTTTCAGCAGCCCTCGAAGACCAGGATGCCCCATGAATTCAGGATTACTCTTCAAAAGCGCTCTGTTCTCTTTGGTGTTGGCGGCTTTGAACTCGATTCTCTTGAGCGACATGTTTTGGGCAACAGTGAGTATATATTCCTGTGGCTCTGTGCCGAAGAACCGTTCCATAGGAATGACCACCTTCTCCAGACTCGACACCTCTTTCAGCGTATCCGCAAATGGTAAGAGCAAGGGACTACCATCAATCGCAGCTTCAGGAAATTCGAATACGGTCTAATAAGCAGCTTTGTAGGAGCCAACAAGACGAAAAAAACGAAGACGAACGAGCCTATTCCATTTTTCCTTCATACATTCCGTCACTGCGTTGACAAGGGCCTGACTTTGCCGCGTGCGGACCCCATAGAGGAACATGTCGAAAAGGATGAACCGGCGCGGGTTGACCAACGGCAAAGAGCGGGTGAGACCAATTACTGTATCTCCAGACCATATATGGAAACAAAGCAAGAGGTCTGCGAGCCTGGTGGTGGCCTGCAGGATGTGCTGCATCGCAACGCCATATCCTCCCTCAACCCGAAGCTGTTTAACGAAGAGCCCAAATTCTGGATGTTTCTTGAACACACGGCTTAAAGCATCTGCTTGAGCCTTGCTGCGAACAATTACTGTGTTGTACAAGAGTGGGGTGGAGACTCTTAGCCAGCTCTGACAGACGAGAAGGTACGCAGAGGTGGAGGTGCGGTATTTAGAAAACGGTGAGTTCGGAGAGGTGTCGGAGAACAGCTCGTCTGGGACCCTGAGTGCCGGGCCTAGAATCTCCGCAATAATTTCGTCTGGGAGGTGCATCTGGGAAGATTTAAGAAGTCGCGTGTGCACGTGAGCATAACGCCGATCAGCTGTGCTGTTGATGCAATTCGGCGTACATGGGAAATATCCATCTTATCGATGGCGGAATGCCGGGTGGTGACGTCGAACATTGTCGGCCGACGAGGCTGAATCCAAGGGGGCCCTCTCGAGTCCGTTAAGGGGGGACCCAGGCCCTCAGATCGCCTGGGTCCCCGACCAATGATAAGTCATCTTCCAAGTTCCGACTCCAAACTTGGGTCCAGCAGCAAAAATAAGCTAAGAGAAACAACCTTTGGGGTGTCCAGCCCGGCTCCCCAAGAATTTCACAGGCCCGAACCCAGCCCCGGCAGTGCATTTGACACGTTCGAGCAAAATCGATAGACCTATAAAAGGCGTAAGCAACTCCCATCAGACTCAACTTACCTTTCACCATCATTATCATGGTGCGATCTCCTCTTTCTCCCTCTTTTCCCTTTGCTCATTACAGCTTTCATAGGTCAGAGTTGGCATTAACGGGTGTGTTGTTTCTCTTGCTCCTGGGTTCACGTCTGAGTATCTTCGGTTGTAGTTTCGGTGAGTTTGAGTTCCATTTTCTGCGACGATCTCCTATGAATATTGGTTAGGTCGTATCGGTCGCATCGTCTTCCGAAATGCTCTCGAAGTTGCGGGCATTGAGGTCGTCGCGATCAACGAGTGAGCTTTCTTTTTCTTCGAAAAGAAAGCGCGTCTGATCAATGGCTCCCAGCCCTTTCATCGACCTTGAATACATGGTATACGACTCTCTGCAGCTTTATTTCCAGCGGACCTTATCGCACACAGGTTTACATGTTCAAGTACGACTCCGTCCATGGCCGATTCAAGGGCACTGTCGAAGCCAGGGACAACAAACTTTGGATCAACGGCAAGCCCGTCACCGTCTTCAGTGAGCGTGACCCCGGTGCAATTCCCTGGGGCCAAGAACACGCCGCCTACATCGTTGAGTCCACGGTGCGTATTTACGCCATGCGATTGCTTGTCATTTGATTATCTGTAGGGTGTCTTCACCACTGTCGACAAGTGATTCCCAACGCTAGTCCAAGTCCTGATTGTCGGCTTATCTTTTGCAGGGCCTCAGCGCACTTGAAGGGTGGCGCGAAGAAGGTCATCATCTCCGCTCCTTCCGCCGATGCTCCCATGTTCGTTTGCGGTGTCAACCTCGACTTTTATGACTCTAAGTACCCTGTCGTACGTTCAATCATCTTCTTCTCCTCGTGATTTTTGTTAATGTCCGCTCAAGATCTCTAACGCTTCATGCACAACCAACTGCCTTGCTCCCCTCGCCAAGATCATCAACGATAAATTCGGTATCGTTGAGGGTCTGATGAGCACCATCCACGCCACCACTGCTACCCAGAAGACCGTTGATGGACCGTCCAACAAGGACTGGCGTGGAGGACGTAGCGTCAACAACAACATCATTCCTTCCTCAACTGGGGCCGCCAAGGCCGTCGGAAAGGTTATTCCTTCGCTTAACGGCAAACTGACGTGCGTCTTTACCTCATTCTAATCCAGTCTTAATCGTTTATAGCGGCCTGTCTTTCCGTGTACCCACCCTCGATGTCTCGGTTGTCGACCTTGTTGTTCGCCTCGAGAAGAGCGCAACCTACAAGGAAATCACACAGGCTGTCAAGGATGCTGCTGAGGGTGAATATAAGGGCATTGTCGAATACACCGACGACGCCCTTGTCTCCACCGACTTCATCGGTCACACCGCTTCGTCCATTTTCGATGCTTCGGCTGGCATCCAGCTCAACGAGAACTTCGTCAAGCTCATTGCGTGGTACGACAACGAGTGGGGCTACTCCCGCCGCGTCTGTGACCTCCTGGTCTTCGCCGCTGAGAAGGACGGCATGCTCTGAGCGGTCGGAATCATAAAAAGTAGAAGGCAGTTCTTGTTCTTGTTGTATTCCTACGATGCTTTGCTCCGAGCGATGAATAGACTCTTTGTTGTTACTTTGAAGCCAAGAAAGTAAGTAACTATGTTTAGGGTAAAGTAGTAGTGGCATGGGTCGTCAATGTTGGTATATGGTACAGATGCGGGCATGAGATGAGATGGGTTTGCTGATGAGCATCAAGAGCGTTATGTACAGAGGGTCGATATTAGTTAGTAATGTTCAGCACGAACTGGCGTGGCCAACAACCAAAAAAGAAAGAGTGAGAGAGCGTCCAAACTGGAAACACTAATTAGATAGCTATCAACAGACAGTAACAACTCACCAAATGGCAACACACGTCGGAAAGACGGAAAAGCAGAATAAACAAAACAGCTAGCTGTCGTGCCTTGACTACCGGAGCGCCCTCAGTTTTTGAATGACATCCGCCATATCGCGTTGATTCCACTCGCCGCTCCACCCCTGGTCACGTCTCCTCGACACAACCGGCGACAAATACTCGTTTGAGTTGGCAGAGTCCAGATCATAGAACGGTGTTGTCGGTCGAGCTGGCGCTCGGTCTTCGAATGGCGTAGTGGGGCGAATATAGTCGATGAACGGAGTCTGCGGCCGCGACTGGTAGTCAGAAAACGGTGTTTCCGCCCGGGCGAAGGGCGTTGTTGGCCTACGGGTGGTGCTAGGAGAGACAATCTCCGAAGGAGAATGACCGTGAGAAGGCATTGGCACAATCTTCGGGGTCGGTTGGAGGACTTCGGAAGAAGAATAGTGGTGCAACCGCCGGGAATTCCTGGGAGTGGGGAACTCGACAATAGGTGTGTCCACGGTTTCGTCTTCTTCATCACAATCCAAATCGACAGGCGAGCGCCGAATATCAATAACAAGGTCCTCTAGAGCACCGTCATCGAACTCTAATGTGGGGACTGGAGAAGCAGAGGGTGGTGGCCAGTCACCAGAAAACTGCCGCTCGGCCTGAATATTACGCGGAAATGCAAACACAATGGGAGATGTGAGCGTGTTGCGGACGGCATTACGAGTGAGCGTAGGCGAACTATCTCCAGTCGATGAGCCAGAAGAAGACACGGACAGCGTTGACTGCGCCTGTGACTCTTGTGACGATCCTCTAGAATGTGCATTGTTACTTCCGCCGCGAAGCTTCGAAGCAAATGAGGCTAGCGACAAGCTAGCGCGACGTGCGATTTTGGCGGGATGGCGCGCACGTGCGGAAGAGGGCCGCTCAGTCAAAATTTCGCGCGGAAGTTGGCCGGGAAGCGGGCTCTCTGTCGATCGTCGCGGTGGAGGCTCGGGGAAAACGCGTAACAGGGGATTGTTGCTATGTTTTGGTTGGAAAACAAGGTCCAGCGGCACATTTTCTCCGAGAACGCGCGCTGCCTTGCTGAGCTGGCGTCTTTTCCGCAGTTCTGTCTCTAGTTCGTCTATGGGAGTATCGGGGGGAGACGAGGCCAGGTCGGTTGAGTTGGAACGATGTGACATGGTTTCGAGTGGTGAAGTCGATCGTGTTGGTGGCCAGTCGGTCGTTATGGCCAATGCTGGGGGCGAAGGGAGTGGTCGTATTGGAGATGCAGGGAGAAGAACAGAGGGTGTGGAAGACGATGCATGAGAATAAAGCGAATTTCCGTCTTCAGAAGGCCGCAGGCCCTCGCGGTTAATCGGTGGTGAAGGGCTTGGTCGTAAGTTTAGTGGATCGGGTTGCGTGTGGTGGCGTTTGAAGGTAGGCGGTCTCTTTGGATAGGAATGGACGAGCATCGTTACAGAAGTGAAGTGAAGGAGGCGGAAGAAGAGGAACAAGTCAGTGGCTGGGCAATTAACGCCTTATGGGTAATTTTCTCGCCAGACACATGGGGATGTTCAAACGACAGTCGTGTCGGCAGCAACCCCGTCTTTCAATCGGGCCGGCTTTTGTGAGACAATTTTCAGCTCGTAGTCATCTCGACTGTCTGACTTCCTACCTCTCTACAGTCGCAGCTCTTCGCAGCTGCGTTGGCACAACCACAGGGAAAAAACACACAAAGAGAACAAGAGAGAGGGCTATTTTTTTGATCGTAGATCTCACGGAGATCTTCCTCAGTGACATTGACACCAACGGCCATATGCACCAGTCATCCAAGAAGTACTTGTTCAGGCCTGAAAAGCGTCCCAATTAAGGGTCGTCACCCCCACCTAACAAGCCCAACTTCACAGCCTGGCTTCACCTGAATTTCGGCCTTGACTCTGCGGTTTCTTGTCAACGTTGGTCTTGTTCATTAGCTCCAAAAAATCATCAATCCGCTCATGTCAAGACAGTCAAGTCTCGGTCAAGTCATGCAAGTTATACGCCGCGATTCCAGCAATTCGGACTTGGTGAATGTCATCGAATCACTTAATCTACCCATGTCCAACGACTTCGAGATCAGACGGGCAGACCCCGACGTAATGCCTCGTGTTTCTTCATCGACAAAACGGACCAAGAAACAAGGCACAACAAGTGCAAGTAACGGCTGGAGCGCTCGACGAAAGGTTCGCGGGTCTGGCAGGCAATCTATTCAATCCTCGCATCCGTCCTGGATTGCACTGACCTCGTTCGGCCGTTGCTCCGCCGCTGCCGCGTTTTGACTTGACTTGGTCACAGAAGACAAGACCCGTTTACTCTCGCCTCATGTTGTGCACAGTTTCTTTCGTCCCTCGTTCATATTCACAACATCAGTCTTCGTGGGCGTCCAGCGCTGATGCGTGATGTTTGAGCGCGTCGTCAAGCGGTCCCGAGCGTGGGAACATGCCGATGAAAGCCATGTATGTCCCGTTCGACGGCAAGGGGCCACTGAAATCACGATGTAGCGTTGGACACACGCCGAGTAAGATAACAGTTCTGATAATGTCCGATTAGTGTGGTATGCATTCATGTTACAGATAAGTTAGAAGGAGAAAAGCAAGTGTTCAGCTAGTCCGAGAAGAGGGGCGCGACCGCAAGCCGTATTGCAATCCGCGCACAAGAGGAGGGAAATCGCTATCGCTAGAAGATTTGGGAGCGACTTGTGATTTGCTCGGAGGTTTGGCCCGCACTCGCACCGGAGAAGACTTGATCTTCGAAGATGATGACGTTTTACACGAACGCGTTGGCGACTTCGAGGGTGAAGGTATTGATGGGCGAGGAGGACAAGGAATGACCACTTCGGGGACATACTTTATCATAGTCGCAGGTGGTACTTTCAACAGCAACTTTATCGGTGTCGTAGGTGGATCAGTTGTTTTCCGACGCTTCGGACTGCAATGGGATTTGGAAGGTGACGTGGTCTTGCGTTTCTTGGGTGTCTGGCACACCGCCAACTCCTCAGATTGCTCTTCTTTCCGTCGTTTTCTCTCTACCGCAGCTTCTTTTGCTTTGGTCTCCTTGTCAATCCCTGCCTGTAGGATCTCAGCGAAGACTTGGGCGTCCCCTTGTATCCATGCATCGAAGACACCTTCCCACTCGCGCGTGGGAACCGGGAAGTCAAGGTTTAGATAAAGGGCTTTGAGTGGTTGATCTTCTTCGCCAGCCTGAGGAGTCGGGCTAGGGCTGTTGGACCCTCCAACATTGTCTTTCCCTCTGGATCGAACAGCTTTAGCAAATTCGCGGACCATTCTCTTTGTGCCAGGCACACGCAAACTTGTGCCCACAACAAGCAGTAAATCAGCTCCGCTTCGGCCTTTGCCTTTGGAAAGACCCATCAAGTCGCGTTGAACAACAAAACCAACTCCCTCGCCGTCTTTGTGTTCTTCGTTGTACAAGACCACTGACGGCCGAAGACGGCCAATTCCACGAGAGCGCTTTCCCACAAGTTGACGCGTCTCGTCCATGGATATGCATTCCGGACAAGCGGGGGGAGTCCCGATAGCAAAAGCAGGAAGATGATCAGCCAGCGCGAAGGAGTGATTGCAAATCTGGCAGTGCACAGTTTGTAGGGTGCCATGAAGGGGGATACAACGAGGCGTTGTCTCTCCAGAAGGGGTCGGAAGACGACTAGAGGACGCAACATTGTCAGGAAAGGCCAGTTCTGTGTCGGGAGCTGGCTTTGGGGTCCGAGATTTCTGTCTCTTCTCTTGAAAGGGGGGAATTCCGAAAGTCAAACCCGACTTTTCCTCGATGGCGTCGATGTTCTGTGTATATACGCGGAGTAGGCGGCCCCGAGTTTCCAGTGCGTGCAATAGCTTGTGGAATTGTGTTGGGCTGGCAGCAGTTGAGAGCTCGGAAAGACGGGCAATCATTTGGTAGAACAGAGAGGTCGTGTTTTCAGACTAAAACCAGTCAGTACACGCGAATCGTCGGGGAAAATAATAGACACACTTGAAAAACCGATGCATCAAAGAGATCTTTGCCTGAGGAAAGCACTTCCTTGGGATTCTCTCTCTTCAAAGTCTGAAATAGCCCCTCGGGAGATCTAAAGTCGGGTATGCCGGCCTGAACGGAGATCCCAGCGCCTAATAAAAGAATGGTTTCATGGAGAGAAACCGGTCGTGTGGTTGCCACGCACCACAAACCACTACGATTCTCCTTGCCTTCAAGATAGCTTTTGTAATCCGTTCGAGGTGGACTGTGGGCGTCGGCGATGTCTTAAGGAACGCCGGCGACGATGGCGGCTGAGTTCCCGAGCCAGAGCTGGCTAATGGGACAAAAAGGGTCATCGAAGTGAGAGGAGGAAGCAAGTCGAACACATTGTTGTCGCTGTCGCCCTGTTCGGATGTGACAAAGTGTGACCTCCGTGTCGACGCAGAATGCCAAATGGTCAGTTTATATTTTCCCGAGGAGCGTAAGGTGGAAGTAGATAAATAACTAGGTCGTTTCCTGTTTATTTTCAAGCGCCATAAGATACGAGTTCTTGTTCGTAGCTGCTTCGTAGGATACGTTTGTTTTATGTTCATCAAAACTGCATAGGTAAGGTTCCTGCTTGACCTCCATAACCCTCCACAGCTTCGATTTACTCGGGAATTTGGAGGACAACAGTCGGTGGTCGTATCTGAAATATTCGATAAGCAGCCAGAGCGAGCTGTTCAAGCAAGCCATTGGATGCGTCGAAAGCGTTCTGGCATAAATTCATTTCTCTTTGCGCTGGGGTCATTTCCACCCGCCCTTCAAATCTGTTGTCTTGAGCAGATAGGATACCATCGTCATACGCAGCGCTGGAGCAGACGCAGACTTGAAGGTGATGAATTGGGATGACGAACGCAAAGATGTAAAATATCAAGCTCAGGTCATGTCGCAGTCGTTTAGTCGTCCAGTTGTGGGCCTCTCGCAAGTAAGTTTTGAGGTCAGGACCGAGCTATGAGGATTCTAATAGTTCTGTGTTTGACTTGAGAGGGAGGCCGGAAGTGTTGTTGTGGTCTGGGTCAAGAGTGAAGCGTGATCGTCACGCCAACCTTCTCCAGCTTTCTCCCAACCACACACCATGGCGCCACCGACGACTGCGGAGCAGAGCTTTCGCGCAAACCTTTCGCAGTTCAGATGGGCTCGTGGCGTCAATGACGATTCTCAGCAAACCGCCCCGCCAACACCTTCAGGAAATCCATTTTCGCGTTTTTACAATGCTATGGGCGACTACGTCCCCTTGCGCTCCAGCGAACGCTCAAATGAAGAGGAAGCATGGTTTGCACTATCGCGTTGGGAGAGGTAAGCCTCGACTTGGTAGCCCGAAACATCCGCAGCTGAAATACCGTTCAGACTGCTGGGTTTCGGCGGCTGCTTGGTCGGCGCAGCAGTGTGTTTCTTTGTCGCCTTCCTTACGCTTCCCTTCCTTTTCCTTCCTGGCCGGTATGTCTTATCCCAGAGAACCCAATTCGGACTCAACGGGATGCATTTTCAGCCCGAGGAAGTTTGCCCTCGCATTCAGGTTGGTGGACTCGATATTTTCGCCCACAAATGCTTACTGGAGATTCCAGCTTAGGGAGCATGCTTGTGATGTTTGGGTGCGTTGAACACGATCTAGGCTCACTGTTAGTTCATTCCTGCCATAGCTTTTCAGTGCTTATCGGGCCTATAAACCATGTGAAGCACCTAATAACTGCCGAACGGCTGCCCTTCACGCTTGTTTATTTTTCGAGTCTTGGGTTAACCATATACTTTGCAGTGGGCGTACGTCATCGTGAACTTGTTCCTTTCGCAACGACCTGACCCTTTCGTTTCCAGCTCCACTCATACCTGGGATCGCTGGTCTGCTCTGTCATTCAGATTCTCGCGTTGGTCTCATACGTCCTTGCTTACTTTCCCGGTGGGACAGCGACACTCCGACTTGCAGGTAGCACAGCGTTCCGCAGTGCCAGCAGGCTTCTTCCTCGGTAACCAGCTCCGTTCAATATACCTTGTACACTTACTCGAAAACCAAACCATGTCATTGCGAGCACAAAATATAAGAAACGACTACTCATAGATGTCATCCATCACCCCTGCGCTATCACGGAGCCTTCGGCTCATAATCTCCATATAAGCAGCACTTGCTCGCAACGATTCACCCCCAAGGTCCAGTCCCGCTAATCGTAGCAAAACTGGCCCCAACCGTTTCCCAACTTCAGTGCGGAAGGCGACTGGTTCAGGAGGCGACAAAAAGCGCAGCGCGTACGTGGTCGATGCTTTCAGGTTTGCGCCATTGCTTGTTGTTGGGAGTGGGTGATGGCCTTCCGCATAATAAACAACGTGTCTCCAGAGAAGAAGGAGAATCATCTCGGCAGTGCCTAAATTTTTGTGAGCAACAAGCAAGAACTTCAAATTGGCCATGTCTTACCCACTAATGTTCGCGCCTCAGCCTCCGCTGTGCGTCCTTCACGAGCGAGCTCACGACAGACAAGTGCTCGTTTTTGGGGTATATCCAGACTCCGGAGGAAGGCAGGGTCCGCGTCTGGGAGCATCTGAAAAAGAATATAAGAGAAGTAAAAGCGGGTAAAACAATGCACACATCGCCAATGTTCTCTACACCAACGTGCTCTTTTGAGGCGAGTTCCGCCGAAATGTCTGCAATTTGTTGCAGGGTATTTGAGAGGTCGCCACAGAGAGCGTTTAAAGCATCAATGGCGTCCCCCACGGTGGGAATAGTTGCTGCTTCGGGGTAAGTCAATGCCTAACAACCCAGATAACTCTTTACCCAAAAAATGCGGGCCTCGTTCTTCTTGCCTCGGCGCAGCTGCGATGGGTGATAATAAGGGCGTGATTTCTGGTTCTGCAAAAGAGATGGTGAAAACGGGGTTGTGTACAAGTTGGTCAAGGTCATACCTGTAAACTCGCTCGCAGCACCAAGGTACTCGACGATGCATTTTCGCATTAGACGCTCCTTCCGCCGTTTCTCAATATCGAATTTTGTATCTGAACCATGCCCTTCATCACTGTCAACGACCGCAACAGACAAGATAAAAGCACAGCAAACCTATTGCGAGAACACTGGCGCTGAGCATCTCTCCATCTGTTTGTGGAACAATTTCTGCCAGCCAACGACTGGCACCGAGACATTTCGTAGCAAGCACGAGAACTGCGCTGTGGATAGCTCCAAAGCCAGAATGGGCTGAAGACTAGATGGGGCAACTCGTGATTGGGTCCTGTGAGCTTGAAAGTAGACATACCAGCTCTGCTTTCGGCACATGGGGGAGCACAGCGACACAAAGCGACACCACAAGATGCATCTCTTCAACGAACGCAAGAGGAACTTGATCAATTTCGTTTTTAAGCATGATGACGATGGTGGAGCTGTGGCTTGAGAGAAATTCGAGCGCCTGTAAGATAAATGAGTATTGTTCAAAAGGATGGGAGAAAAAGTACCTGATTAGAAGCTGTTGCATGTTTTGTCCCTAACGTCGCCAGCATACAATCAACCAACTGAAGGGCTGGCATGAGCAACTGATGATACCGCTGGATTGCAGAGGGGAGAAAACTATCTCTGTCTGAATGCATATTAGATAACACTGGAAGTTTGCTATGATTGCGGTCACTCACCCATAAAAGACTGATCCGCCTCTGGTCGAGCATCCAGATAGTCGCATTGCGATAGAACGGGGATGAGCTGTGCTTCTAGTAGTTTTTCGGCACCAGGTCTTGTTTGGGCCATCCGCACAAAGAGAGACATCTTGGCCTCGTAGACATACAAGGGGTTCAGATCGTCTGGAGTTACATTAGCTAAGATCACAGGTAAACTGACGCTGGCCTACCGGGATCAGGCTTCAAAACGGACTGCAGACGCAGATCAGACTCTTTGATGCCTCGAACGAAGTTGGTTAGTATTCCCTGTCGAACCAAGGTCGACAAAGCGACATGTTGTTTGTCCTGGCCCGATAACTGGACCAGCGAGTCTAGAAGCATAAATGCGACCGTCTTCCAAACCTCCGACCCGTCAATAGCATCCCGTGAAATAGTGGCGACGAGTCGTTCTATAGCTGGTTTCATCAGCGACAAGCTACCCAATTCGAGGGACAGATGAGTGCGAGCCGTTGACGATTCGAGAGAAAGTTCATCGCGACTGGTGGAAGTACTGAGTGACATAGACATTGACGCTTTCAAGTCTTGCGAGGGGGCTACTTTTTCAGTTGGAGTGATGAGATGGACGTAGTTGATGACAGCAGCATATAGGTTACCGCGAACGAGCTCTATGCGGTTGTTATCGACAATACACTCTAGGATTGAGCGCAAGATTCCAAATAGCCTTTCTGCAGGAAGGGAGCCAGCATCGGCATCCCCATTCGCTGACTGGACCAAAATTTGATGGCGTCTATCCTCCCGTAATTTGGTGACAGCAGATACGACTGCCTCTGCTAACAGGATCGCCGTCGATTCCTGCAGATCGTCCGAGCGTAGAATGGCGGGAATAACATGCAGTAGATCGAATAGCATGTTTTCCCGATACTCGTGTGGTAGACGACCAAAACATTTTGCGAGTGTGATGTCCAGTAGTCGCTTCCAAGACTCATAGCCAGCAGACTTGGCATATGCAACCTCTCGTCGATGGTTTTCGACTGCACAACTCTCCAAAATGTAAGCCACTTCCGCATCGAGCTGCTCAGAGTTGGCAGGAGTGACAATGCTGCCTTGTGCATTCAACGTTCGACGAGCAGAGGTCAGCAGTGATATAAGAGCTGTTCTGTCGATAATTTCACATCCATTCGAGTCTCTCCGGACACAGGAGTGTAGATTTAGCTGGCCAAGGAAACGGAGCTCGAGGGGTTCCACATTCAGACTGTCAGACCAGTCAAACGCAAGCGATTGCGCAAACTCGATGATTCGCAGATGAGACTGTCCAACCTCCCTAAAGCCATCGCTCGTCCAAGACCTCGAAACACCTTCATTGCTGAATAGGATATCCAACAACTCAACAACACCCTTGAGATGCCCCTTGCTAGTGAGGACATGCAAGTCAAGAGCAGCGAGGTCAAATATCCAAGAACGCAGTCGCAGGAAAGAGCTCAGAGCAGACACTGTTGTCTGCACACGGGCGCCATCGACATGGGCAACATGAATCCCAGCATCAGTGATCGTTGATGGCACTTGTGATGGAATTGCTGCCAGTTGTCGTGCGAAGAAGTCTTCCCTTGTGCGAAGGTAACGCATAGTGAATTCTGTGGTCCGTGGGTGGGTGCATAGTTGATAGATAATGCGATAGAGTAGCTCGGCCAAACCAGGAAGCATGATAAACAAGGGGTCCATTTCCATGACTGATTCGACATCGAAACGAGGAACGCCCAAATTGGCCAATTCGAAGATGACATGAACACAAGAGCGACGCGCACCCAGTGCCTGGGGATCTTGGATTCCTTGGTCTGCTTTCAAGTTTCCGAATAGGAAAAAGTAGGCAATGTTCGGATACGGCTTGTTTGCCTCCGTGTTCCGAATGAAGAATTGGAGAACCGCAAGTCGTACAGCTTGCTGCAAAGCGGGGAAGTTGGGGTTGAGCGAGGTATCGGGGGCTCCAGCACCTGTCGATTGCTCAGCTGTTGTTTCTGAACTGGTGACATCCTCGATAGACTCAGTCTCCAGAATGCGAGCAAAACCTAGGTGCGATGAATAATTCTGTGTTGTATATTTTTCGAGTCATTTACCTGCCATTATTCGATCGCACTCGTCGCTACGCTGAATCAAGCCATGCAGACTCGAAAACGCGCTTGAAGACGACAGAATAGAAAGGATCTTGACCGAGAGAAGGACTAGTTCAGGATGGCCCTCGAAGACAACGTAGACCGCGATCGATGGGACCAGTTGAGCATTATATGAGAGTGCTTGGTCAAATTTCGTGAACGAGGACCGCGACTGGATCTTCCCGATGATAGGAACCGTGTCCATCTCCTGCAATAAGGGCAGTAACACGTCAAGAAAAATATCTTGGATTTCCAGAACTCGAAGAATAATGCGCAAGACCCGGATGATCGTCGCACCGAAGTAAACTTCTTCTTCTGCAAGCCCCTTCTCAAAGCCAGTCACGCCCTCCATGATATACGTCAGCAAACTGGATTGAAGTGGCGAGTTGGTGAGTAAACGAGTCAAGATATCGAATCCAGGATGAACAAGCAGGCTGAGAATAGCATCCCCTTTGAGTTGCGAGTCGCTGGTTGCACGGATGAGAGACTCCAGTTCGAAGCTCGCCAGGGCACGCTCGATGAAGCAAAGACAAAGGTCATTTGTTTGCCATCGATCAGAAGGATGGATGTATTCGCGGTTTGGAATATTGGCAAAGACGTTGTCCACGACAAAGCTTACGAACGGAGCAATGCCAGGTAGGCGATACGGCTGTCCGAGCGACTCTGGAATAGTGTTGATCGGGGCAGAGTCGAGAAGTTGTTCTCTGAGCGGTATGCGCTTGGACGTGTGGAGGAGTGTGGCGAGGAGGCGCAAGAAGGGAAGTGTGGACGGGTACATTCGATGCAATGCTTCTATTTCATCAAGCTCGAGTTCGACGCCCTTAACAGGCGGGAGGTTAACGGACGAGGAGCGGACATTGATGACTTCGTAGCGCTCCATGAGAATCCATATCGACTTGCATATTTCGAGCCCAGGGACGCCAGCTCCCGGTGCCGCAAAGGCAGCTAGCGTGTTGAAAAGAGCACCTTTGATCTCAAGAGGGATACCAAGAGGTATAAGCGCAACGAGAGTTGGGATGGCGCGGAAGTGAGCATGACCAGCGATGGCTTTCCGCACAGCGACGGAGTGGGTGGCCACAGTTGACAGAAGCCGAAGGAACGCCTGAGCAAGAAAAACATCCTTGGGGCCCAATGAAGGGACCTGTGGCTGAGGTGGGGGAGGCGGATTGTTGTGAGAATTGAATGCGGACATGCCAAAACTGTGGTTGTGGCCAAACGGTTGAGACGCCGGCGCGGCACGTGATGCACCGTTGTTATTGGAAGTCCATGAGTCCAACAAACTGAACACAACGCTCCAGGACACAGATGGTCCTCCCGAAGACAGAGGTAGCGAGCTGCCAGGGACAACCTCCCCGCCACCACGAGCCATGAAATTATGGGCCAGCTCACTGCATTGCTGACCGTTGGCAAGACCAGTCAACATATCATACAGAGACGCAGCTATGGGGCTATCCATCCCTTGTGTTGACCAAACCGCCCATTGAAGGAAGACGGGCAGCCGGCCCATCGCGCTCTCCGTGTACTCCATATATGTGTGGGAGTGTCCGATGGGAGTTGAGCCCCAGAATTGCAAAAGCTCGTTCGGCGGGAAGTACAGAGTATAGCAGGCCGATGAACGAATAAAGCATGGCGATATCACTCCGAGGGGTTGTCGAAGTTTCAGGCGCATGAGAGGCGAAGCGAGTTGGTCCGGCTCTTGCACGATCCGTCCGGGCACCGGCCAGTACTAGATCCTCTTGTCGTTGTTTTATCTTTCTCAGCTCCGATGAAGCATGCGTGATGAGCGAGCGAATGAGAGCCTCAAACGCAGTTAAAACGTCAAAAACGAAGTCTTCGGAGGGCAACTCTCGCTGCTCTTGTTGCTCTGCGGAGAACTTGAGTTGCTCGATCAGTGAAGGGACAGGTGTGCCATGTCGTTTAACCATTTGAGCGACGAGCTGGGCAAGATATATGAATGCGTCGCCTTGGATAGCATTCCAAATCTGAGTCTCCAATTCCTCAGTTTTGAATCCACTACGGTGCTCCAATTGCGGATTTCGATGACGGGCCTCAGTCAGGAAAAGAGTCCACTTGAGTAAAATTATTGCCTTCAGGCCAGGTTCTTTCCAGTCAGTCGAAATGGCTAATTTTTTCGTCATATAGGTCATCATATCGCTCTGGGTGAGTTCCGAACGAAGCACATCTGCTGCCGTCCCCGGCGCCACAGAATCGAAGATAGAGAGGATGGAGGTGAGAAGGTAGAATGTCAAAGCCTGGTTAGGCGTTGAACATAGCCAATCCACAATAATCTTGATTTCGTTAGGTCCCAAGTAGCCGAGGCGCGCAATGGTGGAGACACAGGCGGCAAGTGTGCGGCGCTCGTACTTGAATGACTCGAATCGACTGTTGAGACATTCAAAGCCCAGTGCAGGTGGTGTGGTTGTGGCTGGTGAGAGTTGAGCAACGTGACATAGAGAAATATAGAGAGTACCTTGCGCTGATGGTGCAACTGTAACTGTCCGTGCGCCCTTCCTGGCCGTGTCTGCCTTTCCCATCAGGTTTCCGAGGTTTTGAAGCTCTCTGACCAGACGCTGCGACAGAGAGGTTTGGGTTGTGGTTCGGTGGGTGGGGAAGAGATCTTGCTTGACAAAGTCCCATATCTTGGTGAAGATGGAAGGTGCAGCGGATGCTTCGGCAGCTTCTGCGATTTGGAGAAGGTAAACTAAGCATTGTGCGAGTTCTCGTCGTCGAAGATGAAACAAAGACACTGTAGCCTCCAAGGAGTCGATGGGTTGGATGTTTGGAGTTTCAGTTGTGATGGCATGCAATAGACTGGCAATGTAACGTTCGGAAACCTCTAGTTGTTGGGAGAGGAATACGACCTGACGCGTAAAGTCGGCATTTACCGCGACGGTCCGGCCGCTGAGTGTGATTTTACCTGAAAAGGTTCACACTTGAGACCGAGTAAATATTTAACACGCACCCGATTCGAGGTCTCGTTGCTCTTGTGGACTCCGTCCACCAACTTCGAACAAGTTGAGAAAAGATGGTTTGTGAATCATGAGCTCATCGAAGAGCTCTTGCTCTGCATTGTGGATGCCACGCGTAACGTTGAAGAGTAAAGAGCGAAGACGGCTTATGGATTCCATGAAGACGCGTAAAACCTGGCGCGTGTGGCAGCACCGTTGGGAACAAACACTCCTGTGACCACCTGGACAGCCACCAGTCACATTCCTCGTCAACATTTCTTGCAATGGATCGCGAACGCTCTTTCTATTATCTGCATCCTTTTTGCCGAGACCGCTGACTCCCGTGTACTGGAGGGAGGCAATGTTGCCTGGCTAGCTTGACTGACTGTTCAACATTTATCGAACCATATGCAGCTTATCAACCATGGTTCTTGGGCTTCTCACACCCTTTTCTGTAGTTTGCATTCAAGACATACTTGTCTTCAAATGGCGCATCGCCCGAATTCGTCTCCGTGGTTTTTTTCAACAGTTTCATGACGGAGGCGGGCTGAATCCGGCCTCCGCTCTGACTGCGACGATTGATGCTTGTCGAGGGAATTCCGGATTACATCGCATCACCGTCTAAAACAGCGCCTTCAATCAAATCTTAGTTCTCTGCTAAGCGCCTGCCTGGTCTTCCTCTCCTTCCACCACCACACATTCTTTTTACGCTTCTCTGCATGCTGGTCGACTAATGTCTCTGGTCATTGTCGACGACCAGTCCAGTTTGCTACATTATAGTGGAGGATCTTGGGAAGCAGGTGGAACATCGAGGAACTACGATCATACTGCTTCAGGCTCACGGGTCGCAGGAGCCAGCTATGTCTTCCGGTTTAACGGTGCGTCACTCTATATCCCGCATTTTCTATGGTTTCTTAGCTTCTAGGCACGTCTACGAGCCTTCATGGAGGCTATGACGCTGGAACATCATGTTCTGGGCTCTTCACTATCGACGCTAATGCCACCACTTTCACTTCACCGAATTTAACGACGGTCTTGAATCAGCAAGTCCTCTGGTCCTCAGGCACTCTAGCAGACACAGAGCACATCTTAAATTACACCGTAACATCATGTGCCCCCTCCTCAACAGGGCATGTGTGGTTCGACTACCTGTTGTACTCTCCCTCAATCAACGCTTCCACGGACGACCTTCTTTTTTTTATCGACGACACCGATCCGCGACTTACATACACAGGCAACTGGACGGCCCAAACGGGTAACGACGGAGATTTTCAATTGACGAGCCATGGCGGATCACAAGGTGCCTCGTTTCGGTTCGAATTTGAAGGTGCATATACTGGATAGGTTCGACTGTCGCGTTGAATTGATTGCAGGTACTCTGGTCTCGCTACATGGACGAATTGGGGATGACACCAATGGTGCCAACACCAAGGCGTCCTTCTCAATCGACGGCGCTCCGTCGGTGACCTTTTCCTCCCCTTCCCAAGGCAGTATCACATTCAATCAAGCACTGTTCCAATCGGATACGCTCTCGCCTGGCAAACACACCCTTGTTGCAACCTCCCAGTATGCATATTTCTACTCTGTGTGGAGTCCTCAGCTGAAACGCAAAATTTTAGATCGGGCTCATTATGGGTTGATTATCTTCTCCTCCAACCAAACCCTTCCACCCAAAATCTCACCCCCGTATCGCACTCGTCCCTCACCATTGGAGAGATCATAGGCATGGCTATCGGGGCAGTAGTGCTTGCCCTTATCATTGCTCTGGCTGTCCTTTTCCGTCGACGGCTGTTTCAGCGGTCTCCATCGCGAAAGCCTTCCAGGAACCACAAATCGCGTCTTGTCATTGGGGCACCCGACGTGTCGACGTTTACCCATGTCAGTCACACTCCCTGGGTGCCTTCCAGGAGCTTCTACCCAGCGACAAATTCTTCAGCCAGTGTTCTCACCCACAGCACATCCAATCCTTTTGATACGCCGCCCACTTCCCCGCATGCCAAATCCTTCGTCACAGCCTCCTCTTCCTCTTTAAGTGGACCTCCAGTAACTGCCTTGGATACTTTTTCCTTGGGCCAAGCCGCGCCGCCTCCTTCAAACACAACCCCACGGACGTCAACGATCACCGCGACATCAGCAAGTGGCAGTGGTGGAAATGTGCCTTTCTCTGTCTCCGCCACGGGCCATCGCCGACATCCCAGTCTCAGTGGGGATGGTGACTCTGTCGCGGAATTGAAGAGACGACAGCAGGCCCATCTTGCGGCGCAGTCTCTTGCGGTACCCTCGTATGACGAATTGGAACATGCTGAGACTGCCAGCATTGGTGCTGTGTCGCACTCTTCCCTCCGCCCTTTGCCACGTATACCCCCGGCCGGCCCTTCCGGCCAAGCATCGAGCTCGAACTATGATTACGACGATTTACCGCCCGTTTATACAGTCCAGTAATTTGTAGTCATTGTTAATTGTTTGTACGTGTATATTCTGGTTTGAAGACAAACTCGACCCAGCCAAGCGAAGATTTGTAAAAATCAATTTGTGCAAATGCATTTATTCGTTGGTTTGAGGATACACGATAATTGATTCAAGATGTTCAAGGGTCGCCTATGATTCAATATGGAGCATACCGATTATCGTTCAGGAAATCGCTGCGCACCCGACCAACTTCGCTTAGTTCTTCGTCTCCCTCACCAGTGAAGGCTTGGAAGCCACCGTCCATGTCGACGAAAGCATCGTCCTCCCCGTCGTCCGACATGTTCGGATCAGGGTGCAGGGCAGCACATCGTGAAAGAGCGTCAAATATCGACTCAACTACCCAAGTTATTAGAAACACGTAACAAGTTGCCTGCACAAACTCACGAGAATCAGCTGTTTGCGGCAGAATATTCAGTTCGCGCATGTTATCAGCGTCATTGTCGGACGGGTCGTCGAGCTGGCAGTATATTGACGGCCCTGCATCACCTCTTGAGACAGCATGGAGCGTGATCGTGGGGTATTCAATCTGGAATCCGCACCCAGTGGTCGACATGAACACAAGCACGCTGAGCCGGTTGAGATAACACCAGAAAGGCGGCAACAAAAAGACCTTTCGATCACGTAGAGCGTGCCATGACTAGCATCCTCCGTCGAAAATCCTTCTAAAGGCGGGTCAAGAGTCACTCGGACATTTTCTTCCTGGTGACAGAGAACTGGGGGGATGTCGTTGAAAGATGCTGGTGTTTGAGCAACAATGGCGGTATGTTCTTCGCGAGAGATGAAAGATGGGACAGCACTAATCAGGGTGCAAGAAGGCATTGCTTGGTCATCCTGGTTGATCTGAAAAATTGTCTGTAGGTACAGCAGCCCTTGGATCTGTGCCATTTCTCTCTTCGTCACGACTTATGAGGCTGCAAAAAAAAATAATGAAGGCGCTTATCAAGTATTTGACTCTACAGAAAAATTAGGACTTGTAGTCGTAGTTCAAGGCTCATGTTCGCCCACGACGTCAGCGCCAGGAAGCAGCCAGCGAAACGTCACACTGATGCGCAACCCTCGAGGCACTGACACAACCGATGCATTCTCTCCATTCACCACATCCTCGAAACGTCGCTCGATTCCATGCGCCCATTTATACCGCGCTTCACCGGAGAGCACAATAACACTGCGTTCCGGGAGGAACACATCCGCGGTCTGCTCTTCACCCATTGTACTACTAGTACGCGTGAAGTGCATGACACATGCACTCCCGAGGCTTACGCCCACAATTCCGTCCGCGTAGCGGCCCAGCAGGTCGACATGGGACGATATTCCCTCTCCCGGATTGTACAAATTGACAATCGCTTGCCGCGCCATTGTGGGCGCCGCTGGAAACAGAAGCTCGTGGACCCCGTGTGGCAGAGCAGGTCGAAGAAAGGGGGACAGTGCGGAAAGTAGGTCCAATAGTGGCGCAGGAATCATCTCCTCGCCAAAAAGCATGACCTGATTGACACCAGGCCGCTTGAAGTATCGCTCAGAACAGAAAGTGAATACGCGGTCCGCAAGCTCGATCGGCAGGAGCAGCGAGGGCGAGAAAAACAGGCCGGGGATGGGCGGGGCGGTCAGGGAGGCGGGGGAAATGAGCGGCTCGTCGAATAGAGAGTCGGGAGAGGCTGGCACGGAATCTTCGTCTGCTGACATGGACGTGGAAGACGACAACATGTGACCGTGTAAGTAACACCTTCTCCGGGCCGACCACACCCTCTTGACCCGTGACATGAAGCGGTCGTATATAGGGCGTGCAAGTCTCGCGCTGTGGAAAGCGGCACAATGTCGAAGACGATATTGATTACTGGCGCTGGTGGCTACCTGGGCAGTCTGGTACACACCAACCTTGTCCCACCCGAAAATGACCCATTTCTATCTTCCAGCTTGCAAATGCACTGGCTACCAGCGTATCCGAGGTTCGCCTGATCTTGGCCGACGTCACCCCGCCCGCTGCACCCAGCAATGCGCAAGCCATTGCGATAAAGACGGACCTCACCATACCTAAAGAGGCCCACACCTTATTCCAGACCGAGTTCGGCGTGCCCGACACTATATATTGTCTCCATGGAATCATGTCGCGAGGCTCGGAGGACAACTTCGACTTTGGCTTAAAGGTACTGTGAAGGTCCTCACAAACTCTTTTCAGATCACGAATCCGCTCAGGTCAATGTGGACTCTGTTCGTTTTTTGCTCCAAGCCGCGCGGGAGCATGGCTCTCGGGCTACGGCGCCGATAAAGTTCATTTTTGCGTCGTCCCTCGCGGTCTACGGTGGCTCACTGCCCGAAATAATAACACCTTCGACAATAGCAACACCCCAAGGGGCATACGGCATGAGCAAGCTCGCGTCTGAATTGTTCATAAACGAATTCTCACGACGCGGTTTTATCGACGGTCGCATTCTTCGACTTCCCACAATCGTAGTGCGTGCTGGGGCCCCAGCGGCTGCCACGTCCGCGTTTATGTCAAGCATCATCCGTGAACCTCTGAGAGGCTTGGAGAGTGTGTGCCCTATCGGCAATAGTCTGGACTCCCCCGAACTAGATCTTTCCGTCTGGGTTGCCAGCCCTGAGACGACCATAAAAAACCTAATCATCGCTAAAGACATTCCCGCTGACAGATTTGCCTCGCACAGTCGTGTCGTCTATCTTCCTGGCTTCACTGCAACTATACGCGAAGAACTCGAGGCCCTGGAGACAGTTGGTGGGAAGGAGGCCTTGGATCTGGTCAAGTTCAAGGACGATCCTGTTGATCGACGCCTTGTCTTGTCGTGGCCAGCCCATTTCGACCTCTCGTATCCGCTCAGTCTCGGTTTTATTCAGGATGTAGGGGGTATGCTCCCAATCGTACAAAAGTTGAAGAAGGACATGGAGCACAGCTAGATCATCTCATTGGCAAGAGCTCGTGGCTTGAAAGTACACTTGAATGGCAGTGGCATACTGTTCCTATTGTTGAGCAGCCAAATCGAATTAGATTATAAAAAAAACTTACGCCGCCAGACCGCTCGAATACTCGTATGACGGTTCATCGTCGACTTCTCTACCAAACTCGTCCAGTTTTGTACCCTTGGAAATCTCAAATACTGCGAGGATTCGCGCGATACAGAGGAATAGCATGGAGGTTGCAAGGTGTTGACCTGGACATGTACTAAATCCCACAGTCAGTTGAAATAGGTCAAGTAAGTAGGAACTAGCTCACCGTCTTCCGAAGCCGAAAGCTACATCTGGGTCTGGTCGAGGATTATTCCCAAGAAAGCGTTCAGGGCTAAATTTATCCGGGTCTGGATATATTGCATCGTCGTGGCAAATGGCCCTCAGAAGGGGTTAGTCTAGAGTGGAAAAACTTCACAAGAGTTGCTACCAAATGTTTCCGATGATGGTTGCGCCTTTGGGAATCTTATATCCACGGTACTCATCCTCTTCAGCCACACAATGGGGTATCGCTGAAGATCAAGACCGTTATTAAAGCAATCACACATTTCAAGCATACCTAATGGCGCAACGTTCTTCCACCTGAGCACTTCCTTAACGAGCGCAGAGATATATGGCAAGGAAGCGTCGTCTTGGAGGAGAGGGAGTCGTTCGAGACGGTCCAGTTCTATTTGAGCCAGTTTTTGTGCTTCTGGATTGGCGAGCATCGCTAAAAGAAAGGTTGCAAGCGACGACACTGCGGTATCGACAGCAGCAGTATAGATACTCCCAGCAGCATCCCGCACAGTATTGATCCTCTCATCGCTGTCGTCTGCATTGTCCACACCGAGTTCATCCAAAGAGTTGAGAACAAGACAAGGCTGTAAGGTGTGGTTGGACTGGAGATTTTAGGAGGGTTTAAAAACTCGATCATGGTGGCACGACGTACGAACTGGCTCCACGCTTCTTCAAAAGGAGCTCTGAACGCAAGAACCATGTTTTCCTTCCACTCGCGTGCCAATCGTTTGAAATCTGCGCCGGGAAACCACTCCGGTACGTATTTCAGGATTGGCAGGGTGTCCTAGGAAACCAGGTCGTGATATTTCAACTGGCGATGCGGAATATAACGTACGACCAGAAATCTTCCAGCAATACCAGCAGCTTTAAGACCATCGACTGCGGCCTCATTTGCACCAATGAATGGGTCGCCACTCCCCGCTTTCACCTCGATTCCGTAGACTGTCGACATGATGAACGTTGTGCTCATGCTACAGGTATAATCATTGCAAGTCCAGAGAGGTCGGAAAATCATGAATACCGCTTGAAGTGAGCCATGAACTCGCTTGGTTGTACAAAAAGATCATTGATGAGACTTTCGGTGCACTTCTCGAGTTGTGAACCATAGGACATGAGCGATTGCTTGCTGAAGGCTTGCTGCACAATTTTTCGGCGGGCCAACCTGCGAAATGAAGACGTTTAGTAGCAAAGAGTCGTCAAAACTATGAGTAGACCATTTATTGCCTGGGAGCTATGAACTTCATATCAGTTCGTGAAAAGCACCATACCGTATGGCATTAGACCCATAGCTAATCAGTTGCTCGGGACAAACCGAGAAAGAACACACACCCAAGGATTGTTGGTTCCATCCCATCAGCTCGTTGATCATTGGCAGGCGCGGTCTTGAATAGAGTGATAGAAGAAGAGAAGGGGAATCGCAAATCACCTTTCAGAGTATATTCGCGACCTTTGCTCCATCAAGTCATTTGTCGCTTGCAAGGAATTGAGGACGATGATAGACTTTCCAGCAACTGAAAGATGTAGGATATCAGACTCTGTGCACGACGTTGACGTCAACGTGTAACACAACTATTGAAAAAGACACCTACTGTAGTCCCGGCTCCAATTGGCAAAAGTCTTCCACTGGTGGGTGGAAGGCAAAGCAAACAAGTGTCCGAGTATAGGCACCGCGGGAGGACCGGGAGGTACGTTTGGATATTTCTGGTACTTTCGAAAGAGGAGCAAACAAACAACAATTGCCACGAAGAGAGCTGGTGGTAGCATTGATGGTGGTAGTGGTACGATGCGAAACTAAAAGAAGGTATTAGAAGGCTATATACCCCCCATTTCCGAATCTTATTTTGTGCTAGAGTAATGTCACAAAGTCGCGTTGTATTTTGGAGGTGGTGGTCGAGACTGACCGCGACTTTGGTTGTGACTAAATTGGATGATCTAAATAACTTTTCTTGTTCTCTGCTGCGATGCCTCGGGCAGCGAGCACGCCGACCCGACGAGGCAGCAAACAAGACTCTGGACAGATAAAATTTGCTCGAACTGCCGCGTCAGTCCGAGCTGCCCGATTTGCCGACAGTGAGACAACACCACCCACAACAGACAATGCACCGTGGCGACACGTCGATGAGCTCGAATACTTGACCACAGGTGCGGATTTGAGCTTCTGGAACAACGAATATCAACAACAGCCCCAGGATGGAGCGACATGCAGCTTATAAAATACGTTGCCGCGAGTGCATTCACGATTGGACCACGACCAGATCACAGCGCTGAAGCTTTCTTCCCCGTCTCCCTTCGCGCCTATCCGGACCTTGACGAAATTATGCTCCCGCGACAATACCGCTCGCCGCTGCTCTGGCTTGGACGATATCTATTCACCAGTGTCCGCCTCATTCTTCTCGCCGATCCACAAATTCTCAGTCAAGAATGGGACCGATCCAAATACGAGCTTCTTTACATTGCCCGCCTGTGTCGTACCCTTCTTGAGTCGGCAAGGGTTCATGCAGAGAGTTCGGGGCTCGACAAAACGTGGAGGTGTCCGCCATTCGACAGAGCGTTGCGCAGGTATTGGCACAAATGGCTCATACAGAGGGATGAGTTTGTGCGTGACTTCTGGTATGACTTTGGGGAGGAAGAGTTTGAAGGCCCTGATGTTCTCAAACTGAGTTCGTTCACTATCCTTTTTTTGGAAGAGAAATGATCTCAATTGTCTTTAGATTGGGGCCAATGGATCCTCAAAGGCGAAGCGGGTTTCTTCATAACCAGGGCAGAAGCTGCGGACGGCATCACCGCAGACCAGTTCCTGGACGGTTTGGCCATCGACGAGGCCGCAGACTCTTTTGAGTGGTGTGCTGGTTGTGTACCAGGATCAAGAGTTAGTTTAGATATCGCCTCAGTAAGCCTCATTACTGGTTCATATTGGTGGTTCTTACGTGCTCAGAATTTTTCAACTGCGCCTCCCCCGCCGACATCGCATTCAAACGTAGCCTCCACATCTGCCGCGACACGACTTCCTCTTCCCGGCGAGGTCCGTCGGCAACAGCTCAAAGAGCTCGGTCACGACAATTTAAGAATCAAGACTGAGGTAGCTTATCGCGCATCCTGCTCGTGACAGACACTGAAAATGGTCTTAGGCAATCTCCAACACTGAACCGCTGGCCCAATCCAAAGAACCTCAACCAGCGAACCACACAATATCCGCAAATGCTTACCCCTCACCTCCAACCGATATTGACTCGTCAAGGGAGACAAGCGCTGTTGCTCATGGCACAGTTGTCACAGACGCCATGGACATCGATCCACCTCAAGACCCACCTTCCCTGCCTACAGTCATTCCCATTGTAGCACCCACAGCAAACAGTTTCAGGACCGCCATGGGCAGTCTTGCCCCTGGTCGCTCTTTCAACCGAATACCAATAGTAATCAGTGACGACGAAGTCAACGATAATGTAATCCACGCAAGTCAGCCCGTCTTCAAAAATGAACCTACCGAGCCCTCTATACCTCTACAATCTGCTCACCAACCAATGGATATGATACTTCTTGACGATTACGACGATGAAGGACTGGAACTTGGTTATCCAGACGATGAAGAGCCGCGTGTTGACTTGCAAGTTCCAACCTTTTCGAGTGCAAGTCGAAATTCAAGCGGCTCTCCTCCCCCAATCACAAGCACTACCGCCGCTGGACCTAGTCGCCAGAGCAGTCCCGTGCCAAGCCCCCTGTTTATTCCCAACGCCTTTGACGACATAGAAACGGATAGCCCCGACGACGATGATGTCGAACGATACACTCTTTCAAGAGCACGATTTCAGTTCCCCCCAATTGCCCCTCCAGCAGGCTGGTCGGGCCCACTGGAAGAAGAAGAAGGTTTCCAATCCAACGCTGCAGAACCCAAGCATTGGATCGACGCACACCCTGTAGTGATTCAATTACGAGCTGAGCTGCTTGCATTGAAGACTCGCATAGGCGAACTTGAGGCGGAGCTGTCAGCTTCCCGAGGAGGGCCGCAATAGTCACCACCTTTGAAAAACAAGGCAAAGGACGTGGAATCTACATTACAAGCTGTATTTGGCAGTCTCTTGTACGTTTTGAAAAAGCATTTGTATTGGTAGTGTACCATCATACCTCCTAGTCATGATATCCACTGATTCCAGTTAATCGTATTTCTTGTCACGCCACTCTACCGTACAAGCTTGTCGAGACCACTAGGTACAGTCCAACCATGCGTTGCAGCAGCACGTTTGAATCCTTGGAGTGCTTCGGCAACCGAATAAGGTTGGTTCCAGTTTGGCGCCAGACGAGCGGGGCGCGGGTCCAGGTTGCTAATGGCCAGCTTTATTTGCATCAACACAGCGGGGATACTGTAGCTTGGAAGCCAGCCGTCGGACGTGAGCAGATCCATACAAATCGATCCACCACCAGTCACGTGACCACCACCTCCCTGAATGAAAGGTAGGAACCGCGGAGTAATAATTCGGAAGAATGGGGGTGCAATAGGGAAGTCTGGAGGAAATCGAATCTCAAAGATGAGGGAGTTGATGCGTCTAAAGTATGCCGTTAACAGACGAGAAATCGTAAACGTGGACAAAACGCACTCTTTTTTGAGATCCTTTGCAATGGGAAGTGTCTCGTCGAACGAATGCATCTCGACTATCCATTGGAATAGATTGTCGCCGATAAAATCCTGAGGCATGAACCATCCCAATTCCTTCAGCCCTCCTGAACTTCGCAACGCCGCCTCCTGCTCTTTGATCATCGAATTGAGCTCGCGTTGAACGGCCATTGTGGAAGAAGGTGTCGAGGCCAAAGGAGGTAGCATGAGTAGGTCAACCGCTTGGCGAACGTACTCTGAATCATGTTTCCAGTCATCTTTTGGTGGCCCTTTTGGTGGGGAACTCTTGCTCGGTTTGAGGACGGAGGTGATGTTAGACACGAAACTCTTCCCTTTTCCTTTCCCTTTGGTAGGTGGAGGCAATGGCTCGTCGTCGTCACTAATCTCGATGACGTCCGGTTTCTTTGCTTCTTTCTCTTCAAAGATGTATCGATCAGTTGAGTCATGATCTTCGTCCTCCAATTCGGATGTGCGCTGTTGCACCATCTCGGATATTTGGAAGCCAGGTTGAGGAACCTGGAGCGCTTTACTTTGCAGCGTAATGGGTTGAGTTGGATCGAGCTTGACGAACGGCACTACAGTTCTCTTCCTTGGCTTGGTCGTGGGATCTGGCGGAGGCAATTCAAGACCTTTCACAAGAAGGTAGCGACTGAAGGGTCTTCAGCATCTAATTGCCACAGTATTCGCATACGCACCACATAATCCATTCAGTGTCTTTGATAACGAAATGGGGATTACTGCTCACGAACTTGCTTGGGAGATTGACCACCTCGGCAATCGCCACGCAGCTTGTAGGTCCGAGTTTACTCTTCCGCCAACATGCTCGTGCGCCAGTAGCATAGTGACCCATGGAGGTTTGCGCCTCCTTTGCGAGATAAACACCATCACCAAAAGCCCGCCCATTGGCAACGGTCTTGTACCATAGGCCATGTCGAATAATCTGATGTAATTGAGCGCGAAGCCGGAGAAATAAAACAGGTAATATACCGAGTGCCAGTTGCGCAACCCAGAGCCATGGAATGCATATAAGCTCGGGAACTTCTTCGCATTACTGTCTGTGCTTTTCGCCATCTCAAGGGCATTCTGAAACTTGGCCTCGGCGTCGGGGGCGCCAACGCTGAAGCGGAATTGTCGCCAAACAGGGTCGACGCCTTGGATACATTGGTCCTCGGAGTTCATTTCCTCAAGATATGCAGTGCATGACGCAACACACCTGCGCCAATCTTTGAACGCTCGAACTTTGTCATAACTAAACGCACCAGCGAAGAATGGCCCATGAGGCAGGAAGAACCGAACCATTCTCCATCTCTTGAAGACGAGGTTTCGACTTCCCAGGTTTGACTTTACGTTCAAGATGACGCCTATGATAATCAGATAAGATTACGAACGAGGTATTGCAAACTTACTTCATGTCATCAATCTAAGGATGATGTAAGTGAGGTCTTGTGAAGAAAGAATATGTATAACTGCACCGATGGGAGCGAGTCAATCAAGGAGACAATGGCTGCACGCATCTAGACGCTATGAGCGCGAGACGTCAGAAAAAAAGCCACAGACATAGGGAACTGGTAAGGAATCAAACTCCACCAAGCCATCTAAACCAACTGGGAAATCAGAAGGAAGGTTCGGGACCGCAGTTTGCTGTGGTTGGTGTGGGTAGGAGTGAATAGGAGCAGGTGTTTGGATAACTCTGCTCCTGTCCGGCAGGGGAACGCGAAGAGCCATGCCAACTGGCAAAGGCTGATCCAAAACACCTTCAGCGGCTGCAGCGTAAGTCAGGGAAACAAGAAGATCGACTGTCGCGGGGTTGTGTTGGATTTCATACTGCACTTTGTATCAGACCGTTGGTATTGAGTGAAAAGGTAGCCCGACCTCAAGTGATACTCCACGATTATGCGCGTAGTATTGGTACGTGCAAAGCGGTCGTTCGCAAACATAGGGTTTGAGAGCCTCGAAGTCACTCGTGAGTTTCGTGTGACAAACAAGACAGTAACGGGTGCACAACTGGCAGCAGCGTCAGCACATAAAGGACACAGCCTGATCAAGGTACCGTTAATCGACGGATTAGATAGCAAAACGCTGTATAGGGCAGGTTGATATTCTGGTTGGGCCCCAGTCCATAAAGAGGATCATGGGGCAATGTACCCGATCGAATGAGTTCGACCTCTGCCTTATCTGCAGCCTGGATTTCCTATGGGCATGAATTAGACCAAGTGTCAAATTTGGAGAAAGAACCAACAGGTCTGTAAGTAGCCCAGACATCATCCATACTTCTTTGCTCACTCTCAATGTAGGAATGCATCACCTCCGCACCGGCCCAGCCAATGCTGAATTTACGTCGGATGGCAACGAGCTTGACCAGTTGTGTTTCAAGGAGCGCTTCAAGCGAAGAGCTGAGTGAAAACCTCTCAAAGCGGCTGTCGTCCTCTGTGTCATCCTCGGGTTCCATCTCAGGATAACCAACGTCGAATTCGTCAATGTTCATGTCCTCTGGCAACGCATCTTCTCCCCACTCCAGTAAGGCAGCCTCACGAGCGGCGCGAGCGGCTTCACGCTTTTCGCGCACTTCATCTTCTGCGTCCCTACCAACGAGCCCGAATGTCCGTCCTGCTTCGACTGCGTGTTCACGTGATGGTTTGTACCGTCCACAGACACCAACTTGAAAGCGAGGAGACATCCCCTTACGGACATATTCCCCCTGGGGAGTCAGAGGAGGATACGAAGTAGCAGCACTGCCCAAGCCTGAGATCAACAGAACAAGATGGGCTGCGCGGCGAGGGGTACTCAGTAAACGGCGGTCCCATGCCACCAATGCTTGAGCAGGAATCGTCTTTGTAAGATGGACAGTTGGGATAGAAATACTGAGAGCGAAATCGGACGAAATGTCGAAGCCACCAGGAGAGTTGGAGGACGGTGTGAATGGAATTAGGCCAGGACGATACGAATCGGATGCCATCTCAATGAAGTCATGCTGCATCTGTGTTAACACTTTCATGCGGTGGGCCTCATTTTGCGAATGGTGGCTCGGGAAATCGTCGTAGTCAGGGAATTCGAATTCTGCATCAGAACCATCCTCGTCACCATCGGACTCCTCAAATGACTTGACTTTGGAGGAGGTGGCAGCAAGAGATTTGGTCTTCTTATTGCTCCCACTGAGAGTGGACAGGAGGTCTTCGAGGAGGTTGGCGATTGGCATTGCTTTCTTGTCTTGCAAAGCACTGAGAGCATCAACGGCCTTCTCTGGAGCATCATCATCTTCAACAAATGTGATAATGCTGTGGCTCTTGGGGTATTCAGAAGTGTCCGTAATGGTTAGATTGCATCGCATAACCCTCTTGTCGCCTTGCAGGACAACGAGATCGATCATGCCCTCGTCGTCGCCGGCTTTGACTTCTGCAGGGATATGGGTAAGCTTCGTTTCGTTGAGGGCGAGATGACCACGCACTCTTTACAGAGTAACCCCCCAGGTCAATCCCCTGCGCTTTAAGATCTGCGAAGTCGGCATTGAAACGTTTACGGCCTTTGAGATTCGCGTTCTTAGTGTTGCTGAAATGAGAGAGCAGCTCTGACGGAGTTTGAGGCGCGTCGAGCATAACAACATCTTCGTCAACGACTGCGGTTTCACGATGAGAGCGCGACAACAACGAAGGGTTGGGACCAACCGACTTGTTGCATTGTTCGCTGGCGCTTTCTGCGAATATCGGAGTCTGAGTCTGAGTCTACAAGGTCTATCACGCTGCTGCCAGGACCGGCAGTCGACATGGGCAGTCGATGAGTCGGGATGATGGGCGCCTATTTATGTAAAGTCACAGCCACAGACCGATACAGCTCTCATCGCACGTGCACGTTGAGACTTGGACATTGAAGACATTCTTCATAGATGGCTAAGGTATAGGTATCCAATTTATGCACAACTTGACAAGTGACAATAACATATCAAGGTCGAGAGACCAAGTAAGGTTCTGAAACTGGCGTTCCTCAGACTTCAGCGGGTCCGTGCCGTGTAATCCTATCCTGATGAAACGAGTGTTCTTCGGATTGCCCATTTTTGCAACCACAACAACCCTTCAGATTCAGATCCTCAAGGTTATGCAGCCAACGAGGGAAAATTCTCGTTTTGATGCTATTATTCCCCATGAAATGAAACGGAATTCCAAGATCGCCAGAAATTCCTTGCTCAGTTTGTGGTCATCAGGAGTTGAAGCTCGGCAAGTTTGAGGCATATCCCTGCATATCCGGAGACATTAAAGAACATTTGTAGCACGAGCAGCGTTGGAAAGAATGGCGAGTAGGTCAGCAAGGAAGATACGTCACAGTCGACCGAATTTGCTATTCCAAGCTGTTACAGCAAAGAGGGGAGATCAGTTAGCTCGCGTTGGGATAATATTGCTGGCTGATGTGCTGCGGGATTTCTTCGAGGTTTCTTACCGGCCCCAGCCATATATTGATGATTTGGAACTCGAACCTGAAGACGATTGACAGAAGTGACGTGACGTGACTCGACCGCATCACACCCTTGTTGCTCCAGGCGACGATGCAAGTATGGCGTCGACCATTGAAGTTATATCCTCGGCCAATGCGCTTTTAGCAGCACATTCCTCTCTTATTGCAAAAGTCAGCGCTGCTCAACAACAGCGTCGTCATGAGCTTCCAATGGATCTTCCTGTTCTCGTCAACGAACAACCACAATCCCAAAGCAGCCAGGAGTCGCCTCCAACATCTCCCATTACCAAGTTGGTCCGAGTAGATCTTCCTCCAGCGAAACATGCGCGCGTCGAGCGATATAAAGTGAGCTAATACATCGATCTTCCTTGAACCGGTTTCAAGCCTTACAGAGCTACGTGCCAGAGGAGGAGACAATCCGCAATGACTATTCCCAGGTGTGTATACGGCGTGACAACCATATAGTCCATTGAAAGCAGTCTTCCAGCGATATGTCGACAGCGGTGAATGGCCGCAGAATTGGGTCTTAGGTGCAGACCCAGATCATCGTTTTGAGGAGTGCGTTATGCTTAACTTGATATGTTTACCATGTTTGACGCCACCCGCATAGATATCCAAAACAGCAGCGGCTTCTCAACCTGAAGAAAGCTTCAGTTAACAACCACTCCGTTGCCCCGTCCTATCTCCCGTTTTCCCAGTTGCAGAGCCTCCATCCCGCCAAATTCGACGTCATTCTTCTCGACCCGCCGTTCTCCTCTTCATTTACCTGGGAACATCTACAAGAGCTACCCGTCCCATCTTTAGCTGCGGACCCCAGTTTCGTTTTCCTGTGGGTCGGCAGTGGTGCGGGAGAAGGTCTCGAAAGCGGTCGCGAAGTCCTAGCAAAATGGGGTTATCGTCGATGCGAAGACGTTGTCTGGGTGAAGACGAACAAGAATAGCCATCGTGGACCAGGAGTGTGTGCCTCTGAATCGTTTCTCGGTCAACAGTTATCAATTCTATCTTTCAGACAGATCCGCCCACTAGTTCACTTCTTACCCGCACAAAGCAACACTGTCTCATTGGGATTCGCGGTACGGTGCGAAGATCGACTGATAGCTGGTTTGTACATTGCAATGTCGGTGCGTAGAGAGGAACAGATAGGGTCAAACTCCATTAACATGATAACCAGACACTGATGTAATCTTCTGGGAAGGGGATTCCACAGACCCAACTCGGAAGCCTCCAGAAATGTACACGCTCATCGAAAACTTCTGTCTCGGAACCCGTCGTCTCGAGATTTTCGGTCGAACACCTTCTTCGCTTCGCCGTGGCTGGGTGACCGCCTTGAGCCCTGGCCAGGAAACACGTCTTCCCGCCGAAGGGACAATCTATACTGATGAGGGTGCTATCGCAGGACCTTGGAACCATGTGGCGTGGGATGCAGACATCCAAACATTGGCGAATGGCGGCAAGTTCGTTGTACCGATGACCGCTGAGATCGACTCGTTAAGACCTAAGTCTCCGACAAGACCTGGAGGTCAGCAATCCTCAAACCCTAGTGGTGGACAGCAGCTCAATGGAGGACCGCGTTTTAACATAAACCAACACCTCAATAATCAAGGTCAGATGATGATGATGCCTCAGCCCATGATGGGTATGCCTGGTCTGGGTATGGGTATGGGCATGGTGGTTGGCGATGGTGGGATGATGCAGCAATGGCCAGCTGCGATGAATCCCATGTTGATGAGTCAAATGGGTATGGGATACGGTTTTGGTCCTGGCTGGGGCCAGACTCAATACATGGGCGAACAATTTCCGATGGAGGAAGTTTGGGACGACGGTAGCGGAATGGCCATGATGAGCCAACAACAGTGGGGAAACAGCTACTAATCACGGGACTTCGAAGTTGGGACGCTATCTGTATCGTATATCTGCTTTTTTGGTGTATTCTACGTGTTGCGCGTTTCCACAAAGTTCAAGAACCCGTGATCGTTTTCGTGACTGGATGTGACGGTCGGTCAAGCTTTTTCTGAACTCAATCCCCGCGACACAATCCTTTAGCGCTCAAGGGCTCGAATAATGGGAAAGAAAGTCGCAAAATCAACCAAGAAGTTCTCTGCCAGTGGACAGCTGAAAAAAACGATCGAAGCTCGAAGAAAACATCAAAAAATCAAGAAACGAGTTTGGGACGACGGTAGCGGAATGGCCATGATGAGCCAACAACAGTGGGGAAACAGCTACTAATCACGGGACTTCGAAGTTGGGACGCTATCTGTATCGTATATCTGCTTTTTTTGGTGTATTCTACGTGTTGCGCGTTTCCACAAAGTTCAAGAACCCGTGATCGTTTTCGTGACTGGATGTGACGGTCGGTCAAGCTTTTTCTGAACTCAATCCCCGCGACACAATCCTTTAGCGCTCAAGGGCTCGAATAATGGGAAAGAAAGTCGCAAAATCAACCAAGAAGTTCTCTGCCAGTGGACAGCTGAAAAAAACGATCGAAGCTCGAAGAAAACATCAAAAAATCAAGAAACGAGTCTCGAGCAAGAAGGAAGGGAAGGGAAAGCAGCGGGCTGTTGCGGAGGAGTCAATTGACGATGATGAAGCTGAGGAGGAGGTGAAGGAGACTTCAAAAAAAGACAAGGGGTGCGCTTGGTTTGGTCTTTCGCTGAAAACGCTAACCTGGTGGGTTTGCAGCAAATCCCGCATGACGGTGGATGATTTCCTAGAGGGTGGATTCATGGAAGGTAGCGACGATGACGAGGTTTGTCTGGTTTCGGGTACTGAACGTCTCTTATGTTGTTCTAGGACATGGACGATGAGAGTCCGGGATCTGAGAATGAAGATGACTTGGAGTTGGAAGACGACGCCTCTTTCGCGTCAATAGATGATATTGGTGTGTTGCAGCACCCCGGTTTTGGAAAGGCTCTTACCCTTGATACAGAGGAGGGCGAAGAACACATGATCGAACTCTCAAAGTTGGCTGAAAAGGACCCCGAATTCTTCCAATACCTCAAAAAAAATGACCAAGAACTACTAAACTTCAACCCTGACGTCGAAGACCAGTCCGATGGGGAAGAAGACGAAAACATGGGACAAACGCCGACACTCACCAAGGCGATTCTCCAGAAATGGCAGAAATCGCTGCTCGAGGTCTGCGGCTCATTTAAACTAGTCTCTATACCAACCTAGTCACAGCATCGCTCGCTGAGATCCTTACGGAAACTATTGATTGCCTTCCGGTCTGCAGCCCACATGAACGAGGAAAATCAAGTTTTAGCTTGGAGCATCGAGAGCTCCGCAGGTAGGCAAGACAATTCAAGAAGAAGTAGATCTCATATAGCCCTCAGTTTACAACAAACTTATCACCACTGCATTCAAATACACGCCTGTGATACTGGAACATCATGCCCCGACGAAAACGCTACCAAACGGCAAATTGTAGGCGGTAACTTAGTCACATTGCAAACTGATCTTGCCTTCAGTAAGCCTCCAACTCAGACCGCAAAGTTAAAGGCACTGCAAAAACTCGTCCTCTCGTATTTCCAAAATGTGATTCACATGCTTTCGCAACTCACCGACGACGATATGCTCCAGCTTGCCGTTAGCGAAAGTGCGAAGATAATCGCTTATATCATCAGCAGCCGCAAAGCGGTGAAGCTCTATCTCAAGGTGACTAAGTTACTGGACTGCCGAGCTTTCTGCTTATCCCTGAAAAGAAATGCCTCGATCTGTGGTCTAGTGCCGCGGATAACGTCCGTATTGCCGCGTTTCTCGCCGTTCGAAAACTCGCGACGTCGACAGATGAATCCATCCTTGATAGTGTTCTCAAGGTACGAGTCTCAGGCGAGGATTAAACCTATACTCAGAGTCGAAGGGAACCTATTTGACTCTTGTCCGTTCATCCAAAAACACGAGTGTCCATACTCTTCCGTCGATCAACCTCATGAAAAATTCGGCTTCCGAGGTGTTCAATCTGGACCAAGGTGTTTCATATCAACATGCTTTCGGTTATATCCGCCAACTCGCGATTCATCTGCGTAATAGCATGAAGGTCAAATCTAAGGTTTGAAAATTTTATACTATGCCACGCGAGCTTTTGACTCATTCCGTCACTATAGGAAGCCTACAAACAAGTCTACAACTGGCAATACATCCACTGCATTGACTTTTGGTCGATCGTATTGGCGCGTGCGTGCGATGCCTCAGTGGAAGCCGAGACTGGTAAGGAAAGCGAGCTTAAGCCTCTGATATATCCGCTGGTTCAAGTCAGCATTGGAGCCATCAAGTTAGTTTTGAACTTTGTCTTAGCCCTTTGCTGATCGCTTTCTTCAGGCTCATTCCAAACAGTCGCTCTTATCCATTTCACCTGCATGTTTTACGGTCACTGCTTCATCTAACACGTCACACGCACACCTACATTCCTCTGTCACCACATCTTGTGCCGATCCTCATATCAACACTGACTACCTCGTCGCGTGGAAGTAAAAATTCAGCTTCTTCGACATTGCGACCACTCGATCTGGAGGTGCAGATCAGGGCGCCCCAGCAATACGTCAAGACACGGGTTTATTCCGATGGTCTTGTCGAGGAAACATCATATCTGCTTGCAGAGTGGCTGGTGTCTGGTCCGGTTCACGGCAGTGCCGCCTTCCCTGAGATTGTCGTTCCAGTCACTGTTGCTCTTCGGAAAGCCATCAAGACTGCCAAGGGCACCAAAGAACTTGCCGTCGTCAAGGGTTTGTTAGACCGTGTTGAAGAGAGTGCACGGTGGCTCGAGCAGCGACGTCAAAAAATTCATTTAGCGCCAAACAATATGGGAGCAGTTCGTGAGTGGGAGCGGGGCCTTTTGGAGAGCCTGGAAGACGAATCACCGTTGGGAAAATATGTCAAAATGCAACGGAAAACTCGGGAACGCCGACGGAAGTTGGTAGACAAGGTATAGAACTTCTGTACTTTTTTCGTTTCTTCGCTCTGACACTCCATGTTCCAGGCGCGTCAGGGTGAGGATGAGATCCTTGAAGATGATAGCTAGTTTTAAGCAACGAGGATCGTTTGTGGTTGTACACAATGACACAAACAGTGCGCGTAATTTTTTTGTAGCTCGGACCCGGTCGGCCGAGTGCCACATTTGATAGCCGGGTTACACAAGTTTGACCGGCGAACACTTTTTTTGTGAACGTCCATGTCCGCCACGCAACCGCAACGATCCTAACCTACCTGTTGCGACTGTGGTTCTTCTATTACGCGTGATAGCAGCAGCCCTGGATCTGTTCCAAACCTGATATTATCCTACAGCAGACCTTCGCGTAGAGGGTGCACCTCATGGACCCATCTTTGTCCGACTTGGGATTCTTTGATTTTTTTTTCGTGCCCCCAATGATGTCGGGTCCGGGGAAAGTGCCCTTTTCCTTCGGACCATTCGTTGAACCCTTGTCAGCATGGCAGACTGGAACCCAAATTGGTGTAAATGTTCAACAGCCGCCACGACTGTGCGTCAAATTGAGACAGGAAACTCGGACTATGCAGCTCCCTCGCTCACAGTCTGACACGTCTCGATAGGCCTCCCATTTTCTGGAACAATGACCGTTGCGCAAGGTGAGTTACACGTCATTTTCACACTATATGCATCTCCTGCAACTACAGCACGCGCTCATGGCTTCCTCTTATCTTCGAGTCTGTGCAAGTCTTGACTGTAGTTCTCTCTATAGCGGATGCATTGTCGGTGTTTCTTAATCTGGACTTGGTTTGACACGCTTAATCACCTTGTCCTCTTCCGTCATGGGGTGCTGTGGTAGTTCCCAGTCTGAGACGGACTTACCACCTTCCTCTTCCAGCCGACATCACATTGTAAATCAGCAACCTGTCGCACAACCCGAACCCGTCTTGCACATGGCGCATCAGTTCTCGGCGTCACCCGATTCTCCGCCGTTACAATACCCCCTCCCGACTTCCAACTACACGGCTTTAGATGACAACGATTTCTCCTCTACAACCGGTACCATGCCATTCCACGTGCGACAAGCGTCTGCATCTTCGCGAGACCAAGGCAAAGTCGTCATTGCTATTGATTTCGGTGAGTTGAGCCGGCGGTCTCAGCAACAACAATAGTAATGCAGGACCAGGAACAACGTTTTCTGGTGTCGTATGTCTCGAGCTTCCAATGGAGCATTGTCCTATATTTATGCAACGCCCTCGAGGCTTATGGTTCTTCTGGATTTTCCGCTGGTCAAGTCCAGCAAATTATGCGGTGGCCACACTCCTTGGAAACGCTCCGGAAGGTTCGATCTCTTTTGCCATATTTCTCACAGGAACACCCACCGGTCATAGATTCCAACTTGTCTCCTCTATGACGTCGACGGGCGCCTGGTAGATTGGGGTCTACAGGCAAAGAATGCCAGATTGCAACCTGGACTTATCCGATATGAGTGGTTTAAACTCTTCCTCGAGCCCCGCGCTCTTCGTGATGAGCCAGAGCTGGATCCACGACTACCTGTGCTTCCAGTTCGTAACCTTCTCTTCCCGCGAACAGGTTGGTTGTATTCCAAGTCCAATAATAGACGGGAAAAACTCCAACGGACCTCATCACCGACTTTCTTCGTTCACTTTGGATTTACTCCCGCGAGGAGATAACGCGAGACATGGGAGCCGTTGTAGACTTGTGTATGTTGCACCCGCCGTCTCCAAGATCAATCACTACTTCTACTATTAGATTCTGCAGACGTCTGGCTTACTGTTCCCGCTGCGTGGGATGCACGGGGTTATGCCATGATGAGAGCAGCGGCGATTGCTGCTGGCCTTGTTCAGAGCGCGTATCCTGGAGACACAACGTGGCGAGATCGTCTAAAGATTATTACGGAATCAGAGGCCGCAGCTGTTCATTGTGCTCATCTTTCTAGCTTTCATCAACTCCGCCCTTCCCAAAATTTTCTTGTTTGTGATGCGGGAGGTGGTACGTGACCTAACCCTAACCCCAACCTGATACTCATTTTACCTTAGGCACAGTTGACTTGGCTGTTTACAAAGTCGTCTCCAACTACTTCATCACCCATTTCTGACCAATGCCTAAAGATCATTGGTGACCCAGCACAGCTCGAAATTGCAGAAATAGCGGCTCGCAGTGGGGCAAATTGTGGCAGTCTCTTTCTTGATATCAGATTTCGGAATTTGGTTAAAACGGTTAGTGAGGCACCTAGTTTGCATAACTTGCTCTTCAACGTTTGGAAGCTTCTTGTCGATCATCCCAGTCACTGTGATGCGCCATCGCTTGCTTATTTCAGTGTGTCTTCCTTGTCTCGATGAATTCCCCGGCGGCTAAATTCGTGGCAGTGAACTCCTTCAGCGAAGCAGACAAGCTCACGTATGCCGGAACCGAAGATGATGGTGGGTGCACCAACACGTTATCTTGTCCGAACTAAAGTGGGCTATGAAGACAACGAGTTTTATTTTACTTGTTTCAATATTCAGGATGCCGCAGATGATCCTCCTGTGGGCTTGGTCAACGGGCAACTAGGAATTCCAGGACGCCTGTTGCGACAAATGGTGTAAGCTCAATAATTCTGTTTGCTGCGTTTAAAAATTCCCCTGTAGATTTGATCCAGTCGTGGACGAAGTAATTCGGTTAATCGAAAAGCAACTGGCTGCATCACCTCCAATTGACGCATTGCTCCTTGTCGGTGGTTTTTCAGGGAGTGCTTATCTCAAAACACGCATAGAAGTGGTTTTCCCCGTCGCGACAAGGACTGTCAATCCTGAAGGCTGTTCTAGGACCGTCTACACGGAAAAATCTTGACCATTGCCCGGCCTCCAGACTGTGACACAGCAACCCTTCGAGGTGCAGCGCACTATGGACTCGCACGACGGCCGCTGGTTTCGCAACTGATCGTCCCTCGATCTTATGTAATGAAGGTTTGTATGTGACTACACTCCGAATTGCCCACGGCTCATTCAAGCGCTCAGGTACTCGCCTTGCCTGCGTTTGTGCTACCACTCAACTGGAGCAAGGTAAAGCTACCGGCCGAGCCGGAAGACCGGATTCGACGTCCGGGCTACGTGACCTACAACGACGCTGGCGTGGAAATATGTGAGAATAGGTGTGCATCTCTCATCTTCCCTCTCCCCATTTTTGTTTCCCGTTCTTTTGCGTCATGAAGGCACGTCGAAGCCCACATCGCCTCGTGCCAAAATTTACCCTCCCGCGATTCTCTACCGAAACTCCGAGTCCGCGATGACACCGAGTGTTATTTTCTGTCCTACAGTGGCGTCACTCGTTCCTCTTGGCCGCCTCTCTATTGGGAGAAGACCGTGGTCAATCATCTCTCTTATGGCCCGGTTTTTGTCTCCCTGCTTTCCGCCGAGGTCCTCGCGCACCGCTCTGGATGCCACACTGCCAGATGTTTCCCGGTCCCGTCTAGACGGAGCGCCAACAGAGTAACACGGGCGGTAACATCGAGCGGAAACTGATCCAATAATACTAGGATCAAATCATCCCGCTGATGCACTACTTCACAGGCTGCAATATTTAGTGCAAAGAGGGGCTATGCTCAGAAAAGGGTGAGGATGTTCCTTTTGCTAGCTGATAGCTCACCCAGTCCTCTCCCCCTTGTCATCTTTTTTCTTCTTTCCGTTCGGACCCATTTGGATTATCACATTCTGTTTCCCCGATCATTTGTCGACATCGTCATTTATTGGCGCCGAACATCGACGCAAATGTCCTTGCCGCCGATCAATCGGCTCGATGCCGCGGCATCGACGTTGACGGCTTTCTTCGCACGCTGCCATTCTTGGTGGCGGATTGTCGTTGGTCGTTGGTCTTGGTTGGGCCAATATTCCGTCTACGATCGTCCAACGCTCGATGCATATAGACAACGCATCACTACACCATTTTGGTATGACCTCTTTTTATGGACATCAGTTTATACATAAATCTCCAGCAAATTTTCGAAAACACGGGACGGTGTGTTCATTTTGCTCTATATCTTTGATTTGTGTGTGCTTGTGGTTGTAATGATACGGGCAGGAAGCGCTGTCGCTACTACGAGCGGAGATGCTGCATCCAATGTCCGCGCGGTTAGAACCCCTTATGGGGTGGCCCCAGATTAAGCTTTTATCTGGTCCAAATTCTTGATGCTCGGAGGGCCTCGGTCAAATCAAGCGCATTCGCAAGTAGCGGGAGTCTACGCTGTGTCGGGTTCTTTTCGGATTTTTTTTGGTCCTTTGTTCTCCACATATTGATTCTGACTTTATTCAATTCCAGACAGCACGTTTACAGCAACACTCTATACCTTCGACTCAGACGCATCCACGGATGTAGACACCGCGCGATACGCTGACGAGGCTGAGCTTCGACCCGTATGTGACTGGCGTGTGGACTTGAGGGGACTGCGTGGTTGGAGCGCGAACGGGGAAGGCGGATTTTACACTGATTTCGAAATAGGGCTCGAGGTAGATGGCGGCGCGGTTGGAGGAACGCTGATATACCAACAAGAGGAATGTGGACGCGTAGTGTTTGATTTCCAAGAGTAGCAAACGGCGACCTGATCCTCAAAATTGAAAGTGATGAGACGGACCAAAAATGTGCGAGATCGGGATCAAATCAAAATGTGTCGAAAAGTGTGATTGTGACCGATGCGATCTAAGACTTACTCTTAAACACGAGATCCAAATCTTGACCTTTTTTTCCAAGTACCTGCGCGATTACTATTTAACGAGCATGCAGCCACACCTCCGCACCCTCTCCCATGGCACTTTCTCGCGCCAGTATTGTGGCCGCGCTCTCTCCTATCGCCATTTCTCAACCTCGCTGGCGCAATTGGGGTCGTACTTTCCACTGCTCCCCTGCTGTTGTTTTCAAGCCAACCACGGTAAGCTGTAGACCCTGCGCTGGATGCCCAAACAAGCTCACACATCTGGTTTCTGCAGATTGAAGAATGTCAACTTGTCATTGAACTAGCGCGTCGAGACCGACGCGTCGTTCGCGCCGTAGGCGTTGGCCATTCACCTTCAGACATCGCATGCACGACTGACTACATGATGGACATAACTGGCATGAACAAGATACTTGAGGTCAACGTAGAGGAAAACTATGTCGTCGCTGAGGCAGGGATTATGCTGTCATACCTCCACACAGCACTCGCACCCTATGGACTCGCTATGCGCAATTTGGGCTCCATCTCCGATCAGGTGAGCGATCTCCACGACTTCTGAGTGTCTGTCAAACTCAAAAAAAACAATGACAGACGCTGTCTGGCATCGTAGCGACGGCAACTCACGGCGCTGGTTCTGCATTTGGTGTCATGCCCACCCACGTTTTGGCGCTCACCGTTCTGCTTCCTTCCAACGAGGTCGTTCGCTGCTCACAAACCGAAAACCACGAGCTCTTCAGCGCAAGCTTGTGTGGGCTTGGAGCCACCGGTATATTGCTTAACATTACACTCGAGCTTGAGCCTTCCTTCAATCTCCGAGACGTTCAAACTATACGCCCTTTCGATCAAGTATTGGGTAGTCTCGACTCCATCAAGAACTCTGGCGAACATGTCCGTCTATGGTGGTTTCCAGCAATTGGTATGGTTCGTTGCAGTGTTATGGACCGTACCTCCGAGGTCCGTTACTTTCGTTTGGCTCCTGCTCCTTCTTGCTCAGCGAGATTTCTGCAGCCCGCCCGCCGAGTAAACTCGTGGTTATGGGACTCCTCACTAGGATTTCACGTTGTGCAGTTCATGCTGTTCCTAACGCGTTTTGCGCGTCCTCTCATTCGCCCGAGCTTTCCGACCTCGCTTTCGCCGTCGAGAACTTACTCTCCCTTCTTAATTCCACGGAATTTCCTCGCATTTTTGACTTCATTTGTCTCTTATCTTTGGCTCCTGCTTCTCCATCTGGGCTCCCGTGTCCTTGCTCAACATATGAGTGAAGCTAATATATGGGCTTCTCAAGTTGCTCTCGCCCTCTCTGGCCCACGGCAAAGTGTCACGATTGACCGAAGTGACCGTATTTTCAACATCGAGTGTCGAGTGCGTTTGATTGTGCCACCAAGTAACCAGAAACTCACCAATCTCAGTATCCCCAATACACCACGGAGTGGGCGATTCCCGCCGATCGTGCAGAAGACTGTTTATGCGCCCTTTCGGCATGGTTAAAGAACGAGCAAGACAGAAGTATGGTGAGTAAGCTTCTAAGGCATTGACACGCCTTCGGCGTCTTCCTTTAACCTTTTCACATTCCCTCGGCCCAAATTAAGGGGTCTTCTTTTCTCCCACGTGGATGTTCTTCGCTTACCCGCGATTGTTTGCGTGGGTCTCCCTATATCTAAGGGTGCAAATCCCTTGCTCTTCTATTCTACTTGCAGTTGTTGATTGAGACCACCTACAGGGCGAACGTCCCCATTTTCCCATCGAGATTCGTTGGAGTGCTGGAGACGATTTGTGGCTGAGTCCGGCTAATGGCGGCAAAGAGACATGTTGGATTGGCATCGTGCAATTCAAGTAGGTTCAATTCATCGCTCATCACACGCTTCTCAGAGTGTTCCCAAAGGCCATACAACCTCCCAACACGTTACCGGTCTATGTTTGCAGAGTTTGAGCGTGTACTAGCGGCACACGGCGGGCGCCCGCACTGGGCCAAGGTCGGTAGTTAGGCCTAACCTCCCGTCGATTCCCATCAACCTGCGTATCTAGGCACATCACCTCAACTCTTCACAACTACGTGCATTGTATCCTGACCTTGGGCGCTTCCTTGAAGTTGTGCAAAAGGTTGATTGCCAAACTACTTGACGGAATTCGTTTTAACCTTTGTCGCAGGTCGATCCAGACGGTCTTTTCCGAAATGAATATATTGAACGGCACTTGTTGGGGCATGTCAGCAATGGCCGCGAATTCAAACAATGGGACAACGCCGGTCACTATCCAACTCCAACAGACTGGCGAACGATGCCGTCGGAAGACGAGCTTCAGCACCGGAGGCTTCTGAGAACTCAATATTAAACCAGTGTGGTACCTTGACGTGACAATGGACAACTAACAAAATTAGAGTAGTAGTTAACCGCATAGATAGAATTAATTCTGTTTGTAGTATGTACAAGTTGAATGGATTAGAGGCCAAGCTGTTGCTCAATTGACAAGCGGACCAGACGTTCGTACTCTGGCCGGTTGTCTCGATAAAGCTTGCTACAGTCGACACTGGCGGGCGACTCTAGATTGGGCTCTGAGATTATTATATAAGCACAGTTCAGAACAGAGATCTGACGCAAACAAACCGGCGAGCATAGAAATAACGCTGAGGATAACCTTCTCAACGCTCTGCACTGGGCTCCAGCGCTCTGACGCTTGTTCGTACATCGTAGGATCATCACCAGGCGTATGAAGAATAGAAATGCAGACAGTTCCATCGGGATAGACTAAAACGCGGGTGTTAGAGGAAATTTCACGAGCAAGAGCGGGCAAGAAAGATGGTGCGTCTGCTAATCGGGGAAAATAACTTTCAAAAGTGAACATACTATTTGGGTGGAACAGCGGGGGTTCAAACTTCATCTTGAATGGGGAAAGCGGGTAGTCAGATGGCTGAGGAAGAGACAAATAATCAGTCTCCGCCAAATGGAGAGTAAGGCTAGGAACGCACGAATGTCAATTTTGCGGCAAAGACTCCTCCTTCCTAGGATGATCATTTTGGTTCTTTCAGTTCCGACGGGGGAAAGGCATACAAAGGGAGTGTCCTTCGGTCCGCAGATAAGAGCCTCCCACAGGAAGAAATCAGACTCGGATATTGGGCCTTGTGGGCTCAGAGTCAGAGTGTGATGGCGACGATCTATAGTGCAGCAGCTTACCGGCGGTAAACATGCCATCGGGGGAACCTGGAATTGGCTGAGAGAAACAGACAAGGCTCGCAGACAGCCATTACCGCCTGCAGTGAGTTGACGATACTCAGTCATTAGCCTTCGGAGGGCAGTGGCAGAGTTGGTGCTGCGAGGGTTCATGGTGTTTGCGTCGATGTGTCGCTAGTCACGCGGCATCACGCGACAAGATTGGGAATCAATGTGATCGTCGGTCTCTTCGATGTTGGGTTTATTAGGCTAAGGCTACAAGGTAAAATACATCAAGCTTCTAAGAAATCAAGCATCGTCAAGTATCAGTCGGGGAACAACATTCATCGCCATCAGCTGAGGTCCTCGTCAGAAAAAAAAAACAGCCGAGGGGAAAAATCTCACCTCTTGGAACAACAGTTTAGCTGCATACGGAATGGTGAGTTGGGCCATTTGCTTGGAGCTCTTGCAATAAGTGCACCACCCGTTATAGCCCATCAACCCACACTTGCTGCACGCATTGACCTCGAATTTGTCGGACGAAATCATCAAGCGTTCCAGCAATAACTGCGTAGCACCATACCCAATCAGACAGTCGCGTTCCATCTCACCGAGTCGCAGTCCTCCTTCGCGAGACCGACCTTCGGTAGGTTGCCGAGTTAACGTAGCCCGAGGCCCTCTGTAAAGTCATCATTACGCCTGCCGACTTTCAGACTATATCTAAACTTGCCTGGCACGAGCGTGCATTTTGTCCATAACCATATGCTCTGGAAAAATTGGTTGTCAGTGAGGGTAGATCACTATTGGCGGAAACTAACTCAGTTTCTAACCAAACCATTAGTATAGCATCCAGACAAAACAACGGCAGCAGCTACCTGATAGTAGATAGGTCCGAAATATACGTAGGCCTCGAGTGGCTCGCCAGTGATGCCACTTGTCAGCATATCCTTGCCCGCGTAACTGAACCCGTTCTCGACAAGGATCCGGCTCATATCTTCAACCTAGGACGGGTGAGCCGCTCCCGAGCTACAGAGAGTCTTGATTTAATACCTTGGATCCACCAAAAGCAGTGCCGTATTGTAGTTTGCCGCTCAAGACACCGGCCTGAAACGCGTTCACCGGGTGAAGCTGGAAAGTCCAAATATGTACCTTTCCCGCAAGAAGCTCGATCATCTTTCCAACGGTCATCCGAGAAGGGAACCCATGGGGATTCATGATAGTGTCTATTAGCCAGTTAGCACCGCTTTAGTGCAAAGAACGGTATATGTACCCGGGTTGATTCCTTGGTCATTGAACGGCATGTCCTCTTGGTTCACAATCAACCCACACACACCCTTTTGCCCGTGCCGCGACGAAAACTTATCACCTAGCTCTGGGCGTCGTGTTTGACGGATGAGGACTTTGATGAGTGTTTGGTCGTTCTCTGTGTCGCTAATTAGAACCTTGTCGATATTTCCTGCAACGGGTGATTTATAGCTCATCGGGGTATTCCGATAAGGAACAGCTGCCGCCTGCCCAGTGAAGGAATTGTCTGTTGAGTTGGTCGGGGTCTGCTTGTTGATGTAGACGTCGCCCGGGTCAACGCGCTCTCCCACACCAGCCAATCCATCAGCTTGGATGATGTCGTATTTCTTTGCTATCTGGCCCGTGTTCTCATCGACTGGGGCGTCTGCTAGACGATCAAACCTAAACCAGTCGGCGTCAAGACAAGAGGGCTAATTGTCGGATTGATCGACTTACGTGCCGTTGGGATACTTCCGGATAAGGGTCGCATTCTTGCGCAAAACCTGGCATCGGCCATAGCCGCGATCTAAACTGGCCTGGAGATATCTTTTAGCTAGTTGGAAACGATGCTGATTCAACATGCCTTATTCAAGATGAGGGCGTCCTCGATATCATACCCAGAGTAAGACATGACAGCAACTGTTGCGTTCTGTCCCGCAGGGAGCTTGTCATAACCGACAAGTTCAATTGTCTTGGTCTTGACCATCGGTTGTTGCGGGTAGACGGACAAGTATAGCAGTGTGTCGATACGATTTAGTTGGTTGTATCCGATAGCACCGATCGCTTGTTTACCCATCGCACATTGGTATGTGTTTCGCGGAGATTGGTTATGATGTGGGTAAGGAATGAGGCCTGCAACGGCACCAAGTAATGTGAACGGTTCAATTTCCAGATGAGTTGTTGCGGGGACAATGTCGGCTTCGTATAAGGCAATATAAGCGTCATTCTCTTCATTGACATCAAGATATTCCACGAGCCCTTTGCGCAAAAAGTCGTCAAATACCACAGTGCCTTTTTTGAGTAGCTGCATATCCGTTAGAGTGGTCTTGGAAAGAGAAGTGTGTCCTACAGCAATATGTTCTGGGGTAACTCTAGGCCGCCCATTTTCCACGATGATCATGGGCCGACAGATTCGACCGCCATCACTGGCAATATGGACCGCCTTGTGGTGATGGTTTATGAACACGCTCACGAACTCGCTGATACGGCGAGCGCGCCGCAAACGTCGGAACTGGGCAACAAAACGCGCGGGATAACGGGTGAGACCGATGATGGTTCCATTTACATTCACCACGAATGTATGTGGACCATAGATCTCAGTGCCAGTAGCCAAGCTGATGTCTAAAGAAGCCTCATTCATGGCATTGTCTTGTGGATTTGAACGGGCGTACCTTCAACTCCAAGCATGAAGGCAAGCTGAACGATAGGCGGCTCTTCAACATCGGTGGTGATGTGCGTCATCAAGGCTAGATTTTTTACCAATCCACACGCTTCGCCCTCTGGAGTATCGCTCGGACACAACATGCCCCATTGACTCGGTTGGAGCGCACGCGGACCGCTGACTTTGCGCGTCTTTTCGAATTGTGAGGATATTCTGGTCATCATCCCAAGAGCTGAGATGAAGCTGAGGCGGCTAAGTACATGCGTCACACCTGCCCGCTCCATTTTGAACCGCTTCAACGACCAATTGCCTGTTGAGATAGCGCGAACAAAACCGGAAGTGAGATGGTCGCCTTGGAACTGCATGGTGTTGAATGCGTCGAATTCACTTGTCCGCGATTGCTTTTTGAGAACCTTGTCAATGGCAGTCTTAAGGTTGGCATTGTAAGTTTTGAAAAGATCTTCAAATAACAGCGCGAGAAGCTGTCCAGCTCTGGAATATGAGCAAAGGATTTCAGGATGTTGAGTAAGAGACTCACAATTCAAGACGCTTGTTGCCTACGTAGTCACGATCATCAACCATTTTCTCGTCCTCCATAGCCATAAGCACTCTCCTCGTCATGGTCGCAACGAAGATGGCCTTTGATCTTAGATCAAGCCCTTTGACAGGGACATGGGCGAGCACAATAGTCGCTAGAGCTTCAAGTGCCTCTTCCCAGGCGGGTCTCCGTGGTCCCATAACCTTGCGGTTTACTTTCACCCGCGAGCCGATATATTCAAGTGCCTGTTGCCGAGTGAATACTCCAAGTTTCGCAGCGTCTTCCAGATTAGCAGCAAATGCGGCCTTATATGCTTCCGTCGTTCCCGCAGTGAGGAGAAGAATTTCCTTGTCAGATTGAATACCCATTGCTTTGAGGGCTATGACGATTGGGATGTCTTCATGAACACAGTTGTGGCGGAGATATATTCTGCCCTTTTTGGTTGCAACATAAGTCTTGGATTTCAGTCCGCCATGGGTAGAGCTAAGTAAGCGTCTCAGTGTGGCACGAATTATGAGCATAAGCACGACGCACGAGGTACAGGAGGCTTGAACGATATTCTTGACCGTGTCTAACTCAACGATGATGCGATTCTTGCTGAGCTGTTCCTGCACTAGAATGACCTTTTCCGTGCCTTTGACAACGAAATAGCCTCCTGGGTCCAATGGGCACTCTGTCATCCGCGCGAGCTCTGCATGGGTCCTCCCCGTCAGATAACACTTGCTACTTCTGAGCATTATCGGCAGCCTCCCAATATTGACCGTTCGCTGGACAATATTTTTCCCTCGCGTATAGTGGATGGTGACAGAAATTGGGGCACTATAGGTAATATCGCGGAGGCGGCATTCATGGGGCGTGACTTTGCGTTCAACGGAACTGCCGTCGTTGCGGTCTGGCATACCGACATTGATGTCGGTGTACTTGAGCCAGAAACGCGGGTCCACATCGGAGGTGACCTTGTTATTAGCTTTGACGATGTTCTTGATATCATGGTTGCAGAAAAAGTTGAAACTATCGATGTGCTGCTTGACTACGGGTAGAATATATGAATTTACAAGCAACTAGAGAGGTGAAAGACGTCACCCAAGCCTTTGACCTTGAGAAACGCGGGGAGAAGCAGCCATTTGTCCTTGCAAAGTTGAATAGTTGTTCAGAATTAGAGGGTTTGACTCACTTCAACGCTTTTTATGGGGTCTGTAAGCCCCAAGCCGTGCCAGCTCCCACCTGTGAGCTGGTCCCAGCCACTTCCCTCGTCGCCGTCTACCTCCATGCGGGCGCCCAAGCTTCAGCGCTGTTTCGGCACTCGATTCCAAGATGGCTGGCAATCGAGGCCGGTCACATATCACGCTCACAATGTCACGCCCAGTCGTGGAATGTATGCTCTAGATCGAGCTGTGTTTTGGCTGCAAAGCCTGCGGTAAATAGGCGACAATTTGACCCCATGGTTGGGTTTTTGGTTGGAAGCGATAAAGTTCCGAGAAACACTTTGAACCTGTTATCGTTGGCAGTGGCTGACGGAAAATGAAAATTTGATTGATGCGCTTGATTTTTGCTGGCACCCACAGTTTTTTTTGTTTGCAGTTGAACGACTGGACTTCTTCGGCGGCGGCAGCAGCTTCACCAAGTTCTCCGTTGTATAGCGGAAGAAATGAAACTCCTTGTAACGTCGAACTGCAACATTTTACGGCCTCAATCTTTGGTTATCTCATTATTTGCTGCACCATGACGAGTGTTGCCCGTCATGAGAATCCGGATGGTTTTTCTTGGAATAACCTGAACTAGGACCCCAACTCACTCCGACAACGGACACGAGTTTGCCGTGAAGCTGTCAGCTCCACGTTCTTATCTCTCGCCTTGTTTTTCAAAATCCCGCTATGGCGAGCAGTAGTCGACGCTCGAGCGAGTTGGTCCCGTTGCGACAACCTAGTCCGCTGTCACGCTCGCCACTTCCTTTCTTGCCTTCCACCGACTCGACAGAAAGCTTCAAATCACAAGCGCGTCGCCGACCCATGTCGACGACATCGTATAACCCTGTTGCTGCCACCACCCCAACTTCGCCTTCTTTTCCTCGTCGTATAAACTCGAATCCTTTTGAAACAAGTGATACTGGTCATGGCCAGGATATCGGTTCTGGCTCGGAAGACCACGAACTATCGCCGACTTGGAGTGCAGCCCAACTCTATTTTCCTCCAGCCGAGCCAGAGGATCAACCTATTTATCACTCCCCTCGACGTGCCAGTGTAGGATATCGTCCACCTCCCAGCAGCTACCAGTTTCCATTCCAATGTGAGTGTTGGTGGATTTACACGTAAAATCTGTCTGATACGATTTTTCTTCTTTTCCCAGCGCATCCGGGCAACCCAGACCCACTTCCTCGCCGTCGTTCGGGCTCATTCGAAAGCCTTCCCTCTCCGCCTACGCGGCAGATGTCCGACGATGAACACGACCTACCTTTGCAACCACCGCAAGCATCGTTCATGTCACGCAGTGCATCGAACACTTCTTTAAATGGAAGTCCAACTGGTTCGACAATATTTCGTAGCTCTGCTGCAGCCGGGATGTCGACTCCTGGAAGCGCTGCCCCAGTTACACCAGGAACTCCTTCTCAGACATTCAGAGCACCGTTTCTCTCTCCGGCATCGAGACCCTCATCGTCTGTCTGGACTCCTCCCACATATCCATATGCAGTCACTGGTGATGGGCTTTCTGGTAGTGCTCTAGCTTTGCCCGCACCCCCTGCACCAGCTCCCTCCACTCGTCTCCAGGCCAAACTCTCCAAAGACGAAAAGCCGTGGCTTCAACGTGCTGCCCCGCGTCAGCGTGTCTCTTGGTGGCTGACCTTCCTATGCATGTTGATTGGTCTCGGCGGAGCGGCGGTATTGTGTCTTTTCGGCATGAAGAGTGTCGACAAGTTCAGCGACAGTCAGTTGTGCACTGTACTCAACGATGACTTTTCTACCTTCGATCTGGCCAATACATGGACCAGGGATGTCCAGCTGGGCGGCTTTGGTAACGGAGAATTTCAAATTGCCAGCTCCTTCGACACCAACTCGTACGTGGTCTCCATTTTAGTCAACCGTGAACGAACACACATTTGACAATAGATATGTGAACAACGGCAACCTCTACATTATGCCTACCCTGACCTCGGACTGGGCTGGTGAAGACACAGTCAACACTGGCACTGTCACTCTGAGTCCCTGCACGGAAGAATCGACCAACAAGAGTGCATGTACCGCGTCAGGGAACGGGAAAGACACCGTCGTCAATCCTGTCATGAGCGCCCGTATCAGCACAAAGGACCATTACAGTATCACATACGGCAAGGTTGAGGTTCGGGCCAAACTACCCCGGGGGTGGGTCCTCTTTCCTCGTTTCCTGCTTCCATTCATTAATTTGATTCAAGTGACTGGTTGTGGCCAGCGATTTGGATGCTTCCTGTCGAGGGAACTTGGCCTCTCGATGGAGAGGTCAGCTTGTTTCTCGTTCTAGCGGTCAATCTTCTGACCGCTATCCACATAGATGGACCTTATGGAAGCTCGTGGCAATTCGCCGTCTTACCCGCAACAGGGTTCGAATTTTGTACGCGCTACAGTCCAGTATGGTCCCTTCGCAGAACTGGTCACTCGAGCGTTTGGCTGGTTCGGTATGAAACGGTCAAGTTTCGATAAGGGCTTTCATACGTATGGCCTCGAGTGGGACAAGGGTTGGATGCGCTTCTATGTTGATACTCAGGTCCGACAAATGCTCTATATCAAGACGAAAAAGCCGAAGCAGAGTTTCTGGAATCGCGCCGGGTAGATTAATCTCTCCGAAATGACCTCCGTTTCTGACGATATTGCTCAGATTTCCTGATACAGCCCATAATGGCTCCTCGGAAGTCGTTGTCCACAATCCCTATACGAACATCAACAGTCCTTTTGATAAACGTATGTCTCCCTGCATTGTTCGGGCTTCAGCGACTGAACGCGATCTGTGTCCGAACAGCATTTTATCTCATCATCGACCTTGCAGTTGGTGGAACGAGTGGATGGTTTCCCGACAAAGTCGGTGGCAAACCCTGGTTGGACGGCTCCAGTAGTGCGTCTCTCCTTCCTTCTCGAAGCGTATATCTGACGCGTCTTTTCGCTTCAAGCGGCCATGTTCGATTTCTGGCAAGCGAAAAAAGCATGGTACTCAACATGGCCAAAAGACCCGGAGGACGGGGCCTTTAGAATGTGGGTGTTCGTGTGGGGTTGCGAACTTGGCTGATCAAAACGCTTGATTCCAGTGATAGCGTGAAAATGTGGAAGAAATGTTGAAAAAGTCGACGCAGAAGATGAGAACATACACGCAATATACCCACTGACCTTTCTTGATACCGACAACTGAAGACACACGACGCTCGTTTTCTTGACTAAGACCCTCATCTGACACTTAACGAACTTGAATGGACGCTTTCATGTAGCAATAGGCATCCAACTATAGACATCGCAAGCCACGGACTTTATGTTCTTAGACTCTTTGTGTACATACCTCGTAGTGCTTGTCGATTTGTTGCCCTGATCTTGTGCTTCTTGTCCTCGATTTAGCAAACTGCCCAAAGGCGCCGAAAAGGCATCAGAAAAAAAAGGTTGTCATCGAATAAGTACGGGCGTTGCTTTGCGACTTTCGGACGCGGATTTAACGCGGTCACTCGCGACGTCATCGATTGAGGTACTGAAATTTGACGTTTTTTTCTTCTTATCGAAGGGTGTACCGATAAGACAGAATGATTCCTTCTACCTCTCTCAGACCTCCTGAAATATGTTCAACTCGTTTGTCAACGCGTTCCCTAGTGGTACACGCGGGCGCGATGCGTCACGGACATGTGAGCATCATTAGGACCCCAGATACCGGTGGCTTGACCGAAGCCTCGCAGGATCATGTCGACAGGCCAAGTTTATGAAACGCGCGGCCGGATAAGCTCAAAAAATGGCCTGAGAAGCACAGATCCTCTTCTTCTGCTCCCTGCCACCATCCCCACCACCGTCATCGTCATTTTGCAGCCAAAACTCTCATTTGCCTCCAACTCGTGCTGGCAGAAGAGGTGTTGGTTGAGCAAGTGCAAGTCGACATACTATGGACTACGACCGATATGACGCGCTGTTGCACTACCTCTTCAAACAAACACAGGGCGACGCTTGGTTTCGACCTGACGAACCAGTGTCCTCTGGCATAGCTCTTCGAGTCTCGGATGGAACTGTAGCTGGAGGCAGCAGCGGGGGAAACACGCCCACTGGTTCGTTGCTGCCACGCGTCCCGGATGCCCGCCAAAATTCCTATTCTTATCATATCACGCAGGCCAGCCCTCAAGCCCTGAATTTCGAGTCTTTCCTTACGAGAACAGCGCGTTGGAGCCATTCGAAGCTGCTGTTGCTGCCCTGAATCCCCAAGTTGCGGTCAAAGTCAGGAGCGCCGCGGTCCATGCTGCTCTTGCCGAATTGTACGTCCTTATTGCGCTATTCGCATTGAGCCTTACGCGTATCCAAGGTCGTCCGACGAAAAAAGCATCTACCTTGACTCAGAGACGCGCATTCAAGTACTCGACACAATGCTTCTCCTGCCTCATGCCGATAAAGAGCAGCAAGCGGCTTTCATTGCGCGTTTTTTCACTCCTTTCTTGCTTTCACTACACTAATGCACTGCTAACAGCGTGACGAGCGAGTTCTCGTAGTCTGGTCCGATAGCATTGACGCTATTATACCTACCTGTCAAGATTTCGAGGATCGTCTCATCAAACTCCTTTGGCGGTCTCGTCCAACCGGCCCTTTGTCAACTCCGGGCTCTATCTCGGGCTCTATTCTCTCCCACTCCTCGCTAGCTGCCAGGCCATTTGACTCGGAGAAGCAAGCTGGCCTCCTGCCAGACCAAGAAAAACTCACGAAGGCCAAGGTTCGCCGAAATTGGTATGGAAAGAAGGTGGGGGTCGAGACTACAATTGTCGCAGCAGATGTCGAGTCAGGTCTGAGAGACAGACGTGACGCCAAACTATACGCGCCGATGTAGGTTTTCTTTCCTCCCTAGCACAATTCTTACGACAGCCTAGATATAACGGGTTAGCTGCGGGTCTCTCCTTCGGTTTGTCAGATCGCTGAATCGCGTTGTATTCTCAATTAACATGGCTTCTAGTGTTCATTGGGAATGGCATCAGTAGGAATCTTTCCGCTGCTTCTTTCTGTCCATTCAACATTAGCTAGACACGATCCTGCAAGAATGGTCCCTTGACGGGGAATTCATCCGCTTCGCGCTTTTCGCCCTGTGCCCTTTGTTGTGGTGTGTCTCATTGGTACGTTGCTACTGATGCAATCGACTATTCTTAACTCTGCGACACCTAGTTCTTTGCCCTCCAGCTCATCCAAAATATCACGATGTGGTACGTGCTCATTTCAACCTCAGAATCCTGGATCGATCAACACGTCATCAGCATCGGACCCGTTGCGCACTTTCATGAGAACTCCAAGTTCTACTCCGCAATTAAGCCACGAGCCAACAAAATGGTCGATGAGCGGCTTCCGCATATTACGATCCAGATGCCTGTCTACAAAGAAAGCCTTCTCACCGTTCTTGCGCCGTCGATCGAGTCCATCAAGAAGGCCATGCAGACGTATGCCAGGCAGGGAGGAACGTCCAGGTACCTTTTCAAAATCAGAGTCCCTTCTACATAGTATTCTTACACTAGCTCAGCATTTTCGTCAACGATGACGGCCTCCGGCTTCTTTCCGGGCCGGACCGGGACGAGCGGCTCGCGTTTTACGCCCATCACAACATTGGCTGGGTTGCTCGGCCAAAACATGATGGTAGCAGCGAGGGATTCAAACGCGCGGGGCGGTTCAAGAAAGCAAGCAACATGAACTATGGGCTTGCTCTGTCGCTGAAAATGGAGAAACATCTTGAAGCATTGGTCGATGCCGCTGGACTGAACGCGCCTGTCATTGGCGCTGGGGCGACCCCTGCAGCTGGAAGTAGGACAGGTAGTGTCCGCGGTGGCTTTGGCAATCATGCAATCGGGATGCCTCATCGCATGAGCCTATCGTCGACTGGATTCGTGGGTTCTGACAGCCGCAGCGTCACTTTCGCAGGTCAATACGGCTTGCAATACCAGAACCGAGACGGCGATGACATGGCTACACTTGGTATGACCGCCGCTTTAGGCGATGGATTTGTCAACCTCGGTGCTGCGGAAGAACTTGAGGAAAGGGCGCTCGCGATGGCAATGGAGGAGACGTATGTTGAGAGTGGGAAACGCTTCAGGCCCTGGGCTGCGAATGGTCGCTCTTGCCGCATTGGCGAGTTCATCCTTATAGTTGACTCGGACACCGTTGTAAGTTGGCGATCATCATCGGCTTCTCGACTCAGCTGTTTCCAGGTACCTGAGGATTGCTTGCGAGATGCGGCTAGGGAGATGACGGAATGTCCAACCGTGGTATGTGCCCCTCTCTATACCACCGGTACCAACTCAATCGGCTGACGCGATATTCAGGGAATCATCCAACACGAATCAGATGTCATGCAGGTCGCCCACCATTATTTCGAGAATGGTATCGCATACTTCACTCGTCGAATCAATAGATGCATTTCAATGGGTGCGTTTTCCTTTTGGATTCGCAATGCACTGTCTGACCATGGGACACAGCTTGTGCGAATGGCGAGGTCGCTCCATTTATGGGCCATAACGCATTCCTCCGTTGGAAGGCGCTGCAAGACGCCGCATTCGTTGATGTCGACGGAAAGGAAAAGATCTGGTCCGAAAGCAACGTCTCCGAAGATTTCGACATGGCGTTGCGCTTACTATTGCGTGGTTACATAATCCGTTGGGCGACATATTCCAAGGGCGGATTCAAGGAAGGCGTGTCCCTCACCATCGACGACGAGCTCAACAGGTGGCAGAAGTACGCCTATGGTAAGCTTTGTCTGCGATAGTACTCAGTTTCTGATATGCTCGGTTAGGCTGCAGCGAACTACTCTTCCATCCGCTGATCCAGTGGTGGAGACGCGGTCCCGTGACCCATCAGATCCATCAATTCCTTTGGTGCAAAGCTGCCCCGATGCACTACAAGATTTCAATGATGGCTTGTGAGTGTCTTTTTTCTCCTCTCTCTTCGACTTGCACTTAAATTTATGCAGACATGTTCTCGTATTGTAGGTTGACATGCTTCCTCGTCCAGGCCCGTCCTTATATCAAGTTTAGACGGCATTGCTGCCTCGGTAACGATTGGTCTCATCAACTATGTGCTGCTAGGCTTCCAATTTCCTGTTGATGGCTTTTATCGCGGCAGCTTCGAGATCTGGCTGGCTTGCACAATTGTGTTCTTCGGAACAGGCACAGTCGGTTACACCTTACTTGAATATCGTCTTGGCCACAAGGACCTCGTGCGTTTTCTGTGTCCAAGCATGATACGGAAACACTAACCTTCAACGTAGATATTCGGCTTCATCCTCAATCTCAAGTGGATTCCTTTCTTGTGAGTTAACCTATTTCTCCGAAAATGTTAGCCTCAATATCGAACAGCTTCTTTTTCTTCGGTGGACTGGGAATACCGGTCAGCCAAGCAATTCTCGCCCACCTTTTCTCGTACAACATCCAATGGTCTGCGACCATAAAAGAGGTTCAAAGGTCGAATTTCTTCAAGGAGATCCCTAAGATCTGCAAGCGGTAAGATATGAAGCTATTGTGAAGAAAGTTGTAACCTCCCTGATAGATTCTGGTTCCCGCTCCTTGTCTCCTTCATCATCATCGCTGGCATGATTATCGTCTCAACAAATCTGGTCCCATTGCAATGGCGGGTTAGTGGAGATGCATGGGGTGTTATCTTCCCCCTCGCGTAAGTATTCTGTTTCTCTTGCCTGTCATCGACTTAAATCGCCCTCAGTGTCGTGGCAGCTTGCCATATCTTATTCCCGGTATGTTCCTCTTTCATTCTGACCCTGACCACTGACCCGTCCCAGATTGTGCTAAACCCATGGCTGATGGTGTTTTCTTACTGATACTGCTGTGCTTTTTTACTGGACGTTTTTCTTTTGGACTATCGACTTTGCGTCGCGCATATACTCACTCACTGACAACACGATATCCATATCCTTATTCCAACTGTACACTGACTCAATAGACACGACTCCATACACGCGCAACTCGACATGTCTTGCTTTTTTTGTAGACGCTTTCGTATAATGGCTTTCGACGCAACGAATACATGCTTTAGACTCGTTTGGAGACCAGCGCCCACAGAACCACCATCACAGTCAGCATCGCAACAACTCTGATGATGATTAGAGACGGTCGACTAAGTACTACTCTCACTCACACTGGTTCCAAGCTTTGTATTCCTTTCCCACCCGCACCGGCAATTGCGCCGGTGATGAACGGAACAACGGCGGCACCGGCTGTAGCAATGCCGGCAATCCAGCCGATGATGCCGGTCAAGAGGTGAGCAGGGAACACGCGACTAGCGTGATTCATCACGATGGGATACATAGGGCCAAGGAAGAGTCCAACGAAGGAGACGGCAATGGCACCACCAACGAGCGAGGGGACCAGCCATATGACTAATTCTAGGCTGGTCTAATGAGCATTGACAACCACCACAAAATCGACTCACGCGATGGCGATGATTCCATAAAGGTATACAGCCCGATGTTCCCCGATCTAACGGGGTTTGAACTCCTTTTACACGCGTCCGTGGCAGGCACAAACCAGTTTGTTGACCGGGAGGAGAATTACTCTTCCGAGGGTCAGACCTATCATAGTTCCACCATAAAGACTGATGCCCGTATTTTCCGGACTGATCTCACCTCCAAAGAAACCAGCCGAGATGTAGCCTGATGACGGGCCGCCATGGCGCACGGTAAGCATGAACGAGACGATCCAGCCTGTTGACAGATTACCCCCCCCCCCGGATTAAACGCAGCATTTTCTCTTACCACCAATAGTCACCTCCGTCCCAACATAAACAAAAAGGTATAGCGCCAAAACATGCACAGATTTGATGGAGATGATCTGCCTCAAGTGACTCCGTTCTTGCGCGGGTTCATTGGCGGTGACCTGGTTTTCGGCCGGTTTCTCGTCGCGAGAGGGCGGTTGACCTGTTAATATTAGACAAGCTGAGACCATTTGTCAGCTGCTCATCTCTCGCGACGGTGGGGTAGACAGTCCGACCTTCCTGGTTCCTGCCTCTGAACACGGCAGCCAGCAACACCGTGTTCAGCACGGTTACGCCGAGCGACAAGAGGTAATGGAACGCCCAATGGTGGTGTGCAGCGAATCGAGGCTGGGCAAACTGGGTCGACACAAAAGGCGCTACGAGAGCCCCGGCGCCATAAGCGGCTTGCACGAGCCCCATTAAGACGCCGCTATCGCGATTAGAGGTCATGCTGGCGACGTAACCGTTGGCTTGTGCGTCCTGTCCGAGTCAGAAAAAACGTTAAGATTCAGGGTATAGAATTACCTGCATGGCCAGTCCAAATCCATTGACGAAACCAGCAAGAACGAACACAGGAAACGGGGGCCCCAGACGCCTGCAGGCTGTACGCTATCATCTGGCACGTTGAACCTTGAGTTGCGATGAGCTAACATATTCAGAGGTAGTCTGTCCACAGACCAACAAGCATGAGCTACAATGAACCATATGAGGAACGGGAGAACGAGTAGAAAAAAACAACACTAGCCTTCCCAAATCCGTACTTCGGCGTCAGTGGGATGTTCGCCAACGCGCCGAGAAAGCACCCCTCATCTCAATGATCAGGTTTTATCTGACGGCACGGTATGAACTCACTAGGCACTGGAATACGAAGACGAGGGAAACGATGGTATACCCAACCTGTCGAATGTTGAATAATCAGTATATTATAGCCTTGAACGAAACCCACATGGTAGGACTGCTGTATTCTGGGAAGCAGCGGACCCACTGTCCCGTCATTCCAGCCTGCCAGGAAGAGTGTCCAACAGAGCGTTGCAAGTTGAACATGCTGTGTCTTTCTCTGCGCTCTAGTTTGAGGTGGGAGGTCATCAGTCTCGGACCCAGTGAGCTGCTTTCCCGTCGAATCGACTCGAAGCTGGGAAGTCATTCCGGCTCATGACTTGTGGAAGAGGTCATAAATGGGTCTCGAGACAGGCACGTGTGGAGGGTAAAGCCGATGGTCCGAATTCAACGTTGACCAAGTTCAAAAGTTGTGGGGTTGGTTGGGCTTTCAAAGTTACGCCGACTCCCTTCGCGGGAATCGAGTCAGAACTTGAACCCGTCTGTCACGGCGCAAGAGGAGGATCTAGAATGTCATGTCGTGTTGGACGAAGCGAAAGAACGAAACGCGTTACTGATCTGATACTTGTAAGTACTATAGTCAATCCCTAAGTAGTGGTGTCCATAGAGTCGTAAAGTCTATGCAAAGAGTAAAGTAGATGCTAAAGCTCCGGCAGCAAGCAAAGCGCTCCATCTAAGAGACTGCGCATCGCTGGAGCCTCCTGCCCCGCCTCGAGAAGACACTTTCCCGTTAGTTGACGAATTGCCGCCTTGGCCTGCCATGGATGCAGGGGGTGAAGGGAATGGGAAGCTTTTGTTGACATTCGACTCAACGAACATATTTGTCGCGGGGATTTTGTTGCACCGTCCAATGGATTCAAGCTGGAAAAGTCGATCAGCTACTTGAGAAACTCATGGTGATGAAAACACCCACGTTGAACGCAGGGTTATGGCTCAAGGCCGCATTCATGGTATATCCAAGAGCGAGATCGACGGTGATTTCGTAGAGGTCGTGTTGCAATACACAGAAACTATACCAGAGATCAGTAAGTACATCGGCAAGACAGTTGGAACTGACCCGGTATCGAGTGTTGTCGCATTGCTAAGGATGTTCTGGAACGTATTGAAAGAGGTAGTTCCGTCGACCACGCCGCCCGCCACTCGCCTGCAAATGATTTTAGGGTTGCAGGATCCCACACTGTCATTGACATACCAATCAAAGGTATCGAAAGAAGCTCCACTGGGTGTGCGCGTCCAGATGATGGGAACCAACCCCATAGCCAACGAGATCATACGAACACGATCGTCTTCATGGAGTTGAGACGCCGAACAAACAAACTGTGAACTACATACCGATGTCCCCGTAAGGTGGTCTGTCTTGCTATGAGACACTGCATGGAACAACAAAAATTCGTGCATACCGCATCGTCGTGGGTGTAACTCCTAAGACAGACTTGATAGCATGACGAGTCCATCCAAGCTCGGCTACAATTTGCTCGTTTGTAAGCGCTGTGAGATGCTGTAATCGCTTCAGAATGTGCCGCAAATGAGTGATCGAAGAGCATACGGGATGGGACCAAGTGTGGACAGCAATTTCATGGCCGGCCATGTACTCGTTGATTAGGATGTCGGGGTACGAGATGACACGCGAGCCGACCACAAAGAATGTTGCTGAGATGTTCTTGTCATGCAGATAGGTGAGAAGGTTACTAGGTCAGGATAAGCAGCTAAGACAGGTTTTTTTGTCTCCGGTTACTCACGTTGTGTATGGACTCGGCCCGTCGTCGAACGACACTCCCCACTGTAGCTTCGTGGGGCAGGCGGTGATGTCGGTTGCCCGAGTGTAACCTCCACAGGTCCACCATCCTCGCGCGGAGGCATTGGCAGCAGCAGCTGGAGACGATCAGACAAAAAGAATTTGAAACAGTGATAGGACCCAAACAACCCACCAGTATCGTTCGCGCAAGAGCCGTCCACAGTAGGCTTCAAGTCCGGGATGTTATACCCATCCAATTCTTTCATCCATTCCTTCACCTGGTCCGTTGCTGTGCAGTGTTAGCCAATGCAATGTTGACTGAGAACGAGAACCTACATGTATCGATAGGCTTATCCATCGCGGGCCATTGTCCTTGTACAAAAGACCCTGTCATTTATCAGCACGACCCTTGAAAAAAACGGAAATCGGCAGACACACAAGCAGGCGATGGGAGCGTTGGGGCCCCTGCTATCGGGGGCGTAGCCCCTGGTGGTGCGGTTCTTGTTGCAACCGGCACTTGTTGAGTCGGCATCCCCATCGTTATCTGCGCCAAAGGTGGAATGGTAACTCCGACAACGACAGTCCCCGAAGCCGCTGGCGCAGAGCTGGCCTGAGATTGACGCTTGACTAATTGGTCATGGTTGGCGAGAGCGGAGGCGGCAAGAGAGAAAAGAAAAGTGGTGGTTAGTTGTGGTCTCATGGGCGAAAGAGTGGAGGGTATTAAGCGTTTTAGATGGTGGGAGTAGAGACGAAGAGGTATGTAGGTAATCCAGGGTCGGCTCGCCAAGTGGAGTTCAGGCGATCTTCAAGTTCGATCAATTTATAGCCTTGACTTAGCTCTTGACTTCTCTTGAGCTCTTTGTGCCAAGAGCCAGCAAGAGCCATGAAAGCGGACAATAATGGTCGGCTTGCGCGGTCTGTTAGATGGTTCTGGCATTCGTCTATTCAGGTCATGAAGGATTTTGTTCAACGGAATCCTCTGTGAAGTTAGATAGACGAAGGAAGGGTGCTGACTCAGACAAACCAAAGACAAATAGTATTTCCCAGGCTCCTGAACCAGCCGTCGTTGGAGAACGCTGTAGTCAGTATGTAACGTTTGTGACATCACGTGTAAAAGATATGGTGGTGCGTTCTCCATGGAGAACCGATAGCAAGACCGGTTCTCCAAGACGTTTTACACGTGATGTCACAAACGTTACATACTGACTACAGCGTTCTCCAACGACGGCTGGTTCAGGAGCCTGAGTATTTCCAAAAGTCGGATCGAAGGCTGAGAGGTGTGACACTATCACGTGCTATAGTCACATAGAAATGAACTAGTCCTGAACAAGTCCTCAACTTTGTGTGTCCACTGTTTGTTCACACGACACACATGTCGAGTCCACTTACTCTCTACATCGATGGCCTGGGTACACCCTGACGATGAATCCTTCTCGCGTCGAGACCTCCTCAGCGACACAACTATTCGCGAGCTCTTCACCGCTCGTCTGGGTCTGGGGGTAACAAGCATATCGAGTCCAGAGGATCATGGCGTGTTTCACAAACTCTACTTCGTGTCATTATCGGAGGCAGAAGGCCATTCATGGTCTGGTAGAGATGTCGTTTTGCGCGTAGCAAGGTAGTAACAGATCTCATCCACATCCACAATACTGCGGCTCAAAAGCATTGGTAGGAAAACATTCGACAGGGTGAAAACAGAAAACGAGATGGCCACTTTAGAGCTCCTCCGTGACTCTGGAGTCCCCGTACCGAAAGTCGTCTTCTTCTCGGCTGACCCCCATAATTCTCTTGGTTATGAGTATAACTGTCTCGAGAGTAAGCCGCGTTGTATGTCCTCAGGGCGTAGTCTTATCGTTTGCTTCAGAAATCCCATACCCCTCCCTTGCTAAAATATGGCAAAATCTTTCCCCATCTCAGCTCGACACTGTGTTGGACCAATTGGTCGATATATTCGTCAAAGTGTTTGATGTCGGCCGTCCTGGACGATACGGAGGTCTGGCTCTGGGAGGAGGCGCCGGACCTGTGGTTGAAGAAGCAATGTGGCAGATGTAAGCCTTCGATGCTCTGCTGCACTGAAACTTGAATAACCCTTCTTAGTCCTGATATCGCGCGTTACTTCCACTCGTCGCCATATAATCTCACTACTGAGACGTTTGCCTCGCTCAACCCGACTGGCTTCTACGAAACCTGGCCAGATTACGTCTCTGCATTTCTCAAGTCCTACCATCACATCGTGTCTATTCACCCAGCTGTTTCGTTCCTACGGGATTTCCTTCCTCGACTCCAACTTTTGATCGACACTCTTGACAAACCTCAGTCCACCGCTGAGCCGTGGGTCCAGCGACTCCGTACTTCTGAAGAGCTCCGTCCGCGTCTCTACCACACCGATTTCCACTTTGGCAACATCTTGGCTGACGTGAACGGGACAATCAAGGGAATCATCGACTGGGAATTCGCTCGCATGGGCCCACCGTTCTCTGTTCGTATGTCGTGGATCGGAAATATTGTATCGGACGTCCGAGCCACATGGCCTGACAACCCTGTCGCTCAGAACATAGGCAGTACGTGGTCAGGGGAGTTTCATAAACGGCTGGCTGAGCGTGCCCCCCAAATCGCTGCTATCAAAGAGAGGGAATCGGACCGTGACGCGGTTCTGGGCACCAAGGGGAATGCGCTACAGTGGATTTGGGTTTGTTTGCGTTCGGCTTTGGAATATGGAGTCCGGAGTGATGAAAGCGTAGAAGGTTCCAAGGGCAGTTGGGTGAAGGTTCTTGAGCGAGAGTTACAAACGCTGGGCCTCTGAGACTTGGTATCGAATCTATGAAAGTTCCAGACGCACAGACTAAGACACACATCCAAGTAGAGTCATAATGTGAGTTTTCAAAATCGCTAATGGGTTACAAAACGTCGCTCGCTACTGCAATACAACTTCAAACGCTCTGCCCCTGAACATCTTCGAGGTCTAAGCCAACTTGCACCCTGGTCTGAAGCAAATGTCAGAGAAGAGGCTACGAGTGATATCGGACTCACACGTGCCCGCCGTCCTTTGCCCCGCACTCGGCGCAGGTTGGTCCATGGGTTCCATGGTTGGTTGGTTGGTTAAAGTCGACTGTGGTTCCAGTGGTCAACATTCTGATTGGTGCAAATTGCTAGTGGTAGTTCTGCGTGGCTGAGTGTCTGAGTGCTCTGGCTTTCAACGTGCATTCAGGGCCATATTTATATGCCACCACATTGATGAGTCAATTTGAACTCGTAGGCGATCGCTGAGCGCAGAGTCATCCTGGAGCTTATCTTCCTCAGTGTGGGCACACCTCAAGGTTGAATTTCTCCCACACCCTATACAATTCCTTTGTGGACTTGATTTGATTTAGGCCTGATATAGCTTAGTATTTACCCAAGCACGCAAATGAGCGTTCTTTAAACGCTCGTTCCAAACCCTGGGGCCAATTACATTCAACCACCGTCAACCTGCAGCATTCTGCATTTGTTCTAGTCTGCCTTGAGAGAACGTTTTGTCGTGCTGTTGAAGCACAGCAATATGTGAGATCATTTGAGAAGCTTTCGCGGATGAAGAGCCTGGGGCGAACGAAAGTAGAGTGCTACGAGAGTGGTATAATATATCCGGGTCACTGAGCAAATGTAACATGATCGCTAGCATTGTGACTAGACGTGTCATCTCTGGGTGTGGGCGGAGCGGAATGCTTGTACTCGGACTAAACACGGCAATTAGAGTGGACCACGAAAGGAGAGATAAACACACTCGAGGGGAAAACGTTTCCGGAGATACATGTGTGGACACCTGGGTGTGAACGAAGATTTGGTCCTTGGAGGAGAGCTGATGGCCCAACCCGCGACTCCCGAGTTCCAGATTAGTAGCGCGCTGGATGAGCGATCAGCGCTCGGTCTAGGGAAGCTCTTGGAACATACACGTGACGTCCGTCGGTCGTTATAAGAATAGACCTCCTGGCTCCCGTCCCGTGTGCGATACGCGTTGATGGAGTTGAGTGTGTATAAAAGGCTCACGACGTACACTTTCCCTAGGCTGTGAAGGGTTAAGAATTCGTCAAGAATTGAAGAAAAATATCTACGCGATGTTCAGAAGCATGTGCCCTATACGGAGAATGAGTATGGTGGTTTTCGAGGAATGCACACGAACAGAGCAAATGAGCCTGGCCGAGGGTTTGCGTCATGATCAAGTCTATCGTTGCCACGACCGTGGGTGGAATCGCACTCTCGAAAACCAAACGGAGCAATCGGTTGATAAGTAGAGCGGTGCTTGGGAACACGAGTTGGAACAAATTCCACTAGGTTATTGGCGCTTACCGTTGAAGGCCAGCACTCCGTCGTTGGAGAGAATGAATCGTGCCAGCGGTGATAAGAAAGTCGGCAACGAAAACTCCGATAAGATGCACCTGTGATCGTTTTAGATCTCCCACGAATATTAAAGGAACCAGATGACTCGCCAGAAGCCACATTACTTTAGCCTTGGCATTCCCCGACAGGATGTTAGCCAGCTAGAATGAATTTAGTTTTGATGGCCCTCATCCATAAAGGAGATCCAGCGTACGGAAAGGCAAACGCCTGCAAGACCGACACACATCGCGCATATGATGGGAACGCAGAGAGTCCAGTTGTGGGAAAGCATGTAGTATCTTCCGGCGAGTTAGTCTAAACTTTAAACTGCATGAGAAATCTCCTCACCTGAAACAAAAGAACGACTGGACCGTGGTGCCAATAACCGCGGTCTACATCGTGAGCCACACAAAAAGTGAGAGCGTATTTTCGTACCATGAGCGGCATTGATACTTGCCACCACGCCTAGGAAGTTTCAGCCAACACGCCGACGCGGGATGAGTACGAAGACAGACCTTCGCTACCAGCAACCGTGCGACATCTGGATTTGCGTACTAGAAGTTTCGCTCAAGATGAGGAGTCCACGAGAAAACGGGGAACTCACATCCATCACATTCTGCACCCACACCACCGCGATACATTGAGCCGTCTACCGGATGTGAGTTTCAAGTCGACGAGTTGAGGGCCGTAATGAACCTTGAGCACCGATAGACCGAAGACAGCGAAAACGACCGCGTTGTAGAATCTCTGCACAGCCGACTCTGCTGGCGCCCGTGTTCGATAATAGGTGACTACTTGACAGAAGATGACGCCTTGCACACAAGTTTAGCCCGAGCGGAGGTATATTATTTATAGCGCACCCATAAGCACGCTATCGAGGAAACCCCCAAGTACCTGCAAATCATGAGAACAACCAGGAGGTTGAGGCGCGCTGAATACCCATGGCCCAAGCGAGCTGACGCGTCTTTGCACGAAGTCGGCGGATGGCGGGGAAAGTTCGATGACTGACACTCCTGTCGGCATGTCTGCGGGCAGTAGAGGAGTACTCGTGCGGTCGAGCCCCAGTGCCGCTTTTATGGGAAGAATCTAATCTAAGGGAAAGGAGTTTAAAAAACAAATCTGATTCCGGTTTGGTGGCATGCGAAAGGGCGGGACCAAAAGTTGACCATGTGAGAGAATCATTGGCTCCATTACGGCGTCAAGTTGCTGCATCTCGGGGAGAAGATCTTGAAGGAGCGTATAGGTAGCATTCGACAAGTACTCTTTTTAGATACATAGCCTTTGTGAATCACTTTTTTTGGTTGAGCAGGTCGGCTTCAACGGTTTTCGGAGTTGCATGCACATTGGTGCTATCTTCTAGTGTCTGGACATCAGTGGTGCGGGGAAGCATACCTAACATCCAACAACCGGGTAAAGCGATAGGTGGATGTTTCGGTCATTGACCTTTTTGCGATACAGCGGCCGCGGAAGGCATTTAGTAGCGATGGAAGGGACATTCCCGTTGGCTGTTCTTCCAATAATCAGTTCAACATTCTGGTTAAGGCGAGGATGAGGCTTTCTCGTTTGTGTGTGACTGGTCACTGGTCACAGTTGGTCGACCGACTCGGCAGACGTCGGCCGGTATTTCTCTCTCACACCGGATTTGGTAAAATATCCCTTGAAGTAGAAACTGTTCTAGATTCTGGTAGAATCTAGAACCAAATCAACCTGTGTAGATTTGCCCAGAATATACTGTTTGGAAACTGAGATTGATTTTGGTCAAATATATACTAGTTTTAGCAAGTCTGAAGTGAAAACTATCTATGGCACTGAAACTATGCCTGAAATGGTTCATATCTGCGCGCATATATTTGGTCATGATATCATGCGCATCAAATGTGGCGAAACTGTCAGTGAAATAAAGGATTTCACTGACAGTTTCAGCATGGATGATACAAAGAAAATCAGCAGTAGAGAAATGCACATAGATTCTCTTTGTTTCTATTTGCATTTCTCCACTGCTGAAACTGTAGGTTTACAGTACAATGAAATCATTGTTGAAATCTTAAATTTATTCATGTCAGAAATTGTGATTAAAACTGTCAGTATATACATTGGAGAAATTGTAAGAGATATTGTATGTATATCAGTGACTTGAGGGTCAACCCTCAAGTTAACCCTCAAGTTAACCCTCAAGTCAACCCCAAGGGTCTGACCTCCGGGTAGACCCTACAAGTTCAGTCTCCAGCTACATATTCAAATACATAATTAGTGTCAATAGGATAACAACTTTGTAATGACTTTACACAAACTTTCTAATAAATGTTACCAGATTGTAGGACCCCTTAATACATGTACTATTCAGTTTAGACTTATGTTTCAAAGTCAATGGTTGAGTCAGAAAATGCAAATTACTGACCCAACCCTGAGTTTTCAAAATAGTGGTAGGGCCATATCTCAATGAGTTCTTATCCGTTCTCAACATGTTATATATGAGCAGGAAGGTATTCAATAGGCCTACAAACTGGTATTTAACATAAAGTTCATTGCATACAAAATCACAGACTTTATTACAAAATATATTTTGACTATTAGATTGTTAACCCAATTACTTAATGGTTTCTAGACTTTTCATTAAAAGTTAGATATAGTCAGAAAGGTATTTCAAAGTTCTACAAACTTGATTTCAACCCTGATATGGTTGATTACAAAACCACAGACTTTCACTACAAGTTAAGGTTTATTGAATTAACTTCAAAATTCAAAGTCAACCAAATGACTCCATATTGTATATGGTAGTAGAGCTTCATTGATTGAGTAAGTATTCAGTTCAAACCTATTCAAAATTCATAACCATTGACTCACAGAAGGTGAAATACTCACAAAATATCAACTTTGTTACTTTAGGGCTAGCCTGGCTCAAATAGTATTAGCACTAAATCCCTCTTCCCATTTACTGCTTACCACTTGTAGGGTCTTACCACTTGTAGGATGGAGCACAGGTATAGCTCTGAGTCTGCTTAACTTGACTCAGACCCTGACTCTGACTCTGACTCTGACTCAGACCCAGACCCAGACCCAGACCCTGACCCTGACCCTGACCCAGACCCTGACTGTTACAGATAAGACCTGGCCTGTCCGCTCCGGCGCTGGTGTCGGGCCATCACGAGCCTGCAACATACAGCACATGACAATGGGGAACGGGCGCCCCAGTTGGAGGAACGCACATGTGGGAAGCACGTGACCGAGAACAATGTGTCGAGCAGTTGCCGAGCCCAACCCAACACCAGGGACTGGGGGGGAGTGCTAGGAGGTTAGGAGTAGCGCCTGGCCCGCAAGGGATATACAATCGTCCCCTCTGTGGCCAGGAATGAGGGCGAGGAGGAGCAGGAGAGGCTAGGGTGTCGGATGTCCGATCACCCCTTTGCGGGCCTGCGTATATAAGGCACAATAGTGTACTATGTACTCTATTGCTTACATTGTCTCTAAAGTACCGCTTCTCTCCGTGCAAAGAGGAATCACCAACTCATCAGGCCTGACACGACCCGATTCAAACCTTTGACCACCAACAGCGACAAGGGACCAAGCTGATCACCCCTCAGCAGGGCCACATATATAAGGTGTGATAGTATACACCATACTCCATTGCTTAGATCACCTATTATACTACCTCACCCTATACAAGGAGGCATCACCAAGTTGACACCGACTCATTGGGCCTTGTCGACATGACCTGACCCTGACACTGACACCCACTTAAATATCTATTCTGTTCCAGGCACTTGTTTCTCAAGAGGAGTCTTGCACAGCCCAACCTGAACCCTGACAGTCAGGGTCAACGTCAGTATCAGGCTTCAGGTCAGAGCGCGTGCCCGAGAGATTCGGAGAGAACAGGCCAGGTCTTATCTGTGACACTGACCCTACTTAACCCTGACCCTAGTGGGTAAGGTTGACTTGATCCAGGTTAACACTCATATCATATTTGATACAATTCAAAAAGCTCAAATCATCATTGTTATATAATACAATTAGTATTTATAAGCCTTCTTGTGTTCCATCCTGGTCCTTTTCATTGTCCACATTTTACTCTCCCTAGAAAGCATGAGTGGGGGGTTGAAGTGGCAGGGTTTCATGTTAGAATGCACAAAGGAACTGAGAGAGGTATATACTTACCTCATTCATCATATGCATATCTATGTATACAAGATGAGGGTGGAGTACAAGTCAGGTAGGGCTTGTCATGATCAGAGTCAGGGGCAGGATATACTAATCAGGGTCAGGGTATACTAACCCTGACCCTGACCCTGAGACCCTGACCCATGCTCTACCTCACCAACTTCTGAACCTGGCCAAACATGGACCCTTTCAAGATCAACTAGAAAGGGGCAATAGGCAGTTGTAATGTAACAATTGACTATCTGAATCTCATTTTTATAATTGTTTTTTTGAAAAATCAAGTCACTTATATGACTTAACATATCATAATTAGTGAACTGTATTGATCATACTCTATAGATTTTGAGAGATAGGCTACATATACTATATCTGGCACAAGATAATATAGCAAAACATATAAATTATTGTTCTAAACATGTTTTCTGCTTCCATATTCTGTGACCTGTAGGTCAACCTAGACCTGGTTGGACCTATACCCAGAAGGGGCAGGGTTTGTTAAGGTCAGGGTCTGCCTTTCAAGACTCAGACCCAGCAGCCCTTTATCTGTGACAGTCAGGGTCAGGGTCAGGGTCAGGGTCTGGGTCTGAGTCAGAGTCAGAGTCAGAGTCAGGGTCTGAGTCAAGTTAAGCAGACTCAGAGCTATACCTGTGCTCCATCCTACAAGTGGTAAGACCCTACAAGTGGTAAGCAGTAAATGGGAAGAGGGATTTAGTGCTAATACTATTTGAGCCAGGCTAGCCCTAAAGTAACAAAGTTGATATTTTGTGAGTATTTCACCTTCTGTGAGTCAATGGTTATGAATTTTGAATAGGTTTGAACTGAATACTTACTCAATCAATGAAGCTCTACTACCATATACAATATGGAGTCATTTGGTTGACTTTGAATTTTGAAGTTAATTCAATAAACCTTAACTTGTAGTGAAAGTCTGTGGTTTTGTAATCAACCATATCAGGGTTGAAATCAAGTTTGTAGAACTTTGAAATACCTTTCTGACTATATCTAACTTTTAATGAAAAGTCTAGAAACCATTAAGTAATTGGGTTAACAATCTAATAGTCAAAATATATTTTGTAATAAAGTCTGTGATTTTGTATGCAATGAACTTTATGTTAAATACCAGTTTGTAGGCCTATTGAATACCTTCCTGCTCATATATAACATGTTGAGAACGGATAAGAACTCATTGAGATATGGCCCTACCACTATTTTGAAAACTCAGGGTTGGGTCAGTAATTTGCATTTTCTGACTCAACCATTGACTTTGAAACATAAGTCTAAACTGAATAGTACATGTATTAAGGGTTCCTACAATCTGGTAACATTTATTAGAAAGTTTGTGTAAAGTCATTACAAAGTTGTTATCCTATTGACACTAATTATGTATTTGAATATGTAGCTGGAGACTGAACTTGTAGGGTCTACCCGGAGGTCAGACCCTTGGGGTTGACTTGAGGGTTAACTTGAGGGTTAACTTGAGGGTTGACCCTCAAGTCACTGATATACATACAATATCTCTTACAATTTCTCCAATGTATATACTGACAGTTTTAATCACAATTTCTGACATGAATAAATTTAAGATTTCAACAATGATTTCATTGTACTGTAAACCTACAGTTTCAGCAGTGGAGAAATGCAAATAGAAACAAAGAGAATCTATGTGCATTTCTCCACTGCTGATTTTCTTTGTATCATCCATGCTGAAACTGTCAGTGAAATCCTTTATTTCACTGACAGTTTCGCCACATTTGATGCGCATGATATCATGACCAAATATATGCGCGCAGATATGAACCATTTCAGGCATAGTTTCAGTGCCATAGATAGTTTTCACTTCAGACTTGCTAAAACTAGTATATATTTGACCAAAATCAATCTCAGTTTCCAAACAGTATATTCTGGGCAAATCTACACAGGTTGATTTGGTTCTAGATTCTACCAGAATCTAGAACAGTTTCTACTTCAAGGGATATTTTACCAAATCCGGTGTGTCTTGCGTCCCAATTGTGGCTTCTCTTTCCTTCCCGTCATGAGACCGCCGCCACCGTTATCCCACCCTCCAGAACTCAGATGGAATCTTTTCCACTCAATCGCACTATTCAAATTCTGAGTGCGGCCGAGAAAGGCAAGTACGGTATTCTTGCCCAGACGTGGTGCGTTCCGTTCACCTTGTCAAAGAGCTCCCTCACTCATCTTTTTTTGACCGCAGCTACGACGCCCATTGTGTGATTGGGCTTGTTCGCGCCGCAGAACGCAATCGTAGCCCCGCAATCTTGCAACTGTTTCCCGTCACGCTTGCCTACGGCAAAGGACCTTTCCTAGCTTTCTGTCTCAACGCGTATGTGGCTTCTTGGATGAGTGAAAGCTTCTCCTCATATTTTGTAGCGCCCACAGTGCCTCGGTCCCGATAGCTGTCCATCTTGACCATGCGACAGATCCAGAACACATCGAGCTTGCTCTCTCTTTAGCTGAGGAAGGCATTGCTTTTGACAGTATCATGGTGGATGCAAGCCACGCTGATGTATGTTTCTCTGACCGATCTGAACCAAGCCTTTTCATGCATATCACAGACCGACGAAGAAAACATCTCAATTGCCAAGCCCTATGTTGACCGCGCAACCAAGCTAGGTATTGCTGTAGAAGTGGAACTAGGGCGTCTCGAAGGCGGGGAAGCTGGCTTGCGGATGATTTCTGATGCTAAGCTGACTGATCCTGCTAAAGCAACGACCTTCATCGATGGGTCCGTGCTCTGGAAATAGCGTTTCTATTCTTACTCATTCCTATTATGCAGAACTGGAGCGGTCATTCTTGCCCCCAGCATTGGCAACCTTCATGGCTCGTACATCAACCCACCGAACTTCCGACAGGATATGTGAGTTCTGGTGCCAGCTAGTTATATCCGAATGACGTTACTAGCCTGAAAAACCTGCACGTAACCTTCGCCGACCACATCCCTCTATGTCTGCATGGCACTGACGAGCTCCCTGACGAACTTTTTGTTGAGTGTATCAAGAACGGTATAAGCAAGGTCGGCGTCAAGATTCCATTATTTTTGCACGTCAGTCTCATTTGAACTCTCAGATCAACGTGAATAGCTGGGGTCGCGACCCATATGCCAAGGCACTCGCGGCTGGACTACAAACTAAGCCCTTTCCTGATGCAGTAGAAGAAGCTACCGATATTTTTGCTGGAGTCTGCGATCGCTTCATCCAATTATTTGGCTCGGCTGGGAAAGCATAGGTGTTTATATGATGTCTCGGCCCCGAATAAACAACTCTCGTTCAATTTGTCGACTATCTTGTCCTACCCATCAGCGAACATAACTTTATCTCAGTCGACGTGAAGGAGCAGCACATCTTGCACGTTCTTGACTGTTACCCGTTCGGCCGGATCAGCAGCAAGAGTCGACTCAACCACATCAACAAACCACCGTAGCGTGTTGTCTCTCCAAGGCAGGCACGGTCGGACCCACTCAACTTCCCGGGAGAAAAATATGACTTCTTCGAACAACGCCCAAAGTGTCATTCCAAGAAGAAAGGCGTCGCGCTCAGGTGTTAAGGGTTGTTCGGGGGTTGTCTGAATCCTGTTGCCTAGCTCTGGTGGAGAGTACTTTGGCGTCCAGGCGTAGGGATCCGGGTAATAATCAATGAGGCGGCAACGTCCATCGTTGCAGAGAACAACATTATTGAGATTCAGATCCCCCCAGAATACGCCTCGCTCGTGTAACCAGGCTATAGCAGCAATGATATCACGAGCCCACGCGAGTTTAACTTCCAGTGGAAACAACAATGCGTCGTTTAATGGAGGGGGAGTTGCCTCTGGTGCAAATGGAGGGAGACTGACAAAAGACCACGCGTCAGTCGGACGGTGGTCAAGGTAGTACTCCATTAAGCTGCCTGCGTGATGATAGTCCATGAGCATGCCCCGCAGACAGCCGGATTCGTCTATAGCTGCCTGTGTGGGTCGAACCAAGTGATCGCAGTGCGGTAGGGAGACAAAGAATTCAAGCTCTTTGACAAGGTCATTGTTTTGCATACCGTCTCCGATTTGGGCCGACTGTTTGAGAACCTTGTGGGTTTCCCAGTCTGAAGCCATGACCACTTGGTGAATGACGAAGCTATTCTTATGTCTAGACACAAGCCGAAAGGCTGAAAGTGGAACGCGGTCGATGACGACGCTGTCGGAGAGCGTCTTCCCGACATAATGATGTTTGTGCGAGGTGGCCTGAAGATTCATGGAGCCATCTTCGAGTGTTTTCATGATTACTCTTGTTCTCCAGCCCAACAGTTTATCAACCCGAGCCAAAATCTACGCACATAAGTCTACATGTGTGTGTGAGAGAGAGAGAGAGAGAGAGCAAAGAACCTCCTGAATGGTGGCCCAGTCTGCACATCGCTTCGTATCCAATGCGCGGTTTTCAGGACAGTCTTGAACATTCCGGTTACGAACATAGATAATGTCGATAGCTGCACCGCTGTCCATGACCCCACTGTCCCCGTCCACCAGCACTTGGACTACACTTGACTCCATGTGGTCTCGGTCGTTCCAGTATGCAAAGCCGGGCGTCTCAACGGAGATGGGTAAATGTCCAGTGTGGAGGGCGCTCCACGATGAGGGAGGACGCTGTTGGGCGGGATGTTGCTGCATAGGATTTAGTTGATGTGCCAGAATGAAGTTTGAGTTGGACACACATTGAACATGAGAAAATAAGAGTCAAAAAGTCATGTCACGAACTTTCTGTGTGGGTGCCTGATGATAGTTACTCATCTCAAGCCAACAACGGTCAACTGGAAAACACATTGCACAGGCTACACAAATTCATGCAGCGGTGGACGAAGATGCTATTACTGTAGACGAACAATGATAACAGGGAACTTGAATTTCACTACGAATTCACCGTGACTAGTGCAGCCTTAGGTTCGCCGCTCTCGTCATATACTTATTGCGATGAAACACATGCAAGCGGTCATACACGGTTCCAAATTGAACGCTCGCTGATTTCTGTGAAACATGTGACCGCGTCCATGCTCAGGCAGCAGTGCCTATCGGCCTCCCCAGTTGCGCGGAGAAAAATTCATCCAGCCACCCAAAGAAGACCTGTTTGTCTTCCTCCGTCAAATTTGCCCAGTTGATATCATTAGTATCCTGTTGAGATACTCTTCGAATCACAGGAGGTGCGCCGATTGACCGTCGATTTGGAGGCGGGGGAGTGGGTCGTTGGGGTTCCTGTTGTTGAAATTGAGCGGCGATTGATCGTACAGCTGCGGCTGGAGGCGGCGATGCAGGCGGCACGTATGATGATGAGGAGGATGAAGAGGCGATCGACGGTCTAGTTGAGCGTATTATGGGCGGTGGGCCCCCACCGCTACTATTTGATGGTACTGGACTGGGACTAGCGCTTGGTCGGGAAGTTTGAGCAGAATTGGCTCGTTGGGGAGGGGGCGGTAGCGCCGGTTTTGGTCGAGTATTGGCATTTGCACGGGGTGGGGGTGGGGGCGGCGGGTTCTTGCTAGATCCCCGTTGAACAGCTAATCGGAGTCGTATAATGTCCCACTCAACTCGTACGGATTCCAGTTCGTATCCTTCAGAGGCACACTCGAATGTCTATCTTTGGTATCATTGAACTTTGTCACTGTTGTGTTCTTCGCCTTAGCGGCCTTGTCTTTGAGCTCTGCAACTAAGTGTATTTGAGATTGTCTTAGCAGATGGTCGGTGCGACACACAGGTAGGCATGAGTAGCTGGACAAGTCCTTGTATTGATTGACACCGCGGCACAGCCACACTTCTAACTTTTCTTTCTCTCGAAAACTACGATGCCGCGAGCGACTTCGGACAAGTTTACTCGTGCCCACCAACCGTCAGCAAAAGCATCTTCTACGAAAACCGCATCTTCTTCAAAAGCGGATTCTTCTGCTGGTGCCCGCAACCCGATCTTCAAGACGGAACAGTTTGGACAGCATATTCTCAAAAATCCACTTGTTGCACAAGGGTTCGTGTAGCTCCTATATGGCTATAGCCGCCTTTGAACTACTTAGGATCGTCGACAAAGCCGATTTAAGAGCGACCGATCATGTACTGGAGGTTGGTCCTGGAACGGGAAACTTGACTGTTCGAATATTAGAGAAAGCGAAGCATGGTGAGTCCTCCAAGTCTTATTTCGGTCTGCTTCAAACCTCCTAGTCACGGCTGTCGAATTCGATCCCCGGATGGCTGCTGAACTAACAAAACGTGTCCAGGGAAAGTACGTGCTTTACTCCTGCCCGCTCTCACTGAGATTTACTCGACTCCAGACCCGAAGCCAATAAACTCTCTATTACTATTGGCGATTTCGTCAAGGCCGACCTCCCATTCTTCGATGTCTGTATTTCCAACACGCCCTACCAAATATCTTCCCCGCTTGTCTTTCGTCTGTTGTCCCATCGGCCGCTGCCGAGGGTGTGCATATTGATGTTCCAGCGCGAATTTGCACTGCGTTTAGTTGCGCGCCCTGGGACAGAGCTGTGGTCTAGGTTAAGCGCTAACGTTCAACTCTATGCCAAGGGTGCTTTGTCCCGTATCTCTCTCTCTACACAAGTTGATGAAAGATTTTAGTGGATCATATCATGAACGTCTCGAAAAACAACTTTCGACCGCCACCGAACGTCGAATCATCAGTCGTGCGCATTGTGCCACTAGACCCACCACCACCAATAAAATTCGACGAGTTCGATGGTCTCACTCGTATCTTGTTCAGTCGCAGGAATAAGACCGTACACGGAAATTTCGCGGCCAAGGGCGTATTTGACATGTTGGAGAAGAATTGGAGGACGTGGTGCGCAGAGAGTGGCAAGGTATGAGCTTCGATGTGTGTTTTTTGTGGGGGGCTAGGCTGAAATGATGCGTAGATGATAGAAGACAACATTACGATGAAGGCGAGGGTTGAAGAAGTCCTTTCGCAAACTGGCTACAGTGAAAGTCGTGCGGCCAAGATGGACATTGATGACTTGTTGAAGCTGCTAGCAGCATTCCACGAGATCGGAGTTCATTTTGCCTAGGTATCGTACACAAATGAAAAGTGAAAAATGCGATAAATAAACTGCCTTCCTCCGTCAGCAGACCACACAATCCTGACCAAGCATGTCGAATCCAGGAGGGACAGGACCCATTAGTTCGGCGGGAGGTGAACCAAACGACTGCATTTCAGCCATGAGGGCTACAACGCTTTCGCGTGATTTGGGGTCCTCGTCAGAGTAGGTAGGGCTGTCGAACAATGCGAGGATACTTTTGACGCGATCGAGCTGGTCCTCGTAACGTTTCCGATCATCAGCAGGAATTGGTGCAGGTGGGGATTGGAGGTAAGGCGGGAACTATTAAGGATATGGATCAGCGATTTTTTCCCTTAAACGAGAGAGCGCAAGCAAACCTTTTCAGCCAGCTCTTTCAGCGGATCGTAGAGAATCTCTTTTGACATGAGCTCTCCCATCATGTTCTCGAGTAGCCCAGCAAGCTCTGTCTCGTTGGTAGGTAAATCACCATCCCCATCACCTCCTAGTGAAGCGAGCAAGGCAGCAAGGGGGTCTGATGCCGTCGATGACGACCCGTCAGCGTCCTTCAACGCATCTTCGCCCTCCTTGAGTTTGCCCATGGCCTGCTTGATCTTGGCCTGGAAATCGTTTGCCGCGGAGTCGGCGCCATTGCTCGAGGCGGCAGGCCCGCCGTTCGCACCTTCAGTCAGCCCATTCATGCTCTCAATGAGCATGGCCTCCCAGGCAGCCTTGAGCTCTTCTTCGTTTGGCAGTGGTCCGCCTTCTGAGGACGATCCTTCTGTAGGCCCCGAAATTTCCCTCATGAGACTTTCCATCCCCTTTGCCAGTTCCGCTGCGAAATCGGCGGCTAGCGCGTCTCCATCTTCTTCAGTCACACCCGCCAACCCTGCAAAGCCAGGTCCATTACCCGGCATCGGCACCGGAGGCGCATCTACCCTCGTATTTGTGCGTGGCCGTCCACCAGAAAAGGTGCTTGCGGTCGCAGTTGGCGGAGGGGGCGGGGGCGAAGTAACCGGTGATGTGGGTCCGACTTCTGAAGTGGCGGATTGTGGCTCGGGTTGGCGCGAGAATTGCTCAAGAACATCTGTCCAGACAGAGACGCGGAATGAGTTCAAGTTGGCAGAAGCAAGTAGGCTAAATAGCGTTCAACTTGCCGTCGAGATCGTCTAGATCGTCCTGGTCAAGAGCAGCCATTGGGCGTGGGAACAACTTACTCAATCGAGAGACAGCTTCATCAGCCAAATCATGACCTGGGCACCAATCACCAGTGATGCGCCTCTTCGGCCACCAACACGCATGTTGTCCAAGTTCTGCAGCTGAGCGACTCTAATTTGCGGCAGCTCAATGACGAGCCCGCCTCTTATAGTGTCAACCAAGCGATGAACAACAAAGGTTGTCTAGTGGCACCAGACCAAAGCATGAATGGCCTTTCCGAAGTCCTTGATCTTGAATATGGACAAATATCCGTCAAAGGGCGACAAATAGCGGTCTCAGCAACATCTCCGCCGAAAACGACTGGATAGACGGTGAAGACTTGCAGCACTATCACTCAGGAGTCAGAATTCATGTAGTCCCACTAAAATTGCGAGTAGCACAGGCTTTCTTTCTCCCGAGTTCGCAAACCGTCCCATCAAGACCAAAATGGAGCAAGTTACTCAAGATTCAAGACTGTGAAATAAAAACAATTTTACGTTCGACAATTACATTCATATTCAACTGCATACACCGCTCGAAACCTTGAACTGCTGGTACCACTATGAACTAGAATCCAACTACGTCGATTGTGCAGGTGATCGATGATGTCTCTTTGTTTCCTCGACTCAAGGGAAGTCGCAGTCAGATGTCGCTGCCCCGTGCTTCTTGCAGCAGGAACGGAACTACCCATTAAACGTCACTAAAAGCGCATCGATGCATGTAGGGAGCCATACGTTACTGAGGTGCTCCGAGATAGAGCCGGCGCGACAATCAACGCCGCCGACGAAGTCGCCATTCAGCTGGTCGCAGCAAGTGTGGGTGGCCCCGACTTGGTTGTTACCGTTGGTAACGCATTTGCAGGCGGTAGTGGAGGAGATGAGGGCCGCGACGACCACAAGGAAAAAACGGGAGAACTGCATGAAGAAGAGTGGGTGAGTGTTCAGTGGATGGGCTACCTCGAAGGAGTGCCCTCGTTTTTATACACCACCGTCGACGTTTCTCTGACGAAGATTACAGTCCTGTCCTGGTGCCACGGCCGCCCACACTCCACTGTACTCCATGCTCAACGGCGCCGTTCATTCAGCGCTCCACAAAACCTATGGTTTACCCAACATCTAGGCTCAACAATGGTGTTTTAAACCCCAGAACGAGCTTAGAGTTTCCAAAAACTTGGCTCCAACGACTCTTCGCTTGACGTTTTCTGTATATCTCGCCACCATGGTCCAGAAGCTTGTAACAATGAGTTATCCAGTCGTCAAAAACGCCCATGGACGCGCTACTCCCGTCCAATCACGGGAGCGTGAGACTCGTGGTAGCATTACGGTAATAATGCCTCCATCGGAGAACGACCGAACCTTGTACCTAACCGCAAGTGCCCTATCACCTGTCTACCATCCGTCAAGCCAAGGCCACCATATGAGAAAGCCATCAACAAAATCCAAGATCATCTGTGTCTTCCAACGTTTAAATCGGGTATACCAACGAATGTCAAACTAATTCCCATCTTTCGCATTAGCAACATCTTGACGCGTTGTTTAACGGCTAGCAAGGGTCCTGCAAGCACACAGCAACGCTGCACATAGCCCACTTCTGGTACTCGCAACTGCTGCAAGCTTCCTTTATCGTCAAAACTGAAGTTTTCACGGTGTTGAAATAAAGACAAGTCATGTTACATTCGGCACTTAAATTCATATTCTACATCGCTCAAGACCTTAAACTGCTGGTACCATCATGGACTAGAATCCAACTATGTCGTATTGTGCAGGTGCTCGAGGATGTCCCTTTGCTTCTTCGACTTAGGGGAAGTCGCAGTCGGACGTTGCCGCCCCGTGGCTTTGGCAGCAAGACCGGAACTGTTAGTTTCTCATCAGTAAGCGCATCGATGCAAATAGAAAATTCAAAGCATACATTGCTGAGGTGCTCTGAGATAGAGCCCGCACGGCAGTCGTCGCCCCCAACGAAGTCGCCATTGAGGTCGGCGCAGCAAGTTTGTGTCGCCCCAACGACGTTGCTGCCGCCAGTAACGCATTTGCAGGCAGTAGTGGAGGAAACGAGAGCCGCGACGACCGCGAGGAACAGCTTAGAAAACTGCATTGTGTGTATGAAGAAGAGTGGGTGTTTGTTTGTTTGTTTAGGTTGGAGATTGGGTGGTTGGATCAACCTGGTAGAAGTACCTCTGCTTTTATACCTTGCTGGTCCTCCTCTGACAAAGATTGTAGACGCCGTGGCTGCCCCACTCCACTGTGGTTTCAATGCTCAGCGGTGCCGTTCATTTCGTGCTCCACAAAAAACCCGTGGTTTACTCAACATCTGGGGCAACAAGCGTCTCCCGATGCTCCAACGAGCGCCATCATGTACGTTGCATTGGCAAACAAATCAAACAAGCTCCGGGAACCTACAACAATTTGATTCTAACGACTCTTCGCTTGAAGATATGTGGGTCTGTCGGACTTGTAACCATGAATTATCCAATCGGTCAGAACGCCCAGACACATCAGTCCCCGATCACGGGAGCGCGAGATGGCAATAACACCTCGAACAAAGGTTCTATTGCAACCGGAGGACACTCCACCCCAGAAGTAATAATGGATAACCCTTGGCTTCACTGGCACTAGGAATATGTAAAGATGTAACTTGGCATCTGTAGTTGCCATTGGAGGATTTCAGACCGAGGACAGCATCCCGACGTAGTAATCGTGACAGGAAGGACTCCGCGTTGCTCCAACAAACACAGTAGCAAGCGCTTTGAATGTATGTTGTAACAGTACACTACTCGGTTTAGTGCGAGAGTTCATTCTTGAACCAATTCGCCGCGGCTAAGCTCCAGTGAACTCACCAGTGAGCGCCGCTCTGTCTTTTCTCCGCGCATGGCGGACTTTAACACAAAATCGTCATTTCTATTCGAGTCGACGGGCGATTGAGAGATCTAGACCACCCCTCTAGTCGTAAGCGTAAAGCGCAACAATTGATAAGATCAACAAAGAACTTGAACAAAGGGCTTGCGCTTTGTCGCAACGAGTGGACTGAGCGACATATAAGAGCATTCCGTGTCCACATTTCTTCTTCACCAACCCATATCCGTTTCGCAATCGTCGAAAAAAAAAGGAAAAACCATGGATCACACTATCGCCAAGTCCACATCTCCTACCGGAGCGACCTACCATCAGCATGCGGGTGCCACTCTGCCCAAAACGAGCGGAAGCATGCAGCCCTCAGGCCAGGCTATACCTCGCACAGTTACAAATGGCCCGCGGAGTCTTTCTCAAACTACCCTCTTCACCAGCACCTCCGGCGCGAATCCGGCCAGAGGATCTACCCGTTGAGGAGTGAGGAACCCAGAAATGGTGAAGATGCCCAGCAGTCAGCAAAGTTTGGAATCTGAAGAGAGGAGTGACTTTTGGGTTCATACATGTTACACTGTCCGCTGTTAGCTCAATACTACGAAACCCATAAACACGTACTGTTTTGATAATCTGCGCCTAAAAGTCTGCACCCACCATTAGTCAGTAGTTTCGCACTATTATTGGATGGCGCCCACAGTTCTAGGACAATTTCCGGGGTAATCCGTTCGAGTAACTCATGAACGGGTACATCTTCACTTGCCGCCGGGTCCTTGTAGTGCGCCTTGAAGAGCATGTAGTCAAGCAGCTTGTCCACGATCGCGGCTCTGATAGGTCAAAGGCTCAACGGCCAACCACTGAGGGAATGGGACAAACCGTTGCTGGATAGGGACGTGTCGCGCGAGCGCCTCGGCGTAGTTACCTTCATACCGTCAGTCATGCAGCGCTGACTAGTTTGCAAAGCTGACCCTCGGTATCAAGACTGTCGCTCATTGTTCCACTCGCATTCGCAACGGGGCGACGAACAAGGAATGTGTACCCGTCTTCACTAGTAATCCGCACCCAGTCGTCGGTCACGTCAGTTTCTGCATGCTGGAGCCGCGATTTCAGCGAAGAACGCGTCGGAGTTGTGATTGTACTTTTGTTTTTGGGGCCATGATGGTTGGAGACAACTGTGAGTCTTTGATCGCATCACGGTCACGAGCTCGCGTTTCTCTCCAAACGTCGATGGCAGACGCCTCGTTTGAGGGCGTGTACAACTTTCGAGACGTCGGTGCAGCGATAAACGCTCTCAATACCGCCCCAATTCTTCAAGAAAAGATGATCTACCGCTCTGGCCGATTGGATGGGGCAACCGAAGGTGACCGCCGCAAACTGGTAGAGCAATACAATCTCCAGACTGTGGTTGATCTCCGCACCAAGAGCGAGCATATCAGGCAGGGCACCGATAAGCTCGCTTTGCGTCCATGGAAGACCGTGTTTATCAACTTTGTCAGTCACGAATTCGAGATTAATCTGTTGCGCCAGCTCAGATGGTGGCAAATAATGTCTGTTATAACGAGCTACTACTTCTTGTCCTCATATCTAACCGCGAGCTAGTCAATTTGTTTTGCTCATGTTGCTCCGCTTCCGCATCTCGGCTATTCGGATTTTGGGACAGAACGTGCTCAAACGCAAGGGGTTGATTGGTTTGAGCAGGGACTCATTGAGATTTTGCCAGGCTGAAATACTTGCGGCGTTAAACGTTTTTATATTGCCAATGCACACTTGCCCAGTCCTTGTCCATTGCACCCAAGGCAAAGACAGGTCTGGGCTAGTGATCATGCTTGTCCTGTTTGTGCTCAGTGTGCCTTTGCAACACATCAAGGCTGAATACTCAATGTCGGAACTGGGACTTGCGCCAGTTCGCAAATCTCTGATTGGGGAAGTCGAAGAGATCGGGATGGACGAAGCTTACACACGCGCTCCAGAAGAGGTGGTACAAGCTGTGTGGGACTGCCTAGAGACAGAATATGGCGGGGTTGACCGGTACTTGGATTTACTTGGCTTCCACGAGGAGAAGCGACGAACTCTGAGGAAAATTTTGCTTGTATGATTAATAACGATAACAATGCGACAACAAGAAAGCAAGGCTAGACGATAACACGACTAGATCGTTTGGAATTCTGCGGCTGGGCGCTACTGCTGTTGGCGGTTGTTGACCCTCGGGGTCGACGCAATGGTGCCCTAAAGTCCTTCGCGTCATACTCCCAGGTCATATATAGTTGTGCATCTGGCAATCGTGGCGGTTCACGGTCTTTGTCGTTTATTGAACTCTTGTCCTCGAAAGAGTTCCAAGGCGCAGGGGCTGGATAGCCGTATGTCAACATTCGAGGACCTCGACTGAGAACGGGTGGATGAACAAGTCGCGTGACACGGGAATATATTTGTGGTGGTAAAACACGCCGCGCCAGATCAGGCAAGCGAGAGCCTTGAGCGCCAACAACAGGAACAAGTCGGTCTGGAGCAGCGACTATTCGTGATGAAGCTGGGAATCTTCGCGGGGCAACCGAGTCGGAAGTGGGGATCGCGAATGTAGGCACTATAGGCCAAGCGCGAGGTGGGGCATGGCTCGATGAAGCATACATAGAGTCTGGCAGGTCCCATCTTGGAATAAGTTGAGTGTAAGTGAGTAAAGCCACAACGACGCGGTGACGCATTGGTGTTGCTTGACCAGGTGTTCGTTGTGGGTTTTTGAGGATATGGTGGAAAGCTTTGTAGAGCGCGAATTCGGTCGTCTGTGTCGGCGCAGCTGGAAGCTTTGGGGGAGCAGCAGGAGCCGTTCCAGGCAAATGCCAAGCGGGGACATCGGCCAGTGTAGACTCGTCATAGGGAACCTGTTCAAGGTAATCGGCAGCAGAAGTAGACAGCGCCGTCATTTGTAAGCCAAGCGCGCCAGTTGTACCCATCGGGTGCATTGGAGGTGGAGATTCCGCGCGGGGCGAGTCAGGGACTTCGGTAGCCGGGAATGGCGGTAGGAAGTCAGGAATGTGGCCCTCCCAGTCCATTGTCCGCTGCCTTTTCCAAGGCGGTTCATCGTCGCTGTCCATTTCCTCCATATCTACTTCCATTCCCTCGTCTTCCTCCTGCCCATCATACTCTTGGAATTTGAGTGGGAATGAGTCCTCCCTTACTCTCCGCCCCAAATGAGCCCTCAGCTCATGTAGCTCCTCAACCCTCCTTCCCGAGTAAAGAGCGTATCGTGACAGCTCCTTCCCCTCCCTCATGTACCCAATCAAGTCCTCCAGACTGAAACCCATCTCATCCAAGGCCTCGAGTGCATCCGTGAAAGACACGGTCGTCCGACCGGCGTGTTGGGCATATTTTGCGCAAGTCAGTGCTGCTAAAGACACATAACGCGCCAATAGGTCGGTGAGAACTGCAGAGGCTTGAGCTGAAGCACGCGAAAAGCCAACAGCGTGCATTGTGCGATGGCTGGCCGTCTCCAGAAGTTTGTTGGCCGCATTCTCCATGTTGTCGAGGTAGGAAAATCGTTCTCGTGCGAATGGGAGTTGAGAAAGGGTAGAACGGATAGAGGAGGAGGAGAACAGGATGATGTCACGATGTGACTAATGCCACTTGCTCTCAACGTCTGCTGAAGCTATAGCTACAAACCGCAGATTGCACGCTTCGGCTCAACATATAATCGATTCCGGGCCCCGACTTGTCTACTCACTGAACTTCCACTCATATTCCGGTCCCAGCCAAAAATCTGTTCCGCATGTCTCCCGAGCCCTCAACTATAAAAGTGCGCAAGCGCCATTTGGGAGTCAGTCCTCAGAAAAGATGCAGCGTTCTGTGCCAGACCGATCAATTCGAATTTGTGCTGACAGAGGTCAGTTGCGCGATTTTACGAGTGTTCTGACTGGTTGACCAAGGCTAGGTGGGACGTTTTGCGATCTCCATGCGTGAGTCGTGATCTCAAGTTCCTCGTCTTGATTACTTAGTCGGAAATGCAGCTCGTATCCAGACCCAGAGAATGAAGGCGAGCGGAAAGACATCGTCGTAAAACTACGTGAGATTTGTCTCTCTCATTATGATTATCTGAACGTTTTTATTTCAGTATCGCAGGACCCTGCTAACTACAAAGACGCGCCTACAGAAGGCATTCGGCGAATCCTAGAAATCGTCACTGGCACAGAAATACCGCGAGGAACCGTCTTGGAGACAGCAAAAATTGACTACATTCGCCTGTCTACGACCGTTGCTACGAATGCTTTGCTCGAGCGCAAGGGTCATAAACACGCACTGTTGATAACACGCGGGTTCAAAGACTTACTACTAATTGGCAACCAGTCTCGTCCCAAGATCTTTGACCTCAATATTCGGCGACCCAATCCATTATATTCGGTCGTTATCGAGGTTGATGAGCGTGTCACTCTCGTGGGCTACACGTCAGACCCGAAGGCAGAAGAAAACGCCGTCCAGTTTGACGACGATGGAAAGGTGTCCAGAGGCTATCGCGGGAAAGGCTGGGACGGGACTGGTGATGCAGAAGGCCCTGGAGAAATTGTTCGTGGGTTGTCTGGTGAGGCAGTCCGAATTCTTTCTCGACCAGACCCGGACGTCATTACCGGTCAACTTCAAGCCCTTTACGACGAAGGATATCGCTCCCTCGCTATCGTGTTTGCCCATTCATATACCTTCCCTCAGCACGAGCAGCTCGTCGGCGCGCTCGCTCGCAAGGTCGGATTCACTCACGTGTCTGAGTCCGCGCAGCTTCTGCCAATGATCAAGATGGTCCCGCGTGGCGTGTCGAGCACCGCGGATGCTTACCTGACGCCCATCCTGAAAGACTACCTGGACGGCTTCTTTGGTGGATTTGACGAGAAGCTGAAAGATGGAAAAATAAAGAGTCCAAGAGTGGAATTTATGGGCAGTGATGGCGGTCTTCTGGATCTGGACAACTTTTCCGGTTTGAAGAGCATCCTTAGTGGCCCAGCTGGCGGAGTAGTTGGGTGAGTGGTTTATTTTCATCACTTTACCTCTATATTGATCGTCCACTAGTTATGCACTCACAAGCTGGGATGACAAGGAAAGAAAGCCAATTATTGGTTTGGATGTTGGAGGAACCTCAACGTATGCTATTGTCTCATCATCTCATTTCAAAGCCTATGGTTCCGTTTTAGTGATGTCTCGAGATTTTCCGGTCGTTATGAGGTTGTCTACGAAACCACGACCGCTGGCGTCACCATTCAATCTCCGCAACTCGATATCAACACTGTCGCTGCAGGCGGTGGCTCCTGTCTCACCTTCCGCAATGGTTTATTCCTTGCTGGGCCGCATAGTGCCGGCGCAGAGCCCGGGCCGGCTTGCTATCGGTTGGTCGACTTCGCCTTTCTTGCACCAACATTTATGCTGTTTGCAGCAAAGGAGGGCCTCTGGCGGTGACTGATGCTAACCTTCTTCTGGGTCGACTGCTCCCAGACTTTTTCCCTAAGATTTTTGGCAAGTCAGAGCGTGAGCCGCTTGACATTGATGCCTCACGAACCGCCTTCGAAACTCTTGCAAAAGAGATCAACGAAAGCAATGAAAACGGGAATCTCAGCCTTGATGAAATCGTTTACGGGTTTGTTTCCTTTCCTTCTGCCTACTCCTCTTATTGATTGGTTCAACCTCGTAGATTCATCAAGGTCGCGAACGAGACAATGTGCCGACCTATTCGAGCACTCACTGAAGCCAAAGGGTACGCGACAGGACATCACGTGTGCGTGTCATTTTCCCTGTCTATTACCAAATATTTATCTGTACTCGCTTTAGACTTGCCAGTTTTGGTGGTGCCGGTGGCCAACACGCTTGCGAGATTGCAAGTCTTCTAGGAATCAAAACAATATTGATTCATCGCTACAGCTCGATCTTGTCGGCATATGGACTGGCGCTCGCTGATCGCGCCTATGAACTTCAAGAGCCATCCTCGGCTTTTTACTCGCCATCTACTCGTGCTTCACTCATCAAACGTCTTGACAAGCTTACTGGCGACGTAGAACGGGAGCTTCAGAAGCAGGGCTTCGAGCCGTTACGGATTAGGGCCGAGCGGATGCTGAATATGCGCTTCGAAGGCACTGACACGGCTTTGATGGTACTGCCTGTATCACAAGACGGAGACGGAGATGAGGATTTCGAGGCGGCATTCAAGAGAGTATATAAGAGTGAATTTGGCTTCCTATTGGAGGGCAAAACCATCATTGTGGATGATGTCAAGGTCTGTTTTCCAGGCCCTTCTTTCCAACTTGAATAATGACTACTCACAGGTCCGTGGAATTGGCAAAACCTTTGACACTCTCGGTCCTTCTGTCTACTCTGAAGTTGCACAATTGAGCACCAAAGCAGTGGATGTTGAAGCGAAAGCGGAGACAAAACGGTACAGCGTGTACTTCGACCGCGTTGGCCGGGTGGACGAGACACCGGTTTACCAACTCGACCGTTTGGATGTTGGCGACGTAGTAGAGGGCCCTGCGATGATTATTGACAACACTCAGACGATCGTGCTTGTCCCTGGCGCTAAGGCAGTACTAACTAGCAAACACCTGTATATTACACTCGAGTAGACTGCATTTTGGCGAGTGACCACACATCGGTGCCCTGCGACACACACTTGCGCCAAAACTTGACCTCCCTGTCCTTGCGCAGGCAGATTTGCATCTGGCCAGGCCGGTCGAAACCATAGGCGGCGCCGATTTTCAGCAGCTCTGCCCGCGGGGGCATTAGGGGGTCTTCCGAGAATATAAGAATTGCAGCGATGAGCTGAGCCTTGAGCGGCAAGACAAATGTCACGAAATCGCGGACCTCAGCGTGGTAATCGTTTGCCTGAGAATTTAGCGCAACATGTGTGAGTCGAGGCAGGTCTGGTTTGGCTGCGGCCAAATCACTAACGAAGGCAGGGAAGTAGTACGCTAGGTGGAGGTGCGTGAGATTGTGCAGGAGAGTTCGCGTGCTGTCCGCTTCGAGTAAACTTGTCCAGAAACCTTTGGGCTCACAGTAGCTCATGGATGTCATCATCAGTCTAATACCCTCTCTATGCGGGAAGTCCCGGCCCAAAGTAGCGGCCGTGTGGAGGATGGTCAGGAAGCGGGCCGTGATGCCGACGAGATTGGGGCAGGCGCGGATGATCCGTGGCACAGCATCGTTCTCCGCTGCCAAGCTTGCGTTAGTCAGCAGCCACACATGCCGGACTGCGCCGCCGGCCACGCTTCGTTCGTCTGGCTCCGCGCCGACGAGCCGCTGCAATGACAACAGCTGGGCACCGGTCCGGACAACACAGCACTCCAGCCGGATTTTGCGAGTAACTTTTGCCAAGTGCTTGCAAGTAAGGGCCAACGTTCGCGCGGTTTGTGGCAGCGCTTTGGCAGCGTAGATGAATATTTCCATGAGCACGTCTTCAGGAAGGTCAACAAAGGAAAGCGGCCTCCATTTGTCAGATTGTGCGCGAAGGATTTGATCGTACAGCAGTTTATGCGAAAATGTGTAGTAGCATGGCTCCTTTACCACTTTCGGAGGCGGCGGGGAAAAAAGGTCGTCGTCAACTAGAATGGTGTCGTTGATAGAAGGAGAAAGGACTTGGATCAACTCACAATCGAAAGGAAAGTCGGTCATGGATGCTTCGAGCAAGGAGTGACCCCTGAAAATGGATTCCTAGACGCACAACAACGATATTACTAATAGATTACGCTGGGGTATTTTGACACTGCATGTGGGCGAGGGACCAAACATCAGATCCCTCTGACACGCATTTACGCCAGAACTTGGCCTCTTTAACATTATACTCGTCCTTGCGCAGAAATACCTGCATTTGGCCTGGCCGATCGAGTCCATGTGTAGCCCCAGCTTGCAGCAGTTCTACGAGGGGCGGTAGACAGGCAGGATCCGGGTTTACAATAACGAGGACAGCGGCAACCAACTGTGGTTTGAGCGGTAAGACCAACTCTACGAAGTTGCGGACCTCTGCTTGATAGTCGCGGGACCGTGCGGTCAGAGCAACATGTGTAAGTCGAGGGAGATTTGGGACGGTTTTGGCCAGGTCCCTGCCAAAGGAGTGGAGGTACTGCGACAGGTAGAGGTGGGTGATGTTGTGTAAGAGGGTCATTGTGCTGTCCGCCTCGACTAAGCTTGTCCAGAAACCGTTGGGTGCGTTGTGACTGGGCGGCGAATGATTGTCAGTCATTGTCAGCCTGATGCCCTCTCTGCGCGAAAAGTCCTCCCCCAGAGTCGCTGCAGCGCGAAGAATTGTCATAAATCTGGCGGTGATGCTGACGAGATTGGGACAGGCTCGGATAATGCGTGGTACAGCGTCGTTCTCGGATGACTGGCCAGCGTTGGTCACCAGCCAGATATTCTTGACCATGCTTGCGACATTCCGTTCATCCGGCTCTTCGCTAACGAGCCTCTCGAACGACAGCAGCTCACTCCAAGTCCTGATAAGACAGCTCTCGAGCCGGGTTCTGCGCGTGACATTCGCCATGTACTTGCAAGTAAGGGCCAGTGACCGCGCGGTCCGCGGCAGCGTTTCAGCGGCGCGGATGAAGATGTCGATGAGTACATCCTCAGGAAGGTCGACGAGGGAGAGCGGCTTTCGTTTATCGGCTTGTGCAAGGATGATTTGGTCGTAAAGCAGTTTGTGGGAAAATACGTAGTAGCATGGTTCCTTGACCAATTTTGGAGACGGTGGGGGGATGAGGTCGTCATCAACTGGAGTGGTCGAATCAGCAATAGAAGGACAGAGAGTCGCATAAACTTACAATCGAAGGGAAAGTCCATGAATGTTTCGAGGAAGGGGTGACCCCTGGATATGGACGTCCAGGGAAGGGAGTGAATTGTGGCGCGGCATTTTATGTGGCAGACGGGGACAGTGGACTTCGGCACACGGTCAAGTTGGGTTGAGTCAAACCGAGTGGATGGCAGTCAAACGAAAAATAAACGGTCACATGCACAGTGTCCACGACGCGCATTGGATATCTCATAAAATACAAACAAACGAAGGCAACTACTCTGGAAGGTGCAGTTCAAAGTGAGTAACTTGCGGTAGGTATGCAGCAGCGGCTAGATCAAGGTTGAGCACTTCGTCGAGCGGAGCCATCCCGTTGAAACCACCAAACAGGAAAAGCCTACTATCTGCGAGAAGCGTTACGTGGTATCCTCGAGGACTGGGGGGTTTCCCGTATATTTCACGGGGTTCGAAAGCAAGAGTAACTGATAGAAAAATGGGATGGTTAGGCTGTGCAATCCAGTGAGAGAGATAGGACACACTTAGGTTGAAAAGTAGCACGTCTTTGCAATAATTGGTTCCGTCATGACCTCCGATTATGAAAAGATAGGATCCAACCAGAGTGGAAGTGTGCGAAAGCCGCCGATGGGGTCGTTCTACAGGAAGTTTGGCCCAGCGATTCGTATCTTGGAACGTATGAGTGGAAACTGAAACGGAAAGGAAACAGAGCAGAGGCCCACCAAGGTTTAGATACCACATGTCGTTAAAACAGTCCTTCCCGTCGCTTCCCCCAATGATAAACATGATGTTTGTGACCAGATTGGCAGTATGATACCCGCGATGGCTGGGTTTCCGGCCAATGGTCTGCAGCTCTTCCCAACGCAATTTGCCGGTGCTGATTGATGTTACATCGAGGGTCCACACATCGTTCAGCGCTGTCATTCCATTTCCGCCACCAAACATGTAGATCTTGCCTTTGTAATAGACGGCAGTATGAGCGCGTCGAGGCGGTGGTTTGGGGCCTGATATGGTGGGTTTCGACCAACGGCGGAGAGTAGTGTCGAACACATAAATCGAGTCGTAGTAAGTCGATCCTTGGCCACCGCCGTAGACCACTATTCTCCTATCGACAGCCGTAGCGGTATGGGCACGAGAAGGCGGAGGCATATCGCCATTCGTATCGGGTCGTGACCACTGCATCGTTTCTTGGACAAGTTATGGAGCACAAATTTGGCTTGTAGCTTGATCAACACACCTGAATCGAAGCAAAATACGTCCCGTCCGCAATCCTTATCGTCGCATCCACCAAATAGCCATGCGGTCGAGTCTATCAGCGTGACCGTATGCGAACGCATAATGCGAACTGGTGTTGTCCCAAAGACAGGTGCTTTGGACCAATACAAGGCCGTACTTGGCGCAGGCTCAGCATCAGCATCGTGAGGCAGTTTGGGGCTGCTTTTCACTCGATGAAGAGTTCGCGTTCGATCCTTTGGCGGCGCGGTGAGGGTTGGAGAGGAAGTTGCCGTTGAACGCCGAATTGACGCGCTGTCTGGGGAAGATCGGCTGCCGTCTGAGGAACCTTTTCCAAGAGTACGAATGCTTGCTGCTCTTCGTGAAGTTTGGATGGTTGAGGAGGTTGGGGTTCGCAGCGAGGGAGTGGGTATAGGGCTGTCTTCAGGCACATCTTCCAGGCCGTTCTGACTGCGAGAGGACATGTCGCTCTCGTTGCTGTCATCAAACTGGGTCGTATAAAAGCCTGGAGAGAGCAACGCCGCCATGTTGGTGCTGAAGGCTATAAATTGCCTCCAGTCTGTCACCCTCGTCACGGTAACCGGCGAACACGCTGAGATGCCGACACCTAAGTACTTTCCACGCATGCTTGGGGCTCAACATAAAATGTCTATCAGTATTGAACTCTATCTGGCCTTCGACTTCTTCAACTTTCTTTCAGGCAAGTAAGTATTTCAGAGCAGTTTGGAGCTTGAATCATGGAACCATCTTCCGTCTATGAAACGGTTTCCAAATCAACGTTCCCATTCGGGGTACCTCAGACCCTTAGACCTGGTCAATGGTACCGACGCGTACCACATATCTGGCTAGTTTCGCCTTCTACCACCGCAAGCCCATCGACACTTGAGATTTGGGTTGCCTAGCGAATGGATGAGCTTCAGTGTCGTAACTGTCGTTCTGTTGCTTGAGACTAGGAGGCAAACTGCCTCGCGAAGCAATCTATAACCGCTCGACCATAGCCAATGTCCTCATTAAACTCCCGAAGCAGCGTCTTTCGTCCGTAAGCCGCGAATCTCGTCTGCGAGCTCCAATGCGCGCTTTCCTTCAAGCCATAACATCGCCTCTGTAAAAACGAAGTATTAAGGATGGACACATCGCAAGAGAGGAAATCCAGACCTTTATACGTCCTGGGAACGATCTTACGTTTCGGGACCTTGTCCGCTGGGTCATCGCGACACCAAGTAAACCGGAACTCATTTGTGGTGCGTTCTTCCCCCGTATCCACGTCTACTACATTCGCTATGACCCCAATATGCTGTACCACAGATCAGTTGGCTGCTTATGAACGGGGAGAACGAAAGGTCTGCCTACCACGATCAAAGGGAATTCGGCGGAGTGCGTGGAATGTAGCACATGTGATGTTAAGCGAAGAATAGAACCTATCGGCACTGGTTGACGAAAGCGTATTCCATCGAGAGAGAGAAAACGGATGTGGCCCCCGCGCATGAAGAGACTTGAGCTGGAGAAACCGAGCTAATCGAGACCTTGAGACGAGAATCACGGTAGAATCAAAGCAAACCTCGTAAGCCAACCGCATAAGGTAGCCTCCGAAGATCTTCTGGTGGATACTGGTAGGCACCGTTAAATTCTGATTTTTACAAACGCTATGCACGAACTTTCGCTCTTGAGGGAACATAAGCATGCATTTTTCCAGCTTGGTTTCACCCATCCAAACACGATCTCCCGGTGCGTCTTTAGAATCCTCTCCGTGTTGGAGATAGTACGTGTGAAGGGCCGCTGCCTCAGCCGAACTCGGAGGAACACGGCTGAGGGCTCGAAGGGCTTGTGTTTGACGGCGGTTTTTTAACTCTAGGCCAAGATATGAGCGAACATCAAATTATCAAGCGGAAGTTATAGACCTGCTCCCATCGAGTGTAGCGATTGTTCTGCTGGCGTCGAAATAATGAGTGGATGGACATCCCGAGCTAGATGGGTCATTGCATCTCGACAGACCATCGAAAAGCGACCTAAATCATGAATGCGGAGCTTGAGGGGAGTTGCATTTACCAACCTAACAGGACTGTCTCATCAGGCCCGTTGCCTATGGCTTCCATCTTAACCGCAACTTCCATCGAGGACTTGCCAGTGTAGATTACCTGGCCACTTAAGCGCAGGTCGCAGGATGGATTGAGCGGAGAGAGCATGTCAAGTCTGTTAATATGTCGTGAACGAGAAACGAAGAATCTTGAGACGAGAGGAACCTGTCCACTGAGGCAGTGACGATATAGAATCCCCGCTCCTCAATACTGCCTAGGCTCTCGACGCCGGGACCCAACATGTGCTTGTATGATATGGAGCCTGCTAGCGAGTCCAGATGCTCCATAAGCATTCCAGTGCGGATGCCTCCATGGACATTAGTGTACTGCTCAAGGAGTTTGGGCGACGATCCGAAGGGCAGTACAAGTTCGCAATAAGAGTCGTGCATGCTGCGTTCGGTTCGTGATTTTGGGTCGGAGTTGACGGTGAGTTGTGACGCAGTGGACTTTGGTGCAAGTTGGTGTTGGTGGAGGATCGTGTTTGCCCATATTTCAGGAACGCGCATAGGAATCACCCTTCACCTCTAGTTAAACGAGGAGTCATTCGACGCGAAAAACATACGTGTTAAAAGCAGGGTCAGCTCTCAGTCCTTTTCATGCAGTCAATCTGCGTGGTTGGAAAGTTGAGCTTTTTGCTTACTAACTGCCGTGAGGAGGTTATCCATAGAAGTCACTTCACGCGTTTCTTTTGCGACAGAAGGCACGCTGACATGATTCCACCTCACAATCCTCGACAGCTTGGAGTTGAGCGGTCTGGGTCGGCGGGACCACAACATTGTCAGCGACATGACGACAGAGGAGCAAGATGATTTGATCCTGTTTGGCCGGTCGGTAATTTCATACCCGGTACCAGGTAGATTTCTTACCTCCAACCCCAACCTCGACCTTCTATTGCGACAATGACTATTGCTGGAAATGCGGATGACAGCCTCAAAGAGATGTTCTCTGACTTGAAGAAACTCCTTGGCACCTCGTCGGACACCCCCGCTTTTGGCGACGAGATTGTCTCTCGAATGAAGGTTCGAGTTCCGCTGCGACGTGTTGAAAGTCTTGAGCAAGACAAAGGTCACACATGCCTCAATCGACCAAAAATTGGAGGAACCTAACAAGACCGAAGGCAAGATCGTAGTGGAGCTCGAAGTAGCTGAGGACATGCTAAACGGTTGGCGAAGTTCATGGCATTTGCTTTATCATGCTGAATTGCTTAACGGTGCTGGCTCTGTGCATGGCGGCTGCTCCGCTTTCCTAATTGACCTGTGAGTTGTATCTTGAACTTATATCTGCTAACATTTGCGGGTAGCTGCTCGAGTCTGAGCCTGATGCTTATTGACCCCGGCCTCACGGTCTCGCAGTCGCTGAATATCGTTTACCACTCCCCCGCGAATCTGTGCGTGTCCCGCAATTGCTATGAAGCAAAGCTCAATTCCCTCAGTGGGGAAAAGCTTCGGATAGTGAACACGACGATCACTGTGGGCAGTCGCATCATGTCTGCAAGGGTGGAGGTCATTCTCTCTCTCTCTCTGTGATATTCCTTGCTGATAGTCCATTATATCAGATCTGGAACGCCACCAAACATAGACTAGTCGCCTCGGGCGTGCACATTAAGATGCAGCCATCTCCCTCGTCAAAACTCTGACATCTGGTCTTCCAATTTTTTTCTGCCTCAAGGTCTATATCACTAAGGTGTCTAAATAATTAAACGTAGAGAAGTATACATCGTGAGTCGAAGGCCATTGATAGAGTTGCTAAACGCCCATCACAGTTTGGTCCTCGACGGGCGCATCTTTACATGAACGGCGGAGGCAACTAGGCAACGTTTTGCCATATTCCAAATCTAAACACTTCAACTATGGGAATGGATTATTTCCGACAATATCACCTCTGTTTGGGCAGACAAAACCCGGTTTCCTAGCGTCATGGTCGTGCTAATAATACTGAGTTTGTCTCGTCTGTCGGCCATCAACTTGGGAAGCTGCACTTGCGCTTTACCTACTCGATGGCTGGTGAATGATAGGTAATGTTAAGTGATTGGGAAACATGGGGTCCATTATAGGCAGCCATAAAGCACAATGTCGACCCCCTCAACGAATCGGTGAATAAGGAACGGATCGAATGACCGGCTCTTACACATCGACGAGATACGCAATGCACCCTCCATGAATGGTTCCGATCCCATTGAGCATATCTAGGTTTCGATAACTTCAAGGAACCGGTTAGAGTGCTCTGCTTACTAGCAGTCACTTCTACGTCAACGGTGAGTCGCCCCGAAACACGTCCAGTCTGCCCGTTTCTAGTTACTAAAGCCTCGCTGACCACCAGACGCGTGAATATCGCGTCGCAGAATCCAGGGCCAATCGGGATGGGAGCACGACCGTCATAGAGGGTTGTGAAGTCGTTCAGAGCATCGCGCAATTGTGCAGGAATCGAGGGGCTGATATGTACCATTAAGGAAATGCGAAATGGAGTCTGAGGTTTTGTGTGCGCCACGGCGACACGGTCAACACGGAGATGTACTCTAATTACCATTCGGGATCCATCTGTTTTCCGATTTTTTATAATTCAGAATTTTCGGAGTAGTGCTGTTGGCAGAATCATTCCTCGGACCTCATTCCATTCCTGCAACATTCCTGTCTTTGCGGTCAAGGTCGGACTTCCTTACTTTCGGCCGAACATGCCCCGGCCGACATCAAAACTGGGGTTTGGCACCACGCTCAATGAGCGTGGTATGGGTCACAGAGTGACACCCAATCTCTCTCTCTCTTGCGGCTTTCATATGGTGTTCTTCAGGACGTACAGCGGAGAGCAAGATCTCCCTTATATTATGCACCTCGTTCAGTCTGAACTCAGCGAACCATACGTGATCTATACCTTCCGTTACTTCCTTCATCAATGGTGTGTTATTCCGCAACAAGCACTTTCCTCAGCTGAATCTTCCGAGGCCACATCTTTCCTTCTTAGTATGCGTTTGTTGCCGACTTTGTCGTATTCTGATGACAGCGCGTAGGCTTATCCAAGCGACGCTGCGAATTCTGACCCAATTGGGGTGATCGTGTGCAAGCAGAGCATGCATCGGGACAAGTCGAATCGTGGGTATATTGCAATGTTGAGTGTAAGTAAGGATTGGCGGAAGCGTGGAATAGGTTAGCACCCATTCCTTCCCCTTCGTCTACCTCACAACGCGTCGTTCTTACAGATAACACCATTTGGTGCGCTTTTCTTTCCCTTTATTATAGCTAGTGCCCTTGTCAAGAATTCTCTCGATGCCATGAAAGAAGACGGAGTTGAGGAAATTGTCCTCGAGACGGAGTACGACAACAGCGCCGCGCTGTCGCTCTATGAATCGCTTGGCTTCATTCGGGAAAAGCGGCTTTACCGATTTTACCTCAACGGCAAAGACGCGTTTCGACTAGTTCTGACCGTGCCGCCAACGGAACGCGATTCAGACTCATCATCAAGTGGGTCGTCTTTGGAAGTTCGGCGTGGGTATCGGGCCATAAGGGTCTCCCAGTTACCGTATGATTCGGATGAAGAAGTTTCCACTCGTTGAAGCCGTGTAGCTTGTGTATTTTGTTTCTCTGGGTCTCTATATTTGTATTTAGTGTACTATGCTAAATCCCTACTCGTATTGTACTCGTTATCCACGTTGTCGTGACGCAGGAACCAGGACACGAATCTGCTGGAAGAACCTGGCTGATTGTTCCCGTGACCGCCACGCAAAACGGACACGTAGGCGCCATCAATTTGTCACATATATTAAAGCGACAACCAGCATCTCCACTTCAAAAATCCCTTTTTCGCCATGTCTGTACGCAGACCGTCGCGCACCCAATCCCTGCGCTTCCTCTCCTCCCTTTCTTTCCTCCTCTTCTGTCTCGTCGCTTTCCTTGCGCTCTCACCCGTAGCCAACGCTGAAGAATCCCATCCTGAATATGGCACTGTCATTGGTATTGGTACGTTTTCAAGGGTCGTGTTTGCACTTTCTGGTCGCTTACCTTTTCTTCTTTCTAGACTTAGGAACAACGTATGCAATCCTCCTTCATCTTTGCGGACTCTGACGTGTCAATCTTGTCGTCTTTAGTTATTCTTGTGTTGGGTACGTGGCACTCTGTGCGCCTGCTAACCACTTCTAATCCCTTCCTCTCAGTGTCCAACGAGGAGGCCGTGTCGAAATCATCGCCAACGACCAAGGAAACCGGATAACTCCTTCATGGGTCAGCTTCACGGAAGAGGAGCGTCTGTGCGTTACTTTTTTCCACCCTGCCGTCGCGACTCGTTTCTGAATGCGTCCGAACTCTCTAGTGTCGGTGATGCCGCCAAGAACGCCTACCACACTAACCCGGCCAACACTGTTTTCGATGCCAAGCGTCTCATTGGTCGCAAGATTGAGGAGAAAGAAGTCAAGGCCGACATGAAGCACTGGCCGTTCAAGGTCCAGGACAAGAACGGCAAACCCGTCATCAACATCTCCTACAAAGGCGGCGACCGTGAATTCGTCAGTTTTCTTTCTTTGCCTTGGAGACAAACAAGCTGACGAGCATCGTTGCGTAGACGCCTGAGGAAGTCAGCGCCATGGTTCTAGGCAAGATGAAGGAGACCGCTGAGGCCTACCTCGGCGAGAAGGTCACCCACGCCGTCGTCACCGTTCCTGCCTGTTCGTCCCTCATTTGTTCACTTTGAGGTATTGTTGACACCAATGACAGACTTCAACGACGCTCAGCGTCAGGCCACCAAAGATGCTGGCACTATTGCCGGTCTCACTATCCTCCGTATCATCAACGAGCCTACCGCTGCCGCCATCGCCTACGGTCTTAACAAGAAGGGTGGCGAGTCACAAATCATTGTCTACGATCTCGGTGGAGGAACTTTCGATGTCTCGCTTCTTTCTATCGACGACGGCGTTTTCGAGGTGCTGGCTACCGCTGGTGACACTCACCTTGGTGGTGAAGATTTCGACAACCGTGTTATGGACTACCTTATCAAGTCGTACAAGAAGAAGACCGGTACCGACGTCTCGAAGAACCAGCGCGCTCTTGGAAAGCTGAAGCGTGAAGTCGAGAAGGCCAAGCGTACTCTCTCCAGCCAACAAAGCACTCGTATTGAAATCGAGAGCTTCGAGGATGGCAACGATTTCACCGAAACCCTCACTCGCGCCAAGTTCGAAGAACTCAACATGGATCTCTTCCGCAACACGCTCAAGCCCGTCGAGCAAGTCCTCAAGGACGCTGGTGTCAAGAAGGAGGACGTAGACGAGGTTCGTTTCCCTTTAAACATTTTCGAAAAATTATTGATGAGAAGCTCTAGATCGTCCTTGTCGGTGGTTCTACCCGTATCCCCAAGGTTCAACAGCTCCTCAAGGAGTTCTTCGGCGGCAAAGAGCCCTCGAAGGGAATCAACCCCGACGAAGCTGTTGCTTATGGCGCGGCTGTCCAGGGTGGTATTCTTTCTGGTGCTGAGGGCACTGCGGACGTCGTTCTTGTTGATGTTTGCCCTCTTACCCTCGGTATCGAAACCACTGGTGGTGTTTTCACCAAGCTCATCGCTCGTAACACTGTCATCCCCACTCGCAAGAGCCAAATGTGAGTTTCTTCCCAACAAGATCTTAACAGGGTCTGACAATGTTCTAGCTTCTCGACCGCCGCTGACAACCAACCCACTGTCTTGATCCAAGTCTTCGAGGGTGAACGTCCCTTGACCAAAGACAACAACCTTCTCGGTAAATTCGAGCTTTCCGGCATCCCTCCTGCGCCTCGTGGCGTTCCTCAAATCGAAGTTACCTTCGAGATCGACGCCAACGGTATCATGAAGGTTGGTGCCGCGGATAAGGGAACGTAAGTGACATTACCTTGGCCCGCTTAGTTGTGAGCTGACATGACGCGTTTAGTGGCAAGTCAGAGAGCATTACCATCACCAACGAAAAGGGTCGTCTCAGCCAAGAGGAAATTGATCGTATGGTTGCCGAAGCCGAGAAGTTCGCTTCAGAGGATGAGGCTGCCCGCAAGCGTATCGAGGCGATGAACTCGCTCTCGTCATTTGTCTACGGTCTCAAGTCCCAACTCGGTGACCAGGAAGGTCTCGGTGGCAAACTCAGCGAGGACGACAAGAAGACCGTTCTCAACGCGGTCAAGGAGACAACGGACTGGCTTGACGAGAACGGCGCGACCGCTGATGTTGAAGACCTAGAGGCCAAACTCTCTGAAATTCAATCCATCGTCAGCCCCATCACGAGCAAGCTCTATGGAGCGGGTGGTGCCGGTCCGTCTGGCACCGCTGATGACGAGCCATTCGGTCACGATCACGACGAGTTGTAGAGGGTTGAGTATAAGGGTGTTTATATACTAGTACGCCAGCGGCGATAATTCTTGTACGTCGACGAGACGGAGAAAAAAATAAGCAGCCGCTGTATTTATTAGAATTACGAACTGCTGAAGGATTCAAACCAAAAAAAAAAGTTCCAGGACAAATAAGCACATTGATCGATGAAGTCATTGCTCTCCCAAAAAGCCTCTTCCCTCTCCACACGACCTACCGTCCAGACTGAAGTCAGCAGAACTTGTAGTCTGCCTCGCGAAGGCATTAATTCTAGGTTTGCTTACGCGTTGGTATCACGCGAAACAAAAAGTTGACCCGGGCCACAGTCCAGGACGACGATACATTATTTACCAACTAAACTTTATTGACGACGAACTACGAACATGGCCGCCCTACCGCTGAGGTCGTTGCGACAGAATTGGTGGACAACTAGCAACGGTTCGGTTTTTTTACCAACTTCTACCCACGCCTCGCGTTCTTCTTCGGCTTTCGTATCGTCTACATCAACAATACCCTCCTCCTCTACCGAATCACAACCACCCTCATCTCTCAGTAGCGGTGGCCTTACGACATTTACGACCACTTTTCCAACGACGATAACTCAGCCGACCACGACGTTCACTAGCCTTGCTGAATCTGTGGTGGTTACGCCTGTGAGCGCAGCCGCCACAACAACATTCGCCCCCGTTGGAGCAAATGCGAACAATCCTGTTTGTATAGGTTCGGGCGTGGACGCATCCTCAGATGGGCTGTTAGCAGCGATTATCATACCGAGTTTTATTGGGTTGTTGATCTGGGTCCGTGTTTAGCGCTCGTCTCGTCCCACGTTTTGTGTTGACCCGAATTTCAGGCTCTGTTTGCGATACTACGACCCAGATTCAGACAACTGTATGCCTTGCGAGAGTGGTTTGTGGAACAAGAGTGCGTGTTGAAAACAACAACCAGCCTGTTTTCTAAGCAGTATCTCTGAACAGCTTACGACCCAAACCTGTTGGCTCTGGATTCTTCGCCTTTCTACATCCGCCAGTTCCCCTTATACCCTCCGTACCCTCCGATGTCTCCGACCTTGGCAAATCACCAGCAGGCGACGCGGAGCTCTTCCCGTCAGACGAGCAGCTCAGCCAACGCGCTATATGGATTGCACTACTCATTGCTCTCGGCTGGGCATTTCTTGCCCTTGCAGGCGCTCTGCCATTATACATGGTCTCCCTCCCTTGTTTGGCAAACCAACCATCTACATCGACCTTTAGTGGTGCATATTCTACGCTCGAGGATCTCAGTCTGCTGAGACTCCTGCGGGCAATCGAAAACAACAGCGCCAACATCTCTACCGCCAATTTACTCGAAAAGCGAGCCGTTGTCTCTGGTGCAGGCGACCCCGACCACCTTCGCATTCGCGTAATCGTTCTCACTGTCATCACCCTGGTTCTGGCTCTTCTGCCAACTCTTTATAAGATAATGAAGGAACTTCGGCGCCTCATTCTCTACCGCAAACGCTGGCTAGAGCTTCGCTGTGAAGGAAAGCAGCTTGGGTGGTTGAGCGCTAAATCCGCACCAGGTTTTGCCGGCTGGGGAGAACAACGTTTCAAGGATTTCGTGGTCAAATCAGGGTTAAGCTCTGGGGTCCTTGGTGGAACTGAGCGTCCGAGGAACAGTCCAGATCGTGATGACCAACCCAACGAGGCCGAAAAGGACGCATTGCAGGTGGACATCACACACATTTACTCAATATGGTGCGTGGTTTGTTGAAATGAGACGTTTTTATTGACGCCGTTGGTGAACAGCGACACAAGGCGGCTTGCGCTTCTTATCGACGAGCGTGACGAGATTTTGGAGAACTTGGAGATCGCGGAGACACGATATATTTCTTCGTTCAGAATCACCACGCCAGAACCTTCGGTGGCCGATTTTGAAGCAACAATTCCCAAGCCAGACCCAAGCCGCCCTTACATCAGCCATCCTCAACCTCTCCGCAATCCATCAACTCGGGTTAGTCCTCATTTGTTATGGGTTTGTTGTGAGCTTGACCATCCATTACAGAGGCCACGTCGTAAACGGTCTCTAAATCCTGCCTATGCCTCTTCTTCTCTGTCACCCACGTCTTTCGTCGCTCCTTCGGTGTACTACAAGCTCAATCGCGTCCAAGGTATCAGCGGAGGGCAATTCGGTGGTGAAGGGGCAGTCGAAGCAGGTGATCGCCAGAGTTTGACCGAGCGGATCAACTCGCGGCTGATCGGAAGCCGCTTTCAAGAAGTCAACCGCAATTCTGCTGCATTCGGACGCTTGCCACTTGGGAGCCACGTTCGCGTCGACCAAACAGGAGAATTAGGTCCCATTGACGAGCATGGGTACCTGCGAATTCCGGATCCCCAGAAATATGGACCCAACGGGATAGGCGATGGTGAGGAAAAAGATGAGGGGGACTGGGTTGATGTGTTCAGAGAGCATCACCCGCGTGTGGATGAGTCCGAAGACAACGGCCCGGGGCCATCTGGATCTATCTCATCACCTTTCCGGCGTCGACATGCCAGCACAACTGGCTCAACTGCTCAAGACGACTCGCAACCCAGTACATCCACAAAGCGCGAGACTTTCCCGTTCCGAAGACGCAAGTCATCAGCGGGAGCAGAAGACCTTCCGCCGCCTCACATGCGGCTGCAACATGCCCAACCATTCGTCCGTCCATTGGATGGTGTGAATTTTGATGCGCTAGGCACCGTCTATGCTGATATTACCCAATGGCGCGCTCGCCTCAAGGCGATAAATACCGAAATCAGTGAAGCCCAGACAACAGGATACGAAGATATTGCCAATGGAGTACGAATCAATGGCTGGCTGGTTATTGGGCGAGGACTGCGCTTTATTGATGGAATCCAAATCATCGAAGGAATGGCGAAGGAGGACGTTCGCTGGGATGTACTCCAAAACGAACGGGGTCCGCTTGATGCTATTGTGCTGTGGTGCTTACTCGGTGTCACTGCTATCTTACTAATGGCGGGATGTAAGTGTTTTTCTTGGTTTGCGAATACTTACTAACATCTTATTTCAAGTAACTGCTGCTGCTGGCCTCTCACTCACAACTGCTCCTGATGTCGCGCATTATCTGCCCTTTTTAAAACCGCTTGTCAATTCTACAGCAACAATCCCTGTTGGACTGGCCACAGTTCTCGCCCCTGCTGCCGCAGCAACCCTGTTTATCTCACTTGCAGTCATGATCATCAACTGTTAGCCTTCTCATCTTTCTGTCAAACAAGTTTACTGATGCTCTCCAGTTTCTGCGCATATTCGTGGCTCTGCCTCCGTTTCTGGCACACAATTATTCGTCTTCCAAACTATGTTCTACATTCTAGTTGGCATCGGGGCGATATGGCTGGTCACAGTCGGAGCCCTCATATATACCCTTCAAGCCTTCAACTCAGATGGTCAACAAACAGCAAGTGTTGCTGATGGTTCGATATTCATGGCCATCCTCGCGCTTAGTCTGGTTTTCACTGTGGCTATAATCTTCCCTGGACTACTACTCTTGCAGCCATTCCGTTTGTACCGTGTATTACGTGCGCAGGGTCGTGCGGTGACTCCAAGACAACGCTTCCGAGGTTGGTTGTTCCACTCAAATGTTGACTCAGTGCTGAAGTTTCATTCTAGCTATGTACCCTCGCACGTATAATCCTGCGTTTGCCATGGGCGCCTGTATTCTCGCCATAATCTTTGCTTCCACTTTTGTCATCATATTCCCGCTCGTCGCCCCTGCTGTAGTCCTCCTGCTTTTCCTGTCGTTGATCGGCAAGTTCTCTTCCGTTTGTCTTATTCTTTGTCTTACATGTCAACAGCTCATCGCTTCCTTGTTGGATATGTATATGCTCGCACTCACTCGCAAACCGGCGGGTTGCTTCAAATCTGGCTTCTGCGTCGATTTGGAACACTACTTTCTTTCCAGCCCATCTTGTTGGGACTCATTTTCTTGTCTCGTAAATTCTGGATAGAAGGCGGTGTCCTAATAGGTGCAGGGTTCTTCGTGGTAATCATCGTCGAAACATACTCAATTACTGCCTTGCGCCAACCTGGAAAAGGGTCTCTTTCACCCATCACGCGCGAATCGCTGAAGTCCTTTATGGCTGCCGCCAAACCGTCGAGAAGAAGAACGGTGGATGACGAGAGCACGAGTCTCGTGAGTACCGCGCGACTGGGCGGACATAGGACAAGAGGCTCGATGGCTTCTGTGTTGGAGATGATGAGCGTTACCCTGGCGGTGATGCCGCCTCGGAGACCAGAAAAGGTCACACTTCCACTCAGTAAGTGTTTTTTGGACTTGGACCGACTGTTATTGAGACGTCCACTGTAGAAACTGAAACGTTGGACGACCTAACAGCGACTGAACGTGCTGCACGCACTCATCCTGATGCCCCGCCACACCTTCCACCGCTGTCCTTCACTGACCACGCACAAGAGATGGCAAGCATTCTATATGCTCCTGAACTGATTGCCCCTCCACCGATCATCTGGCTACCCAATGATTCCGCTGGAGTAGCAAGGTCGGAGGCCGTTGATCTACAGAAATACCATGATTTACAAGTTACCTTGGATGTGCGGACTAAGGACGACGTGCTCAAAGCTGCACCACAACGGAAGCAGACTTCTAGTGGAACTGGGAGTAGGAGATCCTAGAGCACAATTAATTTCTTTTCTTTTCATGGACTAGGGACGTCTTTAACGATATGTAAGGAGTCAAAGCATTGAGTGTAGTGGTCCTTTGTGTTGATAGGGTAGTGATAGGTAGGTGAGTCGATTTCGTGGGTATACCAGAGTTTGTAGGAGGGTCTATGACTTGGTTGGATCAGAGAGTATACCTATGTAGTTGAGGCAATCTTACCAGTTCCAGAAGAGAGCGACGGATATCTATAGTACTTCCATGCTTAGAAAAATAAGCATCGACGACCGAGGTCACTGTAACAGCAAAGTGCCACCCAGTGCAAACTTGAAACCGGAGTGACTTTCACTCTGTATGAGGGCTTGCGACGAAGTCTTGCGTGGTCTTCAAGTCTTGAAGCGAGCTTTTTGTGAGGTGCAGCTGCTGGGCTGCACAGTTTGTTTGTTTGTTTGTAATACTGCCTCATCCGAGAGCTACCGAACCAGTAGATTAGCGATGTCGTAGTCACGTGATCCAAGCCAGCTTTACCGAGACTTCCCACCGAGAGTGCTGCGAGCCTCTTGGGCATCTCCAGAGGGCACCGTCGTGTGGATGGAATCAAGATGGAATCCTGCAACTTATTGACAGCCCGAGGTCACGCGATCACAGAACTCGACACTGACCTTCATCCAAGGGACCAAGGTTGCAATCACGGTCCACTACACCTTCGAAATGCACACTGGATACCTCGCCGAACTGCGCTCAGCGCCGTTAGACTCCTCACCAAGCTTTCAATGTTGTCCGCCCATCATGTTGACTTACGTTCAACGTCATGTGGCGCCAGTGCTTAGTAGTACTAGTGTGCTCTGCTGAATCTTCCTCTGAATGCGACTTAGGCATGCTTAATCTATGGAGGTGCTGTTTCATCCAGGACCTGGTGGGCAACCGCGTCCTACTTGAGCTCAGCTAATCCGCATGAAATATCAAGAAACATCATGACAGCATCGGGAGGTTGACTGTCGGTAATTGTAAGCGTGGGCGCCCACTCTTTCTCAAAATAAATACTATGAACGCTTAATCCTACTACGACTCCCAATGACCTCCCTCATTAACAGCCACTCCGTCAACACCGTCTTTCCTGACCATGACGCGTGTTTCGGTGACGGAGGCAATCTGAGCAGTATTTGCCAGGTCCCGTCGGCTATGATGATCAACTTTCTGAACATAACTAACCCTTCAGCATACCTCGACATGTACTGCCTCAACCCGCCTTCAGATTCCTGCAGCTTTGGATATTGTCCCAACAGTGGTATGCTTCAATATCAAACCCGCTGACAGACCTGAGGTGTTGATGCAGACGTTGCCAGTCCAGCTGTGCGGTTTTCTGGTACGCTCGAAAAAGAAAAATCCAAGACACTACTTCTCTAACTCCAATCAACACAGCCTACTTCACCTCCATCGTCTCAGCGATTCTGGTTCTCTACTGCCCAGACGAGATTACGGGCTCGTTCTTTGCCCAGCTGCTCAACATATATTCCCAAGTCATTGCGGCAGTCGTCGCAATCGGCAAACATGACTTGACCAAGCTGCACAGCGTCATAGCGCTTTCGCTCGCCGCATCACCACTCAGTGTTTACCTTGTTTTTTACGTCCTCCGCACTCTGCTTGGACGGGAAACTCGGTTGAAAGTCGTACTAGGGGAGCATCACTATTTGAATCGCGCATTGGTCCTTTTGGCAGTGCCACTTTGGATCAGTGTGCTGATATTCAGCTCAATGCCGACTCACATTTGGGAGTTCCAGCAGGCTGCGTGTGATATGTACGTTTGCGTCACTTACATGTCGAGTCTTACTGCTCACCGTGGATCTAGAGAAGTTGCTCGGAACAAGATGGCCTCACTCTTTTTCCTGCCCTTCGTAGTTTTCTTCGAGGCGTACCCTGAAGTCGGATCCCTGCTCATCGTCAGCCTCGTTATTCCGTGGTCAGTGGCTATCTGGCGCCTTAGGATAGTCATTTGGGCCAGACATGACCGATATCTACCTCTTGCGCGTCTTTGGTATGACTCTCAATCCGTCCTAAACCATACTGAACACTCTGCCCACAGGCGAAAAGTTGTCGAACACTATCCATTCATCCAATTCTACACGGTCCTCGTTCTGCCTCATACTGTTTGGATCTTCAACTTGGAATTTGGGCTTGCATCTCTCTCTCCCCGAGAGAAATTTACTGCTACGTATGGCCAGGTGCGGACAAAGACCGAACCTCCGTATCTTCTACTGATAGCTTATCCACAGCTTCTGGCAATATTTGTCACCATCCCTCCACTCATATCGCTCTGCCTGCTGCTTTCGCAACTACCGCCGTGGTTCGCTGACCTGACCTGGGTCCGATTTATTGCCCGTCGTGGTGACAAGCCATACATTTCAAAGCAAAAGAGGGAACAGCAAGAACGGAAGGACTCGACGCTCACGACCGCTTCGACGGATGCGGAGAAAGCACCGGTAGATGGACTGTCCTACATAGTAGAAGGACTTCCGTCGACTACCGAGCCTGTCTCGTCCCGTTCATCGTCGATTCCATGATGAATCAATATTATTATAATGATGAGATCAACCAGTTGTTGATGCGTAACTTGACACCCGCATCTTACTTTCCGCAACATGCTCCCCTCCGAGTCTGCGGTGGTGCGATAGTTGGACTCGAGAATGCTTGAAGTAGTTTAAAGGCGTATGGCTCACGCAAAGATACTGCTCAAAAGTTTCACAGGTCCAGGCTTCCGCATAATATCAACAGTTAACTTAGCTCGGAATTCGGCCATGGAGGATTCGAGGTTGAGAAAATGTCAAAGCATCGCGGCATTGATGTCGTACGACTCAATTGCGCCCATCCGAACACTCCTCACACTCGCAACTTTCTCTTCTTTCCTTCATGGTGTCCCTCATTCATGGTGGCTCATTAGACACGAATTTCCCGGTCCACGACGCGTGCTTTGGCGATTCAAGCAACCTGAGCAGCGTGTGCCAGGTTCCCTCGACAAGCATGATCACCTTTCTAAACATAACCAATCCTTCACTCTACTTGGACATCTACTGCAACAACCCGCCAGATGACTCTTGCGCATTCGGGTATTGTCCGAATCCAGGTATGTAGGTCATAATTGATAATATTTTGAAGGTCGTTCATTGTTGCAGACGTCGCCAGTCCAGCCGTACGGTATTCAAGTGCGCTGCTAATCTTCTCGTTTGCAATGATCACTGACGCATTCGCAGCCTACTTTACCTCACTCGTTTCCGCGATCCTCGTTCTTTACTCTCCTGCCGACGTGACTGCCTCCTTTTTTGCTCAACTTCTCAACGTCTATTCCCTGGTCATCGCAGCTATCGTCTCAATCGCCGGCCATAACCTCACCAAGCTGCATAGCGTCATCGCGCTCACCCTCGCTAGCTCCCCACTCAGTCTTTACCTCATCTTCTATGTTGTTCGGAGCATGCTTGGAAAGACCACCCGTTTGCAGGCCGTCTTCGGGCCCGGAATGCATCTTAATCGTGCCATGGTTCTTCTTGCCCTACCACTGTGGGTGAGCGTGTTGGTGTTCACCACACTCCCTACCAGCACCTGGCATTTCAACCAGGCAGCGTGCGATACGTGCGTGCTTTGAATTCAGAGCAATCGGGTCAACTAATCGGCGACAACAGAGAAGTAGCAATGAACCATATCGCCTCGTTATTTTTTCTTCCGTTCATCATCTTCTTCGTGGAATACCCCGAAGTTGGTGCTCTCATTGTCGCGTCAGTAGTATTCTCATGGGGCACGGCTATCTGGCGCACACGAGCGATAATATGGGCCAAAGGTGACCGGTATCTCCCCCTCGGACGGTTATGGCGAGTGTTTCCTTGATTTCTAATCAGCATACTCACTTAAGTTCCAGGCGCAAGGTCGTCGAGCGCTACCCGTTCATTCAATTCTACACTGTCATCGTCCTACCGCATCTCTTCTGGATGACCAACGTCGAGTATGGAATCTCCGTTCTCGACCCTCGCGAACATTTCAGTGCAACCTACGGCCAACTCCTCGCCATCTTCGTAACTGTTCCTTCGTTCATCCAGCTTTGCTGCTTGTTGCCACGAGTACCACGCTGGTTTAGCGAACTCTACTGGGTTCGTTCTATCTCAAACAAACGCAACAAGCCCTATTATCTTGAGAGGCTATCAATCCATCAACCATCGCTCGTCCCCGATCGCGATTCGAAGTTGTCTGTCGAAAGCAGAGGTCCCTGGGATCAGGAGTCGATGCAATTGGCGCTCTTGAGCAAGGCGGAGAAATCTCCTTCGACCCCAAGTTCTCCTAGTCTCCCAATCGTCAGGTCTTGATTCTCGCCGTCTCACTGGGAGTAGATTCGGTGAGCGCTTGGTGTTCCCCCAAAACACTGCCTTTCTCATCAATAAAACAGCTAATTTCATTGCTGGGTTCTTTCTGAAATCTTAACACATCATTTACTGAATGCGCTAATATTTATGAGCATGGATGATATGAAAACGGGTTGCATTTTAGTGGCTAACTTGTTGATGTAGGGATTGTGTTTCTGGCAGACCAGGACACAGTGGCAGCTCGAGCCGCACTTCCGAGATCTAAGTCGCGTCGTGGGACATGTAGGGACTATCGTAAGACCCTGAACAGATACAATGTTCAGACTGGGAAAACTTTAGCGGCGTGATCATATGACCGTGTCGACGGTGTCACAGTCACGGTAGTGGAGCAACACTGACGCGCAACCTTCGTTCATCGTTGGTAAGCTATATTTACTTACCATCCTCTCACTCGTACCATGTACTCAGATGGATTTTTCCAACAGCAATCAGCGAGAAGAGAGGCTCCAAATGTGAGCTGGCCTACTAAAATTCGGTGGGTTGTTCGCTCAGGCTCAATTTGTCCATTAAACTCTACGGCCCGGGCAGCGGCGCGATGCAGGTTGGGCATGGACTAGGAGACGCGATTCGCGGAACCCTTGGTGCAACAGACATCAAACGCGACAGTTATAGATCTAGCAACGAGATAGCACAACGGGGGCGACATGAAATTGCTCAAGGCCTTGCTAGAATGAGGGGGTTACCGGCTGGCCTTCCAGGTACGTTTCTACCTCCGCTAACTAAAAAAGAAACCATGTCAAATAGCTGCACCCGTCTATGACCGACGTCATTCTTTCCCGACACGGCAATACGAACGCGAGCCGACTACTTCTGGTCTATTTTCGCGGAGATCTGTCTCCGCTAACCCAACAACGTTATCGCAGCCCTTCGAGAAATACTATGAGCATCCGTACCTAGCTGACCACGAGCATGACCCCGGCTTTGCTGGTCTTGGTGCTGGCATTGATCAACGCACCGAGAAAGACCGCACCATACGGCCTGTCTTTTTGGACCACCAGTCGCCACCGCCATCTGCGAGGGATATGCAGCCTTATCCTTCGATGCCAGCACCAAACTCTGTTCGACCTCCGAGCTTGAACTCACAGCCTTTCAACTACCACATTTCAGCGCCACCGTCCAGAGAACACCACCAAAGTGAAATGAACACGGAAACTGCCATCGCCACCGGTCAACAGAACCGCGACCATCGGCACCGCCGGAGTCTGAGCTTCTCGACGATGGTGAATAGGACGCGTCAAAGCATGCGCTTCGGAAGGAAGGGAAAAGGCAAAGGCAAAGTCAACGATGAGCTGCTGGCACCGGAAATTTCCGACCCTCGAGCAACCCACTCTGCCCCCGTCACCCCTCCGCCATTCAGGGCTCCGCACCAACACGAATCCGCTCTAGAAAACGCGGGGTACAACGTTTTGTCCTATGACGCTAAAGACGCCTACCCGCACTGGCCTTCCGAGATGGAGATGCGTCAGGCAAACCCAAATTGGCAGTCTGAAGCCACCACCAGTAGTCGTCGGCCGCTGGGCCGGTTGGAACCAGTCAGGAGCGTCCATAGACGATAAGTAGTGTTGAATGGGGAAATTTCTCATTAGAGCACCGCCATGGGCTCGGCAAACACGCCAAATGATCGATCGCGTGATGTGATGGAGACGATGATCCGATCTCAATGAGTCATGACTTTTTTTCCCTTGCCAAGCCCCGTCCATAGAATGATGAAGCGCAAATCGTGATGCGCTCCTCCGGAAGGACTCCGGCTAAATTGAGTAGGCAGATATAGATCGCGTTTCCGCTTGGGTTTCCGAGTCCGAGTCGCGTACGCGCTCGGTCGGTCGCACGGTCGCATCGCGCTTGTTGTCCATCTCGTTTCCATAGTGTTGTTTTAGGTTTACTCTTGGTTTACTCCTTCACTTTTTACTTGCACCGAATCGGAATATGAAAAAAAAGAAAATGGTACAGAAAGGCGCCATGACAAACTCCTGTGGTCTTCCATTCCTCGGCATTCAACCACCGCTCGTCAACCCCTGTTCTTTATCGTTCTTCTTCTTGTGGGTTTCACTGACCTAGGGATCCTTGTTCCGTATTGACTCAAGCGCCGCCCGATTCATATCGTCGACAGACAGCAGGCAAGCAGCACGCGGAAAAAAGGCAATGCGTTTGGGATGGCAAGATATTCAACATCAGCTAACTACAATACAGTTACGATGATTCTGCTGCTTGAGACATATGTAGGGGGGTGCTCTAGGAAGTACAAGCGTGATACTGGGTTTTTCTGTAGCAAAAAAGGGCAAAGCAACAACAGACGGATTAGAGTGGGACATCGCAAGTGGTTGGACATGCTAATGGTAGAGTAAATTATGTGGAACATACCAAAGATAGCCACTAGATTCCAAAAGACGAAAGAATATTGCAATTCCAAGCTATTGAGCAAAAAAGGGAACAAGTCGATGCCCCGGCATTATGAGACAGGTCCAGCGCGTCCAGCCAGCCAATTATTATAGGTGTATTCCAAGGTGATGACTTCGAGTTGGGCGAGTGCCAAGATGATTCGATGAGTGATCTCCGACAACAAAAATCTGCCCCAAAGGTTTAGCACCAGTAAATCGAGGGACGGAAAAAGACCAACAAACATTAGATCAGGCCAAAGTTCAAGGGCGACGACGACCGAGCCGTTCAAGACTACTGTTGCGACTACTCGCTGCACTGTCTGCGCCAGCCAAACCAAGAGCACCGCCCCGTTCGCGACGAAGAGGAAGTGGGAAAGTAGCGCCAGGGATTGATTTCGTCTCTTCGCCATCTAAGCGCCAGATGTTCGCTAATGGGGAGTCTCCCCCAGAAAACGTCGACCGTGTTGATGATGACAAACTCCGATTATCCTCGTATTCGTCAAATGACAGATCGGCAGAAGAAGTCGACGCTGGAGATAGCGTTGGCGACTGAATAATGTCCTGCAGAAACGAGGGGAGCAGCGGAGCCGGGGCTGGGGCAGGCAAAGGTTGGACAGGAGGACTCATCATGACTGGACGGTGAAGGGGGCTTGGCTGGCCATGGTAACGGGAGGTTTCATAGATAGGAAATGACCCAGAGCCCAGTTCGCTGTGTGACTGCGACCGATGTACTCCACGAGGCGGCGTAACGTTGACAAATGAACGATGAGCATGGGCGGGCGTCGCGGAATGTGAACGACCGGTGGGTAAAGCGGGGAGTTGATGAACAAGCGGAGGTGAGGGCGAAGAAGGCGTTGAGTCGATTCCAGTTTGTGCAAGGACAGAAGTGAGGAGCGCAATGCGTTCTGCTTGAACAGCCGCCGAGATCGAGTCGCCGTTACCCTCAGCATCTGAATAGTAGTAAGTCGATCGGTTGAAAAATAGATCGGACGTAAAACTAACGCACATGGCAAGCACGTCTGACAAACTTTACGCCGTCTCCAGTTTAGATAGTTGCACTTGAGACAGATCCAATCGCCAGGTTGCTGTAAGGACACATAAAAAAAATGAAAACAAAAACAAAACAAAAAAGTGACACACATGCGATATCGGACCTCGATTCCCTGTGTTGAGAATGGGGGGTTGCTGTAGAAATGTCAGGCGGGTTGCAAGACCGTGAGGTAACGCACGCACGGGGACATTCATTAGACTGCTCGGCCGAATTTGACCTTGCTCCGGAAACGGCTCGTTGTCGGGCCAATACATGATACACGGTGTGAGAGGGTCGCTCGACACATTTTGAACTTTACCGCCCACGGCAAAGGCTCTGCCAGACGGTGTGAGTATCGGGTAGCCAGATGAGGCAGCCTTGTTGAGCGCCGCAAGAGTCGACGACAGTGGGAGATTGACTGGTAATGGCTGGGAAGGTTGAGGTCGAGGGGAAGGTGGAGGAAAGCCATAGTTAGTCGGAGAGTTGGCGCTCACGAAACGCGGTGAGATGGGAGCACGCGAAGATGGGGGAGGGTGGCTGAAGCTGTGGTGATGACCCATGTCCATTGTCGGAGAGCCATTGGTGGGACGAGAAGAGCCACAACCGATGCATGTCAAGTTGCGTCTGGGTTCTGTTAGCATGGTGGGAGAAGAAAGCGAAACGCCGAAGTCGTCCTCTTTATACGACGTTCGGTGTTTTGAAATAAGCTCGAAAGACTCACCCAAAGTTATGGGCGGCACAGTTTTGTGAACGGCATCTAGTAAAGAACGTACGTCAGCGACATGTGAAATAATCGGGGACGAATGGAGAAAAAAAGGAAATGTATATAAATATCACCAGAAAAAGCGAACAAAGCTGGTGTGTGAACCAATAGAGCGAATCATATGACGAGGCTACTCTGAGACCAACCAGAAAAAGAACTTGTACGCACATCCAGTCACCCTGCCGGAAGGTATTTCGTGCGTTCGGGGGGTTACTTGAAAGCGTGTATTCTTCACAAGCCATCGGGACGCCACTAGCGGGTGTTGTTGGTGCAGAAACACGGGGATTGCTCATCTTTGAAGTAGTAAATTAAGCAAAAGTGTGCCGTAAACCAAACAAGGTTGGCAAGTAAGACACGCACAGTAGCATTCGGCTTTGGCTTTAGGACTTCGAGGAGGTCGGCTTCCAGAGCTGGGGCAACGATGAAACGGGGAGAAGAAAGAGACAATGCAGCGCGAGCCTGTCGGTAAATATACAGTGAGCAATAATTTGGTTGATGGCGTGGGAGATGTGTTTCGAGGCGTTGCCAGGTACGACAACCCAAGTCACGATCACCACACGCGACATTGCGACCGGTCCGAAGGTAAGGTAGTCCTCACCTCCCGATGGCTGTGAAAGAGCGCCCACACTACTCCGTCACGGACCCATATGCTCGTTGGAATGAGACCCTGACAGTAAAACAGATCATTCGGGGTCAAACAATCAAAAAGAAAAATCTTTGCTCACATTGCGAGGCAAGATGGAGGCCAAGTGCGATGGTGGAGCGTCGACGAACTGTTCGGGGATAAGTCAGAAAAGAGTCGGCAAACCGGAAAAGCCAACACACATAAACGACACGCGATTGGCTCCGTTCAAATGAATCAAAAGTGCCGTCGCTTGAAGTTGAAGACGTCGTGGATTGTGGCGACATATCGAAGGCCGGCGCTGGACGTGGAGCATAGTTGCCATTGTCAATGGCAACTGAGAGCTTTTCAGGTGTGACGTAGTTAAAGGGTGAGCCAAGGACAGGTGCAAACTGTTCAGGATGGTGCTTCATCGCGCTGGTGAAAGGAGTGGAAAGAAAGGATGGTGGAGGGAGAAAGAAACGCGCGACTTTTTGAGAGGCAGAGCCACCAGCGACGAATTCAGCGACGCGTCTGGTTAGCCTCCTCAGTAGGTAATTACAAGGAAGCCAAGAAGCAAGCGGATATCAAACTTACAATTGCAAACGAAGAAGAAGAACCCAGGGAGCGCAGTTCGATAACTCGGCGGAGACGTATTCACGCCCTTGGTGCAGGTTCATCCCCATATACGTTGTGGAATCACTGTGAATGTTGAAACAATGTCACCCAGGCTTGGGCCGCACGTGAAACGTGGCCCCACCATCACCATCACCATCGTGAGAGTTTTCATATTCCTGACATGAACGGAAAGCTCCGAAAAAAATCCGCTCAACGAAAAATTCCTTTTCTTACCATTTCTTCCCTTGAGCTCTTTTCAAAGCCCGGCGACCGCCGTTGTACGATAGCTTTGTACTTATCACTGGGTTCGTGCTTCGAATCTAAGTAACTTTGATACCGCTGCTTGTCAACGGTCCCGACTAGAAGGGCAGACCGTGTTCCTAGCGTCTTCCTCTTTCAACGGACTCCCTTTTTACAACCGTTACAAGATGTCGACGGTAGCGCAGACAAACCGAACAACTAGTAATCATTCAGCACATTTGCCGGGACAGAGGCTCAATCACTGCGCAAAGCTTCTTCCAGATTTTGCATTGTGCCATCTTGCGATCTCCCTATGGTCGGTGACTCATAGTTTGCTTAACGAACGGCTCTAAAGTGGAAATTCAATGAATCAGAGTGCATTAAATTTGTGAAGCAGATCTGAGCGTAAATGGCTACACTCGAGTGCTACATAGGTCACAGCCGAGTAGAATCCATAGCCAAAGAAACACCGTTGAGTATTTATCGACCGAAACAACTTCTTCAAGAAGGCCACAAAGTGCATTGACAGTATGTGGTTATCGAACTTCAATTTGATTCTCAATGCTTGATGGCTGCAGTCAACCCGAGATGGAGTCGGACAGGCACACAGTCGCCATTCAGACGGCAGCAACAAAGTCGCAAAAAGACCCAAACCAACACTGAAGAGATCTGAAGCAAGGTGATATGATCTCCTAAGTAAGCAGGAAAAGCATCCGAAAAACGTCAAAAAAATTCCCATGGCTACCATCCTTGTCTTTCCCCTCAACGAGCCTGCAGCTCATGCATCATGGCTGCGGGCAACTTGAAACCTCCGACAACAAACCTACTTTCCCATGACGAGAGGAGGAGGATTATCCATTCCGTTCGCAAGATTGGCGCGATAACAGGCTCGACTCCGATCGTTCAAGACGAGCTTCACTTGTTACCTGCTATGGAAATCATTCTTCCAGCTCTTGCTCGGCGGTCATCCAAGCGTGAAGGAGTTGTGATGCCCTCCGAGACGTCTTCTCTCGATACGGAGCTGGGCAAGAAAGTTGAGGTGCAACACCGGCCACCCATAGCCAAACTCTGCCTCGCGCCCGACTTGCGCAATTCCATCTCCGACATCACACGCCTCCGGCTTATTCTCACTCTCACCCAACCAACGGCCCAATCCTCTTCGTCTACTGATACCCATGAAGATGACGACGACGCAGATTCGGTGCTCCAACAATCGTTAAATATCCTTATTTCGACGACCCCTTCCGACTCGGAACATGCTGCCCGACGCAAGAAGATGGTCAAACTGGGTCAAATACTTGGCCATTCAGTCCCATCTGCCGCTGCATTCCCCTCAGCGATGCCAGATCGCTCGCGGGCGTGTGACAGGACTAAACGGCATTCACGTCGTCGCTCCCGCTCTGTCCCGCCTCCCTCTGCATACCCTTTCGCGGAAACTAAATCCGGGCCTACAAAATTAGTCCGCAAGCCATCTGTTGAGCAAAAACCCCTCCCAGCGCTCACCGTAGACATCATTTCCCGACCTCGTCCCCTGATACCCATGTCTGGTCCATGTCCCCCATCGAAAAACAGCTATGCGGAGTTAAGGTCGCGGCAAAGCACCGTTTCCTCCCTCAGTAAAGCTTCTTACGGTCTCAAAAGACGAGCCCGGGAAACGTCGTCTCACAACACATCGGAATCCTAATTTGACTTCTTCACTCTACTCACGCTCAGCAACGTCCCTTATGATCTCCCATACCATACGCTACAAATAATACTAATGGCCTACTGTATAGCATGTGTACGCTCAGAAACGCAAATTGTACATGTAAAGTATTCACGCAATAGTCTGTTGTACCCTATGCTTCCATCTGCTTCCACTCGGCCAGACGCGCTTTCAACAACTTGAATTTCTCCTTCTGTCGATCAATGCGGCGAGCCTCGCGCTCAGTTACACGCTGCTTCAATTCGTCCGAGAAGAATAATGCTGGAGGTTTTCTAGAAATCGAAGGAGTCTTGCGCATCGGTTCCGAGTCCATGAAATTTTCCTTCTCTTCGATTCCGACAAGCTCTTCGCAGAGGGCCTCCTCACAGAATTCAGTGACAGTTTCTTCATTGAGTGTTCCGTTCGCAGCAGGGATATTGGTGATATTGACGTTCAATTGCAGCGGAAGGGTACTCGGTGCTGGCGTGTCGCGATTAACAAGTATGACTGGTGAGGAAGGAGTAAACGAGGAAGAGGCAACGATGGGAGATTCATCGAGCGATAGGTGTACGTAGTCGTCTCCAGAAGGGGTTACTTCCAATAAATTCGGTGAGGGCAAGGGAGCCTGGTACTGAACAGAGTGGCTCAAGTTGCGGTGATGCGTGTGCGTTGAGATAGCCCACCTTGGTGGTAGACACACGCTTCAGATGTGTGCGTCCATAAGCCAGAAGATTGGTTGCTGCCTTTCCAAAGTACGCTGAACTGAGTTTCTTCTTTGGCTTCTTGGTATCGCGTTTGTGTGGGTAGGGTTTGGTGTTCTCCTTGAGACACATACTTGCGGTTGAGCGACGGACTGGACCTGGCATAATCTGAGCGTTACCATGAGCGGCGCGACTTGACACAAGTCTTTGTGGATTGACCGGCGAGGAGATGTTGTGGTTGCTTGAGGAGAGAGGGTGAACGTGACGGCCACGATGATGGATAAGATTAGATGAGGATGACAGATGACATCTGCCAGTGATCCGAACTTACTTCAGCTTTGATCATGCTTCCTTCTTCCTCTCGCCAACGGTTGTCGGGCCATCCCTACCGATAGAACTTGGCCGAACTTTCTAGACGATTTCAGTTCCATATAGACACTAGCGCGTCAGTATGTCTACTCACCAGGCCTCGAAACAAAATTAACTCCAATCTGCCAGTGCTTTCACTCAACACACCTCACACAAGCTGAAGTTGATTATATCTTGAAGAGAACCTTATGCCGCTCAAATTCATCCGGCGCTTCGAACGACGGGGCTCTGACCCTGTGCTGCAGCTTGCTGTGTCTCTGACTGCACTCACTAGAGACCTAGCTGATATGGCCTGCTTTCCGCCTGCAGCCGCCGTCGTTGGTGTCGTTCTCCTCATGCTTGATACCGTGCAGGTTTGACTACGATATAATTTGCCGCGTATGGGGCCATAAACCTCCACAGACTATTCAAGTCAGCATTTTATAATCAAGCTCCTTCTCGCATTAATTGAACCTAATAAAAGGTCAACAAAGAAGGGTGTCATCGTCTCGCAAGACGGTGTGCGCGTATTTTGCTCGACATCAACGACCAAATGCTGGGACGATGGGACACTGCCCCGTCATCTCTTGTCAAAAACTTATCGCGGCTGGAAGAGTACGTTCAGTTGGCATTGACATTATTGATGCAGCGTTAACATTGTCCATAGAACTGTCGAAGCAATACATAAATTTATGAAGCAAGCAGCGTCAGCATCATGGAAGAAGCGCTTTCTTCATAAAACCGAAATTGAGACTGCGTTAGCGAATTACCATGAGAATCTGGACGATGCTGCAAGGGCCTTCCAGGTTTTTGCGAATATTTGCTCCTTATCTAAGACTCACAAAGCTGCAGATGGCCAGCCTTATTGAAATACATTATGCGGTCGGGGCGAAGACGACTACGACCAGAGAAGCACAACCTTCCCCAATGCCAACTCAACTTCCCATCCCAACTGTTCAGTCTCCTGAGTTGTCTTCGCAAAGTCCAAGTCAAACCAAATCAGCTGAACTTTATGTGGTCGATGAGGAGATATACTCGGCTCAAGTCTTGGAAGAGCAGGGAGTAAATGCTCCACTCTTTGAATTGGTGCATCGACTGATCTTGTCTTTAGTTCAAAAGATATCATCAATCAGATATAGTCTTACAGGGGAGAGTTGCTTCACATGAGGCCACGGACGGTTGGTGGTCTGGTACGAGCGAAGCACGAGTGAACGGATCCACCCATACCTCGTTGATAAAGCGGTATGAAGGGCCGCGAGCCCTTGCAAGAGAAGTATATCTAACCGCTTCTTTTACAAGAGAAATTTGAAACCAGAACAGGAATGGACACGAGATATCAAGACATTGCAAAAACTCTAGTTCGTCCTCGTTGCACCTTTCACCGAGTCATGACGATTATTACAGCCACCCAAATTTACCGCAGTTAATGGGTTATTCGACTGAAGAGGCTCCAACGCCCTTCATTCTTCTCTCCAATGGTAAATTTCTTCTCAGCTCAAGCCGCGATACCATCTGTTTCCAGTTCGAACGCGGTCACCCGAAGCGTTTCTTCTCGGCTCGTTACGGCGGGATGGAGTAGCAATCTGCATCGAACACATGCTACGATTTGTGCGCCCTCTTATCGTCCGCAATTCCTCTCATTGATTATTATATGACGCAGTATTCGGATGTTGTGGTATGTCTGATGCACGAATGTGGTCGTTAACAGAGCTGATAAAGCCAAAGAATGCCACCCTCTACTTGAAGGATCAGCTTCAGCTTTCGGAAGAAGCGGCACAAGATTTTCTTGAGGTTAGATCTTTCTATCAGAGCCGGAAAAAAACACCAACATCACAGAATTCATCGTATCGAGTCGATGCGTTTAACAATGTGGTCGTGGGTCTTCCCATTCAAGATCGCGCAGTCGTAACCTACCGTTCATATCGTCTGAACGAGAGTTTACGCAGTGTTATCTTGCGCGTGAGCTCAGCCTGTTCGATTTTCCAAGTCTGAGTCGTTGTGTAGATGCTGCCCAATCAGGGTATCGTTCGATATCGTCAAGACAATGCCGTCGGTGGGTATTGCCCAGGTTTATCTACTACTTCGTATACTACTCATCGGAGGACAGTCAAAGAAGACCCGACATGGCAGTTGACTCAACTGACTGCCTTGGTTTCCTCTCTACTTCCTGGTCCCGCACAACCACCTGGACTCTCTTCTCAGCTTCAACAAACCATAAGATCAAACGACCTTGCGGAATTGGCGCCAACTTTACGTCAGTTCCGGCAACTGAGTCTTGATTCGGACTCGCATGGGTACATGTGGAACAAGAATTCGTCTATCCCAGCCCATAAATTTACTGTGGGTGATCTGGGTTACGTCCCAACTGGGAAGGACTGGGACGAATTCGTTCGGCTGGGCAACCTATATACAGATGGGTTGGCTAATTTCCCATTACAATCGAACGCATACGGGACGCAGTGGTGTTGGAAAGACAGGCCGATGCAGCGCAGCGCGTTGCAATCCTTTAATCCATCACAAGGCGTAGAATGGTGAGTTGAACCAGTCAATTCACAAGTAATGTCTGAATATATCTACTGTAGCTGGCCGGTCGCAGTCCCTCTGGGAGCCCAGATGGATTGTGAGATCGTCCACGAATTGAGGCTAGTGCGGATGGAATGTGGCTGGGAATTTTTGCTCGACAAGGCGGTTGAACTGGGCAAGAAATGGGACATTTCCCCAGAATCACTTGTGTTGAGTGAGTTGTGGATCTTTGTATTATTCTTGGTTAAACTCGTTTCAGTAACGCAGGCTGGAATGAGCCAATCATTTGCGATCAACGATTTTGGCGGAAACTTACAACAAAACATGCGCAATAATTTGAACAGGTTTCCTACCGCTGGACGGGGAAATCACTTCTTACCTGGACAGCGCCCCAGTATTCCCAAAGTCAATTACCTGTTCACAGCGGATCGAAGTGACTTTGAGCCATACTGGTCACACCAACCCGTATTTACGCCCCAACCGCCCGTGCTGGATCGTGGTTGGACCGGTAGAATGGGCTGGTAAGGCAGCTTCCATTGTTTTTCAAGGACTTGGGCTTATTGCCTTGACCAGGAGGACTGGATTCATCAATTGGGCTCAATTGCATGAGGAGGATTTCGTGTAGATTTGGCATTTGCGTGAAAGCTGTGACGTGATGTTAATAATATGTCGTGACTTGGAAGGACTGCTGCTTGTTTCATCTAGCCACACCGACCCCGCCACCGCCATCGAACTAGACCCCTTCACTAGCGCTCGTCGAGCATCCAGCTTGGGAGTTGAGATGCATTCAGACGCTTTCGATGTTATCCCCTATGCGGTATGTGTGCCACTGCGGAGAGGTTCTCCATTCTCCACATTGCACTGCTCTCGATCGAGTCTGGAGGAAACTGATTCGTTACTCAGGATATCAAAGGTGAATGGAAGAAACTGGGTGCAGGGTCGTTTGGGAATGTCTACAAGGGTACGCTGTCGTTCCGAATTGCTTGTTAAGCCACCTATCTCTTGCCAGGCAACTACCTCGGCATCGATGTCGCTATCAAAGAAGTGCTTCCGTCCAACGAATATGACGTGGCCAAGTACTTCGAGCGAGAGTGGAGGCTGATGAAAGAAACCCGACATCCTAACTGCTGTCTCTATATTGTGAGCAACCCTGACTATCGATTCTACTATCTTAATCGCTGTTACAGGGTCTTTCCCGTGCGCCAGAGCCCGATAACCGCATCTATATCATCTCAGAGTTCATCGAGAATGGCAACCTGCGGGTCTACATTCACGACAAGTCCAAACCATTCCCATGGCGTCTTCGACTCTCTTTTGCGACCGATATTACCCGAGCTCTCGCATATCTCCACGCCCGCAAATGCATCCATCGTGACCTCAAGGGCGAGAACCTTCTGGTCACTTCAAATGGGCGTCTGAAACTGACCGATTTCGGCTTTGCTCGAATTGCTGCGCGAAATGACGACGAGATGAAACGACTCACTTTCTGTGGAACTGATTCTTATATGTCTCCCGAGATTCTGATGGGCGACGAATTCGACCTTCCAACGGACATCTTCTCTCTCGGAATCATCTTTTGCGAGATTTCCGCGCGAAGATTGGCAGACGACGACCATTTCAAGCGCTATGCCCCAACCTTTGGCATCGATGCTGCTGAAGTCCACAAACTCGCTAGCCCAGGCTGTCCTCCGGAGTTTTTGGCTTTAGCCCTTGATTGTCTTGCGGTTGATCCCAAAGCTCGTCCCACAACTCGACAAGTCCTTGAACGACTCCGTGCCATTGAAGCTGAAGTTCTCGCTCGCCCTAATGAAGGCGAAGAACTACATGTTGGCAGTGTTAGGCTGATGACTAATTCCAAACGGACTGGCGCTGGCCCTCGCATGCCTAGTTTTGGTGTGGGGGTCGGGAAAGATATTCGACCAAGCACTTTGAAACACAAATCGAGTGATAGCGTCAGTACCACGGACGACAGCGATGACGAGCTAATGGAAGCCGTCATGGGACTCTCATCGGTTGGTGTTGGCAGCGAATGGAGCGAAGGGACCAATGGTCTGTCTCGTTTACCTGCTTTGATATTATTTTGACGTTTGAACAGGTCACCAACCCCTCCTCGAGAACAATCCTTCCACAATCTCCGACTACAGCACAACGGTTATTCGAGCGCACCCGGGCCAAGGCTCAAGCAGCCAGTTACCCTCCCTTTCTTCGATACTCACTGTCCGTGCATCTCCGGATCCAAACGAAACTCCTGTCGCGGTCCTGCCATCAGACCCTCTGGCCGGTTCAATCATGTCAATAGCATCACTTGACTCCTACCACACCGCCCATTCCGTATCAGCAATCTCAACGACATATGCAACCGAAGGCGGTTCGACTATAAGGTCTCTTCACGGCAACTACACCGCTCCTCTTGTCCATCGCTTTACTCTCATCAAACCTGGTGCAAAGCCTAAGAAGACTGGTTCCAATGGCTCCATTTCCCCGAGCAGCAGTGGCGGAAACGAGGCTTCAGGATGGAACCCACTCGAACTCTTCTTTTCCAGTGGGCTGTTGGTGTCTAAATGTGATATTTGCTTGAAGAGACTTGGTTGGAAACCCATTCTCGAATGTGATGACTGTGGGCTTCGTGCTCATATCAAGTGCGGAGAAGTAGCACCGCGAGATTGCGGCGTACGACCCAGCCGACCAGGTTTTCACCAGTCCCCGTTGAGTGCTCTCTCCTCTCCTCTGTCCAAGGTTAAACACAGTGCGGCTACTGCTGCAGGCAGACCGAAGAGTACAAGTCCACAGAGATAATCCCAACTACTTGACGACCTTACGATGACCCTTTTCACTTGACTCGCATTCACGACTTAATTTACGACTCGGCCCTCGTAATGACACATTCTTTTTCCAGAGAATGTTGCCTCGCATACGGACTTGACGCACTCCATTGTTCCAGACCACCAGCATTCATACGTATCGGTAGCACCTCACGATTTTGTATGAGTATCCAGAACTACGATACTTTAACGTCTAGCACTACCACTACCCAAATAATCATGTTTCCAATTACAAACCGTAGGATCAGTCACAAACTGCTTGGATTGGCCTCGCTCGCTGTCCAGATGGGGCGGATACTAGATCTGTGTAAATTGGCGGGAGGGCTATACTATGGGCCCCGCAGTGCTCCTACAAGAGGGAGGGCCTCGGTAGCCGACCATGTAGCTAAGACTAACTAATCCTAACTAACACAAGCACGCAAAAAGGGTAGTAAGCTGGGGATGGTGGGCGGGACAAAAGAAACTAGTAGGTGACGAAGGCGATGGCGCTGGGGCCAGGAATGGGAGAGCAGAGATGGGGGCGAAGGAAGAAAAATCTCTGAGTGTGACGGAGTGTGATGTCATGTGCTCACTGCCAATCCCGACGGTCTCACCAGACCACCCAGGATTGGCCTCGCTCGCTGTCCAGATGGGGCGGATACTAGATCTGTGTAAATTGGCGGGAGGGCTATACTATGGGCCCCGCAGTGCTCCTACAAGAGGGAGGGCCTCGGTAGCCAACATGAACCGAGTGCAAGCGACCAGCCCAAAGGCGGGGGAGGTACTTGCACGGACGCCAGAGGCCCTCCAAGGAAGACAAAGTGTTGGCCGCTACACATGAGAGCCAATGGCCAGTGTTCGCAATCGATCGACACATTGATGGTCGCCAAAGAGTCGGGAAAAGGAAGGGGGGAAGGAGGTGGAGCCCGCGCCACAAGCTTCACATACCTCTAGTGTCGGAGAGGGTTGCAAGTGGAACGGGCAGAGGTGGCTACCAAGAGCGGAGAGCCAAAACCCACAAAGAGCCGGTGGGTGAGAGAGAGTCGCCTACAGCTGCAAGAGGCCCCAGGCTCGCCAAACTAGAGTGTAGAAAGGAACAAAAGAAACTAGTAGGTGACGAAGGCGATGGCGCTGGGGCCAGGAATGGGAGAGCAGAGATGGGGGCGAAGGAAGAAAAATCTCTGAGTGTGACGGAGTGTGATGTCATGTGCTCACTGCCAATCCCGACGGTCTCACCAGACCACCCATCTCGCTCAACCATCATGTCGCTCTTTGACGTCCTTCAAGCTGTCCTCAGCTACAGAGAATCCCAATCCAGTCCCTGTGAAATGTGCTGCATTGGCATTGAACAGATGTTTGATGGCATACTCACTTAGAGCTCTTTAGGCAAACCCAATTTCCTGAGTTCGGTTCTCAAGACCAAACGAGCTACAGTGAACTGAAGCAAGCAATTACGTTGCGGAAACTACTCATAGTCTCCCTAGATTGGCGATGGAACTATTCAGAAGCAGGACGGTCTGCGTTCCATCATTTGCTGCCAATGTGTTTGAGTCGACACACTGATACAACAAGCAAGTGGATTCGGAACCCTCGGCTACTCTTTTTCCTTTCCTTCCACCACTTTCTTTTTTTCTCTCTCTCAAGGCAGACCCACCGTTGAACTGCACCTTCTGGTTAGAGGCGCGTCCGGTGCTGGATTTCTTTCCGCTCGCTTTTATTTTCCCGTCTTCTTCCTTGCGTCTTGGATTCAAACACTTTTCGTATTCATAATGTTTTCAAAACTAGCCATGACGCTCAGGTCCACGGTGCGTGGTCAATCTTGCAACGGCGCAAGAGTCTGACTTGGGGAAAGTATGCTCAGATTACCCTCAGTGCGATACCCAAATCTTCGTCTCGATGGTGTTTTGAAGAATTTGTAGACCGGATTACTGTGGCCTTCTTTCTCTTTTCTTTTGTCCTCTGTTGCGCGCAGGGACTCATCCAAGCATTTCTTTATGGACTCGACAGCCAATTTGCCTCCATCGCTACCGATATCGTGCGGGCGGCGGAAATTCCTGCGAAAAACATTACTTTCTTGGAGGGCTCGAGCAAGCATTACACGCTCAACATGTGCGACGACATTCCTCATGGGCAAGCGAGGTATCCATGCATGGTCATCTTTCGATCGGGCGTGGTCTACCCAACCCCGGAGATCGCCCAGTTGGTCCGTCTTCGCTTTGCTTACATTCCAAAACGATTGATCAACAATTTCACCCGTTTAGTCTCTCCAACAGTCGGATTCGGTCGGTTAAATGCCTCTGACAAAATATATCCTAAAGCCAGAGTCAGGTAGTTCGGGACTTCACGAATGGGTTCGGTATCACAACCTACCGTGACTCCAATGGCGTCGCCAACGGAGTCTCATTCCGATCTTCTAGCGCCAACCCTGTAGTGCTCAGCAAGCAATGCACCCAGACTTTAGTGTATCCGCAACAACTGTGAACACATATTCCTTTCCCTTCGCGACATCCCCATTAAAAAGTCTGCAGTTTCCAGGACTCTGTTCGCGAAGATTTAACATTTATCTTCCTCCAATTTTGGCTCTTCGGGGTTTCACTTTTTGCATTGGCCAAGAACTCTGTTCCCCACCTCTTGACGGCGCTCGCGGCTCGGGCGATCCTAGTGACATGGAGCACCTACGTGGCCGTTTTCCGAACCCATAACCGGCAGGCTATATTCCAGCAAACGCTTTCGAATCCCGGGACTCCTTGTGGGGTAGAACTGTTCCCCCAGTTTTTCAACATGAGGACGGTTTACGATGTCGGTGCCAAATCTAATATCAATCATCCCAATGCTCATGCCCTTCCCTTAGCTTGCTGACCTTGTTCTGAGCTGGTCAGGGCTGCTGCTGTCGTGTTTGCTATCCTGGTACCTTCTCAGGGTGAGCGTTGGTTCCGAGGCCACGCAATGTTTTTGCTCATAGTCCGAAGTTGTACAACGCAGCTTCTTTCAAACGCGTTGGCGCTCCCTCGCACATCAACCGCATCTACAAGGTGAGGGCTTAGAAAGTTTTTCTGTAGTTCATCATTAGGAACCTCGCCGTCTAGTTTTTCATGGCCGTTCAGGCATGCTTGCAGATGGAGGTTTTCGTCCTCGTTGCTGCAACCAGGCGGGTTTCGATATTCTTCCCCAGACGTTTGCTGACAAATATCCCAGCCTGTGGGTTGACGTGCTGTCGGAAACCGCCATCAAAGACCTTTCAGCGCACACGACGGTCTACAACGCATTGGTCATTGCGTCAATTGTACTCGTTCTGCCCTGGATCGCGCTGGTCGGTGCATTTGTCATGAGTCTCAATGTGAAGCTAAACTGGAGAAGGGCTGGTATGGCGTTCGACGGGAGCACAAGGGCATGATGATTTCTTTCCTGGGGATCGCATTTTTCTTCGTGGCGGGATGGGCTCTTATGTTCTATTCCATCGTCTACCGCTGGTAAGTGGACTCTCGCCCGCCATGTCTTGTGTCTCAGAATTGTTAGGTCTTTCGTTCAGTGGCCGTATCTTGGATGCTTCACTGTGGCGTCTTTCATTCTGATCATGTACATTCTCTGCCTTGTCGACCACCATATTCTGATAAGTCTCTCCACAGAGCTAGTGTGATTCTGGGCACAATCTGTTGGAGGCATTTCGGAGAAGGCCTGACGGAATACCGTAAGCCCTTACCGCTGTTACCTTCTCATATTCATCTTTCCCAGTCAACGCGGAGGCGGCACTGGCAGACTCAGACTTCGCACCGGAAATTTTCAAGAACAACAGCGACGATGTCGAGAAGGCCGCTCCTTCAGACCCTTTCTACAGTTACGACGACCCTGCCTTCCCACTGCCAACCTTCCATGGGCCACCAGCATCACCATTACACTCGCGGAACGCATCGATGAATAATGAAAAGCCAGCATCAATGAGGGGGCCACCTCCTGCATATGACCGAGCAAGCATCCAACCTTTCTAGTTTATTCCAGTGCCAGGACAATCATTACTACCACACAGACACTCTCTACCTTACGGGGTTTATATTTCTGTCCAAGGCAGAAGCAGGACAGGCACCTATGTACATACAAAGGGACAAAAGCGAGTACTAGTAATACTTTGCGCAATCTGTTGTACAAAAAAGACTGCAGCCTCTCAGAAGAAATTGCCTGCCGGCTTGGACACACTTCTTGCTCTAGGTCGGCTGGGAAGGCCCACACGGCCCGGTGGAGGCATCCGTCGGGCAGGGGGCACAGAGCCAGAGCGGACCACTGCAGCTGCTAGCTTGGTTGGTTCTCTTGTTGGGGTCCGGCTATTGCGATCTTCAACAAGGGGAGGGGACGGCGAAGGAGATTTCGAAAGCACGCTCGACGCTGCCGAGTTGGTGGGCGAAGAGAGACTTGTACTTCTTGCAACAGGTTTCACGACAGCGTGGTCGGGAAGTCTGGTCAATGCGCCTTGGAAAAGGGCAGGAGTACTCGAAAGGTGGATGGTGCTGTTCTCCGCATGCTGGTCAGAGAGTATCATCGAAAAAGCACTGATTTTCCGACTTTCGCCCGACATCGCGGGCTTGAGCGTGTCGCCCTTCTCTTTGGGGTAGGAATAGCCCAGTACCGCGAGCTCCGGGTCCAGCTCGTACTTGGTGCCATCGTATGTGGGGGAAACGTCACCCTGTTCAGGTGATTAGCCTAACTCGAATGAAGCTGTTATTATTCGACCTTGGCAAATGTGACTGGAGTGAAGTCCCCTTCGTCGAGCATAGTCTCAACCCTTACTATGGAACAAATGAGCGGTTTCGGGACGTAGGAATGATCTAGGCTCACAGAAATGTGCCAGACCCTTGCCAAACTGAGTCCTACAGACGATAGCCAGGACGGAGGTTGCAATGAGCAAGACATCTGCAGCTAGAAGGGGGTGAGTAAGCTAGGGATTGGAAAAGGAACCATACGGACTGATGGAAATGGTGGCATAGAACGACCAGCTGGTGAGGACGAAGCGGTAGACTGTATTGGTTGTTGAGTTGGAGAGAAGAGGGGATTAACTTAAACTGACGGGGACTGATCAGAGTCAACGTTGCCATCGCAAACAGAACACAGGAAATGGCGGCGAAGAGAAGGAACAATATTTTCGATTCTCTTCGCACACTTAGCCAGCCCTACGACCGTCAGTAAAGGAAGGGCTTTTAGCTTTGGAGGAGTCACGCACCAGCACTAGCCAGGGGATCGAGAACTGCGTGGGGACTGAGCGCGAGTATAACTCTGAGCGTAGAAAACTTACCACTGCAGTGACGATCAGCCCCGCAAGATACATCCTGAAATGGTCGGCAAGCATGCGAATGGGTCCGAGGGATATTTTGCCTATCCACAATGCCTAATGACATTAGTAGAGAACACACAACAAATGGTGACCCACTGTTTGTGCCAAAACAAAGAATCCGGCAAGTTGGAGCATCACAGAAAAGAACAACACCAACTGGAAGAAAAGGTTACAACGAAGACGTGGAAAGCGCGAGCCTTACCTTGTAAACACGATGAACTTCTGCCGATGCACCGACACGACTGAACGTCTGAGACGCATAGACCTATGACAGTGAGCACAACTGTTGTTTCAAATCTGCGACGGTAACAAACCTTGAAAAGTTTATACGAGACTGCGGCACTGAGAAGGAAGTCGAGAAGATTGAAAACGAGAGCGGCGACTTCGATGCCGCCTTGACTCCACCAGTCACCCATAGGATCAAACCCGTTGCACTTCCCGACAGCGATAACATGCTCATACGCGTGGTAGAGATTCATGTTACCAGAGAGGCGGAACCCGGCCCACCCAAGAGATAATGCTCTGGCAGCCAACGCAGCAAACAGGTGCGGGAGACTCTCGTTGAGAAGCTAGTGCCATGTGAATCTGGTGTTTTCCAGATAAGTTCATGGGGACGCACAGTCATCATCGACATGGAGAGGAGCCATAGTTGGTAGGCAAGGATAACGAGATCTTCGCGGCGCTAGATATCGTGTCAGTTGTGATATGGGTTGGTCAACATGGGTAAGCCCACAGCGTCCGTTAACCTAGAAGACATGAGCTGCGGTTCAAGGCAATGGTTGATGGACCTACACATCGCCTAGCCACATCAGAGAAATAGCACATTGCTCCAAGTTGACTGCTCGAGTTTCAAGTTGTGGTGTAGAGTCTCGAACCTGAGAGTAACTGAGATCACTATAACGGGTAACATGGGGACACCCACATGCATACGTCCATGACCGTAACGATGCACAAGGGTCGAGCAGTTGGAGTCCGGCTGGCCAGGGATGTTTTTGCAAAGCTGGGGATAGGTAATCAGTAAAGCGAGCGCTGGAGGAGGAGAGGAAAACTCACCAAGACATCGCCGTCGCGAAGAAATGATAGCCCGATTGTCGTGGTGCTCACGTTGGTCTGGTAGGTTGACTGGTAAGACTACACCGAAGGACAAACGAAAGTGGCGTTGTACCGAGTGCAAAAGGTCATCAATGGCATGCTGGCCCTCGGTGTTTGAAAAGAAAATTCTCGACTGGATGATGACGAGCGACAAGCAGCTGAAAACAGCGAGGGCGAAATAGAGAGTTGTGAAGCGGGTTAGTGTGATCCGGGCATACTGTCTAGACTGAGGAAAATGAAGACCAAGAAAAAAGATTACGCACGATGAGCTTTATTCGGGACAAGCCAAGAACATGCTTTCCCCACTCGCGAGTCTTCGGATTTGTTGTGTACATGGAGAAGGTAAAGACAGCTTGCTGAGAAGCGACCCAGCCGCCACAAAAGAAGATGGAGAACCAGCCACGATAGGAAGAGAAACTGAGAGGAACTCTGGTGGAAGCGACAAGCAAAGACCGTGCTCTGTCGCGACTGCCACCAGATATTATAGGTTGAGGAGCGATACGGCAGGAAGGAAGCCGTATTCGGTTACCGTAACAAGCCCCACAACTCCGTAATTCCACTCCTTGTCGACGACAAGTTCGCCTTTCACTACCGTGCTCTGGACTTTCACTGGCAGTACTTTATGAGCTAGTAACATGCTCGATCCTGGTCGCTAGTGGTAGGTACTAGATTTTCCGTCTTTACGCCCCAAGTTGCCAAGGTCAGACTCCAAACAGCAGGCAGAAAGGGCTCGGCGATTCCAGGCCAAGCAGATTTTCGCGATGGATTGATGGTTGCTTGTCGTGTACGGCGAATGGTCACCGTCACGCTTAGTCACTCCTCTCCCCTAAACCTTCTCCCAAATTTTTCCTCGTGAGTGGTCAGCATGAAGAGATATTAGACTAAGGCTCAGGCACTAGACCAGCTAGTTCTCATCCAGTCTACAATATTGTGTTATTGGGGGAAGTCATCAGCTCGAGCCCAGGTTGAATTGTAAGACTTAGCGAGCCGTGGTAGTTTAAATTTCCTTTCCAAATTGTACATAGTTCTTTCTCGTTGACTCCTACTCTTTAGTCTCGTTCACAGAGCGGCGGGCGAGCTTCGCTTGCGGCGGCTCCTGCGGAGCCGGAACAAAAAATTTGACGTTGCCGGGGCAGAAATCATGATGGGCAAAACCCTTCTAGGAGTGATCTCCACCGCTGATGCGTGATGGAATGTCCCCGCATCACGTCCGGCACGTAGTGCCGGCACGAGATTACCTACTCTTACCGCTCGACTCCGTGGTCTGGATGTGGCTGGCTGTCACGCCACGTGGCGTGACCGATCGCTTCCTGACGTCAGTTGTTGACTCGTTGTCAAGGGAGACATTGTGTCGACCGGCTTGCGCCTTGTCCTCTTCTTCCTTTAAACTTCCTCCCAACTTCCAACAACAAGTCTCAACAACAACAGCTTGACAACAGCTCCAATGGCAGGTTCGTCTGCGCGCCGGTGGCTTTTATCTCGAAGTTGTCAACGATATTCCAGGAACCAAACGCAGCAGCACAGACAGTGGCCCTTCGCCACGGGCCGCCAAAGCTGCGAAGAAAGCCACAGATGACACTCCCACTAACAGCAAAAAAGGTGGAGCGAAGAAGACGGCCAAGGTGCTACCTCTGGAGCTTTTCGTGCGATTCAAGACTCACTCAACATTTTCAGCCCGCGATTTCCACCTCTGACTTCAAACATAAGGCGTTGCCACTCCATGTTAATCTTACCCACACACCGCCCACCTTGTCTGAAGACAAGACTGCGGTGGCAAATATTGATCCTGGGCACCTTGGAAGCCTAGCGCTTGTCGCAACCTCTTTTTCGACTGGAAGCTATGGGTGGAAAGGCAGCAAGCGCCTGACGGTCGAACTTCAGAATTCAGACAGCGGGGAAAAAGAAAAGGTCTCTGTTATGTTGACGTATGTTCGACTCTTCTCGAGAGGCAGCCTTTCTTTGCTCATTTTTTTCGAGGATCAACGCGACCGTCGTTGGCAGTAAAGGTGCGAAGGATAAGACTGAAGGTGGGGATGACAACAATGACGACAAAGACGGCGAGGAGTCCGCTGAAGAGGCTGATGAAGAGTAAAACTTCCCTTTCCGACGATATTACGACCTTCACGAATCTCTGGCTATCATATCTACTGCTATTCCCATCTGAAGACGATGTACATATATTCAAGACTCGCTTGTGCCCCATCTGTAAGCAAGTCACAGAAAAGAAAAGGTTTGCGGTCGTCACCATCTTGGCGAAAGTACCCCTATGATAACGAGCAGGACTGCCATATCGCGTTATTTCGGGTTGGTGTTGTGAACTTGATCATGATGGTTTGAAATTGAAGCAGCGACGTAAAGAGCGTCGGCCGGGCGCCTTGTTCACGTATTTTCTTTGTCTATCTTGAACCTACAAGCACAGAACAGATGTGCAAAAACATAACAAACAACCTACATGGGGGTTTACCGCTGCTTGGAGCTCACGATTCTGAATTTGATGCTTTCTTGAACAAGTGTTGGGCTCCCTTGTTTCTCGTACCCTCCGCAGATAATCACAGCCGCATCTTTATGATGCACGAAAATAGGCTCTTTCTCCGTGTCTCAAGTGTTGTGTCCAGGAGCGTGAAAGAACTTGCAAGTGTTCAACATTACCGTATGAGATTCAGGACGACGCGGTGGTTAAGAACGAGGATGAGGGAAGGGGTCAGAAAGTACTAGTTGTTTGCTGATTCCAAGTGATCGTTTCCGAGTCTAAAAAAAGTCAACAGGGTCTCACGTCACGCCCACTCTTTCGAAAGGTATAAGTATGGTTCTAAGAAGGCATCCGTGGAGAGCCTCTTCATCTGCCTACATCGACAGAGCACGGTTTTCAGGCAATGTCTGGCGCTTCGGTTGACGAAAAGGTATCCAGAGAGTCGAGAGTGGAATCGCGTATGTGTTGACGCTTTGGTCTACTCCAACCACTGGCCCACACTCACTCCCGGCCAGAAACTGCTCCCAGTCTACACAAGGAAGATGTAAACGCCTCTGAAGACACCAAGCTTGATAAACATGGACTGCCACTTATTCCACAACCATCCAACGATCCGTCTGACCCTCTGAACTTTCCGCAATGGTTGAAGGTTGGCAGCCTTTCGACCGCGCAACGCGTCCTGATCAAGGTTTACAGATCGCTATTCTTTTGCAAGTCTCATTCCTGGCAGGCCTCGGGCCACTAAACCAGGCGGTCATCAACCCAGGTATGTTCTATTTTCGCTTTGCGACCGCGTTTCTCAGCTTTCATTCCAGCTTATGTTCCACTTTCGCTGCACTTCCACAAAACGACAGTCGTTGCCAGCTATCAGACAACTATCGCAGTCCGTCCCCCTCATCCATACTCAAAAAAATTGACTTTAGTCAGATTGCGTTTGCTGGCGTTGGCTCTTTCCTTTGGGTGCCTCTCGCTAACACATATGGACGACGACCTGTACTGCTATTCACAACTCTGATTGCGGCCGCATCGTCTTTGGCCTCTGGCAAGTCGCAGACTTGGTCGCAGCTGATTGGAACTAGGTAAAGATTCTGAAGATCAGGGCGATTGTATTGCTCATATCAGTCAGAGTTTTGAATGGTATCGGCACCAGCTCATTCTTCACAATCGGTGCGGGAATGGTTACGGATACCTTTTTCCTTCATGAGCGTGGTCGGGCTATGGGTGTGTTCACTGTCTTTCGTATGCTGCTTTCCCACCGTGGCTTCTGTGCCTGATATAAGTTGACAAGTTACGAACTCTGCACATGTTGCGCCCATTCCTGGTGGCTTTTTGGGTCAATATGTGGGTTGGCAATGGTACGACGCTTTCAGTCGATTTCACGCATGAATAACCTTTCTTTTAGGTGCTATTATCTACCCGCGATACTTGATATGGCGCTATTTGTGATGATGTTCTTCTGCCTTCCCGAGACGCTCTATATGCGTGGATCAAAGCCCGTCGAAACCAACAAGCCACTTCTCCGCCGACTGAAACTGTGGGGCCATCGTCCCGAAGAGAAGCATCTCAAACTATCCGATTTTTGGCGTCCATTCCAGATGTACACTTCTTTCTTAACCTCTGATTTCTGGACCCCGCTGACCTATGATCTCACAGGGTAATCTACCCTTCCGTTCTTATTTCGGCCTTCTACTATTGCGTGACTTTCTCATTCTCGTCTATTCTCCCAGCTGTCACTTCTGCAACACGTTGAGTTGTACTCCCGCATTTCACCCACTCTACTGATATTCCATGGAGTTTTCCGTCTCCACTATCACTTCACACCGTCGAAAACTGGTCTCGCATTAGGCCGTAAGCAGCCACAACTATTTCGACTCGTCGATTCTGACGCACCGCAGTGGGTACCCTGATCGGATCCACTCTCGGTGAATTGTTGGGCGGAATCGTTGTAGACCGTAGCATGCGGCTCAGCCGTAAGAATAACACGGGCGGTACCCCAATTCCCGAGGTCCGCCTACATGGTATATGGGCTGGCGCTATCCTCCAGCCTATCGGAATGCTCATCTGGGGTTTCTGCTGGCAATATAACAGTATGTTTTTTGGGGCTTACCTGAAACCTTTTGACTGGGAAATAGCCCACTGGATTGGACCCACGATGGGTTTCACGATCATGTGCTTCGCTATTCAGGTTAGGGTTTGCGTCGGCGGGCGTTTGCATATCAAAACCTACTCCACAGATCATTTCGACCGTGCTCTACTCGTACACAGCCGATTGTCGGTTTCCTTTGTTTGTTGACGGGGCGTCGCTGACTGGCTTGTAGGCTATAAACCACAAACACCAGAGATCGCTCAAGTCTTCAACTTCGCTCGCCAAGTGTTTGGGATGACATTAGGCTTCTGGTCTATGTGAGTCGAAACATTATTTGTCGCTCACCAAGACCAACTTGTTTTCTTCAAGTCCTATGGGTCAAAAAATTGGGTTCCAGTTCATGGGACTGACGCTTGCCCTCGTCGGCATTGTGACGTTTATGCCCGTGGTATTTCTCATGTACAAAGGTCAAGCCATACGGGAGAAACTTGGTACTCCAACATTCAACAGCCGTTTGTGAACGTTCCCGGGCCATCGCCCCCCGATTTTATGATGTGGATGACGGGTCATATCTTCTTTTTTCTAGATACGCATGCACTGTAATATCATATCATCTCATTCGAAAGGCAAGGATTAGAGCTTATTAGCAGCCTCAGATTTAACAAAAAATAGCATGTAGATCTCAAGGAAATCCAAGTGTTTCATCGCTCCACTAGGAAAATTTGGAAAGAAATTGTGCCGGAGAGTGGCAGGCCGTAGAGCGGTAACGTGATGTTCACAGAGGCCAATGCTCTCCGGTTAATTCCCTCATGCCTCCCATCCGACAGAGTCTCCTATGCCATATGCTTCTGGGGGCAACACATGCTGCTGGGGAGAGACGAAAGCTGTCAAGTGATTCAGCAGCATCACCGGCGTCAGCGCCGGTCCCCCCATATTCGGATGACAGGAGCGGGCCGAGCGGCTGATAGCAGAACTCTCAAGAAAATCCGCTCCACCCCTGAAATTTTTGAAAGGAAAATAGAAGGGAAATAGAAAGGAAAAAAACGTGTTTTTTCCAGCAGCTAATAAGCTCTATTACCCAAAATTTGCGCAATGCGTGACCGCGTTGACGTTCGGATCAGGGCGGCTAACAACTTTGACCGTCTGTTGCTATGCTTGGCTTGATGATGTAATTGATGCCCGACAACTGAACATCTCCCCAGCTGGCTCGACATCCAGTCTTTCTGCACGCATTTGGGTTTAAGCTTTGCTTATCCTTTGTTTATTTAGCTCCGAATGAAGCAAACCTCTCCTACAGGCGCTAAGCACGCGCAAGGCTGAAAAGCAAATTATCCTGAGGGAGCACACATTGATTGATGGTGAGTCGCAATACAAACAACGAAACACCTGCAACAACTTTCCTTTCCTACCCTCGTTCCCTGATTTATTCCTCAGCGCGAGGCCACTAGGCACGCGTGCGACGCTGGCGCGCTCTTCTCCATACCATCATGACCTCTGTCCCCTTCAATGTTACTGTCGACAATATCTCACCTCTCATCCAATATGCGCCGGCTGGAGCCTGGCGGGAAGGTTCAGCATCTAACGATAACCTGGCAAGCTCGTACGTCAATACGCCCCTCTGTTTTCCTTTAATTGCCAACACGAATGATAGGTACTCTAATGGAGGGACTTTTACCCTTTGCACGACCCAAGGCAGCTCTGCCAGCCTTACTTTCAACGGAACACAAGTCTACGTCTTTGGGGCAAAAAGACCAAACCATGGTGTGTACGATCGCTTATCGGCATGTAATCGTCCTGACTAGCTAAAGGACCTTACTCCGTGACCCTTGACGGTACTTCATCCACCTTCGACGGATTCTCATCTCCCGAATTCTTTGGCCCATTGTTCGTTTCGAGCGTCCTCAAGCCTGGCCAGCATACGGTCACCATTACGAATCAACTCACCGACGCAGCAAGACCGTTCTTGGACATCGACTTCGTGCGTTCAGTTCAATTTTCTGTTGCCCTCGGCTTATGACATGTGAAGATTACCTGGACAACAACTTCAGACCAGAATGGTGCGAGCAATACACTTGAGGATACGAGCAGCAACTTTGCCTTCTCGCCGGCGTCGTCCTGGAGCACGGATCTCGTTTCCAACAAGCTCACGGGATTCAGTGGAAATAATGGGCAGTGCGTATGACTGTGTGCTTGCTGTTGCATTGGCTCAATTCCTCAGTGTAACACTAAGTGCCGGGGCAACTGCCGCGCTGACATTCACTGTGCGTGCTTCCTCTCAACTCGCGTCATTCCTGATCTTCCTCAGGGCGAACGCGTCGCTGTGTTTGGCCCCATCGGCCCGACAATCTCGCCGTATATCGTCCAGCTGGATGGTCAACCCGCGGGTACCTTCAATGCAACGAAGCAAAACTATGTTGCCCAAACAACGCTGTTTGCCGCGAATGGATTGGGATCTGGTCAACACATCTTGGAGATCATCCCCAAACCCACCGTCGCAGGACAGATTCTCGGCATTGATTTTGCTCAGGTTGCTGCAAACTTTGGGGGCTCATCATCATCAGCTACCTCGAAGAAACCTACTCAAAGTGGCGGTGGGGGGATCGGCGGAGGCGGAGCTAACTCTGCAAATCAATCGTCGTCTTCTAAATCCGAGTGAGTTACTATGAGCTACAACATTCGGTCTGGGTATTGATCTTCAATATTAGAGTTGGACCAGCCGTTGGTGGGGCGATCGCTGGAATTGTTGTTCTTGCTGTTCTAGGCTTCCTCATATTCTTCGTCGTACGCCGGAAAAAGAGGCTACGGGATGAAGAAGCAATCAACGGGAATGGGTTATACGGTGGTGATAAATATGGACCAGCCGGAGCACCGTCTGCGCCATCGCAAAACTACACAATGTCGACGATGCACTCGAGTGGGGGACCGCAAGAATCGTATCACTCGCAAAACTCCCAGGCTCAGCTTATTGGCTCGCACCAGCACCAAGCCAGTCTTTCGTACCAGCCTTCTATGCACTCTTCAGTGTATTCGGCACCGATGCTAGATCCGTGGAATCGACCACAAATAATCGCAACACCAGTCCCTCCTGTTCCAGACACCCGTCGTGGATTCTACGCGGTCAACGATAGCGTAGCAACGTCTCCTACTTCTGAAGACGATGGTGCATCGTCACTTGGTCGCACATCAACAGTTAATTCTGCTGGCGCCGCTGGCCTAGGGGCTGGAGCATATCGGCGCAAAGGCGACCCACTGCCGCTTCCTCCCACAGCCAATTTGCCGTTACCGCCAGGAACTAGTCGAATGCAAGTCCCGGGACGAGAACAAGACTTTGGTCCCGTCAACTCTGACTTCGCACCATTACCTCCTTCGTATATTCAAGCAACAGAGCCTGCTCGAAGCACAGAAAACCAGACTTACTACTCTGGCAGCTCGGTAACCTCCGACCCTTATGGCGGCTATGTCAGCGAGGCAGGCTCGCCTACACGAACGCAGTATTCGCAAGGACATAGGTAGTCTTACACCTACATTCTCAGTTATTTCTTCTCTCTTGCTGCTATCTTATAATTTTTATTTACCCGTGTACTATGGGTTTTTCTCGCTGGTAAACCGTAACTGGTCAGGTGAAATAAATGCCTTGGACAAAGTTCAACAAAGTGAGGGAGGCCTAATTTTAAATTTATGAATGGAGGGGTCTAGTGATTGCCGATCAATTTAATGCGTCATAGCGTGTGTCGTTTTTCGCCTCCCTCCTGCCCTTTACATCGCACCACCACCTCGCCCCCAAAATGAGCCGTGCTTTCTGCATCCCAGGCAAGACCGTCTCGCTTTCAAGTTGGCGCGAAAATGACTTAAAAACCTCCCAGGAATCATCTTCCTCCTGTGTGCACTTGTGCTTTCACTAATCGTCTCGATTTCGCTCCCCTTCTTGACGGAAATCGACTTTGTGCGCGTCCATTTCGGGCAAGGGGTCGTAACGAGTGGCCAAGGTATGACACAGCTGAGGGTAAGCCACTGTTGTTTTTTCTCCGTTGTGTTGAGACGACGTTAGTTTGGTATCTGGGCCCCCTGCTACTTCACGAACGATGGCGTGAAATCCTGCTTCAGTGCGCGTGAGTAGCAAACCCTTTTCTCGCGAAGCAGCGTAGTTGATGTTCTTTAGATCATGGATACTCTGTCTCAGTTGCCAACCAAGCCAAAACTGCCAGCATTATCGTTGGAGGCAGCTGGACGCGTGGTCTTGCGGTCCATCCAGTCGGTAAGTGGACATTCCTCTAAAGGCTATGACGGTCTAAACCCCTTTTTAGCTACGGCAGTCACTTTTATTGCGTTCCTCATGTCGTTTTCGACCCACCACTTGGTGACGTTGATGGCCTCCCTTGTCTCCTTCCTAGCTGCGGCTCTCGTACGTTCTACTTCCCTGATACAGCTTGTGGCCACTCTGAAGCCTTCACTCATAGACGCTCATCGCCTTCGCGATTGATATTGCCCTTTATGCATTTGTGCACCATGAAATCAAGAAGCTGCCAGATGTCTCTGGCAAGACAAAGACTAGCGTCGGTACGGAATCTCGTCCGTTCATGTCGTTCATGCTTAACTGATCTTGAACAGCCTTCTGGATGACATTCGTGCAGTTGATCCTTCTCCTTCTCGCTGGTTGCACTGTCTGCTTTGGACGCCGCAAAGACCGTCTCTCCGGCGCGTCTTCGTATCCAATGTCTTCTTACTCGAAGCCTGGGTTCTTCTCCCGGTTCCGCCGCGGAAAGAACTAAGAAATGGAGAACCCACACGTGCTTGGATTTGTGTTTACGCCTCTCTGGATATGAAAAGTTCAATACTACGATATGATACGAGTAGATAGTCAAGGACATATACCCCTGTTACCCTACAATCTACGATGCAGCTTTATTTTTAACCGAGTCAGGTTCCCGTGACCGCGTCCCCACCTCGTCATTCTGCTCAAGATTCTCAGCTTAGCGGCTGGTTCCAAAAAGCGTAATTACACTCGTATTAACAGTAGTAATCCAGAATCCCAGTGTCCGAATCGATAGCAAAAAGCAAAGCAAACTTATCATCGTCGTTGTCTCTTAGCATCCCCACTATTGTCCAATGCAATCGTCCCAAGTGGCTGCCTCACGTTGCTCAAGCCCATACCAGGTCTAGACATCGCTGATCCAGCGCTACACAAATTATCAGTGCGGCTCACGAAAAAAAAGACATGGTGGACATACATCATCGTATCCGCGTTGCGCTTGACCCCACCGCTCAGATGAGGCGGTGGCTGATTCGGGTTACGATTTTGGCTCAAGATCGTTTCCTGTTGAATCATATTAGTGCCAGTGACTCAAATCGAAAACAACCAGCCGTAAACAAACCTCCATACCAGGTGGGAAGTGGAAGCCGCCCATCGAGGGAGGTGCCCGTACTGATGCTGGTTTTGTGGAGGAGGACGTGCTAGGTATGGCTGGTGCAGACTGTGCGGTAATGTGACTTGTTGTGGGTCGATTCGAGTTATTGTTCTGGGGAGGCGGAGGAGGACCCATATTTCCTCGTTGGATTGGGGGCTTCGATGTCGCTTTGTCTATGCCCATTGGCCCATGTCTGTCAGCTACTGCCGCTGCCGCCGCCTCCATTTGCTCTCGCTCTTCCAAGGCTGTTCCTCCAGAAAGTCCCTCCTCAAAGTCTATCGGGCGACCTAAATCACCCTCTCCCAAATCTACCGTCGACAAGAATGCGTCGTCATCTGAAAATCCGTATTCGTCGTACTCATCAAAACTAGCCGTCTTCGCAGGAATTGAGGCGGGTTCCTCTTTCTTCACTATGGCAGGTGGTGGCGGTTGGGGCGCAAAAGATACTTTGCGGTCGATTGGAGTAGATGTCGCGAGTGGTTTAGGTTGTGGAATAGGTTTCGGTAATGGTTCTCGTTTAGGTGCTGGTGGTGGCGGTTGTTGTTGTTGTTGTGGTCGTAACGCAGGGGCAACAGGAGGAGGAGCATGGATTGGTGTCGAAGAGGATGCTGATACGGCTTTGTTTATTGCTAGTCCGGGTAGACGATGAAGATTATCTGGGTCGAATTTAATCTAGGAATGTTATTATCAGTAATGCAAGAAAGTGAAGAAAACAAGTACTCACAGGGGGAACCTTCATCTTTGTCACCTCTGCCGCGTATTGCTTGTCATAAAGGCAGTTACCAAGAACATTTCCAAACGTCCGCAGCGTCCGTTTGAGAGCATCAGTTACGGCTTCTTTTTTGCACTGGATACACAACAAGGTTGGTTCAAGTTAAAGCAGCGGTTTGGAGGCTATGCACCTTGTCTAGCGCCGCACCCTTTGATTTTGCGTTGTCTATCGTGCCAAACCCGACGTCCTCGTGTGCCACACCCTCCCTCAGCGTCACTCGCATAATGACGGACACCCCACAATTGTATCTTCTTGACTCTTCATTGTAGTCCATATAGTCCGTCGTGATATTGACAATGCTTGAGCTCCAGCCATCGTACCCGAACACCTCGTTTGCGACATTGATGAGCTGGGAGGGAGTGACTTATCAGAATAGAACAAACGTCAACACGAAAAGTGTTGACTTGCCTTCCACCCTTCTGCATATGTAAGCTTCCCTGCACCGGCAGGCCCAGGCCGCTGAGAGACATACTCGGGCCCCAATTTCTGGTTCAGCTTCGCCTGAAGTCGGTTTACTCGGTCGAACATGCTCTCGGAAAAAGCGGACGCGGACGATGATTGGGAGGCACTCATGGAGGCGCTATTCAAGGCGAGAGACTGTTGAGTGCTGAACATATTGATGCCGTGAACGCTAGAGTCGAATGAAACAAGACCGTTGTGGCATATGGAGGAGGGTGGCACGTTTTGCTCGAAAGCGTTGATCAAATGTCCACTGAATGCACCAGCCATTGAATGGAGTGGGCAAGAAACAAATAGTGGTCTAGATATTCGACAATACCCAGACCTTAGCTGAATGATAGCGATATGTGGTGGTGGTAGGAGTCAACCCGTTGACAGTCTGTTTATATCATGTGACCGCGGAGTTGGGCATCATGCTGAGTTAGCGGATCAAAGCGCTTGCTGATTATCCATCATGCATCAAGATGCTTCAAATCTCTAAAAACTGCACTACTCGAATTAAGGTTGCATGAGTAACCTCCACGAAGATTAGTTTAGGGCTTGTGGATTATAATGGCATATTGGTCCAGCTTGGTCCCGGATAACCCAAGACAAATCAAAGCTGGAGCCTGTTACAGTAGGTGCTGTCGCCTTAGTGCAGTGTTTACCGTGTGGACTCAGCCTCAGGCCCTGGACCGACTGCCAGTTCAAGTTGGAAACGAAGTGAAGGGGTCACAACGTGACATCGTTCTCCAGCACCCACCATTGGTAACAAGAAGGTGCGCATGCCTCATGTGTGAGGACTTCACTCTAACCCTCGGCAGTCCATCGGCATATCATAGGTGGCCTTCTCGATGTTGAAGGCTAGGATCTGTCGAACGCTCTGGTCCAGGTTTTCCCTTTCGAGGTTCGAAGGGTAGCGGTCACTCGACGCAAGCTTGTCGTTAGGTCGGCCAAGATCTACCCACTCCGCCTATGCACCTGGAGGCACCTGGCTCGCTACAGCTCGCTACATTATCATGAGACGAGTTTACGACATACTCGAACTGAAGTACAGGATTGACGTGTTGCGACAGTGTTCCCTTCTCTCTCCAACGACAGGATCCATGGGTAGTCTCGGTCCACCACGATGTAAGGGGTTACACGGCGATATGATGATTGAAATTACTGTGGGTCGATCCCCACACTCGTGATCTTCCCCGCACATTTCTTTCTACATCACCTGTTCTGCCCCGTACCTTGTGGTCCACTCGCACCTCGTTTTATCTCGCAGTAGATGACGTCGCCACTTCACTCTTAAAGCTGCGGTCCAAGTTCTGCGTCAATCCCCGTTCCAATGCTTTTCACTGGCAAAAGACTTGGGGCTTTCGCCCTCCTCGCGGGATTTCTTCCCGCTGTTTACCCAGCTGTTCAACCCAACCTTCCGCGACAAACCGTTTCGAGAACTCCTGAAGTTCAATTCGACCAATACACTCTGTTGATCCATGGACAACGTATCTTTCTGCAGTATGTGTTGAATTGTCCGGGTTATAATTGTTTGACCCGAATATGGCTAGTGGCGCTGAATTGCACACGTTTCGACTTCCAGTACCCTCTTTATGGCCTGACATTCTCGAGAAATTCAAAGCGGCTGGACTCAACTTAGTCTCCGTATACATTCATATGGGCGTCGTCAATCCTTCCCGGGGAGTCGTGGACTTCCAAGGCTACCGCGCTCTCCAGCCACTGTTCGATGCAGCGAAGGCGGCTGGCCTTTGGCTCATCCTGCGTCCCGGTCCCTACATCAACGCAGGTATGTCAAGGTGGAACATCGTCTAACGATAGTGTTCATGAACAACAGAATCAACTGCGGGCGGCATAGCGCATTGGACTACAACTGAAATTGCTGGAAATCTTCGGTCGGACGCGGCCGATTGGCGCGATGCATGGGAAGACTATATCCAGGGAATCATTGCTCAAACAGCACCGAATCAGATTAACCATGGAGGTCCTGTTATCGGTGCGTTTGCTCTGATGGATCTTGAGGTCATTAACTAATAGAATAGGACAGCGGTTCAAATCGGTTTGTTTCCCATGCATTCATTGTACCTTGGCCGACCATATGATGCTAGACAATGAATATTCTCAGAACCCCGAGTCGCGTGCTCGCTACTTTCAGCAGCTCATCGACGTCTACCACGCTTCATCCATTGTGGTCCCTCTAACATATAATGACCCTGGACCAGGGCGCAACTTTATTGTCCGTTAAGTCTATCGCTTCGTCCATCATGGTCTAATTCACATTCTAGAATGGCACTGTAAGGCGTCCGACACCGCTGAATCCCAAAGACTTGACAAATTCGTTTAGGGAGCCGTGGATCTTTACGGAATGGACTCGTACTTTGTGGTACGAGCTTGTTATATTTTTTCTGTCGGTGTATAACCCACACACACACAGGGGGCCGACTGCTCTGACCCTAACAAGTGGCCTCAAGTTCCAGACTATTACCACCGCTACCATCAAGAAGTCAAGTACGTCATTAGACTCATGGCTCTCATCTCTCATTGACTTGACTTTCAAGCCCATCCCAACCATGGTTTTTCCCAGAATTCCAGGCAGGAAGCTTCGATGGATGGTACTTCTGAGCAATTGATCGTAAGGAGTGATGACTGACAAATCCGACAGGGGTCCCAATTCGCCAGGTTACGAGCTGTGCAACCAGCTTACTGGTCCAACTCTACAATCCGTATTCAACAAGAACGCGTGGGCAAGTAATGCAAAACTGATCTCTTACTATATGGGCTATGGGTAGGTCACGTGCTATGCCCACTTTCTCAGCTCACATTAATTGTAGAGGAACATCCTGGGGGGCTCTACCTTTCCCGTGAGGCTGATATTGCTGTCTTTCTAAGACTCACCGAAACCCCTAGTGGATCTTATACCAGCTACGACTATGGCTCGTTTGTGCGCACCATGTTATGTGTCTCTCTTTGTGTAACATCATTTTCAGATCAACGAGTCTCGAGCTCTCACGTCCAAATTCGACGAGTTGAAGCTACAAGGAATGTTCATTCGGAGCTCACCTGACTTCTACAAAACCGACTGGATTTCTGACGGTTCAACCGGATTCGTCACGTCCAATTCAGCCGTTTTTGGCACTTTCCTGCAAAATCCAGACAACAAGGCCTCCTTCTATATCCTTCGTCAGAAAGACTCGACGTCGACGTGAGGTCCGGCAACTCTTCATCTATCCAACACTGATAGAGTTATAGCGCGATTACGACTTTGAAACTCAACATTACCACGCCGATTTCAACCAACCTTCAGGTACCTCTTGTCGTGTCTGATGTAACGCTCGGTGGTCGCGAATCGAAAGTCGTCATTAGCGGTACCTCATTCGGTGCATCCAGGATCGACTACACTACCGCTGAGATCTTCTTTGGCGGCAAGATTGGCGACCGCGATGTTCTTTTCCTGTACGGCGGCTCGACCCAGGCACACGAAATACGCCTGAAGTTGACCGGGTCAGCCAGCACAGACCACCTGACGAAATCGTCTCAGATCACATCCACCCAAAGTGAGGGTGATACCACCATCTTCGCCTTCCAGACAGGGGTCACCGGGCTTCATACGGTTTACGACTCGAGTACACAACTCATTCTCTATGCCGACCGTCAGACTGCGATAACATTTTGGGCTCCCGTAATTCCGGGAAGCGGTGATTTGGCCAACTTCTGGTCCTTCGGAAGCAACAGCACGCTTCTCGTTGGCGGACCCTACCTCGTCCGACATGCTAGCATCTCAGGATCAACGCTTGCGCTGACGGGAGACTTGAATGTCACTGCACCGTTTACCGTTATCGCGCCAACAAACGTGAAATCGGTGACCTGGAATGGCGCAAACGTCGAGCTCACTTCTGGCATCAGCTCTACCGCTGGCGGCTTCACCGGGAGGCTTACACCGCGCGATGCCATCAAGCAAGTTGCCGTTCCGGCGCTGACGGGCTGGAAATACAAAGACTCCTTGCCCGAGATTGCTCAGGACTTCGATGATTCGAGCTGGACCTTGGCAAACCGCACGACGACCAACGTACCTCGCAAGCCTTATTACGGAGATGGCCGTGTTCTCTACAACTGCGACTACGGATAGTAAGCTCAAAACCATCTCTTGATTTGGCTTTGCTGACTTGCAACCAGCTGCGAGAATACTGTGCTTTGGCGTGGACACTTCGAAGGTGCAGGTCAGACTAAGATGAATCTCTCAATCAATGGTGGCGAAGGTGTGCCGAAACCGGCCTGTAAGAGCTTCGAAAGCTGATGACAGACAGGATATGCTGCCAGTGTGTGGCTGAACGATGCTTTCCTTGGGACTTCATATGGAAAGTAAGTACTGGATATTGACCGTTGGAATACTAAACCCCGTTTTCTTAGCTCGAGTAACCATCGCAACGCCATCCCAGAAGCCGAATTCCATGTCACGTTCCCTGAAGGAGCTGTTCGTTCTGGCGACAATGTCATCACTATCGTTCAAGACAATATGGGTCACGATCAGGCTAGCAGTAAGTTGGGCCGCCTAACAAACGAAAAGACACTCATGGTACTAGGTGATTTCGACAACTTCAAGGTTGCTCGAGGAGTGAGGGGCTTCCAGCTAGATACTGGCTCCTTTGGCGACTGGAAGGTGCAAGGAAAGCTCGGCGGGTATACAGGGTCAGTTAATTTCTATCCTGTTTCCGTGATGAAGCGCTCACTTTTTGCACAGTTTCCTGGACAAGCAGAGAGGCGTTATGAATGAGGGCGGTCTTTTTGGCGAGAGGAAAGGCTGGCATCTCCCCGGTTTCGATACGTCGTCGTGGGAGTCGCGCGATCTTAGCGATGGGCTGCCGAACGGGTCCCCCGGTGTCGGCTTCTTCGTGACCAAGTTTACCCTCGACATCCCCAACGGCATTGATGCGTTCATCTCCTTCACTTTCAAGGAAGCGGAAGGTTCGTCCTGCCCTCTGATATGGCGAGAATATTAGAACTCGTCTTTGCAGGCCAGACGTATCGTGCGCTGTTGTTTGTGAACGGATGGCACATGGGTAAACGGGTTGGGAATCTCGGGCAAGTCAAAACGCGTCGAGATTTGGCTCAGAAGCTAATTTGAAAACAGACCTCAGTTCAAATTCCCTGTCCATCAGGGCATCCTCGACTACCACGGAGAAAAGTGCGTGTTCCTCTTTGACTTCTCAGAGGAGGCTGATTGTTGACCAAGTAACATTGCTGTCGCGTTGTGGTCTATGGACCGAAACGCTGTCTCTCCGAAATTGCAGCTCGAGGTGGACACCATTCTGGATGGCGGAGTGCCGGGAATCGTCACCGCGAACCCTGCGTGGTCGGCGCGGGGCAGAGCGCACTGTCCTACTAATGTTTCGATCAACTGTCCGCGCGGGTAGATAAGTAAGGTAGCGAGTGATGCGTGTAAAGTGGGCGGAATGTTGTTTATTATATCATTATATCATCGTGACTTTCGCGTCTCGTTTCTCCACTCAGCGCCATATCCTGCTCGTGAGCTCGGCTAGTTGATCTCGAGAAGGGCCCAGGGACGATGGTGTATTCTACGCAGCCTTTGTACACCGGGATACTTCCTGGAACCCGGCGTTCGTCAGTCGGACCGTGCCGTGTATTAATCCAATCCAATCCAATCCAGCCGCGTTTCGACCCACCCGCCTTCCCCTCATGCGGCTTCGGGTGGTCCGACTCCTGCTATGCAGTCACCGGGCCACCGCTCCTGATCCGGCTTTCGGCCCGGGTTCTCCAGTGCGTCTCTTCTGGCTTCGTCAGCAGAGTGGTTTTCGGCCTCACCCACACACCTCAATTAGATGAGGAAATGTTTCCAGTATACCATCCGACAATTTATTTTATGCATCTGATGCGTTTGTTTGCACGTGTAGGTTAGGGTTAGCCCCAGCTGCTAACCAAAGAGAGGCCCGCCGACCGAGTGGTCATGCGGAACAGGAAAATATTAGAGCAGTGGACAGTTCTGGCCAAACCCACGAGCAGACTCCGATGTGCTCTGGAGGGTGCTTGGAGCCCAAGAATCCGATCCTTGAGGGGATCTTTGCCGCCAAGGTAAGTGAAGAGGCGCGGAGGGAGATAGGCTCGATTTATTGAGGTGGAGAGGCGCACGGACCACGGACTCGATGGATGGTAGCGCGCACGGACCAGGCATCGGTGACAAGATGATAGCACGAAATCACAAGTCCATTTCAACTACTCACAAAAATAGAGCTGACAATAGTCCCACACAGGCGAGGTACAATACGAAGAGAGATCCTGTGGCGGCTGCTCCGTTTGGCGCTGGGCTTTGGGCCGGCGAAGATGGCTGACCACTGGGGGCCGAGCCGCCAGAAGCTGTGGACTGGGGGTTGCCAGATGCGGAGCCAGACGGGCCAGATGGTGCCGGTGCGGAGGATTGCGAGCCAGAGCCAGAGCCAGAGCCAGAGTTGGGGGCGGTGAGGGAATTGGCCTTGAACTGGGCGTCGCTTTGTGTTTGGGTCGGATTCACCGACAAGACAGCGCCTTTGTTGCAGAGGCCACCGGCATCATCGAAGAACCTGGTTATTATTAGAAGGTTAATAAGTAGATGTTTTTTGGGGGTAGCGCACCAAAGCGGCTGGGTGTCGTTGACGAGGAGGGAGACGGTGGGGAGGCCAGGGGCGTCAACTTCGAGGTTGTCGTCCACGGTCTTCACGCCAGAGTTGAAGCCGCCATTCGAAGTGCAGGGACTCGTGAATGTCGACTCTGGAGGTCCGCTAAGGTTGATTTAATGGATTGTTGAAGACATACGAAGGACGGAGTGGCTGCCACTGCGGAACTCAAACACAATGGTGTCACCGGCGGCGGGGTGGATCGACGACGGGTCAAATCCGAGGCCTTTCTTGCCCGTAGTTTCGTCCTTGCCAACACCGACAGTGAAGACAGCGCCAAACACAAAGGGAACGAGCGACGAGAGTACGATGAGATGCTTCATGGAGGGAAAGGGAGAGAAGGAAAATGAATTGGCTTGGCACTCATTATTTTGTTTTTAGCTACAGTCTGTCCCCTAGTCTCCCAATGCTATCCACAGGTGGTGCCCCCCACACAAGCGTCTTTCGAGTTGGATCTAGTAAGCGCGGATACCGTGCATCGAGAACTGCCGTCAAAACTCCTCGAGGTTGTGTCAAAACTCCTTGAGGTTGTTGTTGTTGTTGAGGCGTTGGTATCCTCGAATTACTGCTGTCGACTGGCAATTTTGCGGTGAGAGAGACGGTCGCTGCCTTCGCCGCCGCTGCCATAGCGCGTTTTTCATCTTCCACACTCAACGCGGTCCGTTTGGCCTCCAACACCGCGCGCTCCTTGACCTCCTCATCCAGATCGTCGAATACATCTTGCTTCACCGCCGCAATGGAGTACGTAAACACCCCGACGACGAATACCAGCAGCACGATGCCCGCAAACGCGTTTTTGGTGCGGAATTGGCGGCGAGCACGGAGTAAACCGGGTGACATCCGCCCGTTTTTCCAGTAGGACGCAGCGACCTCTTTGCGGTCGACGTAGCGCAATGTTTCAGGCTGCCATGACGCGTGGGTGGGGAGGGTCGAGCGGAACATTATAGTGGTGGGTGGGAGAACAAATCTTGACTCCTGATCTCATCTTTTCGAGTCGGCTTGACTCAAGCAAGCAAGGGCTATAACTAGTGCATGAACGCGTGTTTACGCACGAATATACGTGCAATGGCGTCTTCAACATACGAATCCTGGTCTAAACACGACCTTATCGCGAAGCTCATCCAACTCGAAGCTGCTGCCCAGCCTGTAGCGTCAACTTCCACCTCCACTGCCAACTCCCGCAGACCCTGGCGCGAGTTTGACTTTTCTGCTTATCCGCGACGCAAGATCGCGCTAAAGTTCTGCTACTCTGGGTGGGAGTACAATGGCCTGGCAATCCAGGCAGATGTCACACCGCTCCCCACAGTCGAGGGCGTACTCTTTGACGCCTTGTCCAAGGCACGATTGATCGATGGAGAGGCGGGTATGGAAGGCTGCGAGTGGGAGCGTTGTGGCCGGACAGATCGCGGAGTCAGCGCTGCTGGCCAGGTCGTTTCGTTATGGGTTCGAAGTGCACTAAACACCAACAACACGGAAAAGCCAAAACCAGTAGTCTCGGAAGAGGAGCTAGATCTGGATACCGACGACACAACATTCCCCACTCTTTCTGCCTCTGATTTCGGCACACTAGACGGTCCCGTCTCTCCAGCCACCCACAACCGCCCACGGAAACGCAACAAAGAGCCTGACCCCAACCGGCAGGAGCACAACTTCCCCGCAATCCTCAACCGCCTTCTCCCGCCCACCATCCGTGTCCTCGCCTGGTCCCCCGTCGCCCCCTCTTTCTCCAGCCGCTTCGCCTGCACCTCCCGCCACTACAAGTACTTTTTCTCGCCTTCTTTGGACGGGCTTGATGTGTCCAAAATGCAGGCGGCGGCAAATTACCTGATTGGCTCCCACGATTTCCGCAATTTCTGCAAAATCGACCCCGCGAAACAGCTCACAGAGTACCGCAGACACATAACGCGCGCCGATATTTCCGGGACCGACAGCAATGGGATGCACGTATTCGATCTTATAGGGAGCGCGTTCCTGTACCACCAGGTCCGCCACATCATGGCTATCCTCTTCCTCGTTGGCGCCGGCCTCGAAAAGCCCAGTATTGTGCCAACGTTGCTCAACGTCACGTCCAACGCCGAGAAGGTCATTGGAGAGGCTGAGTTACCGGTGCTCGATACGAAACCAGAGTACCAGATGGCCGACGGGCTGCCGCTCATGCTCTACGCCTGCCATTACCCAGAGGGCCTCCTCGATTGGCAGACTGATACAGTCAAACCTGCAGCCCAGAAATACGATTCGTCAGCAGATGCAGACGCGTTTGCCCAGCTTCAATACGCTCTCGCGCGATCAGAAATGTATTCGACGCTGAACAACGCGTTTTCTGATGCTGCCCAAGAGCATCATTATCCAGAGACAAGCAACTCAACGACAACAACATATACCATTCCCTTAGGTGGCGCGACTTTCCGACGCTCATCAAAATATGTCCCTCTCCTGCTCCGCAATCGCAACAAGCACTTTGAAGTCGTCAACGAGCGCTGGCGCGTGGGGAAAGGCGCCCGCAAAAAGGCTGTCCAGGATAAAATAAATGGCTCGGAGAGGTGGAGTTTACCCGTGTAGAGGAGGCCATGGATGGTTGATATTTTGGCGCATTGTACTGAGCTTTTTTGACTCAAGCAAAGTAAGTATGTAGCTGCGTGTGCGGGAGCATAATCACGTTTTTAATTGAGAAGCGCGAATGTCAAACCGAACATAAAGACATTGTTGTAAATTTCGTCAACGAAATCGTACCAAGTACATCATTACAGATACGTGATGTGTGAGTGTGATTTTGGTAGCGTCAGCGTAAAGACGTCGTGGGGAGAGCGTGATGAGGGGATGGTGTACAGACAAATGCGGCGCCCCGCAAAACATAGCAAGGTACACAAAGCAGGGACAGCGCAAGCGATAGATAGCAGAGTCAAAAAAAAGAGAAACGTAAGATCAAACCAGAGAGCAAAATATGTACCCAAAAGGTGGTTAATGGTGTTTGTGTTTGGAATAGTCATCAACGTGAATGTGAGGGGGGCGTTAACGTGAATAAAGCGTGAAGGATGAGCGTGAGGAACGTCAAGAAGAAGTGTGAGGGATTACGCCACAGGAACAGCTTGCCGACGAGCTGGCGTTGGGCGTCCCCGAGGTCTTGGCCTGCTGATGCGCAGAGATTCGTTAGGTCTATTAGGTTGATCAGTCAAATCCCACAGAGAAAAGAGTAGATGCTCACGACATGATGAAGGATATGGCGGAATTGTTGAGATTGTTCTCCTTGAGGTCGCTGGAGGCTTTGGTGCTCCGCTTCGCCCAGCCCAAAGCACTCCGCCGCGCAGCAGAGGGGACGCGGGGCCTCGTCGCAGTAGGCAGGCCCCAGTTCTTCTCCTTGTCTCCAAGAGGCGACATCATCGAGAATGATGGACCATCAACGTTGGGATCAAAATCGATTGATTGCAGAGCTGGGCTCATGAAAGCACGATTGAGGTCATCTGGAGAGGGCCGAGGAGAGTTCGTGATAGTGTTCGGCGACTGCTGGGAAAGCACTTGACGGGAAGGGTACGGCGATGGCCTCGAAGACGTTCTTGAACGCACCCGACGATGCCCAAGTTCATACGGAAGCGGACCGTAACTCTCTACAGAGTGTTGCAACAGAGCTTGCATCCCCTCGTGGTTCTTCGGCGGCTCAAATGCTAGAAGGCCTTGGTGAGATGATGACCAAAGATAAAGAGGAGACACGTACATTGGAGGGCAAACAGCGAGAAAGGCGTGTCCAGCCAAGTTCGCTTGCTCTCGATGACAGCATCCTCGGCTTCGTTTCTGAGGGCATAATACTTGCGCAGCGCAATTATCCCGCGTTCGTCATCCCAGCCCATCGAAGCTCCAGGAGTCCAGTCCATAGACCCAGAATCAGCTGGCACGACAAAGACAGCAGTGGGGCTGTTATTGTTGCTCTTTTTCGATTCGGGAGATGCAGCTGGGCTGGCTAACTCTTCGTGGATGGTTTCGTAGACTGATGCTCTTGATGCGCGACTCTGGGCAGCCGACATACGACGCCTATGGCCATTCCCGCGAGCACGTGCTCTTCGAGTCGGATTTGGTACGGGATGTGTCGTATTCACCAAGCGAAAATTGAGCTCCGAGATGTCGATGCTCGATTGCGAGCCATCGGACATGGACGAGTATTCTGCAGAGGACAATGGAGGTGTTTCGGCACCAGAACTTGAAGTTGTGATAGTCGATGAGCGAGATCGAGAGTTTGGAGATGGTCTGGAGAATACTGGAGCTTGTCGGACTACAGAACCATTATGATTATATCCAGATAAAAGTAGAGATGACTTACGAGCAAAACCAATCTCCCCGTCACCAATTAACGCGCTTTCCTCCAAGCTCTGACGAACTAGGAGGCCTTGTTTCGCTCTGATCATGCGTTCCTCTCCAAACTTTGAGGAAGAAGTCGAAGCAATAGACGGTTGAGCCATAATACGTGCTTTGTGGGCAACCTTGTCTTCCTCCTGTAGAGTAGCATGTTTGCGTTTCTCGACTCGGACGCAGGGCGAGGCTTCGAAAACTGAGCCAATAGAGCGGCGGCGAACATGACCACCACCAAGCATCTGAATCCAAAGCATTATTATCTGAGCAAAAAAGAAGGAAAACAAACTTACCGTTATCATTGTATCGTCCTCCTTCATTGGGCTGTGTGTGCTGCTGCTCATGTTCATGCTCAACATCGACAGTGGCCGGAACTGATTAGGCGGGAGTAGATGGCCATTAGGGGGATGATGGTCATCATATCCAAAGATCGAGTCGGATGACATTGACGAACGGTGGCCAGTCTTGTCGAACAACGAATCCTCCATTGATGACCCTCGTCCAGTTTGCTCACCCATAATCGAGTCGTAGGATGGTCGATCATACTCCGGCGGAGATGCGGAGATCGAACTGAGAGCAGCTCCTTGGTCGTATGCAGTGTCAAACATCTTGTCGCCAACCCCAGGTCTACCGAGACGAGCAACCGAGAAATCGCTGAGAATTGAGTCAGTCGAGGGTTCATGTTGATGTCTCGCCCAAGCGGCACGACCACCAGTAGCACCCTGCGAAGCATACTGATGAGCGAGCGAGCTGCCGCTGGTGCTGCTATCCGCTTCGCTCAAGCGATGACTTGCATAGCTCCGGTTGTAGTTGTAGAAGCTGACAGGAGGGCCGTTTTGAGATGCAATGCTAGCGGTAGACTCGCGATGGCGATGACCGCGAGAAGTTTGTGATTGTTGGGCTGGTGCTTTGAAGTAGAAACTAGATGCATCGCTGGCCACACGTTTGCGACGAGGATCCCGCGCCAAGAACGAGAAGGTGTCATCAACGTTCATAGAAAGCGAGATTGACAGATCTTCAGAGGATGGTTGTTCGCGGAGACTGGGCATAGGCAAGCCATACTCGAAAGGATCATTTACTCCAGGGTTGGTCACGTGTCCGTAAGAAGAAACAGACGCAATACTGAAGACCGAATCATGCTGTCCATGATAAGCTCGAGTGTTGCGCGCAGCAGGAGGAGGTGGATAAAACGTCGGGCGATTAGCATGGAACTCGAAACCTCTGCGGACCTCATCAAACGAGTCGAATCCGGTAAAGCTGGTGCCAGAGGCGGGTCTTGAACGAGTTCGAGAATGCATGCTGGCCATCGAAGCGCGTGAATTTCCGATGGCAGAGCGACGCAAACTGGAGTCCGAGTTGACCCGTGGGCGGGGTTGGGCAGCAATGTCTGCGGCATGGGCAAGAATGGACTTGAGTACAGATTCCTCGTCCTCCATCAATGACGTCAGGGAATGAGCGCGACTGTGAGAGGCTGGCGGAAGAATGTTTGACAATGTAAGCGGCTCTTTTTGCATCTTTGACGCTGGTTCCTCTTCAGGAAACTGACCCCCAAACTTGAAACCAATGTTGAGTTCACCAGTCGATGGGCCATTTTGTGGCAAAAGGCTTATATCACTTCCCAGGCTATCAGAGCCAGGCAAGAGTGTTGGTTCTTTGAGATCGATGATTGGGGAAGGATATTCTGGGTACTCGAATATGGCCCTGGTACTGACGCCTTCACTGGCTGCTATCGTCGGCGCTGTGATGTCCATCAAACGTGTAGCTGACCGAGGGGATCGCTGGTCTTCCAAACTGGACCAGTTTTCTGGAGACGACGGTGCCGAGGAAGTCTGGTCGATGATAAACTGCATAGGAGGAACCGGAGGCACGTCAATCGCAAGTAGATTGCGCAGGTCGATCTTGGCTGGCGTTTTGAACGCAGTCTCCAGTTGTTCAACGAAACTGCGCCTATCTGATGCCCCAGACTCATTCAGCTTCTGGAGCTCACCCGTGAAATCAAACGACTTTTTCGTATCCTCCTCCGAGGTAGCGCCATCATCGATATCAGCATGATTACCATCGTCTTCAACGAGCTCAACATTGAATATGGGCAGCTGTAGTTGGGGGGGCGACGAGGAGATGCGAGGCGAGGGAGGCAGAGGCGGCAAGTCGCCAGGTGGAAGCCCAGGAGATGGCAGAGAGGTGTTGGCACTAGTAGACGGGAAGAACGAGAGCGTGTCGTCAACAGGCGATGTGGCACGTGACGCCGATAAGATAACTTGTAACTCGTTTGGAATATCCGAGTCAGGGTCAGATGCATCCAGTTCCTGCTCTTCGTAATCCGAGGCATGCGATCCTCCCAAAGTGCCTGCCATACCGAGAACTCGCTTTGCGCCACGCGCGAGGGGCATTCCATTGTTGCTGCCTTTGCTGCTCCGCGGTGAGGGCTGCGCATCAGGAAGCAACGATGACCGATTGCGCGTGTGACGGGTAAAGACGGGAGGCAAAACGCGACCGGTTTGGGGCTCTTCCGGCGAGTCGGATGACGAGCGGGAGCCAAACGTTAGCGATGACGGTGCCCGCATGTCCATCTTGCTGTCCACAGAAGATGGAGGTGGAGAGGGCGATGATGATGAGGCAGCCGTAAGCACAGGTCGGATTCGTGAGGGCCGCAAACGCAAAGGGTGGAAAACAGGAGCTGGGTCCGGCTCTGGCGAGGGCGTCATTGTCCTGCGGTGAGATCTCTTGAACGTGGCGTCAGAGGATATCGGTGCAGGGGGTGTTGACTCGAGAGCAGTGGGCCACGGCGCAATTTGTTGGCCAATCAGTTGTCGTTGAGATGCTTTAGGCACCAGTTGCCGTTTGGGCGAGAGGGCAGCCCGTTCAGCATATGGTCGAAGGGAACTGACTGATCCCTCGCTAGGTCGCAAGACTTTGGATTTGTTCTTGCCAATGGGACTCTCTTCAACAGGCGGTACAATAGCATCGCGAGCAGGCGAAGGAGTAGCATCCAACTCGAGGAATGTAATCAATTGAGCAAGATCATTTGTTGCAGCATCCAACATGTTCAGGACACCCCCTAACTTCGAGTTAGTTATTATTATGAAAATGAAGTAAAATTCTCACCTGTGGAAGAGCCGTTGTTCTCAACAATTCCACGGGGACGGGGACGAGATGCCCCATCTATCATGTCATCCGAAACCGGACGCGGCCTTGGTCTTCGACGTTTAATCGGTGTTGCTGACACAATCTGGAAATCGTCCTCCATCTCCACATCCTCATCATCCTCGCCTCCATGTCCATCGGTAGTGGCTTCCTCAACGGTGAGCATAGGCGGTTGATTGTTGATGCTTTCCGACGCAGACGATCGACGCGAAAAACTGGGGAAAACATCGCTCAAGGGAGTGCGCTTCCGTCCCTCGAGCGAGTGCTTGCTATCCCGACGGGAGTCTCTCTTGTCCTTTTTCGTTCTGAACTTGTCGACAACCTCTTCCGCCCAGCGAACGCTACTCCCGCTGCTGACACGTGATCCGGAAGAACTTTCGCTGGAGAGCACGGAGATCGGACGGAGGCTGGAGTTTGTGCTGTCACGACGAAGAACCCCTGGCGCATCGGCGCTCAGACGATTTGGGTTGATAATTGGGTTAGCGTGCGGAGCATAGCCGGAGCTTGAGCCACCGACGCTGCTAGCGGTACTCGCTTTCCCGCCCGCACTGCGTCCCAAACTCAATGAGCTTGGCAGCCCCATTCCAATGCCAGTGGTCGACCCTTTACCTAAAGTGCCGCTCATCCCGAGCCCCAGTCCGAGGATACTGCGTTTGCGTTGAACAGGTGAAGCACCCAACGCTCCAATCTCGAAGCTGCTGCCAGAGCTCTTCGGTTGTCGCCTTGTTGAATCTTTTTTCTTGTCTTTTTCCTTTTCCTTTTCTTTCTTCTTCTTCTTCTTCTCCTTTTCATCGTCCTTTGCTTTAATTTTCTTGACTTCTACCTCCTCCTTCTCATCTCCCCAATTTCCTAAACGCGCCATGCTTCGCATACTCTTCATCGCCCGCAAAGCAATTGAGCCTTGGTCCTTCTCCTTCCCAGGAACACTCAACAATGGTTGAGGGGTTCCCGACCGTGGACCTGGGATAGGTGTTGGTGCTCTTGATAATGGCGTTGGTGTCGGGGCACGACCCAGTGTCGACGCTGGGGCTCCCAAGACGATCCCACTACCGGCCAATGCACTTAAACTGCGCTTGAATTCAGGTGGGGCATCAACGGAGTACACTCCCATCGCACTAGCACTCCGTTGAGGCGGCTTTGGTTTCGCATTTTCCGGTTGTTGGTAGGTGTCGAGGCGTGTCATGGTTGCGTAAGGAGTCGATGCACCGGGCATATGAGCGTATTGTGGGTGAGCCAATAACGCCGCACTGCCAGCACTGACGCTTCGTTGGAATTCAGTCCGAGGAGTAACTGTTGGTGGAGCAAGAGAGGATGAGGCACCGAGCGAGTTGAATCGTTTCTGGACGGGAAACTGCTGCGGGAGGTCTATATATCCAGTCAGAAAGTCAATCAGAGGAAACCACGATCAAAGCAACCCGAACCTTGGACAACGGCACGGCCGCGAAGACTGGGGACTTCGACCATATCAAGAGTGCAGTCGGGTTCGCCAGGTAAATGCATTTGCATCTCTGTAGACCGATGCTGGCGTTGGGGGACATCAAGGGTAGGTGTCGGAGGCAAAGACGATGGACCCGGCGCTTGAAAATATGAGCAAGACAGCGAGTTGACTTGTGAGTGACGCTTACATTTGCCTCGTCGCATTAGGCCCAGGACTTTTCCGTCTTTACCCCCAGTATCTTTACGACCACGCGACAAAGTCCACCACTTGTCCTTGGAAGAGGCTTCCGGCACTTGTGGTGACTCTGAACGCGTGTTGGTCGTGTCTGTAAACACCCCGTCGATTTTACCGCGCTGTTTGGTCTTCTTCTTGATGAGAACCATGCCTTCACCTTCAGCAGACTGACGGCGCACAGTCGCCTCTCCATTGTCGTTGTCGACATGGACCTGCCAGCCTCGACCGGAGACAGAGCCTTCTTCTCCAACGCGTCGAACAATGTCACTAAAGTCTCCAGCGTCGCGCACGGTGTTGTAGGGGGTTTGGTTGGACGACACAGAGCCTGAAAACATGCTTAAAACCGACTTTTTCTTGGTCGGGACACGAGAAGCAATGGAGGAGTTGGGGTCGGTGGCGGCGGAAACATCTGGGGTGGGAACGATGAGTCGTATGCTAGGGACATTGGATGCCATGTCAGGGTTCGTAGATATCGTGAAATCAGTAAGATGTTTCCTGTGTACATAAGTTAACGGGGCAAGCGGGCGCGCAGAGCAGCTCACCTCGTGAAGAGACTGCACTTTCCTTCGACGTTGTGCGTGCAGCCGGAACGCGTTAATTCAGTATGGTTTTCTTCTGAGGACGACATGAGGTGCTGAGAGGGAAAAGAAGTTGTTGGAACACACCTGGAGTCTCCACTGGACCGTGTACCCCCTCGACAGCGTCGGGTTCGACGTGGCTGAGTCGAAGCGCGCGAGGAACAAGGTCAGGATGTCACAGCCACGGTCAACCACTTTCTCGTGACCGTGGGAGGTGACGCGCTGAACGTGCCGCAGAAGTATGTAATCAGCTGCTAAGCGTGATGACGGAACCTTATCGATGACGCCATCGAGGTCCTCGTTGGACATCGACGACGATATCGAGCGTTCGCGGCTTCGTTGGATGGGAATTATGTCTATAGAAGAGAGTTAACGAGAAGTCCACGTATGATCAGTATGAGGGCCTGCAGTGGTCAGTTTCAGAGTACTTGGACAACAACAACTTGTTATTGTGAATGTTCAAGAACAATGAATGCAAAGGATTGGGACACACTCGCTTTTTGGATGGATGATTTGATGATATATATATTTTGTAGGTAATGGGAGGATGACTCAGCTCTGAGCCCGCTATGCTCCTGGAGAGGGAGGGCCTCGGTAGCCCACTGTCTAGCTAGCAAAAACTAAAACAAGCACGCAAAATAAGGCAAAGGGATGGGTGGGTGGGGACAGAAAAGGAAGGGAAGAGAGGCAGTGAGGAGGGAGGTAGGGAGACAGCAACGACGACGACGAGCGCGAAAAAGAGAGTGATGGTGATGTGACAGTGTGATGGTGCTCACTGCCCAATCCCGACGGTCTCGCCAGACCACCCAGGATTGGGACACACTCGCTTTTTGGATGGATGATTTGATGATATATATATTTTGTAGGTAATGGGAGGATGACTCAGCTCTGAGCCCGCTATGCTCCTGGAGAGGGAGGGCCTCGGTAGCCCACCAAGGAGAGATCTGAGCGTGCGACCAGCCAGAGGAGGGGGAGCAAGCAGCGCAGATGCCAGAGGCACTCCATCAGACACGCCAACCCCCTTCGCGGCGGGCCAACTCTGGGGAACGGGTCGGTGGAGGAGGAGTGGGCATAGCAAGTGTCGATGAGGAAGAGGCAGCTGTCGCAGACAGGCCTCGCGGCGGCTGCTTACGGACAGCCACCATTGGACGGTCACCCCGCTTGCGTTGCGCTGGAGGGGGATCGGCTGGGACATGACCACTATGTGGGGACAGACTCGGTGGAGGGAGGCGAATAGTGAGACGAGGAAGACGGGGGTCCGGGGCCGGAGGGCGGTTCGGTAGACGTCGGGAGAGGGATGGAGGAGTTGAGACCGGGCGAGGCAGTAGCGGGGGCGGCTTGTGCAGGCGGGAAGACAATGTGCGAAGAACCGACAAAGGCTCATCCACGTACAACTTCCACGCATCCGATTTCCACCGGCCAAGAAGCTTGATTTGCTCAGGCGAGTAGCCAGCCTCCGCGGCAGCAAATGCAGCACCACGGCGGAAGCTATGACCAGAGAACTCACTGGGATCATAGCCCGCCTTGGCCAGATAGTCGTCGGCGCGCAGTGCAAAGGAGCGGGTAAGAGGCGAGCCAGCCGAAGTGACAAAGAGCGGCGCAAACGGGGAAGTCGCAGGGTGGATATCGCGATATGCACGGAAACGTGCGACAGGGCAGGTCTCTGCCCCTGGCGCAGCGCCGACCAGCACACATGCCCCACGGCGGCCCACGTCCGTCTTACTCGCCTGAATATTACAGAGCAAGGAGTGGTCTGTAACGGCCGTGACACAAGCTTCCGAAAGGTTGAGCGAAGGGTCGAAGACAGCCCCATCAGCAACCGTAAACTCGCCGCACCGCATGAACGCAGCCCATGCCAACGTAAAGGCTGACGCCAGCATCCTACCATCATGATCGGTTGGGAGCTGCGCCAAAACTGCCGCCAGGATATCCCGAGTGATAGGGCGGCGTGGGCGACGAGGCTTTGTCCCATAGCAGTGCTCAGCCCCCCGCAATGATCCTCTTGAGAATCGGGCTATAAAGCGCGTCCATTGACCAGCCATGCTCAGCGTGAATAGTGCGAAGGCTGGTAAGGCATTGAGCTCCATCTCTGAATCAGTTCCAGGCTTTCCTTCATTACTACTATTAGTAATGACATGGAGTCGGTGAGCAACCAGATTCGCAATCCGAACACGGCCGAATCCAATACTTACTCATCACACTCCCTCTTGATCTTTGACCACCACCTTCCGCTACTGACTTGTGAGTCGTCCTTCGATGTAATATGATCCCCCATAACTTACTTTCACCCCTCCCCGCGTCCTCTAGAAGCATAACCTTCTGTGACCAAAAATGGCAACTCTCCCCGATCTCCCTTACGCCTACGATGCCCTCGAGCCCTACATCTCCCAGCAGATCATGTAACTCCTCCTAGAATCGTCGTTGACTCTGCTGACCCTTCCCAGGACATTGCACCACACCAAGCACCACCAGACCTACGTCAACGCGCTTAACGCTGCCGAAAGTCTCTACGCCAAAGCCTCCACCCCCAAAGAGCGCATCGCACTGCAAGCCGCCCTCAAGTTCAACGGTGGAGGTATGCTATCCGACCACTTTTGCTCTCCTGGCCGTCTTATCGCGCATTGATCAGGTCACATCAACCACTCGCTCTTCTGGAAGAACCTCGCTCCGTCGTCCAACAAAGGCGGCAACGGCGGTATCCTCAAAGACGGCCCCCTCAAGGAGCTCATTGTCGATCAGTTCGGCTCCCTCGACAACCTCAAGAAGGAGTTCAACGCGGCTACTCTCGGTATCCAAGGCTCTGGCTGGGGCTGGCTCGGCTACAACCCGACCACCAAACGCCTCGAAATTGCCACCACCGCCAACCAGGACCCCCTTCTTACTCTCGTTCCTCTCATCGGCGTTGATATTTGGGAGCATGCTTGTGTGTCATTCAGATCCATATCTTATCGTCCTCCTAATCATCTCCCAGTCTACCTCCAGTACCTGAACGTTAAGCCCGATGTTCGCCTCGTTCTCGTTCTCCCCTCTTCTCGCTATTAATCAATTTGCAGTATCTTAACGCTATCTGGAATGTCATCAACTTCGATGAGGCTGAGAAGCGTCTCCTCGAGCCCTCCAAGCTTTAAGCGGATTTGGCCTGCTCCGTGGGGACAACCAGGATGAATGATTGTAAACTACAAAATGAAATCGACTGTACACTTGACTTGTTCTGAACTTGAGGCTTGGCGCTTGTCTCTCCTTAGCTTTTTATAGCAACAAGTGATACAAATGAGTAGTGGAAACCAAAGGCGAGTGTGTGAAGGAGAATATCAACACGAAGCACAACCGACGAAGAAGGGAGAAAAGCTGTAAAATATAAAAATATATACCGGGGTACATCACAGAATGAGAGAGAGACGTAGAGAGAGAACAACGTCCAACAGCGCATTCACGCCTTGGTCTTGAACCGTAACAACGGCGCAAGCCCGGCCAATGCGCATGCTTTCTTCAAGAATTCGTGCTGTAACACAAACTAGTCAGTATCATCATCATCATCATAGGTAACTGGGAAACCAACCTCTAAAAGCTCATTCGCGGTCGCCCGACTGCTCACGTCAACACACAGACACACTGCCAAGAAGCCTTTGAGCTCGCGGCTGAGCGCTTCAGGCTTCTTCAGGGTCGGTGTTCCGTTGGTTGCGATCAGATAGAGCGCCTTCAACGGTTCTTCGTCCAAGTACGGCGGCTCATTCTCAATCATCTCGATAGCCATGATCCCAAGCGACCAGATGTCAACTTTCGCACCATACTCCTTTTGCTTCACGACTTCGGGGGCCATCCAATACGGTGTACCGACCATCGTTGCTCGCTTGGATTTTTGATCCGTGAGTTTGGCGCAGAACCCAAAGTCAGCTAGAGTGGGACATGAGTGAAGGGATCGACTTGGGACGGGGATTATGTACTGATTTTAACTCGGCCTGCAGCATCGAGAAGAACATTGTCCGACTTGATGTCTCGATGGATGATGCTCTGGCTGTGGAGGTGTCCGAGACCCTTGCATGTCTAGCAGGCGGTGAGTAACAACACTGCAATAATGGAAATCAAAATCGCACCTCAAAGCAAATGGAACTGATTTGGTCCTCCTCGAGCGAGTTGTTCTCAATTATATCCGTCAACGCGCCACCCTCCATGTACTCCATCACGACCCAGAGCTCGTTGCTCTTTACGAGGTAACTCTCCAGGAAGTTGACGATATTGGGGTGTTGTGATTCCTTCATGACGAGAATCTCGTTCACAATCAATTCCTTGCGCGGCTGGTGGGAGAGGTCCATCTCTTTGATGGCGACCTTTTTGCCGGTCGCGAGTGTTTTGGCCACATAGACATGACCCGAAGCACCTTGCCCGACCTTCTTAATCTTGCTGTATAGTGTCTTGGGGTCGTCATCCGATACGACCTGCCTCAACTTCTCCATAATCTGGACCTCAGTCATAGTGCTGATGCGCTTCTCCTTCAAATCTCCTCCCTTCTTCTCCAAGGCAGCAGCGGCAGCAGCAACTCCTTGACCGCCGGTCGCCGGCTTTTCTTCGAACTGAATCAAAGGCTTTTTGGCAGGCTGAAGAGGTTTGACTGGCGGAGGACCAGCGGTTGCTCCGGCAGCGGTATTGGAGGAGGCATTGGGTATAGGTGCTGTCTTGCTTGGAGGGCCCAAGGGGGGTCTCTCTTGTTGTTGTTGTTGTTGTTGTTGCTGTTGCTCCTGTTCGCGCTCTTTCTGTGCTTGTAATTCTCTCTCCCTTTCTCGTTTGGCCGCCTCGGCTCGTTGCTCGGCTCGTTGCTGTTGAGCGCTTGGTGTTTGGAGTGAGTCCTTGCGTAATGGAAGGGGAGCTGTAGTCGTCGGCGGCCCAGTTGCCTTCTGTCGGGCTCGAAGATCCGCAGACGACGGCAAATCCCCACCAGTCTTTGCTTGGGCAGAAGAACCGTTGAGTGGGGGGGCCGCGGGAGCGGGCCGAGTTCCGGTGAGAAGAGGGCGTGGGGGGGCAGGACGTGTTGATTGTAGTTGAGGTTGGGGTTGAGCGGGTCGAGGAGGAGAAATAGATGAGAGAGATGTGTTTGTATCAAGGCCAGGCGGCGCCGAATCTTGTCGTTTCATGCCAGGGCGCTCCGTTAATGAAGAAGTGGAGCCTCCCATCATAGTCATGCCGCCGAGGCCAGTACCAGCGTTGAAACGAGCTGGCGCACTGGTGTCGGCCATCATCATCATTTCTCGTTCCCTCTCTCGCTCCATCTCACGTTTCTGGTGATCTGTGTAGAATTCGAGCACATCCAACACCGCCTGAGGGTCTTTGGCATAGTCCTCGCGAGTAATGGCGGATTTGGTGAGCAGCTTGCTCCATTGATCGGGCATCCCCTTCATTTACCGTTGAGAGACACACCACGAAACCGAGAGCAAAACTCACAGTAAACGCGCCGCTGACTGGATCAAAACCAACATGGACTTTGTGGACAAAGTTGGTCGGATTGCTGAACCCCATAAGCGGGGAGCGGGAGTAGATATCGTCTTGCCAGCCTATATGGGGAGTGAATATCAATTGTGTCAAGAGGCCAGACATCTCACCATACAGCTCCTCGTCACTCTTGAGCGAAAAGTAGTACCGTTTCCTGTCCTGTGTCTCCATTAGTAGACAGTATGGCTTGAGGTCGGTTCGTTCGATGCTTGTGATATCGCGGAGGAGGATGACGATTTGTTGGGGAGCGGTCTATGAAACCGGGTATTAGCAAGCAAGCAACGAGCGCGATAGCAGTAAGAAGAACACACCTCGGATTTGTGGAGGGTAAGGGTCATGTCCTTAAGAATGAGCCATTTGACCTTCCATATCCAACTGGTCAGCGTGCCCTCTTCTTTGACGCTGACTGGGCCTTGCCGAACAACAGCGCCCGCTACGCTGCCCGACGAAGATGGAGATCCGCCGATGCCTGAGTAAGAGGTTGAGTAAGACGAACCCGAGGCTGAGTTGGGATTGAAAGTGAAGGCGGGGTTGTAGCCATTCGTGGCGAGCGATGACTGGCTCGAATACATGCTCGGTGTGGGTGCTGGGCGTGAAGGATTAAGGGCAGTCGAACCCGTATAGGACATTTATGGATGTCCTACCAACGAGTGACGACGACGACCTCACACAACACAGAGCGAAGACCAAGATGATGGTGGTCCAAGTTCGTCCGATCACGCTGAAACAGTTTTACACAGCCGCTCAACAGAAACACTATCCTCTGCCGGGATTGTTTGTAACTACTCCCGCCACTCCTCCATCCAGAATCCCGTCCAGAACAAGCTCCAATTTTGGTGTGACCGGACTTCGTCCCATCGCCCACAGGGCCACAGCAACGGTACTACATCAGAAATCAGCACACACTCAGACAACCGATAAGTAAGCAGACTTTGTGCCGTGGTAGTCAAGGATGCCCTGGTGAACTGGAAACTTGAACTGGGGACTGTTTGCGGAAGAAGGCACAATCAGCTTCGATATCTCATGGGCAATCCTACACACCCAAGATTTCCCACCCGTTTACCCATATGCCAGCCATTTACCCACAACAGAGCCCGATAATTCTGACCTGCACAACCACCTTCAGAACAGAAAGGAATGGAGGAAAAACAGTAAATACCAAGAGGCTCCGTGAAGGTGAACGAAATAAAAGCATCAACCCCGCTCGGGATGTTCAAGGGGAAGGTTGTCACGAAAAAACCTACACCTGCAGATCCGCTTGGCAGGCCGGTGGTCAGATCGCGCGTAATCCAAGAGGATGTGTCGAAACCAGGGAGATGCCAGCCCTCCCTCTCTCCAAAAAGGCCACCTTCGTTTAAAACGCCTCTGGTTTTATCGAGGAAGCTATCATGGCCTCGCAATGAGCTGACGCCATTTTCGTAGAAGGAGTCTCAAACCCTTTATATCCCCCAACCTTCCCTTGAACTTTCCACGTTCCGAATGAGCCTGTGTCGAGCTTAAAGCCCCGCACTCCTCGAGGGCTCTTGGAGCTATCTGGATTCGCTGTTTACGGTGGTTCATCACACAAGCAATTGCTTGAGTATTGCCCTCACCTCCATTCGTCTCATTAAGACCCATATTGTCCTGGACAATGGTAATCACATTTTCGCCCGATCGCAACGCTCCAGCTGGGAATGAAAACTTGTCATCGGTCTCCTCAAGAATGTGGGCGTTGTTGGTAGAGCTATCGGACCAATTATTGTTGCACATGTCTATGTGGTCGCCACCAACTTACTTTCCAAACGAAGTATTCAGGAAAACGTCATTCAACCATACACTCGCGGCGAAAGCTGCAACAGTGTGGACAATCATTGAATAAAAAATAGTTGAAACTCACCTTCGCCACCGTTTATTGAGAGGTTGACACTGGTTTGGCCAGCGCCAGTGAAGTGTCCACGCCATAGGACAGTATTTTCGCAACTGTACCAAGTTAAGCACAACATCCGAAAACAAGTTCTTACGCACAAACCATAATCACACCCGTATAAGATGCGACCATCGCCATAGTACGGCTTGAGGGGTATGTTCGTTACCGTGTGGTTTGCTACTGTCCAGCTAGAATCATCGAATCCAGCAGAAATCTCTGGTAATGAGTCTTGAAACTTCCATGCTGTCAACTTGGGAATGGTGACGCTCTTAACCACAGAACGTGGTGCAAGTGTGCCACTGAAGCCGCCAGTCGAAGTAATACCCGGGGTTAATTGGACACTTGCACCATTCCAAGTAACTGACTTGACCGACAATGGAACGACAAGAGCGAAGGGAGTTGTAACGTTGAGATCTCCTTTCAGAGCCAGAGTTGCCCCGGAAATTGTGGCATTGCGAACAAGATATGGACCACCAACCAAGACTGTGTTGTTACTTCCAATAGACCAGTAGTTGGGGAATGTGGAAGAACCAGTAGCAGGTATAACGGGGGCCCAAAATGTAGCTGCAGTCTGGTAATCGGAATAGAGGATGAGTTGGGTAGTTGAGTCATGGATAGTGTTGAGACCCGTCAACCCGGGCTGGAATGCCAATATAGTTGTTCCGCCAGCACTCGGAGTCGATGTGATCAACGAGGAATTCGTCCGATGGACAGTGCTGGCTGTTCCGGTCAACACAAGACGGATTTCGTGTGCTTGAGTCGTGTTTCCATATAAGAAAAGGACATCGCGAGTTCCGATCGTACCCGCAAAGAATATCTGGGCAGTTGTGTAATCGATTTTCGATGCGCCGAATGAATATCCACTAATGACGAGCTTGGATTCCCGACCACCAAGTGTCACTGCTGGGACAACAATCGGTACTTGAATAGTGTTTGATATGGGGGAAGTGATGTTAAGCTTGAACGTTGTGATTGCTCTGTCTATTGATCAGCGAACCGCTCGTTTTCGGCCGGGTTGAACCCACGTCGAGGTCGAGTTGGCCTGTCGAAGAACGTAGAATGCGGCTTTTGTGTCGGGATTCTGGAGGAAAGTCCCGAATGCAGCTGGATTGGACGTGGTGAATCCGCTAGAGCCGTCAGATATAAAGTTCGTTTTATAAAACTCAGGCGAGCTTCTGAGAAAGATGCCTTGTAGCTTCAACTCGTTGAATTTGGTGGTAAGTGCCCGAGATTCGCTTATCTAGAGACAGCTCCAGACGACATCCGTCACAGGAGAGCACACTTACAGATGCGCCATAGTCGTAGCTAGAGTATACTCCGCTGCACAGTTGATGAGCAACATTTTCAAGTTGATGGTGGTTAGCTCACTGGAAAGGTATTGCACCCCAAGAGGTTCCGCTGCAAATGATTTTACTTTGTACTTTTCCCCATGGTGATGATGTCCTCACCCATAGATCATATAATAAGATATGAGTTTTGCATTACTGGCCCACAGCTGCCTATTGAAAACGGATTGGAAATTAGGACCTGTGAGTTGCGCACATGGCGCATAGCCAGGTGCTCCAGGTCCCCTGCGTGATCATCAGAAGGAAACCTCTCGTTGGACGAAACGAATACCATGCATCGAAACTACCGCCTTGGAACTCCGGGAAATACCACGCCTGTGATGGACTTGGAGAAAGTTTAAGGTGAAACTGACATGAGTTGGTCGATAGACATACTTGACTTGTTGGTGGTAAGTGTGATAATTTGTTGTCACAGGATTCCAGGTCTCTGGATGGGAGCAGTCGAAGCCCTACGAGTTATTATTCTCCTTGCGCACATACAGTCCAATTTCCACAGACCTGTGGGTACGAATCAAGTCCATAGAGATCCACAGCGCCCTATAAAAGTTCATTTGATTTAAACGGGCCCAAGCGGCTCACAGTGCCATTGATGCTGAGAAGAGGTAAATGACCAGAGTGAAGTAAGGGCATGACACTACATACAAATTTTTCCCTTCGCCTGGATCGTTATATGTGAGAGGGACAACGATAGTAGAGTTTCGATACACGTCTTCGAGTTGCTGAAAGTAGACCGCATGCGTTGCGGGACTCTGAGAGTACTCGTTGTCTGCAATAAAACGTTCCTTGTAGCCAGAGAAGGGACTGGATTATAACGAACCGACTTGGACCGCTCCAGGAGCAAGTTAATGGCGACATGCATAGTCGAATATGCTTACCGATTACAGGGCCACCCTGATTTATTTGATTCGGTGCAGTTTGAGAGATGATGCCTTGGATATAGTCCTTCCAAGCGGCTCGCCAGTCTGTGGCATTTGTTCGGAGGGTACCAGCAATCTCCGTGGTTGCCCAATGCGCTATTCCTCCCGCGGTAGTTTCTGTTGTCGAACCTCAGCCTTAACCGTTGTTGTGAGACCATCTGTGGAAACGAACCCGCGTTGATATATGGACCAGGACGCAATACAATCCAGATTCCCGCTGCTTTGGCAGCATCGAAAAGCGGCTGGAGTGCTCGAAAGCTCTCAAAGTCTACAACTCCTCGAGAAGGGTTAATAAGACCCATATGGGTATAGACAGAAACCGCATTAAGTCCCGCAGCTTTGACTTTCTCCAAAATGTCTGACCATAGAGAGGGAACTGGGAGTCTGAAGGTATGGAACTCTCCAGAGCTGACGGTTTTCAGTATGAAGAAATCGGGTGCGCGTAATACTCCACTGTAGAAAGACGCGTTGACCGTTGAGAATGAGACTAAAGTTGTCGAATTGAACATCAGCGGTCCTTGCCAGTAGTGGCGGGTCGTCGGTCAAAACTACAGCCAAGGTCTTGGAGGCCACGGAGAGAAGCGCAACGAAGAGCGCGAAAACTCTAAGCAGATGCGCTTGCAGCGGCCAAGTGGTGAGGTTGTTGTGAGTGAGGAGCATGATGACAAGTGAGGGTCGCGAGCCGCAAGTATTTATAATTGTGAGCGATGACGCTTCGCCGTCCAGCTGATTTTTCAGAAGGTACCTTCATTGGACGTCGAAGGTGGGGTTGCGACGGTCCGGCGCGTCGCAGATGTTTTGGTTCCACGGATGTATGAAAGAAGCCATGTGACGCAAGGGACAGCGTTTCTTTATCATCAGTGCGAAAGTATGTGCTTAGTGGGTTGAAATGAACAGTATCGAGCGATTTTCCCTTGTCGATTTTGAGTCGATGTTCAAAGTTCAAGTATTCGTGGTGTGACCGTGACCGTAACGCTACTCGTCTTGCCACAAACAACTTGAACTCAAGGGTCGAAGTTGTATGCGAATATTGACGTGGAACATCGTGAATATATCCGACATGACTGTCTAGCCTTCTGAAGCTTTCTAGAATGGAGTCCGCACTATACCCCAATATCATCCGTACGCGACTTGGACTCGTTTCTCCTTGGTTTAAAAATACCCAGATGGAACACTTTCAAGACACACGAGGAAATACTCAACAACCTTCATGCGGACATATTGTGCTTTCAAGGTGTGCATAAGCTCCTCCAAAAATTTGCTCCAGTCTCACTCATCTGTGATTCCCAAGAGATGAAGTCGTCGCGACAAAATCTACCCAAAGCAGTGGGCGTTCCACCGTCCTATCATTCGTTCTTCTCTTTTCCCCGCCATAGATCGGGCTACTCTGGAGTTGCTGTATATGCCAAACTGGCGTCTGCCACCCCGCTCAAGGCCGAAGAAGGGCTCACGGGCCTTTTGCAACCCAATCCACCTCTCCTGCCTTCGGAATGCATCTCCCAGCCAGACGCTTACCCTACTCAAACACCTGAATGTGAAGAACTCGACCTTCGCTCGCTCGATTCAGAGGGTCGAGCATTAGTGATCGACTTTGGTTTATTCGTTCTTGTCGCAGTGTACTGTCCAAACGATGGAACAGACACTGACCAGCGTATTCAATACAAAGCCGACTTTCACACCATACTGGCGGCGCGGATTCGCGGTCTTGTTGGAGAGAAGCGAGAAGTAATTTTGTTGGGAGACTTGAACGCTTGTGCCGCTGTTATAGATCACGCTGAAGGCCCTCTTATGGTTGCGCGAGCACAAGAAGAAGGAATTGAAGGCGAAGAGGGATTCTGGCTAACCGGAGCGCGAAAGTGGCTGCGTGATTTAATAGCAGATAATGGCGGAATTCTGGTCGATGTAGTCCGTCGTTTTCACCCGGACCGCAAGGGAATGTACACATGTATGCCTCTTTTCACTTGGCTTCTTACGTGGACTCAAGCATCCGTAGGCTGGAATACCAAGATATCGGCTCGTGAATCCAATTATGGTGCACGAATCGATTATATTTTGGTCACTCCTGGCCTGCTGCCTTGGATTGAGGCTGCAGATATTCAACCAGAGCTCAAAGGCAGCGATCATTGTCCGGTGTTCATTGACCTCCGTGACTCTCTGGTTGATAACCAAGGAAGAGAAATCCTGCTACAAGATGTCCTTGGAGTTACCCGAGAAGCTGAACCGCCTCGTCTCGCAGCCAAATTTTGGGACGAATATAAACAACGCCTTTTAAGCACATTTTTCACCACAAAAACCAGTTCACATCCCTCAGACCAACAGCATCCAGCTTCCCCAGACGCTTCCGGTATAGCATCCTCCTCCTCTCTTTCCGCCTCGTTGGAAATGCAGCCTAGTAAACGGAAACTTGATGCTATTCAACCACAATCCGCGTCTCAGACTCTATCTAAGAAACCCAAGTCTCAACAGGAGAAACCTCAAGTTTCCTTAGACTCGACCAAACTCAAGAAAGCAGTCAAAGGCCAGACTAGTCTCGCTTCATTCTTCGCAAAGCCAACTGCGCAGTCATCGTCCTCAAAAGCCGTACACGCAGAAAAAAGGAAAACCACTGACAAAAACGACATCATCGTTATCGATGAGGACCACGCACCCCCATCTTCGTCTCCGACTGTGCAGTCGGATTTAGACGCAGATTATCAGTTTGCCCTCAAACTTTCGCAAGAACCCATACCATCAGCATCATCACCGTTAAACAAAAACCTTGAAGCCAAAGCATGGGGTCGTATGCTCGCTCCGCCTGCCCCACCGCGATGCGTCGTGCATGGGGAACCAGCCAAGTCAATGACCGTCACAAAAACAGGACCGAACAAGGGCAAATCATTTTTCATATGCTCCAGGTGGGTTTCGTTTCTCCTCTTTTGACCGGTGTTTGAACTACAGTTTAGACCTGTTGGGCCTGGGTACGACGCTGGCAAGGCTACCCGGAGACGGAGTGAGGTTGACGATCAGTGGCGTTGCAATTTCTTCAAATGGGCCAGCGATGTTCGCCGAGAAGAGATGACGCGCAAAGACACGCCTGACTAGCATCGGCAGTTGACTTATCAGATACCGTCATCAAGAACCATCTGGGTCCGTGCGCGACCATTGGTGGTCTGTGCGTTGCGTATGGCAGTTTTTGAGGGCGGGCCAACATCGAGCCCCTCACTTGTCCGGCGGCGAGATCCCCTCATGATTCGGATTCTTGGATCACGCGTGTCCTCCACAACGGAAAGCCGCACGTGTCCACCGCCCCAATCTTTTCCAGTTCCCTACGTGGTGGTCTTGCTTTTTTGGTTTATGGGCAGCCTAACCCTAAACCCCACGGATGGCTAGCTTCACATTTGTTGTGTAATTGTAGAGTACTGTGCATGAATGCGATATTTGTGATTGGGACTCGTGAGAATGCCGTCAACGGTTATCCTCTCCGATAAACCATGACCCAGCTTGACTATAGCCTTCCTCCGCCGCCGTTTGGGCATGAGATGCTAAAGTATTTTGCCTTCGACCCGAATTACGTGAATCTCAACCACGGTCTGTTCTTTTGCTTCGTCAGATGGGTCGTCTTACCGCGTTGAATACTGTAGGCTCGTATGGTTCCCTTCCCCTCCCGGTGCTTGCGGCTTGCAATGAACTCACTATGCGCGTTGAATCCAACCCTGATCTATTTGTCCGCATCCACCAGACTGCACTCATCACCGAATGCCGCGAATTAATCGCCAAATTCCTCCATACCAAGACCAACGAAGTAGTTCTTGTGCGCAACACCAGTCATGGCATCAACACAATCATGCGCTCTTTCGATTGGAATGCTGGGGATGTTATCGTCACTTGTATGTTCAGCCTCCATGACTTTTGTTTTTGAGAATTTGTCAGGTAATACGACCTACGACGCCATGTCAGCTCTTGCGCGTTTTCTCGGTGACGGACCGGCCCATCCAGCGATCTCACAACTCGTTATTCAATGGCCGACGTCCCATGCTGATATCATCGCGAGGTATCAAGCTCATCTTCGTGCAATTCCCCGACATAGCGGCCAAAAAATCGTCGCAATCATTGATTCCGTTACCTCCGTTCCGGGCGCACTCATGCCTTGGCAAGCGCTGGTGAAGCTCTGTAAAGACGAGGGAGTCTACAGTGTTATAGATGGCGCGCATTCCATTGGCCAGGAGCCAGATATCAACCTCGGAGATGCTGATCCCGACTTTTGGGTCTCGGTAGACCTCTTGTGCCCTTGTCTAGCGGCAAAACTTGAACAACATTCAGAACTGTCATAAATGGCTGTTTGCCAAACGCGGATGCGCCGTTATGTTCGTCGCGGAACGGTATGATCTCCCTTCGTCTCAGCCAATCAAAATTAACAAGTGATAGAAACCAAGGGATTGTTAGGTCCTCCTTCCCAACGTCCAAAGTGTACATCTCCCCTCCAGCACGTTCTTATCCTGGAGAGAGCTTTGTCGAACAATATAATTGTAAGTTTCCCATTTTCCTTCGGTTTTGATTAACAACCGGAAGGGAATGGAACAATTGACTTTGTCCCGCCGCTTAGTATCAAGCCAGGTACGTTGCTCGCTCATAACGCTATTTATCCTAAGGTGCATAGCTCTGGAGTTTCGTCAATGGCTCGGTGGTGAAGCCAAGATCAGCAAATATTGTCGCGATATGGCACTGCAAGGCGGAGCACACCTTGCTGCCCTGCTGGGCACGCGAGTAATGGACCAGAGTGGCGAATTCACCCTCAACATGGTATGTGGGGCATTTCTTTTCCTTCCTTCCGGATTTTTGACTCGCTGAGGAATAGGCTAATGTCCAAATCCCACTTCCGCCGACCATCCAACCATCGGCCGCCATCGGCGACGCGTTTAACCAAAAGATGCTCTTACCCACGAGTCGCAAAACCAGAGTGAGCGCGGGGGTGTACTATCACAATGCTGCATGGTGGGTTCGGTGTAGCGCGCAGATATGGACGCAGGTTAGGAGTCTGTTGCTATCTCATCCAGTGTCCATTGACAAGGGTTGCAATAGCTGGAGGATTTTGAAGTTCTTGCCTCTGTCCTCAAGGAAGTTTGCCTGGAAATCACGCACGAGTTCCAGGCATAAGGCCAATAGGAATTTGGTTTGCTGCCTGGTATTCTGCAGTCGGATGCCAGCCTAATTTTACAAGTTGCCCAACATGATGTAATACTACCGTGTAAAATCCTCCGAGAGCGTTATTGGGATGTCCAGCTGCTTGAAACTCGTATCGGTCATTTGTTCGGCCGCTGCTTGACCTCAAGCTGCTGGTGTTTCTACAGTAATCCCCCAAACTTCCGCCACCACTTTCTTGACCTCCTCTGGCTTCTTTCTACCCCATTTGTCGAGTTTTTCTCTGCATCCATGTCAATATAATAAAACACTCACAAGGAACATATGCATACCGAGCACCAGCAACCTGAACAGTCATCTCAATTCCAAGTTTCTTGCCCTCTTCGATTTCCAACGCCGGCGCACGGGTACAGAGTGCAATGAACGCGTCACCGGCCCACTTCCTGTCGATGGTATACGTTTGCTGCAATGCGATTTTTCTCCACAGGGTCAAGCGAAAGCTTTGCCAAGTTCCCGGATCGCCAAGTCCCGGACATCGGATAGTGAATACTTCGTGGCCAATGCGAGAATGGCAGTCCAGTCGGCAGAGGTCGAGGCAAGGCATTGGCCCAGGACACTATTAAGTACTCTGAGGGTTGTACTAGGGAAAACAGCTGGAAATGACGCACGGTGGATAGAGGATCCACAATAGTCGTTCGAAATCGGCACTCGGAACGTCCTCTAGAACAAGCGGGTTCTCGTCGGATGTGGGCTTTTCGGCGTTGGGCAGAGGGAAAGCGGTGGCGTGACGGCGAATCGTGCCGTCCCAGACACGGGAAAAGGGTGTCACCTGCCTGGAGGACCAGGTTTCCGTCCTCGTAGTAGTATTTGTCGTGCTTTTTTGTTGCTGACGGAGCAGACGACGGCATCGAATGGTAGGCTGGGGGTGCAGACGATGTGTGCATTGGCTGAAGGGGTTGAGATAGGGAGCACGCCTGAACTTGAGGGGTGCTGCCAGATGTGAATTGCGTCGCGCTTATTTTGAGCGCTCAGGCTTGTTTGATGCCTTGAAGGACACCGAAAGGACACCTGGCTGTCAAGGTGAATGTTGCTGGAGCTTGAATGCTTGGATGGCTTCATTGAGTTTACTAGCAGATGTGTTTCCACGCCAGATGTAGTCTCTTTTTACCTTGGTGGCTTGTACCTGGTGGTCAACCGAGAACTCATCGAGTCATCGACTGTAACGGCAACCATCAATATTAGGCACAAACCTTCTTCCATGGCAAGCTGAACTCGAGTCAACTCGGACGGATTCGCAATCTCCCTCCGACTTCGGCATTATTGGTCCACGCAAGGTCCACGTCAGTGATCCTGCGCCGCAGCGCGTCTATATAACAAGTTGCTGAATCTCGAGTAGATAGATTGTCGGTGCAATGACGGATCCTCAGTCTGACTCGGTGCAGACTGGAAAGTCAGAACCCAGGCACACTCGATTTTTTCGTCGCCGTGTTACTCCGCCCGATGCTGAGAGCAAAGGAACAGAAAAGGAAAAAGAAGAACCTAAGATTCCTCCCGTCTCATTCTTCGCGCTTTTTCGGTGTGTACTTCAAGTTTTCACTGTTCACAGGAATCATGTACCAATGTGATTTGACTCTAGATTTGCTACGCGGATGGAAATTTTCTTCAATATCCTCGGATTGGTGGCGGCTGGTGCTGGTGGGGCGGTCACAGTAAGTGTTGAGAGTTCATCTCAGCGTCGACCAACGCGTATTTTAGCCTCTACTCAGTGTTTTCTTTGGCAATCTTACTGCAGATTTCGTGACTTTTACGCTGACACTTGCGCAATCACGGGCGGGCTCTGTTGAGGCGACGGCTGAGCTACCAGCAGCTGCAGCGCATTTTCGACACTCCGCGGGGAGGAACGCAACTTGGTTGACCGTTGTTGGTGAGTCAAGGGCCATATAATCCATGTCAATATGGTCTGAACTGCCAAGGAATCGCTGTCTTTTTTACAACCCACATCTATATGCATGCTTGGATAGTGACGTCTGAATTGAGCGGGAAACGCATTCGAGAACGCTATCTTCAGGCCGTCCTTCGACAAGACCCCACATTCTTTGATGAGGTTGGCGCAGGGGAAGTTGTCACCCGCATTCAAGGCGACATTCGTGTGTCCAAATTTACTGCTGTCCAGAACTTGTTTATGATTGATTGAACGTTGACTAGATCTTGTTCAGCAAGGCATATCGGAAAAGGTTCCACTATGTGTCTTTTCTGTCGCACAGTTCATATCTGGCTTCGTCATCGCTTTTGCTCACTCCTGGCGAATGGCACTGGTCCTGATGACCATGTTTCCGTTCATGATACTTATTGGCGCGCTGATGGGCAAGTTCGCGCAGAAGTACACTGAGTGTGTCTCCATTATAGTTCTCTGCTGCTTACAGATCTGACTGTACGGTAGGCAATCCTTGAAGCATGTCGCCGACAGCGGCACTCTGGCTGAAGAAACAATATCTTCGATCCGCACAGCGCATGCCTTCGGCTCACAAGAGGTTCTGGCCAAGATCTATGATGCATTCATCGGAAAGGCTCGTGTAGTTGATGTCAAGAACTCGATGGCTACAGGCTTGGGGATGGCAGGATTTTATTTCTCAGTCTTCGCATCGTATGGTTTGGGTACGTGTTCGAGTAATTAACACACTTGATAAATATTGAACATCGTTGCAGCCTTCTCATACGGTGTTACTCTCGTCAATAAGGGCCAAGGTGCATTTTTTTCTCCTCCATCGTATGCATGTTTTCTTACCTCTCCAAGGCGACGCCGGCACGATCATCACTGTGTTCATGTCAATCTTGACGGGGACATTTTCTTTGGTTGTTCTTGGGACCGTGGTCCAACGTACGTCAACGTTTTCATCTCTTTCTGTCAACTAAATGCGCCCATAGCAATCCTGCTGGCCATGGGAGCTGCTGCTAAACTCTTCGACACTATCGATCGGGTTCCCTTAATCGACAGCTCTTCTACCCTTGGCCTCAAATCTGCTAGTCCATCTCCTGCAACGCCCACATTATTACTCAGCAATGTTCGATTTTCCTACCCTTCCAGGAAGGATATCCATGTCCTGAACGGTGTCTCGCTTTCGTTTGGCCAAGGCGTAACAACAGCACTTGTCGGCGCTAGCGGCTCTGGAAAGAGCACTGTTTTAGCCCTCATTGAACGATTTTACGATCTCGAAGCGGGAGCTGGAAGCGTAAAACTAGACGCTGTTGATATTCGCGACCTCAATGTTGGGTGGCTGCGCTCTCAGATCGGCTATGTTGCGCAAGAGCCCACTTTGTTCAATGCAACAGGTATGTGCCTTAGCTTATACTCGTTAATAATCCTGACGAATAATGATAGTAAGCGAGAACATAGCGTATGGGCTGGTCAACTCTCCCTTCGAGAAACTTCCCGAGAGTGAAAAACAAGCCCGCATCAAACAGGCCTGTCTCGTTGCTAATGCGGATGGGTTTATTCGAAAACTTCCATTGGGGTGCGATTCGCTTGTACACATCTGAGACGAGCCTGACATTCCGTAATAGATATAACACCCTAGTTGGTGAACGAGGTTTCTTGCTATCAGGGGGTCAAAAACAACGTATTGCTATCGCTCGTGCCATTGTTAAGAACCCACGGATTTTGCTGCTGGATGAAGCGACTAGTGCGTTGGATGGACAAAGTGAAGGTGTGGTGCAAAGGGCATTGGATAATGCAAGTGCTGGTGAGATCAATAGTCTTGCTTCGACCTGAATTCTCCAACTTACTTCACACGCTAGGAAGGACAACCATCACTATCGCTCATCGTCTGAGCACGATTCGCCGGGCTGACAAGATATACGTCATGGGTAACGGTCACGTTCTCGAAGAAGGCACACACGATGAACTGCTTGCGATTCCGACAAGTACTTATGCGCAACTCGTGGCCGCTCAAACCCTGCGCGATCCTCATTCGACTGCTCTTCCTACATCCGAAAAATCTCAAGATGATCAAGCCGATAGCCTCATACAAGAAACTGACAAAATTTCGCGAGAGAGCATTTCCGTTGATGCACTCAAGGAGAGCACCACTCAAATGAGCATTGTGGATGTTTGGCGACGTTTGATGGTTATGAACCGCGAGTCCTGGCGAACGTACATGATTGGTGCTGTTTTCGCATTGTGTGGGTACTTTTTGTAATGTTTGGGAACTATAAGCTAAGAGCTATTCTCAGTGAACGCATTGGTATTCTTCAACTTCAGCATTGTCATCCTCAACATCTGAATTTTTTGCAGGTCTACCCATCCTTCGGAATTGTCTATTGTCCGTTTGCATATGTTGCCTGTGGTTTATCCTGACACTTTCTTAAAGCTAAGGGAATCGTTGCTTTCTCGGACCCGGACCCTCACGTAGGCTTTATATTTTGTCGTTGTGCCATCAAATTCATCAGCTCGCAGATACGCCGACATTTAGGCAACCGCACAGCGCTTTATATGTTCATTGTGGCGATCGGCTCGTCTATCGTGATAGCCATGCAAAACTATTTATTCGCTTCTGGCGCTGCCGAATTCACCGCCAAATTGCGTTCTGTTCTGTTTCGAGCCGTCCTCGGACAGAAAGGTAACATTTTGCGCCCCACAATGCAATGGTCACCTGACATTACATGTATAGTCGAGTTTTTTGACAAACAAGAGAACAATGTCCGCTTCAAATGTGTTAGCGGCCACATTATTTAACGCTTACTCTAGACTGGCGCGTTAACTGCAAATTTGAGCGATTACACGCAAAAAGTCAAAGGTCTGATGGGCATGACACTTGGCTCGTACGTCCTGGCCATCAAGAATTTTGTGCTCTGTGCTGATTGCATACCAGGGTCATTGAATGTTTCGCCTCTCTTGCAATCGGTTGGGTAATCGGGCTGATCTTTGTCTGGAAACTTGGACTTGTTTGTATTGGTGAGCCAGCCTCACCAACTGTGTGCTCCACCATAGCTCACAGCCTAGCTTGTGCCCCTTTCTTGTTCCTGACTGGTTACATCCGTTTGGTAAGATTCGAAGATACAGCAGTGTTTTATCTTAAGCATTCCATAGCGAGTGGTCATCCAGAAAGACGAGGTCAATCGACTTGCACATCTCAAAACTGCCCAAATTGCATGTGAAGCTGCCAGCGCCTACCGAACCGTCGCGGCGCTAACTGCTGAGGAGACTTTCGTGGCGCGGTACAGCACAAGCTTGGTCGAACCACTTAGAACTGCGAAACGAACAGCCGTATGGAGTGCCGCATTGTTTGCCTTCTCACAGACCCTTTCGTTTTGGGTCATTGCGCTCGCTTTTTATTACGGCAGTGTGCTCGTCAGTAAACAAGAATGCTCGACATTGGGATTTTTCATTACCTTAGAAGCGGTTCGTTGTCCCTTGTAGCCACGATGCAGCTGACCAAGCATTTTTAGACTATATTCGGGAGCATGAATGCGAGGTATACATCCCTAACTTTTTGCTGCTTTTTCTGATTTATATCTTTATGATAGCAATGTCTTCTCCTTTGTGCCGGACTTCTCAGCAGCCAAAACGGCTGGGTCGGCGATTTTTCAGCTGATTTCGTCTGGTTCTGGGACCCCGCCCCCTGGTGCCAATAAGGACACCAAGAGCTCCGAGAAACCGAGCGGACATGTGCGATTTGACGATGTGCACTTCAATTACCCAACCCGGCTGGAAGAACCTGTCTTGCGTGGCCTGTCTCTCGAAGCAAGACCCGGCGAGTATGTCGCACTGGTCGGAGCGAGCGGTTGTGGAAAGAGTACGATGTATGTGGTTATTATCAACTAATGACGCTTGTTGATCTTCTTCTTCTCAGCATTCAACTCATTGAACGGTTTTACGATGTTCATAATGGGACCATTACGGTAAAGCTATTGTTCAGCTTGTGTTGCCAACTATTAATATTATGTTGAGCTCGACGGAGCTGCCATCGATGAGCTCGATGTCCAATCTTATCGGAGTCAACTGGCCCTTGTTTCTCAGGAGCCAACCCTTTATGCTGGAACGGTAATACTTACCCGCCAATATCATGGCTCGCAAATGCTGATATGCATCTCATAGATCAAGTTTAATATTCTCCTTGGAGCCTTGAAGCCAGCAGAAGAAGTCACTCAGTCGGAGCTTGAGAAAGCTTGCGCGGATGCGAACATCCTCGAGTTCATTTTGGGATTGCCGCAGTAAATTCCACACCCATTGGTGGATGATTGTCTGCTTATCTGATAATGTAGAGGGTTTGAAACAGAAGTTGGTGGAAAGGGATCACAACTGAGTGGAGGCCAGAAACGTTAGTGGAACGTTCTCCCAAACTCTCTCGTTGCTGAATATATATAGAACGGATTGCCATCGCCCGAGCACTGATGCGGAATCCAAGAGTATTACTCCTGGACGAGGTGAAAAAAAGCTCCGTTATTCGATACGAGTCCTGACTTTCCCCAGGCTACTTCTGCCCTTGACTCGACCTCGGAGCAAGTCGTGCAATCAGCCCTAGACAATGCCGCTGCCGGCCGTACAACCATAGCCATCGCACATCGTTTGTCGACCATTCAAAATGCGGACAGAATGTGCGCTCTGAACCTACCACGTTTCCTGCCTATATCGCTTATTCTCTGTTAGCTATTTCCTAAAAGACGGCACAGTCACAGAGTGTGGAACCCACGATGAGCTGCTTCAAATGAACGGGGATTATGCGAGCTTTGTGAGGCTGCAGGGACTGGAGGCGACACGATGATACCCAATGACTGATAAATACCCCACTCACCAAAAAAAACACTGAAATTACTTACATAGCAGGTCACGATGTGACCTGCATTCCGATGGACTTCATCTGGAGAGCTCTCAACTGGTGACACGGCGTGGCTGTTGCAAAGCCACCATGTCTGCTCCTCCGCTATTTGATGTTGACAATGGAGTAGAGCTCTTGCTTTCTATGTCCATCGGAGAATTAGCTAGCCAACTGCCCTCACTTCTTCGGACGCTTCAGGCTTCTGCTAATAGAGTGATACCTGTTCACCCATCGCATGGTGTAATCAAAGAACTTGTTGTGGAGAGAGTCAGTGGCTGTCTACCAACACTTGACGATCCGCTTGTTGGCGCTGTCTCTGAAGCGCTGGGCCCAACCACCAAACGACCTGCAACACGGAGTGTTCTCGCTCTATTTGGTTGGCGGGGAATTATACCGTCTCTCCCCCCTTCACATATTGAAGTTCTCCTCCCAGCCCTCAAGCGCCTCCAGACTGCACCAACCAAGGTCGAGCAAACAGCACATCTCCCTGAGCGGGCGTCGGAAATAACGCACTTCCTACGCCGCATAAAAGCGCGTCAGGCATGGTCACCCGAATCGGGAGACGACTGGCTCGCTGTCCGCAGCCTGCAGCTAATTCCCTCTTCTTCACCACATAGCATGCAGCCCTTGATCCCCAGCCTTCTTCGTTGGGCCCGTTACACCGCTTTTCCTGTCTCTCCCTGGTGCGAAATAGAGCTGTTGCGCTTCCCCGAGCTGGTAATATATGCACTCCGGGCCGAATTGGCCGAGGAGGAGGTGGATGCGCGGTGGACGGACCCGCTTTTGGACTGGATGTTTGCCAGACTCCCGCCTGCATTCGTTGAGCAGGCGCGCCCGCAAATAGAGCGTATCGCACAGCGTCCCAACGAGGACGAGCGGCAAAGACGGATCGATGGCAAGGCGCTGAAGTGTCTGAGGATGATGGACGATTGGAGGGAGCTGGGAAAGATGTGCGGTACTTTACTTTTTTTCTCTGGGAATATATTGACCAATGACAATAGACTGCCAAGTACTCGGTTTTCTTCGAATTCCTAGATACGAGTAGGGAACGGCACATGCCCTGGAATTCACGGACCTCAACTGCATCTCTGGAAATACTCTCTATCGCGGTTCGGTGGAGATGATTTTGGGTTGGTTGGCTTGTAGCTGGAAGGGTCGTTGTGAGAAATAATAGCTTTTTCTGTTGTTGTAGATTGGTCGAAAGAATCTTCACAAATGTCACCGTCACAGCGACATTTTCTCCTCCAACTATCATGCCCCGCAAAGACGCCGGGGGTTCCATCTCTGCCCAGGCGCAGCAGGACCTCATCTCAGACGGCATAGAGAACTACGAGCTCCCGAAATCCATCGTCACCCGCATCGCCAAGTCCGTGGTATGTGGTCAACATTTCTTTCTTCGACGCACCAGTAATCGCCGCTAGCTCCCAGACAGCATCAAAATGCAGAAGGAGACTGTGCTCTCGCTCGTAAAGGGGTCCACCGTGTTCATCAACTACCTGGGTATGTTTTTCTTTGTCGCGTTTTGAGTTTGCTTGACGCGTCGCGAATTTGTAGCAGCTACGTGAGTCAGCAATCCCCCTGAAGTCTCTTCTGACGCGTCATTCTCTGCCAGCGCACACGATGTGGCCCTGTCCAAACAACACAAGAGCATTTCTGCGTCTGACGTGCTGAAAGCGCTCGAGACGATCGAGTTCGGTGATTTAGTCGACCAACTGCAGGATGAGCTGCAACGTGCGTGGCCCGTTGTATTTTCTATCTCATAATCTGACTTCACTACAAGTCTACCGAGAGCTGGGAAAGGCTGACAAGAATAAGAAAGCGGCCGCTAGTATTTCCAAAGGCAAAGGGCCGGCCTCTGAATCCTCAGCATCCACGCCAGCGCCGACCATTAGCATCAAAGGAAAGGAACGCGCGGTCATCGTGCTTCCAGCGCGAAACGGAGCGAGCAGCATAAGTACCCCGCTTGGTGGTGACTCGATATCCTCCAGGTCTGTTGCTGGAGAAATGGAGATTGATGACGAAGATAACGGCGGGCAAGATATCGAGGAGGAAGAAGGTGAAGGTGATGAGGTATCTGATGAGGATGAAGAAGAGCCGGAAGAGCTTGTCGATACTGTTGCCCGCGACGCGCAAGACCTCCAAAGCGATGCGCGTGGTCTTGAAGACACACCGATGGAAGAATGAATCAATGATAGTATTATAATTTGGCTCGTAAGCTGCTTCCCCCACATCTGTCTATGACCTGCACTGGCCGACCCTTATCCTCCACCACAAACTCTTGCATTCCCGTTATAACCTCTGCGAGAAACTCCTCAAATACCCCGCGCTCAAACGCCCCTCCATCCCAGAAACACGTGATCCCGAATCGCCCGAAGAACGTGTCGGTGACCAGCAGCACACCCGCGCCAGGACCGCGTCTGGGGCCACCAAAGGCGTCGACGAGTTTGGCGCTCGGGTAGAGATGCGTGCGGTAGACATCGCTGATTTTGCCAGCTTGGGAAACACCCATAAGGGCTATTGAAGGAGTCGAGTTTGTTTGTGATGGTGGTGTGGTTTGATTGTTGATTGGGGGCGCTGCTGGTATTAAACCAGCCGCTGTGTCGTCTATTCGTGCCCAAGCTTTAGCACGACGCCCACGCTCCTCACTAATGACTAAGGAACGGCTCAACAGCAACGGACTGCGGACATAACTCCGCATTTGCCGCTGGGCCTCTCTGCTCCGTGTCCAAAACACCGCTTTTAATGAGCGCTCTGTGGGTACGACGGTTGGGAGCACCACATTGTGGTACCCCAATGCGAGCGACACGTGTGAGTCCGGTCCAGAGACCGGCTGGAGATATTCCCGCAGGCTGATGGCCGTGTAGAGGAGCATCGGGAGTTGGGGATGAGCGTCAACAAAGCGGGGATGACGGGCAGCGAAACGCAGCCAGGCAACGTTTATCAGGCCGAACATGATGTTCCCCGTAGTGACGCCTTGGGACTTGCATTTCTTGATTATTTTTTGGGTCTGATCGGCGTCGAAGACGATCTGGACGAGACGCGTGCGCGTGGGATTTTTGGCGCGCTTGAACGAGTGGCCGCCCTATTCGATGGTAAGAAGAGAAAGAACAATGAGTAGGGAAGCTCACGATGAATCGGCGCTGCAAGTTGTCGTAGTCGACTCTGTCAGCAGCTCGCTGCAGCTTGGTGCGAGGACGGGGCAAAACCCTGTCCTCCGTAGATTTCGGGAACACATCCAAGCCGAGCATGCTATGCTCCCATCGTTTGACCCATTCCGCGTTGAGCTCGTCAAGCAACTCCTCGTCTGTCCTTGGCCGGGAGCTACCAGGCCCAACAACCCCCGCCACAAGTTCAAGGACGACATCCAGAGTCTTGTAAACCCCGCGCGCATCGTTAATCATATGGTGCACCATGAAGAAAAACGTGAAGGCGGTAAGGTCTTCCGATATCTGTTTCTGCTGAAAAACGTCCAACCGAGAGAGCGCGTCGAAGGAAAGTCGTGGAGGTCCATTGAGGAACTCGTCCGTGATTTTAGTTTCGGACACGTTGTTGTACCTCCCGACCGAAGAACTGGCTTGCAGGAGAGCCTCGCGGGGACTGGCCGGTGGAGTATAGCTATATGGGTCATTCAGTAATATATTAATACGGGAAATATTGCACACGCACACGAATTGCGCATCGTCATAGCGCCCAACGCTCATTTGGACGCGACTAGCCATGAGTACATGCCGAAGGCGAACAATGGCCCAAGCTATCTGCACCCTCAACGGCGTCACAAGTGCTGGGGGTATGTGGACCGTAGAGAAGACTAGGGGAATGTCAGGAAAACGGGAAACGATAAAAAGTCATTCGGCATACGAAACATCTCATTGGTTCCGTTAACTCTGCCCGGAAGGAAGTACGAGCTGGTCGAGCATTTACGAACGTATTGCATGGAAAGGGAACGAACTCACAGTTCATTGGGACTCAGCTTCCGATGGAAGGTCGGTAGGCTTGCTCTCAAATTATCCTCCGCGTCCGAGTGTTGTTGTTGTGCAGTCATGGGTGAGAGGAAAAGTGGCGACTGACAGGAGGCCCATTAAATTGCATCCTAAAAAGTCGAAATGATGCGGTGCAGGGTGCCTGATATGTTCCTGGGATACATGTCTTGCTCGGACAATGTCCATAAGTTCAGGAAACCTCGCGAAGTGAATGTTCAACCAGCGATTGAGAATCTGGTAAGTGGATGACTGTGACAAGATTTCGTCGTCATCATGTGACAGACCTGTCGATTCAACGCCAACTCCCCCAAAAGGAAATTTTAGGATATACTGTACTGCACATGACATTTTCAAATGTCATAGTGCAGAATAGATGCTACTATGGTAATATAGCAAATATTTTGAGGACCTTATTTATGTAATTACTCTCGGGGGGAAGGCGGTGCACGCTCCGTCCTCTCAAGCGCTGTATAAATCATCAAATTGGCCTCTTTATTAACCAGGATGGTCAGCTTGAGTCCACCTGCGAGTTCTTCCCGCAGCTCCTCCCGGAAATCCATGGTTTTTGGCCGCTCGATATGGCACCGGAAGTCCCGCAGTGTGCCATTGCGTGAACGGCGCGCGATGGTAAGTATCTGCGCATTCGACACTTGGTAAATGCCGCAAAGCTCGATTTTCTGCAGATTCGGGCAAAAGTCAGGCGAGGCAAGAGCATCGAATACGCTGACGTCCCGAGTCCATGCAAAGCTGCCATCAGATGGAATTTCTCCGTAAGGTTCTCCACTGAGTTTAATCTCTTCGAGTTGCGGCATCGCCCGCAATGCATCCTCCAAGGACTTGCCCATGACGGCATGTATAGTTAAGTCGACACTTTTGAGACCACCCGCGCTGGCACCGAGCTTTGGTAGCCATGCCAAGGTATAGATTCGTCCAGTCTGGAGTGTAAATTTGGCCAGGTTCGGAAAGTCACAGTTGCCAAACAGCTGTTCTGCCGTTTTGTCGCTCTCCTGCCCCATGTCGATCCATAGCCAGAGCTCAGTCAATAATGGCAGCCGAAGCGATGTCAAGTCTGGAGGTGAATTTTCTGGGAGAGATTTGAACTCGATCCCGTTCAGCCCAAGCTTGAATATCTCGAGGTTGGTGCATCTGCGGAGGATTTCAAAGGGGAAGTAGAATATGCGTGCGTTGCCAGTAGCAGTGAGTCCGAGATGGAGGTAGACTAGTGTCTCCCAAGAAACATCCATCATACGTGGAATCGTTTCAAAACCACCGTGATAAACCAATCGTTGGAGAGATGGGGTACGAAGGAATTGGAGATTGAGAGACTGGGTATGTGGTTCGGGATTACTAAATGAAAAGCCAAAATGCCCTTGACCTTGCGAAATCTCGAAGTGCTGGAGAAGTGGCACATTCTCGGGTGATAAATTATCAAATGTTTGGACCTCGTCGTCAGAGTTGGTAACAAAGTGGACCTTGTGCCATCTCGCGGCATGCGCAACAAGGAGAGACAGCACAGGTGTCAGTGACGGGCCGCGCCAGGCAGTCCTTGAATATGCTAAGTGAATCGAAAGTGGGTGGGTTCTGGATCGCTCAATCCAAAGGGTAAGCGTCTGGAGCACTCGCTCGAAAGAATCGTTGCCGGGGGGGATAATGATGTGGATTGAGGACCAAAGAGCCGGAGTTTCCATTGCAATCGCGCGCCAGAGTTTTGACACGCGACATAGAAGGTATGGGCCCTCGTCCATCGAAAACGACGCGTTTCTGGAGACTGGCATTGTGTATCGAAAAATGCAACGAAGCACATTGTCCGGAAGTTGGCGAGATGCAGAGCTCAAGGCGAGATGGTCGTCGATGTAGCTCTTTAGTTCGTTTCGTCGCTCTAAAGTTGACACAAGACGTGCTTGCAGTTCAGTCAGTGTTTCTTGTAAGGATCGAATTTCTTGCCGTGGGGCAACTAGATATTGTTTGACAAGTAGTATCTGGTTCTCCGTGGGGACAGCATTGGTTCCAACCAGTTCTTGGACTGTAGTCATTATTCGAGAGGAAGACAAGTAAAGAACGCCGGCGCCCAACGTCACAACAAATGACAAATGTTATGTAATCATATCTCCTTGCTGGGACCTGGCCCGGGAGTTTCTCGACTAAGTAGGTCGGGGCAAAATTCGGACAAAACTGACAATAAGTTGGAGGCAAATTGGGACGACAGCTGTATAACCAGTCTGGATCCGAAGTTTGGACATGAAATTTTTCGAAATCTGGGAACTCAGTTGGCATGATTTGACAATGAGGAAGATACACTCTTGCCTTACATAAGATTACTGTGCATGCCGGTGAAGTGCCGAGGGGCTCGAACCCGAAGGACGATTTATTATATTTGTAAAAAAAAAGAAATAATAATGAGTTTTTTACATAAGTCAGACGAATTTTCAAAGAGATCGAGGTCGGAGGCGGGATTCTGCGGGAAGATGTGTCAAAATATTGATTTCCCGGATACGACCTCCAGGTCTATTATCGGCGGTCCTTTGCTGGCCAGGGGGCTCAACATCTTCATGGGAAGCCGAACCACTAGCCCTCGTGCGATCAGCCACTCAGCATACCTCCTCCAACTATCCCGCCCCTCCCTGTCCTTCCCGCGGCCCTTTCTGGATACAGATGCCTTCAACAATTTCTCTTCCTTGGCCTGGATGACCTTGATTTCCCCAGGCTGGACGACCACCGGCTTCTTATTAGAGACAAAATCCACGCGGATACCACGCCCCAGGGTGCTAATACTGCCAATGACGAACAAACCGCGTTTAGCACGCGTAAGGCCGACATTCAACCGTCGTCGATCTGCAAGGAAGCCAATGTGGCCGCCCGCATTGTTTCTTACCGTCGAGAAGACGATAACATCTTTCTCTCGTCCTTCAAAGCCATCAACGGTCTTGACTTCGATCTGGGCAAGCTGCATGGCGCGTTGATCGCCCAAGACACGCGCAAAGCGTGCACGATACTTGGGATTATTATTAAGCATGCGGGTGATAAGTGAAATTTGAGCCGCGTAGGGTGCGATAATGCCGATATCTCGGCCGGTAAGGCTCTGCCAAACGCTCAGTTTTTTTTAGTGGGGGTAAATGTTTGTTAACACACAGGATTATTCAAGAGCAGGTCTTCAACAACCCCCAGGACGATGCCGGCCTCGTTGTGGTTTACGCGGCTTTTATCGCGTATGGCTTCATTTCCGTTGTGGTCCAGAAATATAACGGCGGGTCGCTGACCATTTGCATCCTCCTTGAGATGCACCGAGTTGGGCGGCGCTAAACTTGGTGTTACGTTTCCACCTTCATCAACTGTTCCATCTTGCAGCAAAAAGTTGTAAAACTCTGTAGAAGGGAAGAGAGAGATGCCAGGATGCATTCGATACTGGGTGTCGAGCATTATTGTTGGCGCAACTAGGTTAATTCAGGAGAAGGAGAGGCGATGTTGTTGACACATACTTCCTTCCTCGGTGAGGCGCTCGAACAAACTCTTGCCTAAGCCAAGGTCCTTTGCTTCAGTGCTACTGATGATTGGGGGTAGTTGCTTGTGATCGCCAATAAGAGCGACATGGCGCGACTAGGAGTTGATTCACATTACTTCCAAAAAGATATGTATATCCACCTACACCTTTCATCAAGGGTATCAACGAGGCGGGTTCAGTTGACATGGAAGCTTCGTCAAGGAACACAACAGGGAAGTCGACCACGCTAAGTGAGTATGACACAGAAGTCACGCAGGTTGAACACACCTAAGAGAGAGACAGATTCTTTGAGAGAGAATGGGTATTTCGCGGAATTTTACATACCACATCTGACTGCGCAATAATATCTCGAATCATCTCCATGCGCAAGGCATACGCTCGGGCCTTGAGAACCGCCTGCGAACGTTGTCTTGCTGCTATGTCAAGCCGCATACTCTCCAAAATTTTCTTGGCGCGGTCCATTGCACTGGCTGTTGGAGCCTTGGTCACCTTCTCCTCCATTTCGGACATTTTTTCAGAGAGTTCGCGCACATAATTTGATTGCTCTGACTGTTTCTTGATGATGGTGTCGAAAGTGGCTTTAAGAGAATGCCGTTCGAGTTTGAAATCCATTGTATGCGGATGAAGGGAGTCTCTGACTTGACCTGCAAATCCTATTCGCAGGGGTTTGAGGCCAGCGGCAGCTAAACCCTCAACGAGGTTATCCACCGCAACATTGGTGTATGTGCAGACGAGTAATGGATGAGGGACTTCGAAATGGAGTTTGAGCAACTTGATGGCTTCGATGATCGTTCTAGTTTTCCCTGTCCCAGGAGGCTTGAATATATATGAGACCGACGAATAAATGGCACAATAAGGAACACACTCCCTGGACCAGACTCAGTCGTTCACCAATCATCATGGCAATTGCTCGTATCTGTGAGTTGTTCAACCCATCAAGTGGGGGATCGCCATCCATAACCAGAGGAGAAGATTTTGAATAGCGTTGAGCCCAGCTATAAATTCGTTGGTCGTCCTTGAATGCGCCAGACGTATTCCTTACGTCGTCAATGTCTGAGGGTGGGCCTTCTGGATGTGAACTACGCAGTAAGAGGTCGCGCAGATCTGTGCCATGGAGGATGAGCTGTCGATTTTCCTCCATAACAGCAGTCTCGAGTTGAATGACATCTTGGCTGAGGTGGGTAATAGCTGCCCGCATTCGATCATAGGTTATGTCGGAGTGGCCAACATCCATCCGCCACTTGCCGGAATCGAGTCCGTCGAACGGTTCCCAGAACGCGACACTAATTTGACTGGCCGTCCGGGAGACGACGGAGCCACGGGGACATTCGAGCTCATTGAGAGGATTGTCTCTCGACAGGACAACCTGTGTGCCGAGCCTTCACTGATTTTTAACGACCAAACTGAGAGGGAACGGCGCAACTCACTCGAAACGATTTTCTGGCAAGGAGACACCTGCACCGAGCAGAAATAATGCGACAGGCCGATTAAATCGGTTATCCTCCAACCAAAAGGCAGAAAGATCTGTTATGCAATATCCTTCTTCCCTCAACCGGTTCAGTGACCAACTAGAAAGCCGTTCCTTAAGAATGGTTTCAGTCTCGTTCTGCTCTAGCGTGATCATCTCAAGGAACCTGTGAAGAGTAAGTGGACCATATAAGATGCTGCAAAAGGCAATACCGATTCGAGTATGACTGAAATGCGCCATGATACGGTTCTGTTGGCGACAAGATTACTTGTGGAGGAGCTACTCGCTTGATGAACTTTCGCTTTTTATACGGCTGTGTTTGTGGTGGAGGATCACGGGAAGATGCTCGAAGCCGCCAGTCGAAACGCGGGGCAACACTTGGACTTGAAAGTTTTGTCTCCGTTTCTGGCAATTCGGCCTCAGTGGAGAAGCAACGACGGCGACAAAAGTGACTGAGAGCAGCCGATAGCTCTAGCTCAACATTCCGATGAGCCCGACCAGCGCCGAAGCGCCTCAGTTGACGGGCAGCAGCCAGTGTTGAAGTAGTGAAGGAAGAAATTTAGCGGGCACGTGACTAGATACCCTTGACCTCCTACTCCCATGTGTGGTAGATTTAGTCTCCGTGTCGCGCAAGAAGAAATCGAACAGCTAGAGGGACATGACGCATCCCCTGCAGAATGGGAGCGACGCGACAATTTCGTCCCGCGATACAATATTGCACCACACACTCATGTCCCAGTTTTGCGACGTCGCGAACACAACAACTCTGAAGTCATCTTATCGACGATGAAATGGGGTTTGGTTCCACATTATGCCAAATTTGAAGACAAGAGTCTCAGCACGACGAATGCCCGAGCAGAGAGTCTCGTGGATGGTGGTGGCATGTGGGGTTCCATTAAAGGCGCGAAACGATGCGCCATTCCTTGCCAGGTATAACTTTCCGAGGCCGCCGGTATCTCGTCATCATCTTTTGGCAGGGCTACTACGAATGGCTCACCAAAGGGAAAAGTAAGCTCCCTCATTTCATTAAGCCTAAAGATGGACGCCTACTTCTCATGGCGGGTTTGTGGGATGTCGTGCAACTACAAGGCGCGTCTCATAACGTTTCCCTACTCCGTTCTCATCACTTTATAGACCAAAGCGAGCCGCTCTGGACCTTTACTGTTGTGACAACTACAGCAAATTCAGCAATGTCGTGGTTGCACGACCGCCAGCCCGTCATCCTCCACACCCCTGAAGCCCTTGCAGTGTGGCTCGATACGTCGTCGCAGAAATGGTCTACTGATCTTGTCAAACTATTGGGCCCAACAAAATACCCTCTGGATTGGTTCGCGCTACAGTTCTTGAAATAAGCAAGCCGCTCACCACTCTCAGTTATCAAGTGCCCCCAGAGGTGGGCAAGGTGGGGACCGAATCACCCACATTTATAGAACCAGTGGCCACTCGGAAGGACGGTATTCAGGCCATGTTTGCGAAGCAAAAGCCAAAAGCGGCTTCTTCTTCCTCATCACAAGTCAGGGTTGCTTCGCCGCAAAAGCAAGCTCCAAAGCGGAAGCATGGCTCTGAATCTGAAGACGAGATTGAGATTCTGGATGGACCACCATCGCCAAAGAAAGTGCGTCGCGCGCGAGAGAGATGACACAATGATCCTCACTTCCCGTTTTGAAGGCTCAACATTTGCAACCGACTCCGAGTCCCAAGGCAAGTTTGTGGTTTTTGCTATCCCGGTTCTAAACCTCCCTCAGAAGAAGCTTAGCCCTGACAAGTCCCCGTCCCAAATAACATCTTTCTTCAGTAAAACGTGAGAAACGTGTAAGGTGTTCTACTCGAGTATGTGTTTGTATCGCTGTAACTGTTGCAATTTCATGGATTTTACTCCACCGACAGACCGAGAAACGGTCACCTGATTATCACACATGTTCAAACTAGTTCAAACTTCGGTTTAGAAGAACGCGACGGTCTTGGCCCCGAATATATCGCCGATGAGCTTCGCATCTCCGTCCTCTTCTCCGGCTCCGAGTGCAACATATATAGGCACGAAATGCTCTTCTCGTGGATGGGCAGCTCTAAATCCGGTGTGTGTGGTCAATCCAATCAACTCCTTCTTCCGCTCCTTGCTATCAGCCACATTGACGGCGTTAATAATAGCCTTGTCAAAATCCTTGTGCAGATCTTTGGCGGTGAACGGCGACATGGACTGAAAGTCGCGGAGGTTATGCAAGGTGAGCCCGCCAGACAGCAACAGGATGCTTTCCCTTCGCAGCTGCCTCATGGCACGGCCAATAGCAATATTGTCTTCTGGAGACAGGCTGCTGTCAATAGAAGCTTGGATCACCGGGACAGACTTCAGTTCTTCGCCGAACATAATTGAAAATGGGATGAAAACACCATGGTCAAGACCGGGGCCTGTAACTTAGTCAGGAAACAGGCATCAAAACGGATGCCATTCTTCTACCAGGATACCCTCGTCCATCGTCTCCGCGAGGTTCTGTCTTGGGGGTAAGACGGGCCTTGAGGCCTGCCTATGAGATGTTCCAGTGATGACCTGAGATGGTAGACGTGACAACACACCTCCTTGAACAGTTCGACGACCCGTTTCGACACCACACTGTCTCCGTGCGACTTGAACTGGAGCCTGTACATCTCTGGTGGAAAATTGTAATAATCCATCAAGAGTGGGTTCTCTGCGGCGTAGTCTGTGACGAGGCGCACGTTGTCCGTCTCCCAATGGGCACTGAACACGACGATGGCCTTTGGGTTGTACTTTTCAAGCAACGCAGGACCAAAATCACGAAGGAACGTGGCCAGCGGGCCATTAGGACCGCCCCATCTAATTTATCAATCAGGATAAAATAACAACAGGAAACTATACGCACTGCATGACTTTTTCCCCGACCCTTGGCATGAACGAGGGTTTGCTGACGAGCATGGGGGAGCCATGACCAAAGAAGAACGAAGGAATATTGTCTGGCGTGGATGGAAGGGCGGCCAGATCCGCGCGCCAGCGAGCCTGGAGAGTAGAAACGTCGGTCTCGATCGTCGAGTTAGACATATTATGAATGGAGACGCGACGATTTGGAAGGAGTTGGGTCACTGTGCTGCGCAAAGTCCTTGAGAGAAGTATGGCTGATAAAGCAGAAAGCAAAATAAAGACGTAAACGCGTCGCGCCAGGTTGTACTGGGAGTCGTGGACGAACCACCTACTTTTAAGCAGATGGTGGCATAAGCAGAAATGACGCCAGTTTAATCAGCTTCTGCTAAATCTGGCCGTATTTAGCAGAAGAATCAAATCAATCCCTGGATTAGCCAATTTTAGCCACACATTCCGATCAGTTTCCCCCCGCAAACTTCGTCTTACATCTTACGATGGGTGACTCTCTCGTGAACTGGACTACGACGCGTTTGTCAGAGCTATACGCAGCTCCCGAGCCCGAGCCTACAGGGAAAGCAACTGAACATGTTGACCGCGCTACACAACTCAGTTCACTTCTGGGCACAACTTTCGCACCAGAGGCGGAAATCTATCTCAATCACAAACGCGTTGAGCAGGCTGCTTTTGCCGATTTTCTGAACCAAGGCCGCGCATTAACGACGAGAGACGAAGTCCAATGCAATAACGAAGACTGCGTCGAAACCCCTTTGGATCAGGAAAACCCAGAGGTGCGATTTTGCAGGCTACACATGACGTCATGGAACTCAGTCGAGCAGGCTGGGAGCATTGTTGCAGGGACGGCCACAGTCATTCACACCCATCCGTGGCGGATACGGGCTGCACCTGCCAAGACACGCATTATCATTGTCTTCAGCGCAAAGTCAGTTCTTTGAACTTGTTTGAAGCAACATTTCACAATCTCCTTAGAATCACCAAGTCCCCCGAACCGCGAATTGTCCAGTTGTTCCATACCTGGGCGTCGAAGCCTTTCCCGATTATCATGCCCCACCAGCAAGTCAGCAATGCCTTGTGAGTCTGCAAGGTAGCAGCAAGCAACGGCCAAGTCTCGTAAACAATACAACAATGTAGTCAAAAGATATGCAATAAGCAAAGCAAAGATTAAAGTCCTTCGACAAACTTGGTTCCACCTTCAAAAGTCCGTATGGAGTCTGCAGACATATGACGATTCTGTCCTTGTCCTTGGGGCATGGGTTGTTGTTGTTGGAGCACGGTATGGTCAGACTCTGGGGACGCGCTTCGTGGAATAGTGTTCATATCGGAGAAGGTGGAATGCGAGGCAGTAAATCGGGGTGTCCAGCGTATTTCTGGGTCGTAGTCTCGGTCAGAAAGGGGATAGCTCAGCATCGAGCTTGCTCGGCTGGTGGGGGGTGGGGCCACAGCATGTTCGTTGTATGGGTCGACCACTGGTGGTTTGAATGGGGCGTCTTCATATCGACGCTGTTGGAGGCCCATTTCGCGTTCTGCTTCGTCTGCCTCCCACGCGTCACCAGACGCCTGGATCCAACCGTGGCCATTATGGCTCTTGAACATCTGAGAAAGTGATGTCCAGGCACTAGTAGCACTCGCATTTGCCTCCCTTCTTGTCGAACCTCCAGCGGTCACTTTTGGCAGACCAAAGGCACGTTCAGTTGTCTCTCTTCGCTCCCGTCTGACAGCCCTATCGCGTTCGCTCGGCTCGTGGTGTCGCAGCAGCCAAAATATCGCAATGCAAGAAACGACGATGATCACGCTAAGGCCAACAACCAGCCCGATGAAGCCTTTAATTTTTTAGGAGGTTAGTTGCTCGATAACGCTTTGCTTTGAAGTTTGCGCACCGCCTGTACTGCCGCCAATACGAGGGGTGTCTCGAGGTAGGAGGGACTTGGAGATTGTGGCTGGCATGGTCTTGGGCAATGTCAAAGGTGGCGTTGATCCATGCACGTTTGGAGTAGAAACAACCTTCCAGCGAATGACGCGCGCATCACATGAGGCCTTTCCTGATTTGATCAGTGAAAATGGAACTTTATTCACCTACAGGTTGGACTTGGTGGGCCATATTTTTTGCATATTTTACTGTAGCTGCGATAAAATTACGATCCCAGTCCGAGTCCCTTCATGAAGCGAATCTACGTTCAATAAGGTTCAATATTACAACATCATCGTGATGTGTCAGCCACTCCCACCATTATCCGTCCACCAACTTGGATTTGTGAACAAACGAGACCTTGGCTCTGAACGCATCTGGTACTTATGAGGTCGGTGATTCAACATTGGTCTAGTCACTTCATTCCACATCATAGGACGGAACTTTGACATTGTTTTTCAAGTTGTTGATCAGCTGAATGACTGCGTTCTGCAACCGGTCTGCAAGCCCCACCAGTACCGGTGTCTCTTGTAGCTTCCCACCATGTCCCCTACAATATCCGGGTCTTTCACCTTCGATTTGAAGGCGTCTCTGCCGTTTAACTACGTTGCGTGGGTTGTTGGAGGTTGGAGCCTTCGTCTTCATCATTCCATATCTCGACTAAGTACAATTAGGCTATACGGTCTACCTTATGGTCTATCGCGTTGTCTTATATCCCCGTTTCTTTTCGCCACTTCGCAATGTTCCTGGTCCACCGCTTGGGAACCCACTCATCGGAAACTATCTTACTATTGTAAGGAATGAGGTCTGTATGCCGATGCGTGAGTGGACGAAGGAACATGGACCCCTCGTGAGGATGATGGGGCTGTTTGGCAAGGTTATTTGAGCTGTTATAACTTGGAGTCGGTTAGACTAATCCTTTGCAAGGAACGCATCATCGTCATTTCTCCGGAAGCGCTGCAGCAGATATCTGTTCGCGACTGGCTTGAATACCCTCGCGTAAGCTGATGCGTTTTTCGCGACTCCATTTTATTGAAACGCTCCATAGCCTCAATTCATGCGTGATATTCTTGGTCTGGTCGCTGGCTATGGCCTCCTGACACTGACTGGCGACGAACACAAACAACTGCGCAAAACTATGAACCCCGCTTTCTCTATCCAGAACCTCACTGCTCGTAATCTGGTTCTGCACAAGTCCCATTATCCCGATTCTGATGTGTACATTAGAAACGGATATGTATTACGAGCCAATCGAAAGGTGCAGGTTCGGACAACATTCCAGATTCGTGGCTAATGTCTTTTCAGTCTTGTCAAAATTCTCAAGGAAAGGTCGGAACAGTCACCTTCCGGGCAACAAGTCTTTCCGATATATGAATGGAGTATGTGTGTGTGCTCCTAGCTACGAGGGTGATAGCTCACCATTTCAAGTGGGCAAAGTAACCTTGGACATCATCTGTGATACTGCATTCGGCTACAAAACCGACTGTCTGAACGATCCTAATAACGAGCTCGCCGTAGCCTTCGAGAAGCTTCTCGAACTGCAGTCAGGACCTAACATTGCCAAACTCGTCGCCATCATGACGATCCCTGGCGCTGCTCGAATAGCAAACTCCGACTGGATCTATGAGCATCGTCATATTCTCGGTAAACTCCCTGTCATCTCCAAACTCGAACAACTTGTCGATTCTATGCATCACATCCGCAGAATCTCTGCTCGAATGCTACAGGAGAAGATGGCTGATTTATCTGTCTCTCCAGATGATACGACTACCAAGAAGGATATTATGAGCTTGCTTGTACGCTCACGGAAAGCGGAGATGGACTCAGGGGCTTCAGATACAATGTCGGATAGGGCAATGGTTGATCAGGTCTTGACATTTCTTGCCGCTGGACACGAAACAACTGCAAGTGGGCTATCGTGGACCCTCTGGCTATTGGCGAATGACCTGACAAGTCAGCGGAGGCTACGGGAGGAAGTTACGCCGATCTACACTACCAACCAGCGCCCGGATTATCGGACTCTAAAGACTCTTACTTGGCTGGACTGCGTTGTGTCAGTCCTTGTTTGGGAGTCCAACATAAGATGTTCTGATTGGTATGTTGTAGGAATGAGAGTTTGCGGGTACTTCCGCCTGTACCTCTAACCCTCCGCGTTGCACAGGAAACCAACTATCTCGACGGCGTCTTAGTCCCCAAAGGCACCATAATCAACATACCTATCCGAGTCATCAATACTTGGAAGCCCGTTTGGGGCGAAGATGCTGAAGAGTTTGTTCATTCCCACATATTGATTTGTGTATGCTGAGTTCGACTAGATTCCGCCCAGAACGCTGGCTTAATCTACCTAAAGCATACAACTCAGCCTTCTCGCAGTTTTCTTTTATCGCCGGTCCTCATGGGTGCATCGGAAAAACGATGGCAATCAACGAAATGAAAGCGGTTTTGGTGTACGTTCTGAAGCTCATATTAAAAGGACCATTGAAGATTCATGGCTAGTGCTCTGATATCCAACTTCGAATTCACTCCTGCGTACCCAAACCAAGTTGCGCATCCCGCAGCCGCTATCACCATGAGTGAGAATTTGTTTTCTTAGCTTCTTCCTTGTTCACCTTGGCCAGAACCGGAGGATAATATGCCGCTCTGCGTTACCAGCGTCAACAGCAATACATTACACCAACTGTAAACTCAGACATGTAAATTATGTGTACTTGAAGCTTCGCTTTCCACGTCTTGTCGATTGGAAGGCACAGCCACCTGGCAGAAACTGTATGTCACTTTACTGTGGGCGTTTGGACTCGACTAAGCTAGGTTTGACATCGCTCTGGACTCGATGCAGGGGCATAAACGAAGCCGTCCAAGAATTTATTGGTTGCAAATTGGTTACGAGTGATCTGATCAGTTTGCCTTTGATACGCGAACCACTCTGGCTTCAGGTTGACCACCACCACGCTGGCCCCATGGGCCACTTACGCTCTTTCATCGACATACTCTCTCTTTCATTCTTGCTGCCGCTACTCCTTGCTGTTGTGCCATCTGTGAATGGTGCACTCACCAACTCCACCATTGACGACACAAGTTCCCAATTCACATTCACCGGCTCTTGGACTGCAACCTCGGCTTCAAACCCTTGTAACTTCTGCGCCTCGAAACCAGACGCCAGCCAGACCTTCCAACAATCATGGCATGATGGAAATTACAGGGACGGTGCAAGCCAGCGGACGGGAGGCAGTTTCACGTTCACCGGTAAAGAAAATAAACTGGCCCTGAAACTGTCCAATAAATTTTAGGCTCTGCGGTCTATATCTACGGCATTGATCAGGTCAAAACTCAGCCAAATATCGTCTTCACCCTGGGCAATCAGCGGTCTACCCACCATTACACCGGATCCCAGTCATTTGCCTACAATGCACTATTCTTTTCGGCAACGGGGCTTGACCCAAGCTCAACCCACACCGTAACATGGGACTTTGAGATCAATCCCAGCACTGGCGTTGGCGTTCAGGCCGCTTTGTTTGACTATGCAATTGTAACAAGTGGGTCCGTCGACGTCATTCCCAAGTAAGTTTTGCTTCATTTGGACTTTTAAAACAATAATAAAACGACCAAGACCTCCGACCTCAGAAGTCAACACATCCGTAAATCCATCCAAGTACGTCACCATGAAAAAGCAATGAATTGTCATTCAATGTTCTTTAGGTCTCAATCGTCTGTCCATGCACTCTTAAAGTTTGATTTGTGACCGACCCGTTTCGCAGCACAACACTCCATCTTCGGACAGCAAAACCTCATCCGGTTTATTGTCATCTTCCCCCTCGTGAGTCCCATTCACTTGGAAAAGAGCTGGACGCTCACTGCTCTATTAGAGCTTTGTAAGTTTGTACAAGGATAAGTCGTCTTCCTCCGCTAAAGGTACGATCTTATAGAGCCATCAAATCCACGAATCCCTCTGATACCAAGTGAGTGTCCGTTTTTCAATCAAAACAATCTCTGATTTTCTCAAGATCTCTGTCTGTCTTGGATTGTTCCCCGGAATATCGCTGACTTTTTCTCCTAGTTTGACCGCGCCAAGCGCTTCCTCGTATGCATCCTTATTCCTGAAAATTTACCCTGCTGAGGCCTCATTTCAGAGTCTCAGAGTCCGTCAACGCAATCGACTATATACTGTTCATCACTGACATCGCATGACAGTACCAATTCAAACGCACTGAACACATCAGCGCCAGAACCGCAATCCGCTGCTTCATCTAATCGTAGCAATGTCGGGACCATTATTGGAGCCATCATTGCCGTCTTGGTCTGCATCGTGCTCGCTATCCTTTTCCTTCTCTTGTGCCGTCGCCGAAGACAACGAATGCGTGCGCAAGTCGATGCGGAACGAGCTGCGGCTGGACTTCCTCCACTGGCACTGCCTGAACCTAATATGCGTCGCATTCGTGCTGGAAATTACACGTTGCAACCGTTCGTAGACGACCGACCATCAGCAGGCAGCGCGTTCGCCGCCACTCCAACACTCACATCAACTGCTCAAATGAGCAGTATTCACACCAATGTCCTGCAAGGAGACCTCCGACCCCTTCGTGCTGGAACGTCCACGACTGCGTCTTCTTCGGGACATGACCTCCCTCCTGCGTTTGCCGACCCTGCAAACGCGTCAACTCAATACCCTCCCGAGAAGCTAGCGATGGGTCAGTACCTTGCGTTGACTTGTTCTTGTCCTCAATTTTCCGCAGAAGGATATACTGGACGTGCTGAGGCCAACGCAAGCGTTACCCGACAGCCATCTCAGATGGCACAGTCCGATTACTTTTCTTCGGATAAGCACCGACCCACAACTGCTTTCGAAATAGACGGTGGCGATCGAAGTACAATACTGTCCCTGACCTCGCCGTCAACCTACACCTCTGCTCGGGAGCGTTACCTTGAGGAGCGGTTAGCGACCTTAGAAGCTCATGTCGCCAATTACCTACCGCCACCCTATGAACATGCCGAGACCAGGCAATAATTATAGGGAAACCATATTTATTGATGTGTGTACTGTCATCCTGCATTGCATATCTTCTTCGGGGACCTACAGGCATGAATGTATTAAAGAAGCTGGTAGTAGTAACTGGTCATTTCAACAGTCGAAGCTCCATGATGACTTCGCGCACATCAGCGCGGTTCCATCTCCCTCCAGCAGAGAAGCGAGCGCTTTGGCGAGGGACAGCATGCAAAGTGGCTTGAGAACCGACCCGTTGGGGTTGGTTCAGTGAGGGCAAGTCGACGTGGATAGGAGTTGTTTCCGAATCTGATGTGGAATCCGTGTCAGGTGGCAACTCCGGCTGGTCGTGATCAGGCCACTCTGAAGAATCGGAAGAAGAATCGGAGGGTGGCGGCAGCGATTTGCTCATCGGAATCGGGCGTGTTTGGGTCTCAGCAGGTGGGGGCATAGGGGTAGGTTTTCCAGTCAAGTCTTTGAATAAGAGACCCTGCGTTCGAGAAGCGATGCGCCGGAATGAACGTGAGATTGAGGTGGGGGGAGAAGTGGGAGAAGGATGGCTGGACTCATTGAGACTGGGTTCATCAAAAGCGTCGTCAAAGTAGAAGTAGGGAGTGCGAGGCATTCGAGGCAGCTCTGCCTCGCTCGGCGTGGTAGATATATCAGAAGCTGGTGTGGGGGGAGTGCTGACTGTGGGAGGCACAAAAGAAGGAGGTTGTATGATAGTAATCGGCATAGGATTGGTTCCACGGCGTATAGCCAAAGAACTCTGGCGTGGGGGTATTAGACTTGGGGGAGGCTCCTGGACCTGAACCTTCTTTGATGCAGAAGGCTCATTTCGAAGGTTTGGTGCGCTCTTTCGGGACCACAACGATGATGTCTATTTAACTTGATTGAGCGGTGAAGAGAGATTAGCGGAATATCCTCAATACCTGGACTTTCTTCTCCGAAGACTTTTCTGGAAGAATACGAGCACGAGAGCCCGCACCACCTCGTCCACCATATCTCACTTTACCCGGGGCATCTAGAGTAAAAGTCAGGAACCACATTGAAATCTACGAGGACGAGCAAAACCTGACGAGGAGTTGGAGAGGACGCGTGATATTTTGCCCTAGCCCGGCCTCGCTGCGAGATGGATTCTTGGGTGAGGCCGGCATGGAGTTGGATGGACGAATCATAGACCCCGCACCACCTCGTCCTCCATATCGAATATTTGGACGAGTTGACTCTGAGTGTGACTTGTCAAGCTTCAGGATAGAACAAGTTAGAAATCGCATACCAGAAACAGACAAAGAGCTTGTTGAGGTAGATGTTGTTGTTGAGACGCGGGACAAGGGGGTTGAAGGAATGGAAGGTTGCCGACAGTGCATGCAAATATGATTGCAGTCGGAGGACGTTGAAGCTACTGACATTATTGCTTGGGAGCAGTCGGGAGAGAGAAAGAGAGAAATAACGCTGGCGGTGCCAGCCTGTGCACTTATAAGGAGTCGGATAAATCTTGATGGGTCCCGCCCGCATAGGGGAATCCCAAGTCACGTTCTAGAATCTAGATGGTCAGACAGGACGAGCGTTTAAAATAAACGACGAAGAAAACAAGCTGGGCATGACGAAGTACACAAACAGTGCTGGAAAGTTTCTATGTTTAAACTTGAATGCGTAACTGCTTGGATGAGATTTTGCTCCAATTTGAATTTTGAAACTGTGGAATTAGGGTCTAAAGGAAGCAAATTATTAGCATCCGGTTCTAGGGATGAGGTATGGATAGGGGTTTATCGCCGATACTCATGAAGCTGATACATATGGACAGCAAGCTCGGGAGCGACGGTTTGGAATCAAGACCCGGATGAGAACTTTGAACTGGGTGGGGCTTGAGGAGAATTACGGTATGACTGTGGGCGTGGAGGCCGGGGCTAACATTTTCGTAGTGAGGGAACGATACTCTGCATCGAAAATGGATCCCATTTGGTGCAAAAGACGCGTGTGTCCGAGCAAACGGTGCTCCGGTATCAGAGAAGTCACATGATGGTACTCATCGCAACTCTAACTGGTTGTAGACCGCTGCTCAGCAGTGCTTAGCTGTATCTTTGGGGAGGATCTTCACGCATGGCCAAAGACGAAGGCGTCATAGACGTAGGATGAGTGTGCCAAGTTGTGAGCTGTGACATCACCTGATGGTGTTGAGCTGCTTCCCCCATCATCTTGAATCGCAACTGTCTCTGCAACGTCTCAGCTCGTCTGGCAACTGATCAACTTCGTCGAGTACTCATGACGCTCCTCTTTGTTGCCCCTCGTGTACACTCCATGCTATATCAGGCAACGGAGGCATCAAACACGGCCCGAATCCATGTCGACGAGACCGAAAGTCACCCGATAAGGCTCGAAATGGAATCGTCGGTACTTGTTTGTTTCCTTTTTCCATCCGGCATACCGACAATCTATCAAGTTCTCTATTTTTTGGTCTTCTGGAGCGTGGTCGTCTTCCTTCTGACCTTGGCGAGGTGTCCATGACCTCTGCGATAGCAATATTCTGTGCTGCTAGCGGACTTCTGGAGATTACGTCCACGCGGCCCAACACAAACGCTCTGGCTCACCTGGATCAACCCTGGCTCACCCGTAACGCTCAAAAGGTCAACCGATGAAAGATTTTTCCCTGGCTCCCTCCCCCCTAACGCCGCCTCGCGTCTTCCCCTCCAATGGCCATGTTAAAGCGCATCTTAGCGCTTTTGACCGCTTTTGCCGTCTTACGCAGTGCCGATGCTACACAAATCATGGCTCGCCCTGCCAATGTTACAGCGCCGAAACACGTCTTCCCTCTAGAGAAGAATCCCATCGTGAATCATGTCCATAAACGAGCTACGGGCAAAGTTAACATGGGTTCGTTGCAAAACCTGCTTGACTGACCTTGACTCATCTTTCTTATTAGCTTACTTCGTCAATTGGGGTGTTTACAGCCCTCGCCTGTTCTGTAACTTGCCCCTCATTCATCTTCTCTCTGGGCTAACATCTGCTATAGACCCTCAAAACATCGATGTGTCCAAACTCAGTCGTACGCTCTTGGTTTTGCCGTTTCTCGTGTCATTTGTAACGACTCTCAAGACATCCTCTATGCTTTTGCGGATTGCGATGCTAGCAGTGGAACGATTTCCCTGACCGATCCATACGCCGACACGCAGCTGCATTTCCCGACGGATAGCTGGAATGATGTGGGCAACAATCTCTACGGCGCCCTCAAGCAGATGTACTTGCTTAAACTAAAGAACCGCAACCTCAAAGGTTCGATATTGTCAACCTGGTGCCTCTTCATATGCTAATAAGTCACGAAAGTGCTTCTCTCGGTTGGAGGATGGACTTATTCCCAAGCAGGTGCGTGGGGTCAATCATATAGTCGACATTTCACTGACCATCTTCGAGGCCACTTCAACTTCGTTACCAACGCCGCTGCTCGAACAAATTTCGTCAACAGTGCTGTTTCTATGATTGAGAATTATGGGTTCGATGGCATGTGCGTCTGTTCACACATATCATTCCCACAAGATATTGACATTCTCTTTAGCGATCTGGACTTTGAATATCCCTCCAATGCCGCCCTCGGAAAAGGTTTTGCTGATCTCTACACGTCCCTGCGGACCGCCTTTGATGCGCTTGCCTCGCGAAAGGGCGATACTACGCCATACCAGCTGACCGTCGCTGTCTCTGCGGGTGCAGAAAACTACGCGAACCTCGTCGTTCCACAGATGAACTCAGGTACAGTTTTTCTAGTCTATCTGTTCGTATCACTGATTTCGATGCAGCCCTCGATTACTGGAACATTATGGCTTACGACTACGCGGGATCTTGGCTGACTTACACCGACAATCAAGCCAATCTGTATGGCGGCGCACGCACGGGCGTCTCCACAGATGCCGCCGTCAAACACTTTGTCAGTGCTGGTGCGACAAAAAGCAAGCTCTTGATGGGTTCGTGGCATGTCATTTGTGGAAATGTCCTCTAATTCACGCAGGAATTCCCATCTATGGACGTGCTTTCGAGCAAACGGCTGGACTTGGGCAACCTTACAACGGCGTATGTGCTTCTCATTCTTGCTCTTGCGACATAGCCATTGATCTCACCAACCAGATCGGTCCTGGTACTTATGAGGCAGGAGTTTACAATTACAATGCTCTTCCAAGTACGTCAATCGTACTGCACTTGATCACAAGACCAAATATTTCCTTCAGTCGCCGGTGCTCAAGTGTTCGAAAACACTACTGATGTCACCTCCTACTCGTACGACTCCGCCAAGAGGGAGTTTGTTACATACGACACTCCCAACATCGCTCGTCTCAAGGCGCAATATGTCAACTCCCAGGGCCTCGGCGGAAACTTCTTCTGGGAACTTTCGGCCGACAAGACCGGTGCGGATTCGCTCGTCGGCACCACAGCGTCTGTACTCGGCGGTCTTGACTCGACGCCAAACCATATTAACTATCCTTCCTCGACATGGGATAATATTAAGAACAACATGGGTCAGTCAACTGGTGGCGGAGGTGGTGGTGGAGGCGGAGGAGGCGGAGGAACTGGACAATGTGCTAATGTCCCGGCTTGGTCCGCATCGGTGAGTCATCATTGCGCCCACCATCACGCATGTACTAATTGAGGCTAGGCCGTCTTTGTTGGTGGACAGTCTGCCGTATATAACAACCACCTGTGGACCGCGTCGTGGTGGACTCAAGGCGATACCCCTGGCGGCGCTGTTGGGGTTTGGGTCGACAAGGGCGCTTGCTAAGCGTGTGATGAATTGAAATGTATCTTTATGAGTTGTATTCCTCTAACGGGTTTGGCCTGATGGCCTCGTGCAATGAATTTTTGACGCAAATCATCGAGTGGCGATTAGATTAGATTCGGTGTAAGATTAGATTACTTAGATTTCAAGGATAACCGGGATGTTCTTCCCCTGAACTACGTACTGCTGACATCAGCATTTCTCTCTTGCAGCTAACTCCGAAGCGTCCGATGGCTTTTGCTCTGCTCAGAACAGCGCGCTTTCCCCTACAGCGGGCGAGGTTCTCGACTACAACCTCTCGCCGAATGATGGACATCACCGGATTTACCGAAACTCAACTTGATGTCCGCTCTGCCGTCGCGCAAGTCTGCTCCGATTTCCCCAACACATATTGGCAAGAGCACGACCAGGCGCAGACCGACCCGAAGGAGTTTCATGCTGCTCTGGCAAAGGCGGGCTGGCTTGGGATAGCGCTGCCCGAACACCTTGGTGGCAGTGGACTGGGGATTTCCGAGGCCACAATGATGATGCAGACAATTTCGGAAAGCGGGGCCGGGATGGCTGGCGCGCAGTCGGTGCATGCCAACGTTTATGCGACTCAGCCATTGGCACGCTTCGGCAACGAGAGCCAGACGGAGACGGTCCTCCCCAAAGTCATCAGTGGAGAGTGGCGGGTGTGCTTCGGTGTAACTGAGCCGAATGCCGGACTGGACACCCTGAGCTTAAAGACTTTTGCGCGCAAGGATGGGGACGTATATCGGGTTACGGGCCAGAAGATTTGGATAACCTGTGCCCAGGTCGCGAAGAAGATGATGCTGCTTGCCCGGACTACGCCCGTCGACCAAGTGAAGAAACCCAGTGAAGGTCTTTCGCTGTTCTGCATCGACTTGGACCGCGAAAGGCCTGGACTTGACATGCGCAAAATCAAGAAGATGGGCGGGAGGGCGGTAGATGCAAACGAGGTGTTCTTTGACAACTACGAGATACCGGCCGATTCCTTGGTAGGAGAGGAGAGCAAGGGCTTCAAGATTATTCTGCATGGGATGAATGCCGAACGGTGTTTACTGGCGGGAGAGGCGCTTGGGCTTGGATATGCAGCGCTCAAACGGGCAGCAGAGTACGCAAAAGAGCGAGTCGTTTTCCAGCGGCCGATTGGGATGAATCAAGGCATTTCCCACCCACTCGCCGACGCGTGGATGAAGTTAGAAGGCGCAAAATTTGCCACATACCATGCAGCCCGCCTCTTCGACGCCAGCAAGAAAGACAAATCGATTTCGGCGCACTCGTTGGGTGTGGCATGTAACGCAGCCAAATACATGGCGGCCGAGGCAGCATTCACCGCAGCAGAAAGGGCAGTGTTGACGCATGGAGGCATGGGTTATGCAGCAGAATATGACGTTGAGCGATGGTTTAGGGAAAGTCTGGTCCCCAGAATCGCTCCGGTCTCAAGGGAGATGATCCTGAATTACATTTCAGAGAAGGTGTTGGAGCTGCCACGCAGTTACTGAGTAGCTGGTGTAGATATTAGGTCATTGACAAGCGCAGTGAGCGTGACTTTTATTACTCTCTTTCCTGACTCGATGACGGTCCCTGAAATGAATTACTGCTAACTCGATGACTTCGTCGACAGGAGCCACTGCTGTGCATTCTCGACACTATATAAAGTCAGCTGCATGTTTAGACTCCTCATCCATCCATCATGTACTCTGGCATTTTTGGCCTCTACTACGCCCAGGAATATCGCTTCGTCTCTCTTCCTCTCCTCAATGTCCAGGCCGAGGCATCCATTAAAGAGCTTGCTGCCCAAGTAAAGCTCACTCAGACCTACGCCAATGACGCCAATGTGCCTATTGAGGCGTCATACACCTTCCCCATTCCCTCTCGAGCAGCAGTCTGCAGCTTTGTTATGATCAAACAAGATGGAACTCGGGTTGTTGGAATTGTCAAGGAGAAGCAAGAGGCTCGGGAGACTTACCAAACTGCCGTCGCAGCTGGACATCAGGCATCTCTCTTGGAGCAGCAGACTCCAGATGGTATGTCAAGCTCAGATTCTTGTCTAGTAGCCCTCTAATTCGTTTCTAGTATTTCAGGTGTCGGTTGGCAATATTGCATCAAACGAGCAGGTCCAGATTGAGCTCATTTACGCGACAGAGCTTGCTGAAGACGAAGAGAGCGATTCGATTCGATTCCATCTCCCAGTCCACATCGGTGCTCGTTATGGTCATGCCCCTACTTCCCCTCGTACCTTCTCCTTCCGCAACTTCTTCCTCAAGGCCAAATCCTCCCCTCCACCGTTCCTGACTGTGGCATTGAATGTCGAAGCTCAAGCGCCGATCGCTAAGATTGGCTCTCCTTCCCACACTGTTTCGACGGAACTGGGTCCCGATCCAAAGCTCCCCAACTTCAACGAATTGCCGTTCTCGAACTATGCCCGCATCTCGCTGTCGTCAGAGTCGATGCTGGACAAGGACTTCGTGCTTACGGTAAAATCAGCTGGTCTTGATGCCCCTCGTTGTGTTGCCGAGTTGCATCCCACAGACAATACTGTCGCAATGGCGCTGACTCTTGTCCCGCGCTTCAAACTCCCCGATGTCTCCCGTCAAGAATTCGTCCTCCTGGTGGACCGCAGTGGTTCAATGGGTGGAAGCCGTATAGAGGCCGCCAAAAAAGCGATGGTCGTCATGCTTCGCGCGATCCCGCACAAAGACTCGCTCTTCCAAATCATGTCCTTCGGGTCTCATTGTAGCTCCCTCTGGACAGAAGGCAGCAAACCCTACAACCAAGAGACTCTCGAACAGGCGACACAGCATGTCGATTCGATGAGCGCGGATTTCGGTGGGACAGAGATTCGTAGCGCGCTGGCCAAGTGTTTCCGCGATCGCAAAACGGACCGCCCGTTAAGCGTGTTGATGTTAACGGACGGTGAAGCTTGGGATTTAGAAGGAGTGCTAGCTGAGTGCAAAAGCGCTGTCGAAAGCGCACCAAAAAATGCGTATATTCGTATCTCAGTTCTCGGCATTGGAGACGGGGTCTCGACTGCCATGTGTGAGGGTATCGCACGGATTGGGAATGGGACGTGCATGCTTGTCGGCGAACAGGAGAGCAACTTTACCGGTAAAATATCCCGAATGCTCAAAGCAGCCAAATCGCCGCCGATATCGGACATCACCGTCGACTGGGGACAGCCTGAAGTGATCGAATCGGCAGTTGTGGAGTCCAAAGACGACGACGGGTTCGAGATGGTCGAAGAAGAGTCTGGTGAAAAGCCTAAACCCAAGGCGAAGCTCAATATTTTCGATGACAGCATTGATGATCCCATCACTGCGGAGTCTGCTCCTGCGCCGCCGCCTCCTCCTGTCAGCCTTCCTCCACCAGCATATGTTCAGCAGGCACCATTCAAGATACAGAACCTCTTCCCCAACGTGCGTCTCAATGTCTATGCGATTCTACAAGGTATGTGTTCTCCCAGTAAAGGTCTTCGCTTTTCTAATCCGTTTATCAGACAAACACACACCGAAGACCGTTATACTTCGCGGAAAAACTGTCGATGACGCCGAAATTGAGCTCCCCGTATCTGTCACCGTTAGCCAACTCCAAAACCTACCCGAGGCTCCTCCAGCAGTCCACGCTCTCGCTGCTCGCAAGATCATTCAAGATCTCGAAGACGGTCGACATGGTGTTGCTAAGACCCTCAAGGATTCAAACGACTCGGATTTGTTGGCGCGCACTGTCAAGGCCTTGATTGTCCGACTCGGCAAGACGTATTCGATCGTCTCGACACACACGTCGTTTGTCGCTGTCGATGAGAGCGATCCGGCCAAGAAAATGCCTGTCTTTGTGCCAGTTGAGCAAAGCGAGAAAGAAAGCGGCAGTGTCAAAAGGGGAGGGGGAGGTCCTTTGCGCATGTCAAAAATGGCCACAGGTGGCATGGTTCAACGCTCTGCGGCTATGCCTCCACCTCCTGCAGGGGCAATGTTTGGAGCTGCTCCGCCCCGGCCGATGATGGCCGCTCCCCCAGTGATGATGGCCGCTCCGGCAGCACCATCTCCGCAAGCCAGCTCACGCTCCGCTGCTGCCCCGGATCTCTCATCGTACAACTACTCAAGTGTTTCAAGCCTGGTTCTTACTGCAGATCGGTCAACCGTTTCATCGCGGTCAGCTGCTCCCTCTTTCATGCGCAGGAAAGTCGCAAGGGCGGCCGCAGAAGAAGAAACAGTTGCTCGACCCCCTACACCTTCTGATCCGTTGGAAGCACTCGCCCGCTTGCAGGCGTTTGATGGTTGCTTCTCACTCGACGTGCTTAAAGTCGTCAAACTCGCACCGGCAAAGGACGTTGATGCTGTTCGTGCAGTGTTGCCGCCCAACTCCTCTGATGCAGTTATCGCGACGTTGCTAGCCATGGCCTTCCTCGCGAACAAACTAGGCGCGGGGGTGGAACGGGATTCGTGGGGAGGGGATGTACGAGAAGGCAGAGGAGTATGTCCAGGGCGCATTGCAGGATTTGGGTGTGTCTGAGAGTGTCGCGGACTTGGAGGCCAAGGTTTTGAAGCTGCTTGCGTGATATTCTGTTTGGAATGTATGTAACAACACATGTAAAATAAAACTAGCTCGTGTCTTCTAATCACACTTGAAAGAGACGATCTTATCGTTGAACCCATTACTCCCGAGGTTGAAAATGGCTTTGGTGCTGCTGCTGAATGCATCTCCTTGACAGCCAGCCCCGCTAAGACGGCGTTACTTGGAATTCCTCGAAATCACGAGCAGTGCTTACGCGAAATAGGTGCAGGACACTCCCGACTGCGACAATGAGCTCGCTTTGCCCGCGATAGCGGATGGGAGATTTTCTAGCGCAAAAAATCAAAACACGGCAGTCTCGATGGACGAGGCGGCAACTCACGGCAAGCGGCAGTAGGCTCGTTCATGTAGGCCGTGCATGCCGTCTGTGCTCCTTGGCCTGACTCTGCGTCGGGGCAGAAGGTGATGAAGTATGCGGAGGTCTGCAGGACCATGGCGGCAACGAGGGCGATGAGAAACGCGGGCTTCATGTCAATGTGGTGTTTGTGAAGACTGACTGGGTTGTACTCTGGGCCTCCCAGTCCGAGTCTTTATAGCTTTTACCATAGTAGACAAATCAATGAATCTGGAAACCGAAATAGCGCAGCGGCTACAAACGGTCTGAGGACGCCGTGTATACCGCTGTGCATGACCGAGAACTGTACGGAATGAGGACCTGTATGCTTAAAATTACGTTCAGTTGGGCAGTTGAACGTTCGTGCGGTTAATCACCACCCTGGGCGGTACGGTATATTGCCTACAAGGAAATAGAACATCCAGGTAGAATAACGAATGGTTTTGTAAATGAGTGGTTTGTTAGGCCGCACACGTAAGTATCGGGCTCAACCGCTTGAGAACTGCAGCCTGCGCCTCGGCCGACGCGTCGAGTTTGGTGCTGGGGTTGATGGCGCTGACGGAGATCTGGCAGCGGCCGTTGTTGTTCACGACGGTCATCTCGTCAGGGAGATGAGACGACCCGCACGTGGTCACGTCTGTCCGGAGGGGGTTCCAGTAGAGGCGGGTCAGCACGAACTTGAACGAGTCGACGCTGTTGCAGGCGTTAGAGAGCGCGGGGTAGTTGACGCTAATAGCGGTGCCCGCCGGGAGGATCGGGCCGGACGAGGCGAGGAGGGTGTCAAGGAATTTCACGGTCAGCGCAGAGTAGAGTTTGGCAGCCTGGGCTTCAGGCGCGGTGGGGTCGTTGAGGATGTTGAACGAAACTTGGCCTCCGCTGGCTGCCGAAAAGGCGACGGCGGGAACACCAGCCAAGGCGGCAGCAGACGCAGCACCACTATTAAAGAATAAGAACTTGAGAAGGATAGACACAACGAGTACGAACATGGTCCCAGAGAAAAAGGCCGCCAAGTTGAAGTTGTCTACGAATCATGATGTCAGTCGCGAGAAATATAGACAACGGAGGACGCACTTCCGATATTGGGCCCACTGACGACCAAGTCAGGCTTCGATCCGAATATTTTGGGACCAAGCGTGTTGATCCCATACAAAGCACCATCAACTGGGGGTAGGGGGTCAGAAGAAAAATGGGTTTCATAGCCGCTGACGCATACCGGGGTAGGCATTGACATAGTTCAGTCTGGGGTTGCTTGGGTCGGAGCCAATCGCAGGCGACCCTGCTGGGCAAGAGTTGAATTCGCAAGGATCCTTGCGGACAGTCGGTGTCGTGGACGACGAGCCTGTGCCCGACTGGTTTTCTGCGGGCGCGGAAAGAATGGTCTGCCCCACATTTAATATTGTAAGCGTTGAACAGAGTCGGCGCTCACATTATACCCAGCAGCAGTCAGGGCGTTGAACTGAGCCCGAATTTGTGCGGTCGCCCACCCATCGTCGTTGGCAATGACGATCTTGTTGGCAGCCGGGGCTCTTTCGACAAGACTGTTAGCACTCGGGGCTGCGGACGCGACGCCAGCCAGACAGACGAGCACTGTGAAGCCCAGCATTATTCAAAGGTGGAAGGGGAGAGCAAACGTTCGAGGACAGGACATGGTAATTATACGTAGCCGCGCAAGGCAACATAGGTGATCTCGTGGTTGATCCTGACAACCCCCATCGTGGTCGGAGGTCAATACCGAATGGTACCACATGCGCCTAAGCACAGTCCAAGCCCATCTTCGCTTATTCTAGGTACAGTACATAGGTGTTCCCAGTTTCATAGGCACAAGAATCTTTATCCAGGATCTTGTCCAGGACAAAAGCACAACGATGCAGAATAACACCACATAATTGTTGAGGTTCCAAAGCCTCCGGGCTTCTGCAAAAAACAGGGGCAACCAATCAATTTACATCTCTGCTTCTCGCGTCTTTTTACCACTACTCAACTCGAACAACTGAGTATCGGGGAAAGCTTCTCTAAAACAAAAGTCTGGTTTCCGGCCGTCGCGTCGCCCTTGTTGCTCGCCTGCATAACGCTGACGCTCACAAGGCACTCCGTAGACCTTGAGATGATGGAGTTTTCCGTCGGTAGACGCGTGGTCCCACAGGTTGAAACATCAGGTGGTGTGCCCGAAGACGCTGGGTTGATCCGTGCCAGGACGTATTTAAACGCAGAAGCAGCGGTGCAGTTGCTCGTAAGCGACGGGAAGTTAACGTTTAACAATATGCCTCCCGGGAGGAACGGTTTTGGGGTCGACAGCAGCTGATTGACGAGGGGGATGCTCAGATCAGCGTAAAGCAACGCTGCCCTGCTTGTTGTCGATGTTGGATCTGACTCAAGGGTCGTGTACGATACTTGGGAGCCCGATCCACCCGAGAAGGCAATGGCAGGAAAGCCTTCCAGCACTGCCTCCGTCGCTGCACCACTGTAGAGTTGGTTAGAACATGACGACACAGTTCAGAGTAGCACAAACACAGTGCCAGAAATGAGTACGGTCGAGCCAGCATTGCCTGTGCTCAATTAAGTGACGAAACAACTAGACGCCAGAGTAAGGACATACTCCCAACATTGGGTCCAGCAACAACCAGATCCGGTGCGGAACCATTGAAAAATTTCGGCGCAAGCGTCTGGATGCCAAATCGGGCGGAATCAACTGGATGTGGCTCAGAAAGAAATAAGAATCAGTGGGGAAGAAGCAATACCGGGGAAAGCGTTGACATAATTTTGTCTGGGGTTGGAAGCGTTGAAGCCCTCTGGTGGTGAGCCAACGGGGCAAGTATTGAATTCACAGGGATTGGTCAACACCGTTGGTGTTGCGGTAGAGGAGCCAGTTCCACTCTTGTCTACCGCAGGACAACTGAGAACGACCTTGAAGAAATATTGAGCAAATTGCAAACGAAGAGGTCAATGAACAAACATCGTATCCAGCAGCGTTGAGTGCCGACTCGTGGGCACGAACAAACGCAGCAGCCCATCCTGCATATGCAGGTGAGTTGGTCGGTCGATTATTCATCGATTTCCCGTACCATCGTCATTGGTCAGCACTAGTTTCTGGCCAGCTTCAGCTGCAGCAGCGCCAATGAGCGCAGCGAGTAAGACGGTGTGGAACAAGCGTGCCATTGTCTGGAACTTGCAGGTTGTCGAAGCTTTTATACGTTCTTCTCTCGCACACGTGCGCATTTACTCTTCTCGACGCACATGGACGAGGTCATTAGGCTGGAGAGGAGAACAGCGTCGAAGAGAACAGATTATTTGATCGGGTGTAAGCAAGTATCAGGTGCTGTGGAGGCCATCCAGGTCAACGCTGACGTCAAGACAAGAGGTTCAAGTTGTCACGGTCAGTCACGGGGAGCCTTTTTCCCAGCACGTCGTTCAGATTTCTTCTCACTTTCAAATCGCCCACCGTGCGCTCAGCTCCGTCCATCAACCATAAGCCATTATGGAATCCGTCTAATCTAACCAACCAACACCGCTCGGCCGTCTGCATCCCGCCCAACCACGCGCCACCAGCGCTTTTTATTCTCACTCCAATCTATGGACGCTTCTCCAGCCCCTCCGTCCCTCAAAATGAGTGGAAAAATCCCAGGGCCGCTGCCTCAAATACAGCCGATGGGAAAGACAATGGCTGCTTATCGCTTTGGGCTCTCCTCGATGGCGCGCTGGGCAGTGACCTCCATAACGCTTGCCCTTGTTGGCACATGGATATGCTCTGACACACAAGCACACGGCTTTTCGCTCACCACAAACCCGTTCAGGGTTGGACTCGCGTTTGGGGGGCACGCGCCAGACACCGTTGCTCCCGATACCGCGAAAAAGCCCTCGTTCCCCGACTTATATGAGGCGTCTGTTCCAGAGCTTCAGGCCGGACTCGATTCTGGACTGTTCACCAGTGTGGACCTCGTCAAGGTGTGTGACTGGGATCTAGTTTTGTGTGCAGCCATGTTAATGTCAAGTTCAGGCGTATTTTGCGCGCATCGAAGAGGTTAACCTCCAGGGCCCTGAGCTTCGGGCAGTTTTGGAGCTTAATCCCTCTGCTCTCCAACAAGCTGCAGCGCTTGATAAAGAGCGAAAAATCTTTGGGAAACGGAGTGAGCTACACGGAATACCGATTCTACTCAAGGACAACATCGCCACTGTCGCATCTGAAGGTCCGCTTTCAACTTCAATAGATGCGCAAGTAGCTGATCGTTGCTTAGGAATGAACACCACTGCCGGCTCTTTCAGTCTGCTCAAATCCATCGTCCCTGAAGACGCTGGCGTTGTAAAGCGTCTGCGTAAAGCTGGGGCAGTCATCTTAGGCAAAGCTAACCTCTCGGAATGGGCTCACTTCCGAGGTAATATTGCTTCCGGGTGGTCTGGACGCGGGGGTCAAGGTAAGCAAACAGATCAACATCGTTATTCATCATCTCATTCGAATATTTCAGCGACCAATGCTTACTTCCCCAAAGCTGATCCTTGTGGGTCTTCGTCAGGATCAGGCATAGCGGCCTCCATCGGTCTTGCCGCCGTTACATTGGGGACGGAAACGGACGGTAGCATTACTTGCCCATCCAGCAATAATAATTTGGCTGGTATCAAGCCTACCCTCGGATTGACTTCGCGTGCTGGAGGCAAGTGCACACATTAACAACTTATTAAACCTTCCTTAGTACGACTGACAAAAACCTGACAGTGATTCCCATATCCGCTCACCAAGATACTGTTGGTCCTATGACCCGTTCTTTGACAGACGCAGCCATCGTCTTGTCTGTTATCGCAGGAAAAGACCCCAACGATAACTTTACCCTCGCCCAACCCCCCATTGTTCCAGACTTCACCAAGGCACTGAACAAGAATGCTTTAAAGGGCAAGAGAATCGGAGTCCCTCGTCGAGTTTTTTTAAACGACAGTATAACCGGTAACGACCCTTCAATCGGTGTCGCGTTTGAAGAAGCCTTGCTTACTATCAAGAAACTGGGGGCAACTGTTGTGGACCCTGCAGATTTGCCGTCCGCAGAGGAGTTTGTGACCAGCAACAACGAGACGATCGTGTTGAATGTCGATTTCAAGGTTTGTTTGATGCTTCCCTCAGGTCAAAAGCAATTGTAATTCGATAACAGATCCAACTGAATGCATGGTTCAAGTCTCTGTTGAAGAATCCATCAGGCGTCGAAAGTCTCGCGGATCTCATCAAGTTCGACGACGCCAACCCAACCCTTGAGGAGCCGAAAGGCTTCAAAGATCAATCCCAGTATGTTACTTGAGCCCTCAATTATCTTTCTCAGAACTAATGCAACGATAGGCTCATCGCTGCTGAAGCGACAACCGGCTTCAATGCAACCTTTTTTGATGCCCTCGCAGCCGACCATGATTTAGGCAGTACTCGTGGCATCGACTTTGTGCTCAAGAAATTCAAGCTCGACGCCCTTGTACTGCCTGCTCCTGGATTCACTACTGTCATTGCTGCAGTTGTCGGTTATCCTATCGTAACCGGTTAGTCACAACTTGAGCTTGTCTTGCGATTTTTTGTGCTGAGAATGGACAGTGCCTCTCGGGTTTTTCCCTGAAAACGTAACGTGCGTGGCTCTTTCCCCCGTAATTTCATACCTCCTGATGATCTAGTATTGGGAGCGCTGGTCCTGAGACCGTCTATCCTGCTCCGGGTGTGCCATTTGGCTTGTCCTTCTTGGGAACAGCATTCTCTGAAATGGACCTCATTGGCTTCGGCTTCGCATATGAGCAGGAAACACAGACTAGACTGAAGAGGAAGGCGTTCGCGGCAGCCATCCCCAAGACTCAATTGGCAGATATCGTTGGGAAGTGAAAACGCGTCGCGTCACATTACACGTGATACCGATGTATTAATTACATTTTTTTCTCCTACTTCGGGAGACAGCTCAAGATCTCGAACAGTCTGAGCAGGACAAACGTTTGGGTCTCCTTGTCAACATCTGCCTTGGTCGAAGCGTTGAACACGCTTATTGTGTTGATACACGCTCCAAGTGTTGCGATGGCATCGGACTCCGTAGGCAGTTGCGTGGACCCACAAATCGGCACATCAGCTGAGTTCGCATCCGGCGGATTGATTCGAGTTAGCACGAACTTGAAGTCGGACACTTGGGTGCAGTTTTGAGCAGAGGTGGTCGAGGGGTAGTTGACGTTGAGGGCAATGCCTTTGGGGAGAATCGGGCCTGGGAGCAGAAGGAGTGTGTCAACGACTTTGACGCTAAGCGCGGCATAGAGGTTGGATGCGACTGTGAGCGGGTCCGTTGTGTTGGCGAGAGTCGTGTATGAGATCTGTGCGCCGGTGGCACCCGAAAAGGCAATCGCAGGTACACCTTCAAGAGCGGCTTCGGTCGCAGCTCCACTGGGATGTTTTGATCAATCAGGTTTTCGGGGTGAGTTTGAGATGGCTTACACAGTGCCAGAAATAAGGACAGTTGGGCCAAGATTATCTGCGAATAAAGGCTCAGGACGACTGATGGAGCGATTCGACAGCTATACCGACTTCCAACATTGGGCCCAGCAAACACAAAGTCAGGTTTGGACTTGAAGAATTTGGGGGAGAGGGTTTGGATGCCGAACTATTCGTTATGAGACAGACAAATGATGATGAGCACTCCTCACCTCTACTGAGGTTGCAGGGAAGGAGTTGACGTAGTTCAATCGCGCTGAGACAGCGTGAGGTTGATGTGGCGTGCCACACATCAGGGTACGCACGATCTGACGCATTGAAGCCTTCGACAGCATCAGTAATGGGTTTCCCTGTTCGCAAAGAACTACACGCCTTCTGGCGGAGCACCAATAGGGCAGGTATCAAACTCGCAGGTGATGTTGAGCACCGTTGGCGGCGCCATACTAGAGCCCGTACCCGATTTATTTTCCGCGGGGGCAGACATCAGGACCTTTTGAACCAGCGGTCAGAGCCCAGAGTAGATAGTGAGCAATTTGAACTAGCATTGTATTTGGCCGCCTTTAGCGCAGTATACGATGCGCGAATGTGAGATGCCGCCCATCCTTGTTCATTTGAAACACTATAGGCAGCACTCAAAAGGAAAGCACGGACCATCATCGTTGGTCAGTAAGATCTTGCGATTGAAGGGGTTTGTGAGCGCAGACGCGCCGCCGAGAGCTAGCGCTCCAGTAAGCAGTCGTAAAAAAGAGAGCATTGTCCCTGCAACTCCATCCACCGCTGTTGAACAATAAATACTGGACCAAAAATAACGGGAATCACGCACGTTTGGGGGACGCGTGTGCTCAAGCTTCTGGTAGATCGACGTGCGGAAATGATTCCCACAGGATGTGTCGGGAGTAGAGCGGGCGGGCATCGCGGTATCCTGCATCATCCCAGCCACATTAATCACAGCCGTGATTCAAAAATGTTTAGGTGGGAAACGTTAGTGGGAATATATAAAGTTTTGCAATTAATTTTTTATTGTGTAAAAAACTTTGAGTTTTTCTGTCCAAAAAATGTTGACTTGGCTGGGCAAAAGGATTTTTAGGACCAAAATATTTAATGTTTTGCAATGAGTTTTTGGGCCAAGAAAAAACTTTATATATTCCCACTAACGTTTCCCACCTAAACATTTTTGAATCACGGCTGTGATTTGGCAGCAGGAGACAAACCGGTGTTACCATCACGTTACGTCACGCGTTTCGTTACTGTGTCACACTCTCTTTCAACCAACCAAGACGCGTCAACCGATGCCCGGCCCTTCGAACACGCACAAGGGAAAGAAGGCGCGTAGAGCTTCAGGGAAGAAACCACGTGCCTCAATTGAGAGCACTGCGTCATCAGCGAGCAGCACGCGACTCGACATCCGGACTCCTTCGCCCGACCCGGCTGGGGGTGCGCTGGACGTCACAGTCGTCGTCGCCAGCCTCGACGACGCTGAAGAACATGACAACATGCAGCTGCCCGAGGACGGGTATGATTTCAAGCCTCAGGAGCCGCCGCTTAGATTTGCCGACCCAGAATTCGAAACGGACGCGCAACTCGATGCGTTCAGATTTAATCCAGAACGCCCGTTTATCCACGACCCAGGAAACGGCCACCGGGTCCGCTCGATGGCGCATTTCCTCCCCTCTTTCTTCGCTCAGCCGCCAGCGTTGCCCAGCGAAGACCCGTTGGCGGCAGAGTTTGCCAGCGAGGAGGTCCGGGAAATGCTGCTTCTGCTGTGCAATAAGGGCGGGGTGTTGACAGAGGAGATGGCTTTGGTGCGTACATTTCTTCCTGCATGAGATTCGCTGTAACAACGGGCACAGGCTTTATGGTACAACAAAAGTCGTGCGACAAGTCGTGTTTGTCCCGCATGTCAGCGTCTATACCGACTAGGAGACGTATTGCCAGAGCATGTGGACGATGAAAGTGACGAGCGGCCATGGAAAACGCCCCCGCCTCAACTGGAGAGGGAACAGCAAATTAGCGGCCTTTGTACGTTGCGATTGACTGTGTCTTGTCTGGGCCATACTCAAACGTCAGCAGGTTCCTCACTTTGCTTCATTCTGGCATCGTATAACTACCCTGCTGCCATAAAGTATGCATGGGGGACAATGGCTGACGAGATGGACGAGGAAGTATGGACTTTGTTGAATACAAGCCCCGAGGGACCGCAGCCACCTGAGAGTATTGGCCTCGGCATGCTTGTTCGTATGACACGCCTCCACGATTTAGGACTTGCGCAGCTTGTTCTCCACGACGACGACGATATTGATTAGATATACTTGTCTCATTTATACCCTACTACTTGCGCACATTCTTCAGTGCCGACTCCACCAGGAGTTTGGTGTACAACCGATGCAGCCATTGGATCAAGTCCGGCATCGGCTGCCCCGGCCCGTCGCCTTTGTAGAACACAGACTTAAAGGTGAACTCGACAACGCCTTCGTCTTGTCTAACTTTTGCGCCTAGCTCTATCAGGCCATCTGAGTCCCGTGGCCCAGCAATACGCGGGGAATCGCCAGCTCTGAGAGTAATACTACTGGCAGTGTGTTCCAGAACTTCAAAGTGGTCCGTGACTCGCGTGCCCACCGGGTAAGTCGAGCCCTTGAGCTCTGGCGGGTCCCAGAGGTCGGTGGCAGTCGCTGGCCCGCGATATTTCCGCTCCAAGTACTTTCGCTGGATGTCGTAGCCTATGTGTCTGCTCTCAACTCGTTATCTTGAGAGAGAACGACACGCACCGAACTCGGCCCATATCCCGCCACAAAACTTCTCTACCAGCTTCCCATCGCCTTGAAGGTACTCCTCCCTGATTTCGCCCAGCGGAACCCGTCTGACGCATAAATCGTGGGCGCCGTCGTTGCCGAATGCGTTGAACTTCTTGTAAGCAGTGGAGGCGACAATCGGGTCATCTTGAACTGAGAATGGGACAAATTCGGCGTGGCGAGTGTAAGCAAGGAAGGTCCCGAATGAAGCGGCCCCAGCGACAGTGGTATATGTCGCAAAGGTGCGTGCAGCTCTGACAGCACGGTTCATCGTCGTGAGAGAAGACAGAAACAGTATATCTAAGCAATGTTACTGCACCAATGGCACGCCGCTCATCGCCAGCTCGTTTACATCCAAATTCAAATACCCAAATGCATCGTTCACATACTCCCGCGCCTTATCGAATATTGCTTCACAAATCTCTTTCATATCGCCGTCCATTGACCGCGCTGATGCCCGCAAGATAAACGCCATCGCCATCACAGTCGCAAACAACGCGTCTGAGACGGTTGGGAGATGCTTGGTGACCCTGATTCTGACATCCTCCACAGAAACACAAAGTGGTATGACATCAAAGACGGATGAGGTAAACCCGCCGTTGTACAATTGGTGTCGCGCGAGCGTTTCGAGAACGTCCATTTCAGTTCTCGCTTCTGTCGTCTTTTGGGCGAAGACAGGTCGTGACTTCGTTCGCTCATATAGCCCACATCGGTTGCAGACAATCTTCCCTGGGTTCACAGTCGACCGGCGCCAACTAGGCGGGTCACTGGTCCCACACGAAAAACAAGCCCGCCTCAAGAATTGCGTGCTCCCAGAAGGATTGTCGGAGAAAAGTTGAGCTTGGGCCGCAGGATCATTTGGCTTGCGCTGGGGGGGTATTATGCAAAAGTCATAGTCGGACACCAGAGAGTCGTTCGTCGCCCAAGAGTCGGAAAGATTCGATGCGTTGGGTGCTGCCTGCCAATTACCGCTTCTATCGTTTTGGAGAGTATTGTGGGTCGCATTCGACACGACCTCACTTTCATCAACAGCGACGAACGATGTTTGAGATGTGGCAATTGAGTAGCTTGTTCCTAGGCGACCGATCCAAGCATTAACCGTGTCCCGAAGATCGTTGTCGTTCTTCGCCTGGGATGCACTCCGGACAACTCCCAGTTCGCCATCCTCCATGTCTTGTGCTATCTTCTTCACAGCGAGAGCATGAATGGCGGGGGCAGCTTCTGGAAGATTCGGTAGATTGCTGAGGACGACAGGGAGCTCTATCTCAACTTTTGTCGAGGACAGCATATGCTTGCCCGAAAACTTGATAGTTTTTGGGATGTCCTTGCCTGTTGAATTTTTGAGCCAAATTTTCTGACGAGCATAACTGGATAACCTTGAATAATAGCATATACGGTGACTCGGTTCCCGGGACTGATGTTCTGTATTTTGAATGGCGACTGCTGGACTGGGGGAGCCGGCGGCAAGGCAATCGGAGTACACAACGGCAGTGTTTCCTCTCCCAAATCGAGAAAAGAAGTTTCTGAAGCATCAAACATTGTGATGGCCTTTGCCTCGGCTGCTGGGAGAACAACAAACTCGTCTTCCCGTAGCACTGAATCCGAAGTCCCCCAGTCAATCTCAACCTCGGTGATCGGTGGCGTCCTCGCTGCCTTGAGCATCCGCGAGATCTTGCCAGCAAATGCGGCAGACGACTCATTCTCGTCCACCATCATACAAGCCCCATTTCCGACACGCGCAATCCCCTCACAGACGGCAGTTGAGGCTGAGTTGCCGATTCCGAGGGCAAATAGTCGCAAATAGCTTTGTGGCGGAGCGCAGGAGACAGCATTTCTACAGGAGCCTAACAAGGCACTGACATCCCAATAATCCCCATCTGTCAGAACAAAAACGCTGGTCGGAATGTTGTTTCGACGCCGAGCAAAGCATCTTTCCAGTGCGTATTGGATTTCAGTGCCACCATAGTTGGACTTCATCGAATCAACATGCATGGTGGCCTCGTCTAATGAACGCTGGTCATACGGGCGGCTTCCGTTGTCCCAAAGCAGCGTTGGCGATGTGCCGAACGAAACAATTTGGAAATATGTCGATGTATTACGAGAAGGAAGGGTTCGGAGAAGCACGACCAGAGCCTTCTTTGCTGCATTCATCCGAGCGCCAAACATGGAACCCGACCGGTCTACAAGAAAAATGTACTCCTGGGCAGAAACATCTGCGGGGAGTTTAAAGCGCGGGACTAGGGTGAATGTAATAGCTGTTGTGTGTTCGGTTGGATGGAATTCGGCGATGCAACGCGGCGCGTCAAGACCAGCAGAAGTGATGGCCAGGACAAAGTCTTTCTCAAGAGCAGTTGCTGATGATAGGGATACGCGGGCATATTGTCTGTCGGTAAGAGTTGCGTTGGTCAGTGATGGGTCAGGTCCCAACTCGATGTTGATGTTATGCGAAAGTGAGCCTATCTTCGAAATAGGAGAAATGGTCTCCACGGACACGAAGATTTCGAGGAAAACTTGAGATGGAGTCGCGACAGGAACTGGTTCTCCGCCATAACGAGCTCCAATATGCATGGGCACATGGAATCTTGTGGAATCCATTTCATTATCTTCGCTGAGTTCCGTTGCATAAACTAGCTCCACTTGAACCAGCTCGTAAGGTGCCAGGTTGCCCACGGCGATCTGGAAGACTTCGGCTCGGCGATGAGACGCCATGTTCCTTTGAGTGCGTATGCCAACTCACCATCAGGAGATATTTGCTGGAACAAGGCCGTGCGACGTCCCTCACCCACAGCCGCCTCATAGGTTTGTCTTGCTTCTGCTTTCTCTTTGACTTGCCCTGGAATCCGTGACCCGTCTTGCTTGACGAGTGCAAAGGCACAAACAGCGGCTCGATCCGGTATCGGAAAAGCGTAGGCCGCCTCAATGGGCCATGCAAATTCGTTGACATACGTCTGGGTAAGCTTCACTTGGGCTGCAAGTTCTTTAATAGAGGCATCCACTCGCACATGGATGAGTGGAACGGCGGAGAGTTGGTCTGAGTAAAGACCCCACATGTGCAGAATGGATCCAATAGGTTGCTTCGAGAAGTGCTGCGGCCTGGATTCATGTTATGTATATGTTCGTGCGGGAATTGTCGTCGGTTGAAGAGATGACGGTCCGAGTTTGAGTCACCTCAGATTCAATGGTGTGACGACTGTCAACGGCACTTGCTGTTGAGCCACTACACTCAAATTAAATCGTCCTTGTTCTTGCACATCTTGCAAGGCACCAATGGAGATCTCTTCAAACCAACTACTAGGACTTCCTGACATCGAACTTGACGAAGGGCATGAAAGATCGCAAGTTCACCAGGCTATTCACAACAAGTGGGTTGAAATAACTGAGCTAGAGAGCGCCATGTACAACCTTAACGTTGCTCTGTGGACCCTTCAAGCTCGGCACACGAAACTCGTTACCGAATTAGACCAACTCAAAAGCGTCCTTTCTCCCATCCACCGACTTCCGCCTGAACTTCTAGGAGAGATATTTCTCTACTTCAGACCCTCTTTACCCCCCACCGCAGAACAAAGATGGAGCCGGGTTGAAATGCCCTGGAAACTCGCTCTTGTCTGCCGTTCGTGGCGCGAGATTGCGTGCAACCTAGGACAATTGTGGTGTGTCATCGATGTTGGTGATACTCAACCAAACTCAGGCTGGGGCCCACGCCAAGACTGGCCATTGCCTGACGAAGATGATAGTGAATTTCGTGCCTTCTCTGAGGAGGAGATGCTGGAAATGGCAGAGGGATTCGAGATTGAATCCGCACTGGAGCCTCTCAAGGAGTGCATCTGGCGCTCAAACAATCAGGGTCTCTCCATCCGGCTATGGACGAGATCGAAAACCAATGGACTGCCTTTGCTAGAGTTGTGCTTCTCCAATACACTGACCGCTGGGAAGAGCTGATGATTGTTGATCCATCATCAGACGTCCGCCGCCGCTTGCAGAATCTCCAGAAACCTCTCCCGCGACTACGCAGACTCGTTATCGACAATGACTTTGGCAGCAGTTTCTATTCTAATGACGTCGTAGAACTGCCCATTCTCTCCGTTCTGTCTTCCCCTTCAAGTTCTAAATCGGAGGTGCCACATATCACCCAATTCACTGTTGCAAGAGCCAACTTTTACGAAAATAGCAAGATGCCAGTGGTTTGGTCGCAGCTGGAAAAGTTCTGTGAGCTGCATTGCAGCTATATGGACAACCAACGATCCACCATTTACCAGCAGTTGACGAACCTTGTCGTGTTACATGTGGAGTCAAAGTCCTCCATCATGACCTGGACTCATCTGGATCGGGTTGTGCTTCCAAACCTACGGGTGGCCTGTTTTCAGTTTCATTGGCGTGGCACATCCCCCTTTGAGAGTATCATGTTCCCCACCACTTTCGATATGCCGCTCCTTGAAGAGTATGCGATCCAAGGTCATCAGATACGCCGACTGAGTCACTGTCTTCCTTTCGGATCGCCGCTCCTCCGAGATTTGTCTGTGAGTTTCACAAAGGTAGGGTTTCGTCGTGGCGAAACAGAGCAAGCCCTCGCATCGTTCCCGAACCTAAGGAGGCTGTCGCTTACTGGGCCAAACTTCCTCACACAAGAAACCCTTGAATGCCTGACCCCAAGCAGCCTTTGGGAACCTCTTGTGCCTCATTTAGAGCTGCTGATAGTCTCCAGCTCCAGTTTTTGGGATGGCGATTGCAAATGGGAGGCGTTTCTCAACATGCTGCGAGCGCGGTTCAATCCTCCAGAGAGTGAATGTACTCCCTGCCATCGCCTGCAGACGTTCCAATATGTGAACCATCTACATTGCTGGGATGAACATGTCGCAATAGCACTCAACACGTTGAAACAAAGGACAAGATGGGACATTCGAGTTCGGAAGGATTTCTGGGGATGGGCGTGGACTGATTTTGGACTGGATTGGCAGACACAATAGCGGCCCATTGTTGTGCCCCTGAAAAGAGCATTTGATTGCGTTCTTCCAGTCGGTCATAGAGAAGATATTATCATAAAGCTACTGTGAAAGTAGTCCAAGAAAAAATTGTTTACGATTCAGGCCACTGAAAACCAGTGTCAGCTTGGCGCATTGCCAGTGTCAATGACAAAAAATTGTCTTGTTGTTTGTTTGAGGTTTGATAAACAAATCAAAAGATGGTCACTGATGTCACGTCACGCTCCAGCCAACTCGACTTCAGCCTCCCGTCGCAGCGACTGAGGTGTATAGGCCCACCGCCCGCCAAATCGTCAACAAATCTCAACTCGTTCCTTACATCGACTTTTCTTATCCAGTGAGTTGGTTGACCTCTTCTATGACTCCCTGCCACCGAATCTGGCCAATATGGGCCCTCGTCGTCGTTGGCGACGTTGTACAATGACCCCGGCGCGTTGTTTGTTTGACGCGTGCGACGCGTCAAGAGGGCATATACCCTCCGCTTCCTCTCCCTTCCACATTGCACCCCCAGTCCCAAAACCACTTCTGGTCGTCGACAACGAGTCTAATCCACGCGTTTTCTCTCTAGATATGCCCAAGGAAGCCAAACCGAAGGTGGGTTGCATATATATTTCATCATATCACTTTTCGCTCTTTTCTGCCTCCCCGAGCGCCCAGTCTCAGATAGAGGCTGCTCCTCATATCGCTCGACCATCTCCCAGTCACAAACGCTGGCGATGGCGAGCGAACAGCGCATCAAGCGATCCGCCCTACGCCTCCCATACTTACTACGTCTTCCACACCCTTCCACATATCCTTTTTGGCCTATCTCCGTTCATTCTTGGCTACCTACCCGTTGCCACGTCACGTAGCCTAGCCCCAACTTTCGCTTAGCACATCCCATATCTCGTCGTCTCTTGCACCTTGGGTTGAATGTTGACACTCGTTGTAGCGCAAGGCTGCCGAGAAGCCACAAAAGGCCTCCCGCAGCAAGAAGGACCCCAACGCCCCCAAGCGCGCGCTGTCGGCTTACATGTTCTTCAGCCAGGACTGGCGCGAGCGTATCAAGACCGAGAACCCGGACGCCAGCTTCGGTTTGTGCTTCTTATGTATCTTGTGTAGCCCCTTCTCATCCTCTTGCCCAGGCGAGGTCGGCAAGTTGCTCGGTGCCAAATGGAAAGAACTTGATGATGAAGAGAAACAACCTTACATCGAGCAAGCCGCCAAAGACAAGACCCGCGCGGAACAGGAGAAAGAGGCTTATGAGGGCGGTGGCAGTGGCAAGAAATCTGCGGCTGCAAGTGGCGAGGAGGACGATGAAGACGACGATTAAATGTTTAACCCCAAGTTTGCTCCTACTTTATTCGCCATTCGTAACTTTTTTCCCTGCGCTGATGTGTGCTTAAACCTTGTAAATACATACGAAGACTTAGTATTTCACTGTACCGTACAGTCTCAAGTCGTCTGTGAAAATATAGCTGCTTCATGTTGTATTCAGTCAGTTTACACAAGCAGGTTGGAGACCAGTGAAACGAGTATCTCAACTTGCCCACTCGGTAAGCTAGCCTCCAAATAGTCATTTGCCTTTTCATACATTCCCTCCCAAGAATCGCGTTCTTTGCTGAGCTTGCTGGAAAGGAACGCCATAGTCACCACCGTTGCCATAACTCCGTCGCTCACTCCTGAAGGTAGTTTTGCCCGTAAAGCGTCAACTGAACAAGCGAGCTGGATGATTTTGAGGACATCCAGCGAGAAACGGCCATCGAACGACTGTGAACGGGCAAGGGCTTCCAATGGATCGGAGAGGTTTAGAACTGGAGTGGAAGCGGCCAGCTGTGGAATGTTCGAACCAAAGGGTTTTGCGCTTGCAACCCTCCCTCTTGGAATCCCGTATTCCTCTTGTGTAGCATAGTTGCCTTGATCGTTTTCCCAATGAAGCGAGGCACCACGCGCGCTGAAATCCAAGAATTCGGTTTGTTGCTGCTGTTGCGGCATCCTCCTCTGCATTTGCTGAGCAGGATATGCTGCTGTCGGAGGAGGACTACCGTAGCCCGCGCTCATACCCCGACCAGCCCTTCTTGGTCCAGGGGTGTTGAACATTCCAGACGAGCCAAAAAGAGCATCCCCAAAGGAGGGGGCAGCCCCTCGGCCCCCTCCCCGCAGAGGAACCATATTTACAGGTGCGCTGAAGCCTACCAAGCCAACAGGAATATTGGGCGGAGCCTGCACACAGTTAATATCAATCTTTTCGGGTTCGAACTACCTACTCCGTAGCTCTGCGTGTTCGCGACTGATGGGCGAACGGAGACATGAATCGGTCGGTTCTTTTCTGATTCCAGTTTGCTTTCGTCGATTGCGACAAACGAAGTGTGTTTAGACACAATCGAATACGTTTTTCCAAGCCGCACAATCATGGCCGTGACTGTTCGAGAGACTAAGTCGAGATCATCCCGGTTGTGCAGCGCTTGGGCAACATTGTGTCGACCGTCTTCGAGGTCCTGGATAATTTTCCGGGCCGCAAGGGCGTGGATCGCAGGAGGCGCGCCAGGCGTATTTGGGAGATGGCTGATGGCTACATCAACAGGCAGCTCAATTTCGGCACCATCTCCAGAGACGCCTCTAAGAACGACCGTTTTGGGAACAACTTTATCTAATTGACAATCAGTTCATGAACACGTACGAGACAGGCCACCGCGCACCTTGTAGAATAGCATAGACCGTGAGGCGGATAGTGGGGAAGAGATTCAGAACCTTGAACGGCGCCTGTTGTAGATATGATGGTGGCGGAAGAACAACGTTAGCTGGAGGTGGAGGAATTAAAGGCGTATTAACATCCATGAGATCTTCAATGGTATTGTCAAAAATGTTGAGCTTGGCCTTTCCCTTCGCTCTTGCTGGTATTGCTTCAATGACCTCAAAACTCCTCAAAATCGTCATCAGCGGAGGACGACGTGAAATTTGTTGAAGTTGATTGTCCCCAATCAACAATGATATCCGAGATAGGTGGCGATTTGGCCGCTTTGAGCATTCGGGATATTTTGCCCGTAAAGTTTGTCTCATTTTCACCCACGATCATGCACGTCCCGTTTCCAATCCGCGCAATACCCTCACACATAGCAGTTGAAACCGAGTTGCCGATGCCAAGAACGGAAAGACGAATATATGCATTTTTCGGTGCGCCTTCGACAGCGCTTTTACACTCAGCCAACACTCCGTCCAAATCCCAAGCTTCGCCGTCTGTCAACATCAGAACGCTCAACGGGCGGTCCTTTTTGCGATCGCGGAAACACTGCGCCAACGCGTTCCGGATTTCCGTTCCCCCAAAGTCCGCATTCATCGAGTCAACATGTTTCGTCGCCTGTTCAAGGGTTTCTTGATTATATGTTTTGCTGCCCTGTGGCCAGAGGGAGCTACAATGAGACCCGAATGACATGATTTGGAAGAGCGAGTCTTTGTGTGGGATTGAACGAAGCATCACGACCATTGCTCTTTTTGCGGCCTGAATCCGTTTTCCGTCCATCGAACCACTGCGGTCCACCAGAAGTACAAACTCTTGGCGCGAAATATCGGGGAGTTTGAAGCGCGGGACAAGAGTCAGCGCCATTGCGACAGTATTGTCTGTGGGATGCAACTCGGCAACACAACGAGGGGCATCAAGGCCAGCTGATTTTACCGTAAGCACGAAGTCCTTGTCCAGCATCGACTCTGACGACAGCGAGATGCGGGCATAGTTCGAGAACGGCAACTCCTTAAAATTGGGGAGCTTTGGATCGGGGCCCAGTTCTGTCGAGACAGTGTGGGAAGGAGAGCCAATCTTAGCGATCGGCGCTCGAGCTTCGACATTCAATGCGACAGTCAGGAACGGAGGAGAGGATTTGGCCTTGACGAAGAAGTTGCGGAAGGAGAAAGTGTGAGGGGAAGTAGGGGCATGACCATAACGAGCACCGATGTGGACTGGGAGATGGAATCGAATCGAATCGCTCTCTTCGTCTTCAGCAAGCTCTGTCGCGTAAATGAGCTCAATCTGAACTTGTTCGTTTGATGCGATATTGCCGACCGACACCTGAAATACTAGAAACGAATTAGAGGGCTACTAGACGAGAATCTGAGTTTGACATACCATCCGGAGTCTGCTGCTCCAAGAGTGACGCCTGATGGCCAGCTGCGACGGCAGTTTGGTAAGTCTCCCGAGCCTCTTGCTTCTCCTTTACAATTCCAACAACCCGAGTTCCATCTTGTTTGATCATAACAAAGCTGCATACTGCTGCTCGAGAGGGAATGGGGAAGGTGTATGACGCCTCGATAGGCACGTTTGCGTCATTGGCGTAGGTTTGAGTGAGCTTTACTTGGGCAGCAAGCTCTTTAATGGATGCCTCGGCCTGGACATTGAGGAGAGGAAGAGAGACGAAGCGATATGCTGGGTAGTAACCGAGGCCAAATACACCAGAGTAGGACATTGCCAGGGTGGAGCGGGTGTGGGTGTGAAGCCATCAGGCTACAGCTTTTAGTTATAAGTACGTTGGGCGTCTATCGTCGACGGTCCCGCATTGCTGACTCCTGCTTAAGGCGCTAACGTGGCGCTCAGAGCTCGAGCTTAAACATCGTGGTGGCCATTTCCGAAAGATGTCACGTGCAATCAAAACTCTTCAAACACTCTTTCCTGCTCTTGGCTGGCGTTCTCGGGATTCTGGCTCTCAGGGCCGAGAGACCATTGATACCACTGATATGTCTCTAGCCTCTACATCCTTCATTAAGCCTGTCGCACTCGCAGACCGGAATTTGCAACAACTTTTTTGAGGTTTTCCGAGTCAACCGTCTATCCAACACCGAGACCATTTAGAAACCATTCGCCGCGGCCTGCTTCCTTCGGCTCTGACATTTCAACAACCACGAGCACACTAAGAGCAGCATCTTTTCGAAGAAATCCCCCATAGACATACCCGTCTTTACCGTTGGATTGGACCCGGCGTTAAGATCTTCACCATCGACTACTCGAGGACCAACACAAGACCCAGTGTCCACCTGCAGCCACCTGCCTTCTTACATCATGAGACGGTGCTGCTTCCTCTGCAAATCGGGCCAACGTCACAGTCTGTTCGTCCGACACAGTCATTTTCTATTACCATTCACACGGGAAGGACGTCGCAAACATCTTCGAGCGATGCGCTTCTCGACATACGAACCCCCCTTCAGTCAACAACATCAACATTGCTATTGTGGATAGCTGATGCAGGCTCGCGCCTAGCCATGGAATCAATTCTGGCGCAAGATGAGCAGAAGCGTTTGTGATGCGGCCAGCCGCCGACCCATGTGCGGGTGGGTCTACTCCTCGACACCCGTGACCCCCAGGAGGTTCTTTCGACATCACATGCTTTGCTGCACATAATGCGGGTCGTCGCACGGACTCCCCGGCGTCTCACTTTCGCTCCCAAGGCATCGTCCTCTTCAATTTCCTCGACCGCCGTGACGTCACCATTTGACTCTTAAATATGAAGCACATCTCCAGTTCTGAGTACGCGTCTCCGCTCCGATGCTTTTCGCTGGTAAGAGACTGGGGGCTCTCGCCCTCCTAGCAGGACTCTTCCCTGCTGTCATTTCATCGTCCGCCCCCCCGCTCTCCGACAGAGCCGACCTGCCGCAACCGTTTGTCTCGCGGACTCCTGAAGTTCAATTCGACAACTTCACTCTGTTCATCCATGGGCAACGCCTCTTCCTGCAGTACGCGTCGAGCTCTCAATTTAATGATGCACTCACACGGATGGCTGCGTAGTGGCGCGGAAATGCACACCTTCCGGCTTCCAGTGCCGTCTTTATGGCCGGATATCCTGGAGAAATTCAAGGCAGCTGGGTTGAACATGGTTTCTGTTTACATCCACATGGGTGTAGTCAATCCTTCCCGTGGCGTCGTTGACTTTGGCGGCTATCGCGCCCTTCAACCGCTCTTCGATGCCGCGAAGGCGGCCGGTCTTTGGCTCATCTTGCGACCTGGTCCCTACATTAACGCAGGTATGTTTGATCGCAAGTCACATGATCGTTGATCCTCACACACAACAGAAACCACCGCTGGCGGTATCGCGCATTGGGCTACCACAGAAGTTGCTGGAAATCTTAGGACTGGAGCGGCAGACTGGCAAGCTGCATGGCAAGATTATATTCAGGGGATCATTCGTGAGACGGCCCCCAATCAAATCAACCATGGAGGTCCCGTTATTGGTGCGTTTGTCCTGTTGAAGTGCAATTGGCATTGAATATGGCTGTACAGCGGTACAAATTGGTTCGTTCCACATGTGCTTACCGTATATTCGTCCAACATTGCCCCAGACAATGAATACTCTCAGAACCCCGATTCGCATGCTCGCTATTTCGAACAGCTCATCGCCGTGTACCACAATTCATCGATTGTGGTCCCTTTGACGTACAACGATGCGGGCCCGGGAAGGAACTTGTGTGTACCGTCGTTATTCTACACGCATATAGTCTAATAACCTCCCTAGCATCAACGGCACCGTAAGTGGTCTAACACCATGTTGTCCCCCCAACAATCCTCGTAGGGAGCTGTGGATCTTTATGGACTCGACTCGTACTTCGTGGTAAGACCTCTTTCTATATCCACTGCTGATAAGTAACACCTCTATCCAGGGCGCCGACTGCTCCGACCCCAACAACTGGCCGCAAGTGCCGGATTACTATCACCGTTACCATCAAGAAGTCAAGTATGCCCCGGACAAGTCCCTCGTTTAACGCTTTCCTGACCCGTGTGTAGCCCTTCGCAAGCATGGTTCTTCCCCGAATTCCAGGCAGGAAGCTTCGACGGATGGTACATCTTATCGCAGTTGATCGCTAGAACTGATTACTGATCAATTGGTCAGGGGCCCTGGCTCCCCCGGTTACGCGTTATGCAACCAACTTACAGGCCCAGGCTTGCAATCGTTGTTCAACAAGAATGCATGGGCGAGCAACGGAAAGCTGATCTCCTACTACATGGGCTATGGGTAAGCGGCGTCTCATAACTCAAATTGTAATTGCTCACTTGAACCATAGAGGAACATCTTGGGGAGCACTTCCCTTCCCGTGGGTCTATAACTGATGCATTGATTCGACACTGAACGAAACCTCTAGTGGATCTTACACAAGTTATGACTATGGCGCGTCTGTGCGTATCTTAACCCCGTTATAGTTTCTGGTTCTTATGATGTCTTTAGATCAGCGAGAATCGGGCTCTCACCTCCAAATTCGATGAGCTGAAGCTCCAGGGCTTATTCATCCGCAGCTCGCCCGACTTCTACAAGACCAACTGGATCTCAGACAGTACAACCGGATTCAGCACATCCAACTCGGCCGTGTTCGGGACGTTCCTCCAGAACCCAGACAACAAGGCCGCATTCTACATCATGCGCCAACGCGATACCACTTCCAAGTAAGCCTTACCAAAATTTTGCCCTCACCTACTGACTGATTATAGCGCGGTTGCAACGTTCAAACTCAATATCACGACACCCATTTCCGCTAACATCCAAGTGCCGCTGGTTGTACCTGCTGTCACGCTTACTGGTCGCGAATCGAAACTCGTCGTTGCCGGCTCTTCATTCGGTCAATCGAGGATTGACTATACCACTGCTGAGATCTTCTTCGGCGGCAGGATTGGCAACCGTGACATCCTCTTCTTGTATGGTGGCTCGACGCAAGCGCATGAAGTCCGCCTTAAGTTGACCGGACGGGCCAGCAGGGAGCACCTCACCAATTCCTCGCTCGTCAGCTCCACCCAGAGTGACGGTGGGTCGACGATCTTTGCTTTCCAAGCGGGGATCACGGGTCTTCATACGGTTTACGACTCAACTACACAACTCATCCTCTTTGGTGACCGCCAGACGGCGATCACGTTCTTCTCCCCCGTCATTCCCGGCACTGGTGACTTCGCCACATACTGGGCCACCGGAAGCAATAGCACGGTCCTCGTTGGTGGGCCCTACCTCGTCCGCCACGCCTCCATTTCTGGCTCTACGCTCGCGTTGAAGGGAGATCTCAACGCAACTGTGCCGCTCACTGTCATTGCCCCACCTAATGTTCGCTCTGTCACCTGGAACGGTGCAAGCGTCCAGGTCACCCGTGGTGTCAGCTCCACCGCTGGCGCATTTACTGGGACGCTTACCCCTCGTGATGCAATCAAGCAAGTCACAGTACCGGCCTTGACTGGCTGGAAGTACAAGGACTCGTTACCCGAAATTGCCCTCGACTATGATGACTCGGACTGGATTGTCGGTGACCACAGAACAACCAACGTCCCCCGCAAGCCATACTATGGAGATGGCCGCATTCTCTACCACTGCGATTACGGATTGTACGTCCTATTGTCTCGGTTCTTTTTCTCATACTCAACCCGTGGATAGCTGCGAGAATACTGTGCTTTGGCGCGGACACTTCAAGGGTCAGGGCCAGACTGCGATGAACCTGTCGCTTAACGGCGGTGAAGGTGCGCTACCTCTTACACGACGACTAGAATGCCATTGACCGTTTCAAGGCTATGCTGCTAGCGTGTGGCTCAACAACGTTTTCCTCGACACCTCATGGGGAAAGTGCGTGCTGCTGTTTCATATTCGTACCCTCGACATCTAATATCGGTCCGCAGCTCCAGCAACCATCGCCACAATATCCAAGAAGCCGAATTCCACGTCGGATTCCCTGCCGGGTCTGTGCGCGACGGTGACAACGTCATCACCATCGTTTTGGATAACATGGGACACGATGAGGCCAGCAACGATCCGGACAACTTCAAAGTTGCTCGTGGCGTCCGCGGCTTCAACCTTGATGTGGGCACTTTTGGCGACTGGAAAGTGCGCGGAAAGGTTGGTGGGTACAAAGGGTGGGTCACAGCTATCGTTGCGATGTCAAACGCTAACGCCGCCACCAGATTCTTGGACAAGGCCCGAGGTGTTATGAACGAGGGCGGTCTCTACGGTGAACGCCGAGGATGGCATCTACCTGGCTTTGACACTTCGTCCTGGGAGTCCCGCGAGCTCTCCGCTGGTTTGCCGAGCGGGACCGCCGGCGTTGGCTTCTTCGTTACCAAGTTCAAACTCGACATCCCCGAAGGCATCGATGCGCTGCTTTCTTTCAACTTCCGCGAGGGCGAAGGTTTGCTTTTATCGAGATTACCGTATTGTAGCTGACACTTATCGGCAGGCCAGACGTATCGTGCGTTTGTGTTCATCAACGGCTGGCACATGGCTAAACGTGTTGCGAATCTTGGGTAAGCGGAAAAGAAAATACGACGGTCCAGAAGCTTACACTTTGCAGGCCTCAATTGAAGTTCCCCGTTCATCAAGGTATTCTCGACTACCACGGCGAGAAGTACGTCTTTATCCAGCAAAGCAAAGAGAGCTGGCTAACATTTCATTCTCCAGCACCATCGCCGTCGCCTTGTGGTCAATGGACAAGTTCGCCGTCTCACCCAAGCTGCAAATCGAGATCGACGCTGTTCTCGATGGTGGAGTGCCCAACATCAAAACGACGAACCCGCCGTGGACGCCTGAGGGCCGCGATGGGAATTAAAAATGTGAAATGAAATATGTGTAACCTGGATAAATGTGTTTTTTTTTTGTCTTTTATGAATTGTTGTTTGTTTGTTTGGGATTCACCACCCGTATGCATCAAAACGTCACAGAGTGACAAGCACGTCGATGCCACGACCAACTCACCTGAGCTCAATCGTCCGGTCCAATCTACAAGCTGAGCAATGGCTTGTTATAAGGATATCCTCTTACCACACTCGAATGGGGAATCGATTTGGAGTTGGAGGCGTGCACGCAGACTGATAAATACACAACTTCCTCCAGCTCTCAAATACTCTAGCGGAGAAACTGGGCTAAATACAGACAGGCTCTCGCGTGGCTTTTCTTCCGGATTCGAAGGCGCGGGAAAAACTGACCGCATTTGAAGTATCACCGGAACGGTTACTGGAGTGGGCACATGCCGCATGTACGCCATACCAAAAATAATCAGGAACTCTGGAGCTAATGGATAATGCTGTGCCCTTGGGCTATGCATTATCGACTGCGCAATTCTATAGAAAGCAAAGGCAAGAGTGCACCTCCCGCGACACAGTATACGAGCGTTAGAGCTGCCCTCAAAAAAAGAACGCCATTGAAAACTATACATGACGTCACTGCTCCAAAATTTCCTTTTCTGGCCTTGGGACGATAAAACGACGTCAATTGATGCAACAGTGCGTCACAGCCCCACAATGACGCCGCAGTTTTCAGGTCTGCCGACAAACCTATAAAGTGGCGCTAGCCACGCTCAAGGCCTACCACTCCACTCCACCCTCCGCTCAATAATGTTTGCCCTCCATGTCGGGACCTTCCTCATCTTTGCTGCCTTCGCTCTTCTCATTGTAGCGAGCATCTCCGCACCCACCGTGGCCAAAATAGACTTCCTCCATGTGCCTCTTAATAACGGGTCGTCTGTCCGTTTTGGCTCCCTTGGCTTCTGCATAATGAGTCCCGACGGCAACTCTTGCACACCTACTGGAGTAGGATACCGGATCGGTGGGCTGAATCTGCTTTTCATAGAAAAAAAAATGTCCTGACGGGTTTTAGCTAATGAAATTTCCGCGATCGGCATTGACGCTTTCAATAGCGCTCAAGCAGCAACCCTCCATGGCCTCACACAGGCTTTGATTCTCCACCAAATAGCCGCCGGTGTTTCTGGCATTGCACTCCTCCTTGCCCTTGGCTCGCACCGTATCGGCTTCCTCTTTGCATCAGCCGTTGCCTTCCTCGCCTTTCTCATCGCTACCGCCGTCATGATCATTGACTTCACCCTCTTCGGGGTTCGTGGCTTCCTTCCATGATGTTTGCCGTGACTTACCTACTTCTTTCAGACTGTGAAGCACCACGTTGACCGGAACGGCGGTAGCGCAACCTTTGGCAACGCGATCTGGATGGTCCTCGCGGCAGCCATAACGCTCTTCTTTGCATCCATCGCAACATGCTTTGCCTGCATCACCGGCCGTCGTCGTACACGGCGGACCCGGGCCGCTACCGGCACATATTAAGTAACGATTTCTCACGATACCCATTCGCCTTATTCGTACGGAAGGAGGATGTACTTATGATTACGGACACGATTGGTGACGCAGTTCCACAAGATAATAATAAGTATTGTATTAGTAGACTTGTTGTAGTTGAACCCAAAAAAGTTGGGATTACACATCACATAAGCCATCCGGCGTTAACTTGTCCCGCCACCCGGACTGAGAGAAGGGCTCATAGACTGCACTTTCCGTCGTGGCGCCCGCTGCTTCTTGCGGATATTAACGGGGATGTTATGTCGGGCCAAAGACTGCTTGCAGGTGAGTGTGATTAGCGAGTAACTTCCCAGACAGCCACCTTTGTGAGCTCGGTCGATTCTTTGAGTGCCGGCGCACTTTTCGTCGAATACACCGTGAACACGCCACCGAAGCACTCTGCCAGTACTGTTGGATGTGCATGACCGGTGGGTCGCGCGAGAAGGTCGAAAAAGCGATATCTGGCAAAGGGCACTCAACAAAAGCGGCGCAGTAGTGCTAAACGAGGGGCCACCTAAGCACAAATTGCCCCTCTGACCGTACAGCGAGGTCCTCGAAAATTTAGCTGGATAACAACGCGATCACACACTCACACTGAAGGTGAACAGAAGCCTTTTGCTCTCCTCCCCAGGCACTTGCACCAGATATGCCTCGACGAATGTTGCGCCAAATAATGAAGTCGTGCGCTTTGAACTCTCAGTGATAGGTCTACCCTCTATGTAGGTCAGCGGCGCTGCTTGTGGGGTAGAGCCAGAGCCTGAAGTCGGTGATGGTGATGTGCTTGGGACTTCAAAGAGATCAACCATGCATAACATTCCAGCTAGAGCGACAGTCCTGGGGACAAACAAGACGGGCAGTAAGTACATTCATCTTCTTCATAAGGTGAATCCAGTGGCAACTCAACTCGTAGTTGTCGATTTCAGTATACTGCGGCTCTTCCCCGTCCATGCTGACTTGATAAAGGCGTAGCTCGACCACTGGGTATGCTCAGGTTAGTTTGTCTGATAAAAACTATCCCAGATTCCACGTACCAGGAGGATCGTCCAAAACCCGTCTGTCGACCGCCCCGAACCTGCCAACCCACACCGGCGCTGAGCAAACGGCAAAAAATGTCAAGAAAACTCGTATCGCTTACCTCCGACCGTACTCAGGCCTTTGGATCTCCTCCAGCTCTGCATAAATAGTTTCTCCCGCGAACCTTCCCTCCGTAAAGTGAACTGCTGCGCCAACGAAGTCGGTGGTGGCCTCGTCAACTGCTGGGGGCTCAGAATCGCCACTGTCGGGCGGAAGTGCATTGAGATTAGGGAGAAAAGCCTGGGATTGATGGTGGCCAGCCGAATCTCCAGCCCAACTCAGCGAAGCGGCCCGCATGTTCCCCGTCGGCTGAGAGTATGACGGGCCAGCGACACTCTGCGGAGAAGCGGCTGCCTCCTCCAACGACGACATGGACCAAGGGTCAGAGTACATTCGCTCGCTTGCGATGCTACGTTACCTCTGAATCACAGCACAACTTGAAAGAAGTCTTATCAGCACAACAAAACAAAGAGTCCATGTTGTGGGGTGCGAGTTTTGGGATTTCGGCGGCGATCGCTCTGACGATTCACTGAAATTGGGACTGCCCACCGTCCGCGAGGCAGGCAAGAGATGATGTGCCGCAAAAAAAGTTCCGCATTCATACGGCTTCGCCCATGCCGTGAAGAGAAAAGCCAAGTGCCGAAACATGAAAGAAGAAAACTCGGGCGCCACAGGAGTCAAATGATCCACGAGAAAGCAGAGGAATAAATTAGGACATTTTATGACGCAGCTTGAGCTAAGTATGCTATTACAATTCGTCTCGTTCGCGTTCCGTTGACGTTTCGCTGTCGAGTGGAGGCTGGTCGTCTGGCGTAGACGAAGCTTTTTGCTCTGGTGCGTCGACTTTGGTTGCTTCATTGGGACTGCCAGCAAGGGCGTTGACGTCGGCAGAAACAATCTGCGAACGGATAATTCCGTCCTCGGCCAATTTTCGTGCAAATCTTGAGATTTCAGAGTCATATTCCTCCCACTCGGGAATTTGCCGGGCTCGTGCAAGTTTGGGCTCTTTCTGAAACTGGTTTGAGCCACCGCAGTCACAACAAAATATGCACAATTGAGCACCGTAAGAGGGTTCTGGCACAGGTCGATTGTTTTGGCCCGGTGGAGGCGGTCTTTACTACCTGCGATCAAAGTGAGCGATGTAATTCCCGTCAAACAAGCTCAAGCAGACGCACACCACGTCTCACACTGTGAGAAGAAATTAGCGGACCAAGATGTGTGACAAAGCAGAACACGCACCCATAACCAGTCCTCGTGGAGGGAGAACTTTCTTCTAATCAGCCAAGGAAAGCGGGGAGATACGGTTAACATGACGCACGATGGGAACTTCGCGCTGGAGATTGTTCGGAAGATCTAGTTGTGGTGGTCAAGAACGGTACAGGAAGTGGTGAAGAAAAATGTTACCTTGATCAAGATTCGCAAGCGACCCGGGGTCAGCAGAGAGGGCCTGGTATTGACCACGAAGAATGTCCTGTTGCGATATCAGACAGAATGGAACACTCCCATGAATAATATTACACCCGCGGCAAGCTAAAAAGGTTATCAGCCAACAATCAGCGAGAAAGAAAGACAAGTTTGCTGACTTGACGGAACCGGACGAGGTCAATGACATAGAGCGCACTACCACGATGAGCCCGATAAAAGACATACAAGTGCTGCTCACCTGATATGATATGGCATGCCCTGGAGGAAGTCTTTCCAGTAACCTGTTTTCCAGAACCGGAAGCCCTCCATGTCCGTGTTGTCGTCGCCCATCGGCGTATAACCGTAAGGCGCTCCGTGCAAATCAATCTCAATCAACTCCTTTAGATCCGCGCGAACAATCTGGTCAGCGTCGACGAAAATAACTTTTTTGAGATCCATGGGGAACAGAACATCGAGGAAGAGAATTTTGTATGCCCAGATGATGCGTTGCTTTTCCTTCTGTGCTCGCAACCACGATGGCCACTTGTACGTTACCAGTTCATATTGGAAGTTGTACGCTGAGGCAAGATGAGGGATGAATTCCTGACATTGTCCTTCAGTCTTTGACCTCTGGATCAACGGAGATGTGTACCAAAAATGATGGCGATAGGAAATTTTCGATAAACCAGAACTTGACGCTGCTCTTGGTGTTCTTAAGAACACTGAGGATCATTATAGACACGAATCGCTAGTTAGCGTCAGCAGCATTATTCAGGATTCCACGATATCACGCACCTCATAAAGAAGTCCCGAGGCTACAGTGAATATGTTGATATCCGCTTGTCCGTCGGACACAGGTACCACTCCAGTCGATGGGGAGTCTTGACCCTTGCCAAAGAAAGATTTCATCCTTGACCGAGTTGAGCAGAGATAGGAGCGGGCGAAGCCAACTCACCGTGAAGCGATGTCATCGATAATACCGCCAGATCCAGCATTTGTTCCGAGAGAAGGGGCAGCGAGGACGTCTTCCTGCTCCATACCTGGCAGTCTGCGGAGACGAGGATAGATGGTAAGACCCGCAAAACTCGTAACCGCGATCTCGTTGCCCACTTCCTCGACGGTCCGGCTGTCCAGTCCTTCATTACCGACACTTTCCATCACGAAGATGTCTCGTCCACGTCCCTCTCGAATCTCCAAATGGAATACCCCTGGCTTGGCTTTGAACTGAAGGTACCCCAAATTCGCCACGACCTGCGTGTCATCAACGGGCTGCGAGTCTGCGGATAGAAGTTGCAGTTGGAGGCCACGCGGAGGTGCGTTGGTCGAAGGGTCTCGAGCATGCCCATCGACAACTAAGTAGTCCAGGGCGAATTCGGCATCCAAACTGGGGTGCGAGAGGCGACCCAACTGTATGTTATCTAGATCATAGAGAGCTTCACGTGGTCGCACAAGCCAGGACGGTGGCACATCCATTGCAAGAGTATAGATGGGTTCGATTGGGAGATTCTCGAAAATAGCTTGGACTCCAGTTTCGTTACTGTGAAAATGATTGGTGTATATTTAGAAATATACAGGCCGACATACCCATCAGAGTCGAATGCAAGATTGGGCAGGAGGGCGTAGCGATAGAAGCGCTTCAGCGGAATCTAGTCACGTGTTGATCGTATCAATAGTCGTACAAATAAGAGTATACCTCCTCGTGGGGTGCAGGATTGGTGTAGACTTTGATGTAAATATCCGGGATGTGCGAAATCCACTAGAAGGGATTTTTAGACACAACTGGATGCCTCTTAAACACGTTACCTCCAAAAGACTCGACCATTTCTGAGCGTACTCGCTAAGAGGATCGACCAGAACAGCAATGTGACACAGTGCAGTGGTATTATCGCCATACTGGAAGGAAGAGTATTCTCCATCCAAAAGCTGGTAGTTTCGGTGTCTAGGGCGCTTTGGCGGATCAAATATACCACCTCCACCAGGCTCAGCTGCCTGCAGCGACCCAAGAACGGAGGTTGCAATTGATATGAGATTAGCAGAAGAGGCACGATCCGTTTGAAGCAGCTCAGGGTTGATATCTTCAATGGCCGAGATGACAGGTTGAGCCCTCCTGCTCAGCTCGAAGTTTTCCAACGTCTTGAAGTCTACTGTGAGGACGGCATTGGGCGGCAACGGACCAACAATCTATTGCATAACCGATCAATGAAAGGGATGGTGTGATAGAAGGGTAACATACCCGTCCGTTGGCAATAAGACCCTGTTGTCCAGGAGCAAACTGTAATTCGCGTGCGACAAGACGGCTACTGGTCACAAATGTTGCATAGTCTTCTGCACTGTAGCCGGATATTCCAACTCCACCAGTCAACTCTAGAGCGTTACAGTCATTCCCAATTGGGGTCTGCGAGTCCTGGGGTACTGGTGGTGCACTTTCGAGGCCTAAAACACACCGCAAAGTACTTGGGGCCACCCTTGAGAGTAGGCCCTTGCCAATCAAATGCGATATCAGCCATGATACCGGTGGCCGTTCAACAGAATCTGCTTCGAGTTTCGTCGGATTGTGAATGAAGGAAATACGAGTCTTGGATTCATTGTTCTGTGGGTTAATCTTAGCCGAAGATGGGTCACAATGAAGAGGTCAAACCTACCATTGACAAAAGAGCGTCGTTCAACAATGATAATCCTTCCGTGGAGTCCAAGTCGGCCACGAGGAACAATGTGAGCGGTATTTGCTCTGATGCTGGTGAAACATTATCAGTTGTTGAAGAACATTTGAGTTGACGCCCACAAGCAGAGATGAACGAGGAGGGCATGATGTAGAACCGGGTTTGCTTGAACAGCTCTGCCACATTGACGACACGCATTTCGCCAGAGGCAGGGAATATGTAGCGATTGCGACGTAAGCTAGTTGTCGGTTGATCGTAGAAGTAGGTCGAGATACCACTGCTGGTTTCATCGGTGATTTTACCGCTATAAATCTGACACGAATTAGATCAGTTTTTTTTGCTCTATTCTCCCCACTAGTAACCGACCTGTTCTTGGAAGAATTGCAGTTGTTGACCGATCTCTGTCTGCATTGCTCGCCAGAAACCCTAGAAAAACTCGGTCATATTCCAAAAACAGTACCCAAGGGCGTACATCGTCCACGTCGAGATGTTTGCCGTTGATAAACGCATGTCCATTTCCAGATTCGACAGTTTTGCCTGCTCCAAGTCGATGGGCGTATAGACTTCCCCTTTGGATCGAAACATCAACCTCGCTCTCTGGATCTGCAGCAACAACAACTTGGAAATCTACCGCGGTAGCTTCGGCATTGTCAGCCGCTTCTTCCAGAAGCTCGTTATATATGGTCTCGACCGCACTCCAATCCAAGGGTTGCTTGGCTGTGCCGAAGCTCTCGCCCACCTAACGAGGATGCTCAATCCCGTGGAGTAGAGGGTGTGTTGGAACTCCTCACCTTTCTCAAAAACAACATGGTCTTCTTGCGACCATAAGTTTTAACCACATGATAAAACACTCTGGCCATCCTAAGACCATCCTCCGTCTCTGTGAGCGGGACGACACCGAATCGGAATGGAAGGCCCCGGTTAATGATGTTGGAGATGGAAGTTAACATGTCGAGAGTCGAAGATTCTGACAAGTCAAGCACTAACACAATGTTGAAGAGATTGAGCTTGAGACTGTGGAATTGCCCGGGGTAAAGCGGCCGGAGGAGACCGTGTATAGAGGTAGGCCACTGAGCGTATCTTGGAGTAAAATTATGGGACCAAAGCTAACCGAGAGTCGACCACTTACCGACTGTCCTTCTCCAGGTCATTCCACCACACGATTACATCTCCGCCTTCTGGACGGTCACTAGCGTCAAAAACATTATCGAGCGCAGACTCTGCTTGTGTCGCACTGACGGACGAGTGCGACAGCAGTTCAATTGCCTGAGCACGAGATAGACCGAGACCCGCCAGCGAATTCATGATAGTTTTCTCTTTGCGGACAAGACGGAGCAGACCCATGGGGTTGACGTCCTTTTCGTTCAAAATCATTCCGTTGAACCAAAATAAATTTACTCCCGCTTGCGCCTTGAGCTGGTTCGCATGAATCTCGGTTTCTAGACTCTCATTGACAATAACTCGACGAGAGAGTGACTTGATATATTTGGGGAAGTTTTGAGAGAGTTTAGTCAGAGTTGCGAGCGGTTCAGAAGAGTCGGCGATGAGTTGTGTCGCTTGGAAGCCAAGAACTGCAAAAGTTTCAGCTTCATTTGGTGGCCAAACAGAAAACCCACGAGCTTTTGCTTTGTCGTCGAGATCTCCCGCAACAGTCTCCCGTTCAGGATAAGCTTCTATTAGGGCCAAAACAGGATCGACCTCTGGAATCTCGGACTCCGCCTTCGATTCCTGAGTAGGAACCTTCCCAGTTCCCGTGTTTCTGTCATCTACTGCAAGGTAATCCGTTTTCTTTAAATCTAGAGCAACTCCATATCCCGAGAGCAGGTGTCGCGACTGGCCACCGACCGGGATGTGTCTGACGACGTATTCAATGGACGGCGATGGTTTGTCCGCCAGGTCGTAGAGGTATGTGTGGAGTTCTCGGAAGTTGGGGGAGTCAATGGACGCGTAAAGAATCGCGGTGCGGGGCGGTCGATCGATAGTGCGTGCCGGGGAAGGCAGAATATGGTCGAAAGGAAGGAGTTGCGGTCTGGGGAATGAAGGACTGCCCGAGGGTCAGGAAAAAACATTCGCAGGTCCACCAAAATACGCACTACGTCTCTGAAGCATTGCTTGACTCTATAGTCTCCACTCCCGCGAGATGAGATAGCTTTTCGAGGTCGCAAACTTGTTCCCCATACCAGTCGACCCACGAACCACATTTCGGATCCTTAACGTGGGTTGCATAGTACTGGTAGAACGCTTCAATCTTCGGTGTGGCAGCGTGAAGACCGAGGTTCATCTCTACGGTAGCCAAGGACCCGCGGTCGACAAGAAGGCCACGAGAAACCGCGATTTGCAAAGCATATTGTTGTATGGCTTCGTCACTCAGCGGTTGTGGAGTTGGATGGGTAGTTGGGTCAGAGACGCGGTCCAATAGCGTGAAGAAGGCATCCGGGTTCTCCTGCGCCACGGTTTCTCTTCGAAAATGGTGAGCAACACCAACAAAAGTCGGGTTCATGACATACATTATTTCAAGCAGAAGTGGTGGGGCAGGCCATGCGGATTTGAGGGTGACCTTGACAGGAGGGCTGGAAGTCGCGAGAGCGCCTCCAATTGCGGCGGCTAAACACACAATTGTGGCTCGTCTCCTCCTCATCGTATATCGCGAAATAGGTAGAAGACGTGGAGACACGTCAAACCATCAACGCTATCGTCCCCATCAATAAACAAGTTGTGATACAGTAAGTTTCCTTTCTACTCAGGCTCTCATCTTACTTACCCGTCTGGCTTTATTACTCGGCACTGGATTTCTTACAATCATAAACAGCAACTGTAACACTTCTCAACCAATCCAAGACAAGCTCGTCGTCGATGCATTGATGAATCTTGGCTCCAGACTGATGGTGTATTCGACTCGGAAACGCTGAAATACCAAGCTCAGCGCGTCTCGGTCGGAGATAAGACTATAGGACAAGAACTCCAAGTCATTCACTCTCTCAATATCTCCCTCGCCAAACCACCAGCAATTGCAACGCCGTGCTCCTCCTCATCCAAGTCATCCATACCATCCACGAGCTCAGATCTAGCACATTACGGTCAACGATCAGCATTTTTGCTATGAAGACGAGATAACACGCACTCTAGTCGCGAAATAAAGCTCCCATCCATCTCCAAATGGAGTGGAGGACCCAAGTACAACTTATTGCGGACGGTGAACTGTAAGAAGCTGCGCCAAAATGGGTCCTGTTGCAACACGGCAGGGTTGCCGACGATAACAAGAAGCTCTTTGGCACGGGTGATAGCCACATTCATTCTGCAGAAAGAGCATCTTAGAGCGTAAACTTGGAGGAAAAGAAAGGTGTACCGTTTGCGATCATACACTAATCCTAAGCCACGTGCCAGGTCGTCTTTGAGGAATCTAGTGCTGGAGCGTACGCAAGAGATGATGCAAGCACGCATCTCCCTTCCTTGGTAATCTATGAAGCGTGGAGTCTTCGACATAGAGAGCTCACATCATGTGCTCACCTTCAACCGTCCCAACGTCAACCGCACTCAACCCGACTTTCCTTAATTGTTCACGAATCTTCCATACTTGCTCCCTGAAGGGCGACATCACTCCAATCTGGGAAGCCTTGAGGGGCGGGTCAGACGATGCGCCTTCGGCCAGCAGGGCCGTGATGGTATCAACAGTGCACTTGATTTCCCCGCTGTTGTACCAAGATGCGCGCTGTTAATCGTTAGACAGGATGGTGGAAACGCGTGTTTGTGACTTGCTTCATCAACACATTCCTCCTCTGTATCGCTCCCGATAAACATCAGAGGTAATCGTGGATTGGGAAGCCTAGACCACGTGACCGCGCCATTGACAGCGCAGGGAACAAGGGAATCGTCGTAAAACATTGCTGATGGAGGCATGAGGATAGCGGGATGACTAGGGCAATGTTAAGACTTGGATATTATACCGATTACACGACAAACCTGCGATAATTCTTTGACAATGCGTTAATATCAATCGGAGGGAAGACAAGAATGGAAAAATACCTTGACGAGGTTGGTGAGGGGTCTGAAATGCGAAGACAGCAAAAGAGTGAAGCCTTTCTTGACGAGGCTACTGTATGCTTCCCGATCGTATAACCTCTGTAACAGAGAAATATCCAGCTCGGCGTCCCTTGCAGCGTCAGCGGCGACGATCGGACCGACTGTGAAGATGCTCAACTAGAAAAAATCCAAGATTAAATCAGGCATACGTTGGTTTGGGTCCCCGCACAACACAAGTTGGGGTGTTATTGTGGGCTTGACTGAACCAAACGAAAGACCCGTCACCGGCGAATTTGAAGCTGAAGGAGTGGGCTGAGGTCCAGGTAGGACAACCGATATAGGAATCAATAATTCTGGTTCAGCGGCTTGAGCAGCCTACAAGAGAAGATAGTTATGCACGTTGTCTTCTCCCCTGACAAGAGACCCACCTCATCAATCAGTAAGTGGGTGAAATGAGGAGCGATGGGCTCCTTGCGCAATCGTCCGGGATGCAACAACCGCATCATGTCAACTTCTAGACGGGCCAGTATATTATTAGTGCAATGTGCATCGACGAGGATGCCAGCATCCAAGCAAGAGCACACAATGACACGGTATTGAAGGAGAGATTCCCACGGAGGTATGGAAAACCGGTCGTCTTCGATATCTATTTTAGGAAATCGTTCAAATGAACAATAACACAGAAAAAAAAAACATACAGCAGTATTGATTAATGCTCATTGGTACCTCCGCAAATGTGCGGTTAGGATCGTTGAGCCTCAGCATTTGGTGAGGCATAAGTTTCGATCGTAGACGCATGACTAGTGTGTCGGTAGCCGGATTTGACGGGGCACAGAGAAGAATACACGACTCGGGGTGCACGTGAATAATCTTGAGTACGGCCTCAACGATTGTTCGCGTTTTCCCAGTGCCAGGTGGACCGATAATAAGATAAGGCGTTGGCGATTCATGAAGCGTTATGGAGGAGACGGCGAGCTAATGTCATTGTCAACGAAACACATGCATTGACCAAGTAGAACAAAACCGAACTTTTTGTTGCTCATTCAGTCCTGTGTCCGTCCAACTCTGATCCGGTAAATGGCGTTGAACTTCGTCAAGAACGTCTTCGGGAGTTGGGAAGATCCATCGCCGAGCAGTTCGCCGCCGATCGTCGTCATCATTACTTGTGATAGCATCATGAACGGTTTGCGAGGCGACATCCATGAGGAATGTCGGCCGTGCTGTGGGGATGAAGGAGATGTTGAATAATAAGGGAATATTGGACTCTGATGTGTATAGAATGCTGCTTCCGTGAGAAGGCTGAGGTGGGGTTACGGGTCCAACGAATTGTTGGATGTGAGCCTTGAGGGCGGGACAATAAAAGTCTAGAGTGAACGGTTAACATGGTCCAGGTAAATATTCGCAACATACGAATCAGTGCTTCCCGTTTTCGTGTCGATACCACACCACCTGTAGTTGTCAATGGTTCGGCCGTGTCCTAGAATGTTGGAGCGCACCTTCAAATGCGATTCCACTCCCAGCCCTCCGTGCTTCGAGAACCTCGCGAAGGACGATGACATCCCCAAGATCGAGTTTTGGCGTATTTTCACGGATACCTGGGACCGCCAACTGGAAGGTGGCTGCATCCCAATTTGCTATCCGAATGTGTGTTTTCCAGAGAATGATCTGCTCCTTGTCAACAGCAAGTTTATGCAATTCCCAAGAGAGCAGAGCATTCCAATGTTGGTAGTAGGAGGTCGTCATAGATGGTGCTGTTGCAGGAGGCGGATAAGTGAGTATAGAAGATTTTCCAGCGGTAGATACGTCGATTAGCGACGGTGGTAGAAAGGTTTGCATATATTCGATGGAGGGAAAGAGGGGTATCGGCGGCAGAGGCCGCAATGTGTGTGGTTGATTCTGGATGTCTTGAAGATATTGGGGAATAAATATATCAGCCTGGAGGGTTTGAGCATGAGTGTGTGTCTGAGGATGAATATACGACGCACATATTTGTCAAGTTTCTTTTCGTCATTTTTTAGATCTTTTCCTTTGTTTTCTTGGTTTTCCTGTCGGTCTCATTAGTTGGGCCCAAGATGAAGTTCCTACAAGATACCTGAGTAGATGGAGTGGAGAATTTGGACGAAGAAGGCGTTTCGAATGGGTTGTGAGAGTTAGCATGTGGGGGTTGAGATTGTGAGTTGGAAGATGTCGACGTGTCGTGAGCAGGTGGAGAGATGATGGGAACACCACGGGACGGCGTTTTCTTGACCAATGTCGGTGACGAGAGGCTGCCTGGAAATGGGGCAAATCTGCCCTTCCAAAAGTCGTGAATCCACGCGTCTTCTGGTGGTTTCAAAATGCCGGGGGGAGCGGGAGGAGGAGGAAGGCCTGGAGGCCTATTTGGAATAGGAATCGGGCCAGGAACTGGTAAGCCCACAGGGATAACTGGACTATGAGGTATGTACCACCCATCAGGCGTCGGCAGGATGGGGCCGGGGCCATGCCAGTTCGGAAACGGAATTGAAAAGGGTGGAGGGCCAGGCATGCCATTGTAGGGAATGCTTTGCCGCGGGTCAGGGCCCATGGGGTACGGCTGAGCAACCTGAGGGTACGAGAAGGGCACCCTGTACTGCATTCGTCGCACGCTTCGTTTGGTCTCACACCGATGGCGGCATAACCGCGGTGGGCGCTTGCTCGGATGACATCCACGTCACACATAACACATTTGATCAATGAGATAAGATAGGAGCCAGGCACTACGACTACATTTTAGCAACCGAATCTTGCATCCAGGATATTTGATTCGCTATACTATTATTAGTAAAGCATACCAACCATATCGTGAGAGGATACCACCCACTTAATAATAAGCAAGTCTCAGCAAAGACATTAATAGCTGACATGGCTTGACGTAGAATCGTGCTCAGCCTTCCAGCTTCTGGTTCGAAGCCTTCAAAACGGAGAGACTGCGCTTCAGTAACCACTGTGCCAACAGCTGCGAGCCAGATCGGCTACGATATGGTCAATATTTTGAAGCAGAATAAAAAAAGCACTCACCCCCAAAATTGGGTTGACAAATCTACAAGTGTTGAAAGTTGCTGGAATATTGACTGCCAGTTCCAAAATATCAATTGCAGCGTCTAACCTTCGTCGTTGCATATGTTCTTCCGCAGAGCGATGACTGAGAAGCCCATAAAGCTGCATCGCGGCTGCATGTGTGACAGAGTGAGCGACCAGTCGCACTAACCAGTCATCACACTCTGACTCCTCCACAACGAAATCGCGATCTAATTCCTCCAATGCGAGAACAAGATCATCGAGAGCACTTTTGAAGCGAGCGCCTTCCGCTCTGGTCATATCAGTCCTCCATTGTCGGCCCAATGCCTCGGTCTGATACCAGAGAATCGCAGCTTTAGCAAACAATGCCTCGATATTGTGCTCGTTCTGGTCGCCTTCAGGCTCTAGTGTTGCACAATGCGACTCTTCATGCAAAACCACAGCCCACGTCCGATCCAACGCCACTGTTACTCGCCAGGCCATCGACCGTTCCCTCCCTTCGAGTGAGTCACTTGGGGACGGCAAGGCTCCCGTTCGTGATGCCCATGACCCGATCGCTGCAGCAGCTGATGTATGATACTTCCCCTCTAGAAAGCGTCCGGAAGCAAAAAAATAATGTGCAAGAAGGATTTCGGCTTGGAGGGTGTGCATGATTCTTCGCGGGTGGCTGCTAGAAAGACCCTCAGCTGCCAATTTGCTTGCATAAGCAAGGAAGGCGGGCTGTATTTGATGACTAGTGTTGAGAATATGGAAGGCCCAGAGATAGACGGCAGCACATAATGCAAGAGTGGGACGGGATGGATGGTTGGGAGGCAATTCAGCAAGTGCCGATCGCCTGAAATGTGCACAGTCTAGGAAGAACCCGAGCTGACTGGAGCAAGATAGGACCGCATCTATTCTGTAGGGCAATTTAGAAGTCGAAAGAAATCCGGAGCGAGACGCACAGTTCGATGGTCAAGGCGAACTCGTATTCAGATCCGGCTTTGAGAGTATGATAAGTAAGTGATTTCTTCAACGACCTTCGTGCCTCGAGCTCGGAAATTTTCTGCTCGACGGAGCGAATATTCTCTTGAAGAATTTCAGCTCGTGCTCTTCGAGCTCCTCCGGTGTATTCGCAATCCTCCTGCCTCTCGCCGTCGAGACATGGTCCACAAGTTGGTCTAACACCATCACACCGCTTTGAGGGCTCAGACTGAGGTTATTAGTATATCGAATAGACGCACCAGCTTCCGGTATCGACAACTATGGCACGCCTGCCCTCGCTGTAAAGTCGGAATTGCTGATTTGCCTGCTTTCCCGGCCGTGGACCTTCGGCTCATGGTCTACCAGCTAAAACGCGTTGCGGGACTCGTGTGTATGGCTGGACGTTTAAGACCATAGGCGGCGGGGACCTAGTTGCCGGCTGCATCGTATAATTCGTATTGAACGGAGAGGACAAGGAAGAGCTGGGAAATATTAGCTGTCAAATGTCAATCTGATCCGAGTTTGATTCAACGTTCTCAAATATGAACGATATTTTGGTCGAGTAGCGACAAATAATTTGGCGCAACTGTATTATCAAGTAAACTCGAGCGAGCAGTTCCGAGTTATAATAAGACTACATCTGTACTTCTCGTGATATGAAAGTTACGACTCTTGATGGAAACTGAACGGAAATCATCTAGCCGGCAGACTCGTTTCCTTTCCAAACCCGAAACTGCTCCTTATCTCGAGAGAAATTGGGTTATATTTTCGGTTGATTTTTAGTGCAGGAGCCCTTGTGTGGCATGAAGCTCACAACTTTCCGAGACATTTCAACAAAGCATCCGATGTTCAATCTACCAGCAGAGTAAGAGTTTCATGTCAAGTTGCATACACACGGCTTTGTTTACACCAATCCATGGAACGCGGCAAACGGATCGTCCTGTTGTGTTGCCTCGTGAACTTCAACGACTCCACGCATCACACGCGCAACGGCGGCGTTGGTCAAATGTTCAACAAATGCAAGTGCCATGTCTTGCCCTAAGTGGTTGTTTCAGGTGAGTGAGTATCAGAATCCACGCCGGATGACTTGCCTGCAGAGACACCAGAGCTAGTCCATACATTGCCATCAACAACCCAGCGAGCATGGGCGACCCACTCGATGTCTTTAGGCGAGAAGTTCTATCGAAGCGATTAAACAAGACAGAAGATAGCCAAGTTTACTTGACGCACGCCGATAACCTTGAAGAACTTCTTGTTTGTTGTGGCGCGCTTACCAGAAAGGACACCAGCAAGCGCAAGCTGATGGGCACCGGTGCAAACAGACATAAGATACCGCGCTTTTGGCGCCTGTTGCTTAATGAATGCCAGCTCATCCTCAGGGAAGTTGTGGGCTCCTGTAACGAGATCGGGAAGAGGTCCTTGCTTCGAGTAAGAGGCGAAATTTGTCGTCGCATTGAAGTTGACTAACCAGCTGGACACCACAAAATATCGAACTGTTTTCCCTTCTCCATCGCCTCCGCATAGGTCATCGTGGGGTTGATTGTTGGTGAAATGAGCCCTTGAAAGGCGACGACAGGCTTATTTTCCGGAGCCACATAGTCGATGGAAATGCGGACAGGGACGTCTTCACCCTCGGGCATGCATGCACGGAGTTCTGCGCCAAAGAGTGGGTGGTCTGCTTGGTTTATGGCCGCGAGTATTTCCATAGGAGGCACGAAGTCGCTGAGCGTGACTCCATCCGAAATGCAGACCGCGACGCTGAGGGTTTCTGGCATGTTCGGTGGGTTCACTGGGTTGGAGACAACTTGCCGCGACACACGCATTTTTATATGAACCAGGATCATCCGTCATGTGCCAGCCCCAGGTATCAGAAGACTCGGATGTGAGGTGAAGTTGCTGCCGTGAGGCCGCTGCGGTGCACTGTCCGACTCGATGTGGGGTGGCAAGTGGCAGCTACGACTTGAAACCGGCTGACTCGTTTGCGTGTAGCTTGTGTACATATTCCGTGGGCTGCAAAGTACCTTACTCTAGCAGTAGTCCCTGCGATATGACCAGGGCTGTCTCTTCTGGGTCGTGTAGATATGGATCGACAACAAGTTGAACGAATCCAGTCATTCCGTCGGTGGTTGACAGGTCGGAAAGCCGTATGTAGCACGTGACTAAGTGATCTCCCATGAAACGGTTGAGAAGTTGTTACAAGGTAATAGTTGACCAACTCGGCTTGAACTTATTCTTGCCCAATTTGAATGACCGTGATAACATCGCAGCAGCATTCAAGCTCAGGCCTCCAAGTTGTCTCGTGAAAGTGCAGTTTGTCAGTCTCAGGATACGTTTCTTAAAAGCACGGATTAACAATCAGAGTACGAAAGCCTCTAGCGAACCGGGCGCGAAAAGTTCCTCCACCTGCCATCGTCTTTTCGCAAGGCCCTGGTCAAAGGAATACTCCAAAAATTTGTCCAGAGTCCGCCGATTCTGCGCCGTCAGTCCATCCTGCCACCACTTTCCATCACTGCCATCTCCTTCCTTACACAAAGCAGCCTGCGTCTCCTCTACATGGAACTGCATCCACGGTAGGATATATCGCAAGGCTCCTCGTGCATGAATCGCGTCGTAAGCGTAATCGAGTGCGGAGGCAAATGCTTTGGTCAGGGATTGGGCGGCCCATGGGTTAGCGGCAAGCACAGACCGTTTGACGGCGATGACATGCATGATTGGGAAAATGCCCGTGCGCTGGAAGTACTCCTGCTCGACGGTTTTAGCGTCTGGGAAAAGCCGGCCGACGTCAGGGTGGGTTCCAAAAGTGGATGGTGCGGTGCTGGTATCTGTCAATGAGAGCCATGATGAAGAAAGAAACAGACTTACGCGCTTTCGAGGGCCACGATTTCACCATCTGCCAGCATTTGAGCAAGACATTTGCCCTTCTCGATACGGGTTATCTTGACGCTATCGGCCAATGCGAGCGGTATTTTTTCGGCGCGTTCCTCGTTCGAGGGCTCGACGTTTCCCGTGTAATAATGCGGCGCATCAAACTGTAGGCTATACTCGTCTTGCAGGATCCCGCGCTGCCAGACTGGAGCAGTCATTTGGAATTCTGGTGTGCCGACTGGGCGGCCAGCCAGCTGCGAAGGATGGGTAATACCAGCCTTCTTGTTGACATAGATAGACTGGTGGCGGAACATCCGCGAGGGAAAGACTGGGAGCGCAATAAATGGAGGGTTGGGGGAGTTGAGCGTGAACTCTTTGCGTTACATCGAGTTTTTGAACGGTGAAGAGCGAAGCTGCGTACAACATAGGACGACAAGGACAATTCGCTGACATCAAATTCCTGGTATCGCAGTTGACGAAAGAATCTGCAGGCGTTGAGCAGAGTAAAACATCAAGTAAAATAAGTGGCCCACGTTTCTTCTACTCTAGGTAAATTCAGTCCAGTTTATCTTTCTCATGGCATACATACCGAAGATTGAGGAAAGTGAGCTCGATGCCCTCTGGTCGAACCCGCCCATCTTCGATTGCCTTGACTCGGTCGTAGTCCCAGCACGCAAGGCTCAATTTCAAAGGGGCCATGGGGGTCGACAGCAACAGGGCGGCCCGACCACATCGATCTTCTCCCAAAGACGCCGCATCCTGGACGAACGAAGGCACGATCAGAAGGTGTCTCGTAAGAGCCTCACGTGACAAGACGCGCTTTTGTCAACAAACACCATCACCCCGAGTCATATACCTATTTCTTGGATATTTCTACATGTTCGCGTCGCCCACGAAAGCCAGGCGGCGAGCCAAGGCCCCAGTTGGTACTCTCGGCGCGAGACTACGGCAGCAACGCGCACCTTCACGCAAACTAAACGAAAACGTCTTCCCGTCATCACTCCCGCCATCGTCGCCGATACCTACATCGTCTAGACATCCGAGCTCAGAGGGAGAAGCAGAGCAGCAACTTGTTTATTCAGATTTTGGGTCGTTGGTAGAGGAGGAACCTGAGGTTGAGGAGGAACGGAAAAAGGAGGAGGAGGATGACCCATTCGGATTCTTTGCTGTCGAACGCAAGCTCAAGACTCTGCGTGCATTGCGTCCGCTACCGGAGCCAGAACCAGAGCCAGCTGAAGAGGAAGACATTCCTGTCCAACATAACGCAATGCCTTCCACTCCACACAAACCACGGCCGGGGACGCGACCGTTCAGCCCTGTGACCAGCAGCCCATCGCCCATAAAGCCTACCACTTCTCTGACTCAAAACCCGCCTGCAGATGAGCCTTCATCCGAAACTGAAGTCGAAGAGCCGGTGCCACAGCCTAGGCGGAGTGCGAGAAAAAGAACGAGGGTGGACGAGAAGACGGAATCAGTTAAAAGAAGGAAGCCGGTTTCCAGGGTGAAGAAGGTGGACGAACTGGAACTAGACGCCTCAGACCCGCCGAAGGCGCCAACGAAAAAGAATACACGCGTCTTGGCGTCGAATTCCAAGTCCAAACCCGCCTCCAAAACTAAACCCAAGTCGACGACAAAGCCAAAGAGTGCCAAGAGCGAGACCAAGTCAAAAAGTAAAGGCAAGGAGCGAGAAAAAGACGATAACAGTGAAGATGAGGCTGAGGTGAGTTTCTCAACATTGTCCAATGCCTGTCTTTTTCTAACTGTTGGATGAAGCAACTGGTAGTCGACCGACTTGCTCGCATCGCATACTTCAAGAAATTAGACGACTACAGCTTTGAGAAGGAAAACGTTTATGTTGTATAATGTTTGGTTTATTCTGCTAATGACATCACTATTCACGAGAGGAACTTGGAATGTCCGCTGATAGCACGGAACATCTCCATGGCAAGATTGCGCCCCGTTTGTTCGCTCGGGTGAAGTTCATCTGCGTAAGAGATGAACAAGAAGATTTGAGACGCTAGTCAAAAAAAAAAAAAACTTGCCCCACCACATGAATGAGTCTCGCTGATCGGGAGTACAGTCTCCGCTGTGGCCAAAGAAATTGGACCTGGCCTCGTTGAAACAAATCCGATAACACTTACATTCCGCACTGCCTGTAGTCATCTGCGTCGGGACACTGGTGGCAATGGCCGGTGACGTTTGCTGGGGCACTCCCGTTGAAGAAACGCGTCGGGTTGTGGTACATCTCCGTGAAGAGCCCATAGGTGTCGAACATCTGGACCGACGCTCCCCTTGCGGCCCATTCCTGCCTCAGCGCCAACACGCCGCCCTTCAGCAACGCGTTCATAGTCTGCACGAAGTTGTAGATTCGCGCATTCCACTGGGTCCCGTTGTGTGGTGCAGGATAATATATGGTCGGGGCAGACGAAGGACTGTAGAGGCGCGTGAGCTCCAGCGGGATGAGTGAGTTGACGATAAAGCGGCGTGCTCCCAGTTTGAACAAATTGCGAAGCGTCTGCAGCTGACAGTTGGCCAGATCGGCGAGCGACACGGTAGGGCTCTGGTCGTCCGTGGCGAAGGAGTGGATGCCAATGTCGTTCGTGCCGATGTAGAGAACGACGACGAACTCCTCTGGGTTCAGGCCAAGCCGTTTGTTTTCGATATGGTCTTGCACGAACCAGTCCATCTGGCCGCTGACAACGTCTGGTTCCCCAAACAACGGAGTTCTTTTGGGTCAATACTTTTTTGATCGGTTTGCGGCAAGCTTACAGAGCATTCGAACACACCGCTCCCCCAGTCGCATAGTTCCAAATCTTGTAGTTGCCATAAAGGCCGAGGTACCTTTCATTGTCAGCCGGCATAACTTTCCATATCTTAACCCACCAAGGCCACTGGACGCCTCCATCCGCTGCCGTGTCTGCCGGAGGAAACACCTCCTGGTAGTCCTTTCCAGGATATGTCCCATTTGCGATACTATGAGCGCGAGATTGGTCTAACAAGTCAGACTCAACAAACACAGAATCTGGTGTTGTTTACCTGTGAACGAGTCTCCCTAGACAGCTCAACTGGGTGAAGTTCACAATGGGGAGCAGCTTACAAAAAGCACCACGGTCGTAGTTTTGGAGCTGGGTGTCGCTGTTCTGGCTTGGCCGACGAAAGCAGATAGAAATATGAAGAAAGGAAGCATGATGGCCCATTGGGCGCAGCAGAATACGCCGAGGTTTTATAAGTGTGCTGAGCGTCGTCCTACAACGTATGACCTGCAACGGTCCGGCATACCGCAGACAGTGCGAGAAGCAAGTTCGGATGATGGATTGATGTGATGGTTCACATTTTTTGATTCATACATGATTGTACAGAGTACTGCAGTCTACATTAGATTCGGGGCCATCTAGGCATACTTACTATTAGTATTAGAGTAAAAACTACCAGTCAAGTTCAGTCTCCTCCTCCTCCTCTCCATCGCCCAACCAGCGCAAATCATCCTCGTCCTGCACAACCTCGATGTCCTTCCAACTCTTGCCCGGGACGCGCTCCCAGATCTCGGCCATCTCGGGGAGGGCGACCTGCACGCAGTGCCACGTGCACGCGAAGTGGTTGCTCATCACCGCCAGCGTCCCCCAGACGGCGGGCGCGTCGGCATTGGCCGTGATGGCGCACAGCCGCGGAAAGAGACACGCGAGGAAGCGCGCGACGGGCTGCGGGGTGGGGTGGATGGGCGAGTCGGACACGCTGAGGTGGTACAGCTGTGGACAGACGGGGGCGGCCATGGCGCGCTGACATAATTCCTCCGACGGGGGGAGCGGAGGCATCAACCACGAGGCCGAGCGCGTGCAAGTTCTGGCAGTTGGTCGCGACTACGATAAACGCGCCGAGGGTGAGCTCTATGGGGAGGGAGCGAGGGATGTCGACGGGGAGGCACACTTGCGGGAGCAGGGAGAGGGTCTCGAGATGGGGCCAATTCTGGGTCAGTTCATCCAAGAGCTCATCAGTCAGGCCGGCGAGCCCGAGCGGGAGGACAAGCAACAGCCGCTTGAGGTTGGAGAACCCCGCAAGCGCACGCAGGCTCGTGGCCGGGACGCCATAGTCAGCAGGCTTGGCGCACGCGTGGGAGATGAGCTCCGTCGCTGCGGCGAAATGCTCCTCCGGCGAGCGCTTGCGGCCAATTGAGTGGTATGTCACCGGATCAAAGTCGTTGATGCAAATTTGCTCGAGATCAGGCGGCGAGGGAACATGGGCCAGCGCCTTGAAGAGCAGCTCGTACGCCTTTGCGGTGCCACACAGGTAAGCGACCGACACCTTTTCGAGCGTGTCTGATCGGATCACCGGGATGAGATCGGCAACATGTTCGGGATCGGTGCCGATCACCTGGAGGTGCTCCAGAGAGCGAAACAGCGGGTCCGAGGTAACCGGCACATTCTGCCCCCTCATTGCGATCACCTCGACGAAGGCCAGATTTGCGAGCTTGCCCAAGCCCACCATGACGGCGTCGTCGGGGCCGAGCTGGTCCGTTGAAACATACTCAGCATCGCGAAGGCGGCCAAGCAGCCGAGTCATGCCCCGCGCGGTCCAATGAGCGCTCTTGAGGTTGCGGCTTTCGAGGACAACACGTTGGAGTTGTTTACAAACATCATCAGGAAGACGGTCGAAGATGTCCCTCACGGTGAGGCTGTTGTCGACCAGCATGAAGAATACGGACAGTGAGGGCCCGAAGAAAAGTGGGAGGTATGGGGCCCAGAGGTCGGCTTGTGCACTGTTTGGCGGGGCCCACGTGAGAATGTGCAGGTTGGGGGTGAGGAGGATCCTGTTGCAATGCACGGTCCCGAGGATTCTGTTAGTGTCGCCAGCGGGGAAGTGGTCGAGACCACCCGGCCCTTGGTTCAGGTAGAGCTCGCGCACGTGCCAAAGACAGAACAGGGGGCGGTCCCAATCAGCAAGTGTAACATCGACGTTCTCAAGCTAGATAATGACTCGTTAGATGATGGTATTGGGAAAAAACCGCAGTGAACACACCAGAGGCTTCCACTGATTGGGGGACTTGTCGTCGAACAGATCACGGGGCATAGTGTCGATGGCGCGCTTGAGACCGTGAAGGGCGCGCCACAGCATGTTAAAGGCAATCCGGGGCACAATGTGGCGTTTGCCCAGGGTACACAGTAAGCGCAGCGTGGCATCTTGTGCGTCAAAGTCGCCGTCGTCTCCGAGATGCATGAGCATGCGGTAGACAAATCCGGGGAGGGCCAGGACAGTGTCGACCGCCGGGGTCGAGGGTTTGGTGGATGAGACAATTTCGGAAGACATAGTAGCAATGAGGTTGAGCTGTAGAGAGATGCAAGGAGAGTGAGAGTTAAGAGATGCGCTTGGGACGAGAGGGCCCGGGGAGAGCCGTGAGTGTTATATAAACTCGATTCACCCAATGCCGACAAAGCACAGTTCAAAGCGCGCCGGAGGTATCCGGTACGCATTGTTGAAAGCCAAGCACACATGGATTACAAGCTCAGCCAGGAGTTTTGCGCTGAACTCTAATTTGTACGGAAATCGTAGATTTTGTTGCGAATGTGGCGAGAAAGCCACGACAGGGTATACTTTGCGCAGAAAAATATTCCGATATGAAGCTTTGGTTCAAACAGGTGCACTAAAAGCCCGGGCTTAACTGGTGGTAAGTATTCAAGTTGTTACCTCTTGAGATGATTTGAAGTAGGCTACTAGTAGCAAGATCTTGTCCTGTGGGGTCTTGACTTTCGACGACCGCTCATAGGCTGATCGTTGATGACTGGGTAATATTCGCAAGCGGAAGCAACTTTGCTGCGACTCAGCAACTTGCAAGAGTGAAAACAAGAGCAACATGTCGTCACTCGGCCGTGACGTGGCAATTTTTCAATGCCATCACGATGGCGGCCTTCCAGACCCAACGCAGCCATGATGAACCAAGTCCAACCTTTCCTGCCGACATAGGAACCTATGGTCAGCTAGTGTTTGATCCGTGCCTCAAAACTTGAATGCTGCCCATCCATCTCGTCAATCCGACCACTTGAAAGTTATGTAATTCAATGTAACAACAGCACGTCGTGGCCAAATTGGCGTTCCTTCCCATTCAGCAACCACCTCGTCGTGTCCTAGGAAAACACATTTTATTCCCGAATATTACTTATCAACTTCCCGCTCCCAACTCCCGCTACCACTCGTTCCAATGACACGTCTCCTGCTCAAAAATCTCGCGGCGAAAGTCGGTGTGAATCTGACAGTGGTCGCTAAGAATGTTAAGCTCGAGAATGTCGATGGTGTTTCGGTTCTGCATGGTCGCGGGGATATCTCGACGCTGCTCATCTCCAAAACGCTGCAGTGCGAACCCAAAGTCGATGAGCACCACACTGTCGCGCTCCGGTCGGTATCCGGGCCCGTCAGGAAGCATGATCTGGGAGGGGCGGAAGTCCGCCTGGTTGATCCCAGCGTAGAGCAGCGTCCGGAGACACTCTCTAACATGTTGCGTCTGGGTTACGAGAGTCAGTATTACGGCCATCGGGACTTTTTGTGACCTACAAAACCGTGTGTGGCAGCATCGCGATCACTCCAGTTCCAGGTATCAACCTCAGCAAGCGTCGGCCCGGGGATGATTTCGAGCAGGGCAGCGTACGCCGTGAATTTGCCTTGCAGAGTAATCTGAAATAGTGAGAAACGGCTCCGAGTCATTGCGAACGAATAATTGCCCACTCGATGAAAACCGTAGCAATGGGGAACCATTGTTCCCTGATGCTCGTGGAGTCGCTCGTATGCAGCCTCTTCCCGCTTGACCAGGTCTTCGGGGTAATGCAGCGATCTCAGTCGCCACATCGCGTCCCGAATTCCAAAGTCATCGAGAAGCAGCTCAGCATCCACTGGAAACAGCAGATCAAGGAAGATTTTGACACATATTGGTGCAGAGACACGCCCGTCTGCAGCGCGAAGGACACCGAAGAATACCTGCGAGAACGTATCGCGCTCGTGGCGAACGACTTCTGTCACCTCGAATGTAATATTTTGTCCGTTAGACAATATCTCGTCCACATCGCGCAGTCGTTGGCGCGGATTCCGGCCAACGAATTCCTTGGTACTGGGAGGAACCGATGGATTGGGAAACCGACATCGCCACGGGATCTCTTCTCGCAGAAAAGCATTGGCATCAACGTCCAGCATCGTGCCTGGCCCAATGAAAGGCGCGCTGAGGCGTTTAGACTCTTGGCTTTTCCAAATGAGAAACTGTTCGAGATAAGGGAGGTTTCTCTGGAGCGTGAAGCGGTCGAAGTCATGGAAGGTAGTATACTGTTGCTGCTGTTGCGATGGGCGGTTCAAGTTCAGGCTTGGGTCGTTGAGTGCACCCTGAAGAAACTTCGGCCACGGGTCTACATTCGTATCACACTCCTCAGCCTGGAAGAACAGAAGAGATAGCGCGTGTCGCAAAGACTGGCGACCGGGCGCAAGCAGATAAGTGACGAGGCTGGTATTCAGAGTGACATGGTGGTTGCGGATGTGGCTGATCAGGAGGACCCTTTCTGTATCAGTAACAACGAAAAATTTAGGATGCTCTTGGGATGCAATACGTTGGAACTCTTCCACGAGCCTTGACACTTCGGTGCATTCAATGAATCGTTCTGGATTTGGGAGGCCCGCCCAACAAAATTGTCCCTTGGGCTGACGTAGTTAGCCCCGGCTTTCAAAGTGAAAGGGGAGTGAACGCACAATGAAGTGGAGGATAAGATGCAGCCGTCTGTGATCACCGTCTTGCACATATATTCTCGCAACTTGTTTCTCTGGAATGGTCTGATCAGTATAGCGCAGAGATAATCCAAAAAGTGCACACCTTGGACCGATTGGGTTTCATAAGTAAAGCGCAAAGAGGTTCCTTCGAGTAGATATTTGTTGTAGATGCTCACTACGGGTTCCAAGTAAGTGTGGAACACATCGCTGAGGCTGGAAAGGACATCAGCAATAACTTGAAATAGCGCGCCATAGCACTTACGACGTTTCACTGGGATAAGGCTTGAATCTCAATGACGAAATACGTTGGTGGTAAACCTGTGGCGAGTGCTTCAAGACGAGCCCCCAAACCCGCCACGAAACTTCATTCGAAGGACGTGCATGCTCGCACGTTCGGATGGGCCCGCTTTCTTCATCTTCAGTTTGGTGACCACCGTCTAACATGTCCAACACAAGCATTTTTGGTGACTGTGGGCGGTGAAGGCGGAGAGGTGAGTCGGAATGCCACGCTCACAGTGACACTGACCGACTTTAATATCACCTTCAACTCGTGTTCAAGTTAGCGAAGAGGCTCCCATGCCAGCCAACACGCGCGGCGCCAGCAAGGCACGCCTTCGACAAAGACGGCGCGGAATGCGCTGATGCCAGCCTACGCTACACCCGCTACGCTGCTGTTGCCGAGGACAAGCCGCCGCGGCGGTGGTGGGGATGGCATCGAAAAATTGCCGCGTCACAGCCGAGTGACGACATGTTGCTCTTTTTCCACTCGTTGCTGAGTTGCAGCAAAGTTGTCTCTGCTTGCGACTATGACCCAGTCATCAACGAACGGTCGCCGAAAGCCAAGACCCCACAGCAAGCCTCACAGTACAAGATTTGCCAGCTCGAATCATCTACCACCAGGACAAGCCCGGGCGCGCACCCAAAGCTTCATATCGGAATATGCTTACTCGCAAAGTATACCCCCCGTCTTGACTTTCTCGCTACATTCGCAACAAAATCTTTGCCCAGGCTTCCGCCCCTCCGATGATGCTCCCGTGGTGCTCCTCGCCTTCGGGTTCGCGCTCCAGCGCTTCGGCAACAAGCAGCGCCCGCGACGATGCAGAACCAGAACACCATCGACACGCTGGAGCTCTCTCGGCGACCGTGACCGCTGTCAGATCCACACCGACTTTCGCTGAGGAGGAGACGTGTTATTGGAACGAGTGGTAGCGGGAAACAGCGGGAGGCCTGGGAGTGGGTTGATGCTAAAAGTTGTTGTACCGGCATTTTACATTTCCATCGCCGCCGGCGAGCCCGTCGATTGGCACCGCCCCTGATCCGAACCCCGGCCCGGTCTGGACGAGACTCCCAGTCTCGAATTCCGAGCTCAGGCTGGCGGGACGCGACGGTGCGAACATCGTAGCAAGTTGTTCGTGGATGTACTTTTTGCCTATCTCTTAGATGAGGGGCCCTCGCTCAAGCGCGTCAGACGTATATCCTATGCGAAATTGGCGTTGGTGTTGCGATTTACGCGCGGGACCCTTGTCGACCCACGCGGCTCGGTCGACGTTCTCCCCAAGGACAGGACAGGACCTGGGGGTCGCAGATCACGATCGACTTGGAGAGAAGATGGCTGAACCATCTCCCGCTCCACGCTGTTGCTATGGGCTAGGAAAGGATTACGAAGGACATGTGACCGCGACATGACTGGTTTTTTCTGTAGATTACGACGCCGAAAGCGATAAAAGGATGTGTATATGCATGCATTGTGAGAGAGAGAAAATAATGATAATTTACTAACTATTATACGATAACGAAGTCGTCTTCCACAACTGCGGGCTGCGGTACGGGCGACCCGGCGGGCGTCGCAAACTCCTCTTCATCCTCCTCTTCGGCGACCATCTCGGCCACCTCCTCCTCTTCTTTTCTTACATGCTCGGCCCACACCCCGCGCCAAAACGCCTCGACCCGTGCGGCCTCCGCCTCGACCGCCCTGACAACCTCTTTCCGCGCTGCGCGGACGCGCCTGTCGCCGCGGCTGTCGACGGCGTCGAGCGACACGAGCACGCGGCTGAGCATCTCCGCGTACGTGTGCAGCGCCACGTTGCCCGGCGTGTACGCCAGCTTCGCGGCTGAGTCATTGATTGACGGCGGAAGGGTGGGCGGGACGGGGAGGGTGAGCGTCTGCCCGTGGGACAGGAAGTCGATGGTGGGGGGGCGCGGCGAAGGCGGATTTGAGGAGGGCAAAGTCGTGCGCGAGGGAGGAGACGGCGCGGAGTGCGCGGCGGGTGCGGAAGGCGGTCTGGATTGTGGTGGCGGCCGCGGCGAGCTGCTCGGGGGTGGGGGCTGGTTTGGGTGGGACTTGGGATGAAGTAGAGGGAGAGGGCGGCAGTGTGTCAGCATCGGGCAACACGGGCGACGGGGCCCGTTGGCGTTGCTGCTGTTGCTGCGCCTGGGCGAGCCGGGCAGCGTCTAGTTGTTTGCGGCGGAGGAGGGCGTATTGCTGCGGCGTAACGTATTCCTCGTCGTCGTCGTCATCATAGCCATACGGGAAGTACTGGGCACGTGCCCGGCGGCGTCGCTCGAGCTCCTGGGCCTGTAGAGCGCGCTCGAGCTCGCGGCGGCGCTGCTGGGCGTAGTACGGGGAGTGGTAGGATGGCTGGTAGAAGGCGGGCTGGGGGCGCGGGTAGAAGCCGAACATTGTTTGTTTGTGTGATTCGATGGCGGGGAGGCTGCGCCAGCGCAGGCTATATACCACCCGCGCATCGCGCGAGACGCGCGGAGAAGGGCGCAGAACGTTCGAGCAACGGATCAATGTGTGACGTCACGGTGGATCGGAGGCGAGTCACAGTCTTGGCAAGCACAGGCGCAGCCCGGGTGACTGCCGAGAGACCTGAGCTTGGGCTGCGCGGCTGCATTCCCCGATCCCATCAGCTGCTACGGACTGCGGGGGCCATACGATATATAGTAGCTGCTGCGATCCGCCCTCCACACCCTTTCTCTACACCCACACCCTTTACCTGCAATGCCAGCCAGCCTCGCCTACCACCACTACGCACCCGTCGCGGGGCCCTCGACGTGCCAGCTGCCGCTATCATCTTCTGGCCCGTGCTTCGACGGGGAGAACACCACCCATGAACGGATAATATCGGAGAAGCAGCGCGAGGCCGCGACGCGCGTCGCCGCGTGGATCCAGTCCGCCGTCCCCGTACGTCCTTATCCGTCTCCTTACCCCGAGATGCCCGGCTGACAGTGTTTCGCTCCGCAGTTCACCCTCCCGACCGCGCTGATCGACGATACCGCCGCCGACCTCGAGTGGGACCTGGAGTTCGATCTGGACGACGAGCCGACACCCGTCCCGCTCTACACAGCGCTCTCCCCGAAACACGTGATCCACGCCCCGGTGCCAAAACGCCCATCGCGTCCGCGCTCGAAGCGGCACCATCACCACCGCGGGCCGCGCTCGCGGGTGCCGTCCCCGCTGGCGCTGTACGTCATCCAGGAGGACGACTCGGAGTAGTGTTAGACTCTCTTTCTCTCTGCATATCACCCGCATCCTGTATATCGCACACGCTCCCTGTAATCTGTTTCCCTGGGCTACGTAAGCGTGACATGCCTGCCGGCGTACCCCCACTCGCGTCCTCCGGCGTCTTCAGCGTGGGCGCCGCGCTCGTCATCGACGCGCCGCGCGACGCGGTGTGGGCCGCGCTGCTCGACTTTGCGGCGTACAAGGAGTGGAACGCATTCGTGTACTCTCTTTTCTTTTCTCCCCCCTTGGTAGTATTTCTCACGCCCCCCAGCCGCAACCAGACTGTCCTGTCCCCCTCCGGCGCGCCGTCCCCCGACCCCCCCGCGGCGGGCCACACGCTGCTGATCTCCCCCGTGCACCTCCCGCCGACGATGGGCGCCCCGGGCCGCTTCCAGGCGCAGCAGGCGCGCGTGGTCATCACCGCCTTGGACGCCGGGCAATTCCGCGCGGCGTGGGAAACAGAGCCGTCGTGGCTGCTGCCGCGCTGGCTGCTGCACGCGGAGCGCTGGCAGATGCTCACCGAGGTCGTGGAAGATGGGAGGGTAAAGACACGGTACGAGAGCATCGAGGTGTTTAACGGCGTTTTGGCGTGGGTCGTCAAGTGGGTGCAGGGCCGCAATCTGGAGCTCGGCGTGAAGGCGATGGCGGAGGGGCTCAAGCGCTGGGTGGAGGTGCGTCTCCTTGTAGGGTGTGGACTGCAACTGATATCACTCAGGAGCCCCGTTGAAAAGAATTATGAATACAACGACGCTCTACCTATTAGTCAAAAAGATGGTACACGATACACGATGAGTGGGTGGGTGACAGGTCCTTGGCAGAAAATGAACGAAAGCAGCCCAGTGAGATAGTTAGTTAGTTTTTTTTTCAGAGTCACGGTCTACTCCGACTCCGAGTCGACGTCGACGCCCGAGTCCGAGTCGGCCGCGGCGTCGGCGAACGCATGGTGCATCCTGGCGACGCCGTGTGCGTTCTTGTAGAAGACGACGTCGCCCTCGTCCTCGACAAACTTGCACTCCTTGTACACGCGGTACATCTCCGCCCAGCTCACCGGGTTGCCCTCCACAGGCAGCCCCGTCGGCGCGAGCACTTTCCGGAGAGCGTGGGTAGCTTCGTGGCTGTTGAAAATATTAGGACTTGAGATGACAAGAATGGGTGGGACTCACGCGTGGTAGTGCGGGATGACGCTGCAGACATGGTGCAGCAGATGCGTCTCTGCGATGCTGAGGGTCGCATGTGACCCGATCCACGCCATCACGCGGCCCCAGTCGCCCATGAGCTTGCGGTCGACGGTGGCGAGCGCGCCGCGGGTGAAGGTGTGCTGGGGGGCGCGGTAGTGCGGGAGGAGCGGGTCCGTGTGCTGCAGGAACGTGATGAGGATCACCCAGTGGTTCACACACAGGTACGGCACGCCGTACGCCCTTAGAAACGGCGCCCAGCCCCACACGTGCACCGACACCGCCATCGCGGCCAGCCAGAGGAAGACGCCGAGGTCCGCGACGAGCACCTGGCGGTAGTGGTGCGGCGAGAACAGCACCGCGTGCGGGTTGAAGTGGTTCGTCCACTTGGGGTAGCGCGCCTGCCCCGAGATGTTCACGAGCAGGTACAGCGGCCACCCGAGCGTCAAATACGACAGCAGCCCGAGCACCTCCCCCGCGGGCGAGTGCCCCACCGCCTCCCACAGCTCCGCCCTCATCTCCGCGGTCACGTGGGCCGGCGATCCGCGGGGGTCCTCGCGCGCCGGGTCGAGCGGCGGGAGCCCCATCTCGGCGCGCGTGCGCGGGACGAACACCTGGTCCTGCGTCATGTGCCCCGTCGCCGCGTGGTGCTTCGCGTGCGTGACCTTCCACGCAAAGTGCGGCACGCCCATGCTGGGGGGGGGCAGCGTCAGCGGGAACAGGGGGAAAGAAAAAAAGGACAGGGGCGTACGAGGAGTGCAGCGCCCACCCGACGACGTTGTTCGCCATCTTGGACTCGGCGAAGGCCTGGTGCGACGCTTCGTGGGCCATCACCTGCATTGGGTCAGTATAAAAAAACAAAGCTTTTGCGTCTGGATCGACTCACCCAGAGCCCCGTCCCGAAGAGACTCGACCAGAAGGCGTACACCGCCCATATCGCGAACCGGGCCAACGATTGGGCGAGCGGGTGCAGCGGGTGGCGCGCGAGGGCGGCGTCTGCGAGGGAGGCGGCCTTGTGGCACGCCAAGATGACAAAGAGGTTCCAGACGAGGTGCACGGCGGAGCGCGGGCCGGAGCGCTTGAAGCAGTGCGCGGGGATCGCGGAGAGGAGCTGCTTGATGGTGATGTCGGGCACAACGTACACGCCCTGCTCAGACTCCGACGCGGGCGGGCGGGTGCGGTTGCGAGAAGGGCTCATTGCGGGAAAAGGGAGGAAAGGAATGTGGAGGCTGCTCAGACGGAGGGGGGAAGCCAGCCCTATTTGCCAGCGAGCCCGCCCGCTTAAAAGGCCGGCCAGCTGTCTCCTCCTCTCATTCCCCCTGTGTGATGTCTCTCTCTCAGGAGTAATTATAAAGTGGTGCTGATTCCCGAGCGACAGGTGGCGTCGATTGCGAGACGAGACAGCGTGAATTCTCCGTGGAGAACAAAGACAAGACTCAGGAACTTGCGCTCCTGTCGGCACCGCACTAAAGTACTACTAGTATTCATTGCACACCAGAAACTTTACTGAGCGCCGCGCCGAACCCGTCCGCGAGCGTGTCGATGTCCGTCGCGACGCTGACCATGTCGAAGCCCTGCGCGAACCGCCGCTCGGCCTGTTCCCCCGTTAGGCCTAATGCGTTGCGTTACCTAATGATTAAACCACAATAAATGCGACACGCACAGAAGATGCCCGCGACCTTGCCCGCCCGGTGCGTCTCCTCCAGGATGCGCGCGATCGCGGCCTCGTGCGCGGCCCCGCCGAACTCGGCGCCCATGCTCACCGCGAGGTCGAACGGGCCGATCTGCCGGCGGGGTCACCATCAGTGATGATCATCAGAGGAGAAGAAGCCCACGAAGGTCGCGTCGATGCCCTCGCGCACGATGGCGGCGATCTGCGCGACGGCGTCGGGGTGCTCGATCTGCACGGTCACGAGGACCGCGTCGTTCGCGGCGTCTTTGTAGGCCGCGTTCAGCGCGCCGGCGGCGTGCTGGGCATGTAAGTAACCCTTTTGTTCTGCGACTGGATGGGCAACTGACAGTGAACATCGGGCCGTACCCGCGGATCCCGACGGGCGGGTACTTGCACGCCGCGACGACCTTTCGCACGAGCTCTGGCGTGTTGGCCATGGGGACCATGATGCCGTGCGCCCCAGAGTCCAATGCGCGCTGCCGTAGTTGAGTATCAGGAGGCTCAGAGAAAGTCGCCACCTTGATCATCCACGGCTCGTCCGCGGGGATGCGGATCAGCGGCGACGCCCCGCTCGCGGCGACGGCGTTGTTCAGGTCGTAGAAGTGGTGGTCTAGCAGCGCGGTTACAGTTCAGATCGGCCGTCGCGGAGAGAGCCGCAGCTTGCCCGTGATCAGCCCGTGCTCTGCAGCGCGGATTCAGCGTTGTTACTACTGCTACTTTGCGGCGCACCAGCATCGATAAGGACCCAGGAGATGCCCGGCGTGCGCGCGATCGTCTGTGCGATAGCGGTGCTGACAAGCGGCATGAAGCACGGCACACACAATCGCTTGTGGCGCTCTACTAACCTCGGAAGGGTAAGCCACGCCCCGGCCGCGCGGGCCTGGGCAGCGAACTTTTTGGCGCAAAGGGATGCTCAGCGACATGGTGGGTGGGGAAGAAGTGCGGGAAAATCGGACCGTGAGATTGCAGATAAGTAAATTGGAATAAACACGATCACGCGCAGGTCATGTGCGCCGTCGTCGCCTAGGTGCATCAACAATTGCGCACCCGTTTTTAACACACAACTGCAGTGCTTAGTCATTAACACAAACCCCCTTCTATCTTTCTGAAACTTAGCAAAAATTAGAGTCCACTGGCAGATCCAATGGAAATATATTTTTTTCAGTACAGTGGTGTCCATTTACCAAAACTCCTCCCCTGCTCAAGCCCAAGCCCCCGAGCCTCTTGAGCATGCTTGCTCTCAGGCTGAACACTCAAAAACTAGAGGTTGAGCCTCGGAGTCACTGTCCTGTGTGTTAGCTAAAATTACTGTATATATCTATGGACACTATTGTGTTGATCCTGTACTCAGTCAGCTCTAAGCCGCTGTAGCACAGTCAGAATACAATAATACACAAGTCACGTTGCACATACCTCACTGTTCGGGAAAAGAACGAGTGAGGCTGTACGACGGATCACTAGCTACTTAAGCGTCCACTCTGTTGTCCTGATCCGTGGATCAACACACCCCCAATGGAGGAAAGCAAACAACCACCACCCCCCATGCAAGCACCTCCGACTCTCTACTCCATCACTCCTAGTGCCTGATGGTGGCGTTCAAAATCAACTTGGGCAAGCGACTTTGTGAGAGTATTGGCAACGTTGTTATAGGTTGACATATGCGGGAGAGAGATTTTGCCTTTCTCGATTACATCATTGATGTACTTGTAGCGCATGTCAATGGCTTTGGCACGGCTCTGGAACCTCTGATTGAGCGAAATCTTCCGGGCTGCATTGTTGTCACTTCGTATTGGAGTCGGACCCAGCAGAGACTTGCCCAGGCCAGTAAGTAGGCTCCTGAGCCAGCATGCCTCGTGCGCAGCCTCAGCAGATGCCACGTACTCTGACTCCATCGACAACCCCGCAACCAGTTTTTGTTTCCAAGATGACCACGATATCATGCCGGAGCTGAGCGAGAAACCGTACCTATGACCGATTTGCAAGTATCCGGATCGTTGGCGTAATCCGCATCTGAGTATCCCGACAGGCGAACATCGTCACCGCCCAGGTGCAGCGAGTAGCCTTGTGTCGACTTCCAGTATTTCACAACGCGGATTGCCGCCAGCCAGTGAGCCTCTCTATAGCAGTCTAGGAAGCAAGCTAGGTGGCAGATGGCAAAGGCCACGTTGTCAACGTCGGGCTCGGGCCGTATCGGGGCGTTGGGGGAACCGACTTCGAAGGGGTCTGGGAGCACGAGAGATGGGTATTCGCCCGGAGAATAGACGATATTAGCCTAGCAACTACATCTTGTAAGTACGGTTTTTATATGCTACAATATTAGGGATGGATCGGATGGGCGCCAGGTCCCAGGGCGGATCGGATGGGCGCTGCGTAGGTCCACAGGGGTGAAGGGAAGGGGTTGAAGGAATGGGGGATTGTCGAAGGGGCGGCGGTATGCGGGCCCGTGCGGGCCTTATAGCCCGGACGGCCCGACCCGAACCGTGACATCACCCCCTCCGTTGTGGGCGGCGCCTCAACGCCCTATGGGTCCGTGTCCCCTGGTCTTGTTTTCGGATCTTCCATCGGCCGTTTATGAGTTCTTCGCGGGGTGCGAACGGGTTAAGAATATAGAAATCCTCGAGTGCCTCTTCTGCGCCTTCCAGTTTGTCCCGCAGTTCCCACGTCCACTCTTCTCGAGGGTAACCTTTCCACTGAATTAGGTACCTCAGGCGATGTCGACCTTGCTTGCATACGAGGGAAATGGCCTCGACTTCGTAGTGAGGCTCGCCGTCCCGCATCTCTGCCGGGGGGGCGGGGCGGCCCATTGGTGATCCGCTACTGGGGCGTTCCACGGTCGTAATAGTGCCGTGTGGAATACGGGGCTTACGCGCCAAGTTGGGGGTAGCACCAGTTCATAGGATGTTTTACCCACTTTGCGCTTGACTTCGAACGGCCCGAACCTCTTGTCGTCCAGTTTTTTTGAGGGTCGATCGCTGGTCAAATTCGTCCCCTGGAGGTAAACTTTGTCCCCTTCGGCGTAATTCGGGTCCGGAGAGTGTTTTCGGTCGTAGTATTTCTTCATCGTTTCCTGGGCTTCTTTCATAGCTTCGGCCACATCGGCCCGGGCTTCCTTCATTCGTTCGGCAAACACCGTAGCGGCCTCGGTCGGGACCTCTTGCGGGGCCTCGGACCCCTTTCTTGGGTGGAATCCCAGCGTGAGGAAGAAGGGCGAGAATCCCGTTGAAGAGTTAACCTTGTCATTAAACGCGAATTCCGCTAGGGAAAGCCAGTCGGACCAGTCGCTCTGCTGGAAGTTGCAGAATGTTCGAAGGTATTGCTCGACCTCCATATTCGCACGCTCTGTTTGCCCGTCCGTCTGTGGGTGATACGCCAATGAAGATCGAATCTTGATTCCCAGCAATTTGCTCAAGTCGCTCATGAAATGCCCGATGAATTGCTGGCCCCGGTCGCTAGTTACTTCCTCTGGGAATCCGTAGTCCTTCCAGACGTGATCGCGATATAGCCGAGCGACTCCTTCCCCGGAGATGTTTCCCGTGCATGGGAGTACGCGTATCCCTTTACCCAGTCGATCGACGATTACGAGAATGGCGTTGTACCCGGAAGATTCGGGTAGTTGAACGATCAGATCGATTGATATGCGCTGCCATACTTGAGTCGGCACGCTATTCGGGACCAGGGTCCCTACGGGGCGTCTCGGGAATATCTTCGTTCGTTGGCACAACGGGCAGGCCCGTACGTATGCCTGGCAATCGGCTTGAATAGACGGCCACCAGTAGTTGCAGGTCGTCAGCTCGAGGGTTCGATGCCACCCCGGGTGTCCCACGATAGGGATGTCATGGTGTTGCCGTAGCACCCGATGCCTCAGTCCCATAGCCGGGGGTACGTATACCAGTCCGTTCCGAGTCTTGAAGCCGTCATGCTGTTCCCAGCCTTCCGGTTCTCCGTCTTCCCAGAGTTTGAGGACCTTTTCCTCAGTGGCCGATTCGGCCCGCCGGATCGAGACCATCAGCCCGTTGCCCTCCGTATGCTCCAGTGTCAGCATAGCGCGGATCGCGTGTTCCTTGAATAGCCCCGCCGGGAGTAGGACGATGTCCTGGTTATCCTCCTTCCCGTTGTCGTACCCATTTCGTCGGGATAACGCGTCGGCCCGCCCGTTCGTTTTCCCCGGTTTATGTAACAAGGAGAAGTGATACTCGCTCAGTTTGAGAGACCATCGTGCCTGCCGCCGGTTCAGTTTCTTAGCCGTCATGAAGTACTCCAGATTCTTGTGGTCGGTCCAGATTTCGAACGGCTTATCTCCCCCGTTCTGAAGATAATGTCGCCACTCGGTAAGGGCCCGCATGATAGCGAGCATCTCTTTGTCGTGGATGTCGTAGTTGCGCTCGGTGTCGTTCATGGCCCGGGAGAGAAATGCGATCGGCACCCACTTCCCCTCCTGTTCTTGCGAAAGGACGGCCCCGGTGGCGAAATCGGAAGAGTCCGCTTCGACCCGCCATGCCCCGTGATCCGTAGGGAAGTGTAGTACGGGTTCATCAGTGACCCGGTCTATCAAGGTCTGAAAGGCCTCCTCTTCTTCCGGTCCCCATTTCCATGGGCTGTCCTTTCGGGTCAGCCGGGTCAGTGGCTTGGCGTACGCGCCGAAGTCTTTGATGAATCGTCGGTAGAAGTTGAGGAACCCCAGGAAGCTTTGAACCTCTCGCAGGTTACGAGGTCGGGGCCATTCGCGCACGCCAGCGACCTTGATCGGGTCCATGCAAAGTTGCCCGTTCCCGACGATCACACCGAGGTATTCGACTTCGTTCCGCTCGAAGTCGCACTTGTCCGGTTTCAGGTACAGTTGGTTGTCCTTCAGGATCTGTAGGACCTCTTTCACCGTTGCGCGATGTTCGGAGAGGTCACTAGAGTATATGAGGATGTCGTCCAGGTACACGATCACGCGACCCTGGGAGATCAGGTTGGAAAACAATTCGTTCATCATGGATTGGAACGTGGCCGGGGAGTTGGTGAGGCCGAAGAACATCATGAGTGGTTCGAATAGGCCCCGATTGGTAATGAACGCGCGCGGCTTTCTCTTCGTCGCCTTCTTTTATGCGGATGTTGTTGTATCCCCAACGTACGTCGAGCTTGGTGAACCACCGGGCGTTACGTAACTTATGCATGATGTCCGATATGAGTGGTATCGGGTATCGGTTTTTGATGGTGATCTCGTTTAGCTTCCGGTAGTCCTGTACGGGCCGTAATTTCCCGTCCTTCTTCTTGACGAAGAAAAACGGGGATGCGTATGGGGATTTCGAGGGCCGAATCCGCCCGGTTGCCAAATGTTCCTTGATGAATGTGTCAAGCTCTTTCTGTTCCTCTCCTGATAGGGGAATGCAGCGCCCTTTGACGGGTTCGGCGTCTGGGTGTAGTTCAATGGCATGGTCCCACTTCCTCCGTTCCGGGAGTTTGTCGAAGTCCTGTTTTTCGAAAACCTCTTTGAATTCCTCAAGGTAGTGCGCGGGTACGCTCTCCTCGGTGGTTCGGGGCTTCTCGGCAGCGTGGGCGGCGGCGGCCAGTTTGGTGGCCACGCTCTGCATGGCTCGGATGTGGGCGGGCGCGTTCGAACCTTCGTCGTAGATCCGCGTGACGAAGAGGCGATCCCCTTTGCCCAGGGGTTCGTTGTCCTCTTCGTCCCATTGTTCCAGCAATCGGGCCCGCTTGCACTCGGGCGGGCATCGGGTGAAGGCGATCGCCCCTTCGCGCCAGTCGATCACGGGATTGTGCTTCTTGAGCCAGTGATGCCCGATGATCACGTCACTGTTCCCGGTGTCCGTGATGGCGAACGTCAGAAGTTCGGAGTGATCCTGAATGGTGACTCGTAAGCGGGTAACGTGGGTGATTGCCCCGTCGGCGTTGATCGTCCCGTCGGCGTTGTACACTGGGACTGGGTGCGGTAGGGCTTCGAGTTCCAGTTGCGAGTCCTCCGCGAACCGCTTGTGCATGAACTCGGAGGTGGCGCCACTGTCAAGGAGGGCGTCAACCGAGTACCCGCGGAGGTCGTTGACCCCTTGGAGGGTGACGGCTACCCGCGTAGCCGTGGTGCCTTCACTTTTCCGAAAGAGGGGGGAGCATTTTGCAGTTGTCGCAAAGCTTCGGCTACGTCGGGGGTGTACCCCGTTCGTATGAACTCTTCTAGTTCGGGCCCGTTCTCGGCTCGTCGGGCCGGATGTATCCACTGTTGTAGTTTCGAACG